AAATAAGTATAAAACCTATCATTGAAGTTTATTTCCTTATTATTAAATAAACAGGACGAGCGCAACAATTAAATGTACGAAAATATAAATTATTACGACGCGTATCGCTCTAAGCTAAAATTATTGTTATTCCCCGCCTATTGCTACCCTTCTTCCTTTAATACCTCCTAATTACTAACAGCTTTAATTTCCCCTAGCCTATTCGTATTATCTTTCCTTTCCCTTAATACCGCTAGTAAACTTCAATTTCTTCCTTTACCCGTCTCCCTCTCCTACTTTTAATATTTTACTAATAGTTTTAACTTCTCCTCGCCTATCGTCCCCCTTTTACCATCCACCCCCCCTCAGCTCCACTCTTCTATATTTATACTTCCCTAATATATATCTTTTAATGCAGGACTATCGCTCACTAGCAATATTGGCATTACTTTGCGGCCACCGACTACTACCTTTACATTATAAGTATATCTAAAGAGGGGAGCGTATATTCCTCCAATATAATAATAAATATTTCCTAAATAATTTATCAATAACTTATATTAATTAATTCGTTTTATAATAATTTCCCTTAAATACATTTAAGTTAATATACTTCCTAATTGCTTAATACTCCAAGAGGAGTAGCCCGTATACTATGTCCTAATCCCCGGTCAACTTATTAAATTCCCTACTAAATATTAAGCTTCCGATTTAATTATCGAATTCCTAATTTAAATATTAAACTTCCGGTTAAATTGTCGAAGTTCCGGCTAAACTATCTAATTCCTAAGCGAGTGGTCGGTTATACCGTAAGCCGAGTATAAATAGGAAGTTGGTCAACTTTAAACTTTTAATATATTAAATATATAAATCAATTATTTCCTTGTATAATCGCCTTTATAGCCTATATAGTAAACTATTTACTATTGGGAGTATTGTTAGCTATATTAAATTTAAACCTATTCGATTTATTCGGAGATTTTAAAGTATACCGAACTTAAAACGGAGTAATTTATTAATTAGACTAAAAGAATGCTAATTCGATATTAAAGCAATAGTAACTATACCTTTTCCATATAATTAAATACGGGTAAGTAAACTTCTTCTCTTACTAATTATAAATAATATTAATGTATTAGAAGTATGAATTTTAATTTATTTTAATAATAATAAACGGAAGAAAGGAGTAAAGATAAGGAAATTTATTATTGGGAGGAAGAAAATTAACTATTAAAAGGAAGAAGAAAATGGGGGAAATTTATTATTAGGAGGAAGAAGAAAGTAAGCTTACCTCCAAGTAAATTTGCCCGCCTTCTACTAATAATCTATTTAATTTATAGTTATATAGGCAAATACCCTAACTACTTATACTTTACCCACTTAGTACCCCTAATCTCCTTTCCTTTCCTAATTATAAATAACTAACCCTCTTCCCTATATAGGTATAGGCAATACTACCCACCCAGCTCGGGTGGAAACTCAAGCGTTGGAATAAATACTGGAAATTACCGGAGGCTTTTAACCTTAATACAAAAGGGGTATCATGAATTTAAATAAGCGAATACCACCCTAATATTTTTTCTTAGAAGCTAAATTAATACTATTATATTCTGTATATATAATCGAATCCATATACAAATTCCCCCTTACATAGGGGATTTCAATATATATATAATAAAATATAAAAGTAACGACCCCTAATTCCCACCTTACGCCCGTAATATACTAACGTAAAGGTAATAGAACTACCCGCATTTGCACCTAAATATAGAATTTTATCGCTATTTTGACATTATATTTCATCGATCGTATATTTTATCGTGGAAGTTTCTGCCAGTTAAAATACGATATAGAATAAATAAGGGTAGTGAATACTACCGATAAATTAAGATCCTAATATAACGTCGATATGTTATATACAAGTATTTAAAAAGGAAGTAAATATAAAATTAAAAATAATTAACATATTAATAGAATAATAAAAATCCAAATACGAAAGTATTATAATAAAATACCCCAAAATAAATTTATGATAAATAGCAACAGAATAGGAGTAATAAATATATATTAAAATAATAAATAATAAATAAATATCATAATAGTTTTAAATAATATAATAATATTCTTATATTATACTACTTAACTCCTAATTATATATTAATTTACAATTATATACTAGCCTACTTTAATAACTTCGCAATTATAAAATATAATTTTAATACTATTTACCGTTTAATAATAAAAGATTATTAAAATAAGAAAGGCAAATTTAAATATAATAAATTATTTTATAAAATATAGTTTTATTACTAATATTTAATTGCCTTTAATATTTTAATATATAAAGTTTTCATTATAGGCGCGAATTACTTTTGAATAGAAATTCTATTAGGAGTTGGACTTTTGTTCTATATAAGACGTTATTACCATTTTAACGTACCGTTCTAGCGGGTTAGTTATCTAAATATAAATAGACCGATAAACGAAATATATTAATTATAATTTATAATCGTTCAACCTAAATATGCAATTATCAAGAATGGGCGTGTGTAAGCGAATTCATTCTAGAACGCTTTTACACAATTAATACTACAATTTACACCCCATTCTAGCCCTTTTATTAGACCCCCAGCTGCCTCCAGGGTACAACTTAATGCTGAGTAAACCTGTGCCCGTACCCACCCTAGAGCCTACACGCACCCTCTCTTCCAAATATATACCGGAATTATTCCTCGTATGGCAAATTCTACCCAAAAGTTCGTATAGTATTGTCTTTTATATCCTATTAGCAACCGTAGTAGAAAAATGCGTTTTGTAATATGGGTTGTCCTTCTTGGACAATAAGCACAAGCGATGTTTCTCAGACAAGCCATGTTTCTTATAGGGGGCAAGCGCTGTAAGGTAGCGTCCTTGGGTCGGGTCCAAAATTTGAAATTTCTCAAAGTCTCAAAGTCCCTCCTTCTCCTAACCTCCAATATCCCCTTTATCAACGGAAAGAACCAGCCATTCTTGCAAAAACAACTAATTGGCTTAGTAGCCAAGCGGTTATTGAAGTAGTTCTTCATTTTCAATCGTACTCGTGACATACTCCATTCGATTCCTGTTCGTGACCAACTTTTTGAAGCTATTCCAACAATGCCAGCCTTCAGAATTAATGTACGCCTTCACCTTAGTAGTCTTTGAAAGCCTAGACTGCGTTTGTTCTAGTACGGTTGTCGTATAAAGGGGTCTATACGACTATTTTTGTACGAAAACTGTACAAAAGTAGTATCGTTTAGTTAGTTGCCATGAGAAAATGCAATCTACGACCCCCTTATATCAGCCTCGCATAGCCTTGTTCGTGTTAGGGTTATATATAGCTAAAAAATCGTACATTTTTCGGCATAATCGTACAAAATGACAAATTATATATACGCTCGAAAATGCAATCAATACCGTATAGCCGCCTCGATGTACCTTTTGTAGCATATTTGTATAGCGCTTAAAGCCTTGTAACCCCCTATAAGAATTTCGTTCCCGTCGCACTCAATTGTCGTCCACCTTCTTTACCCAACGACTTCTAAGGGGGGTGTAGATGGCTGTACGGTGCATGTGAAAAGTGGCCCGAGCTTTGCAGTATAAAACTATACGACTAGATTCTCTATACGGCAGCAGTACGAAAACAAACGCAGTCCTAGGGTACTAAAGTACAGAAGGTTATACCCTATAACTTTTGACTTCTAGGGGCTTGGGAGACAATCCATGTTTGGAAAACAATTCTTGTTTTCTTTACACGCATTGTCTCCTAGACAAGGCTTGTTGCAACCTGGGGTTTCCCGCTTCGGAAAGTACGTTGCAAAATCCGGGCGTTGCAAATGCAAATGACCGCTCAAAAGTCAGTTACAAGGCCTTCTAATTGAAAAAAGAATGTTTGCAATAAATTCAGAGGTTGTCCTTCTCCTTGACCAAATTCCAGGAAATCTTTTCGCGTTGCTGAAAGATTACCTACCGCAGCGGGAATATAAGGAGCGTAACAGGGCTTGTTGAGGGCAACACGTATATTTAGGGCGTATATATAGAATATACCCTATTAACTTAACAACCCTTATTGAGTTGAGGGAGGCCTCTGATTGGTCGGATTTGGGTGCAAAATGGTAAAAGCTAAAGACCCCTATAAGGACCTTCTGGAAGGCCCCTATAAGGGTCATTGGTCAGTAGTCGCTATAGTGGTCTTTTTGGTGGTTTAAGACTTTGGCTTCAAAGTCCGGATGAGGGCATTCACACTTCCGCGCGAAACTTTTCGCGCGACGGAAAAAAAGCTGTCACCAGTTGGAATCGAATTGGCAATTATAAGAATGAGAGCGACGATAAGAACCATTGAGCCACTGGCCCAATTAATTGAAGGTTGGCTTCGTTCTTTCCTTTGATATGGGGTGGTTGAGTTTCTGGGGGGAAAATAAACTTTGGGAAAGGAGGAAGCATCGTCTCTTTGGAGTCCCAGAAGCCCCCAAGTGACTGCCCAGAAGCAGTGCTAAACTCAAGACCTTTAGCGACCGTCTATAGCGCATACCTAGATTGGCCAATCAGACGTCTCCCTCAGCTCAATAAGGCTTGTCAAATCAACAGGGCCTGTTAACAAGACAAGGCCTGTTAAATCTACAAGTCCTATAAGCTATACTAAGCGTTACAAGCCCTGTTCCCCTCCGTATTTTCCCACTACGGTATTGGTAAGTGTCTTAGAAGGGGTAGGGTGCGTGTAGATTTGGGGTGGGTACGGGTAGGTTTACTCTTGATGATTGTCAGGAGCGTGTAATGAACCACTCACTATAGGGCACTTTGTGAAGGTAACGAGGAGTCTCAAGAACTGTAGATGCAGAGGTCATTGAATGATGAGTTTGTTGTAATTTATGTTACATTCGGATGTCCATCATGAACTTGAACCACCTCTATACCACGAAGCCATTTGCTGGTTTCCCCAAATTCCATCATTTCCCAGGACGCTTTGGCACGATATCCCATACTATGACAGTGAAGTTCCCCGTTCAAACCAGTTCCCACTCGGAGGAATCCGCCTCAGAGTGGCTCGCATCGCTCTCGACCTCGTTGATCAGGACTATAACACAACAACAGTTAGCTCAAGCCAAACCACCATTTAATTTCTTCATATCCTCAACAGGAGCTTACCGAACTCGGTGTCCTCCTCGGCTTGGACGACAGCGTTCATGTTGATGACGCTTTCAATGCCCTCGTTGACGGTAACGGCGTTGTTCGAGACGACATCCCTATTGGCCTTGGTCGCATTGTGATTGTGCTCGAGGTCTGTCCAGCACGTGTCAGATAGGTTCCGCTTGACAATGGGCATCGCGGGTTTAATAGAGACGGGACACTTACCGGAAACAAGGTCAAGGATGTCGTAGCAAATAAACTCCCTGCTGAGGAGCTTCGCGGTCGACTCGTCGGTCTCAGCCAAGGCGCGCTCCTGTCGGAGAGTAGCCGCATAGCCCCGAATGGTGTCGTAAAACTCTTCGGCCATGTAGTCGTCCGACACGGTGAGGGCAACTAAGCCGACCAGGCCGGCCGCGTAGCCCATACGAGTTGCGGTGGGATAATCATGAGGATATTTGTCCTCAGATCTCTTGACTATTATGGAAGAGGAAGTGTTAGGAAGTTCCTTTGCCGAGGTAGGTTGACGAGACCTGGAGGGGTAGATGGAGATGCGACTTACTCATGGAGATGATGCCCTCGGTGTACATGTTGGTGGACATTTTGTCTGGATGTTGTTTCGGTGTTTGGAAGAGAGGTGGTAGGTCGGTGAGCGCGATTTTGGTTAAATGTTGTAGGAGGTTGTGTGTTGTGAGGAGGAAGTTCGGGAGTGGGAAGAGGAGAGAGGGCGAGGGCGTCTTATAGTGGGTGGTCCTTGGCTGAGGCCTATTTGGCAGGCACTAATGGTCCAGGTTGGCGGTTTGAAGCTTCCCTTCACTTAAACTTCGGTGGGTCCAGGTTGACGGGACAGACAGCATGTTCAGAGGGACCTAGGTAGTTGTACGCTGCAGCCAACACCTGTTCATTTCAAAGTGAATGGCTTGTGGGCCGGTGGCTGGAGAGGAGGTTCCAATAGCTGCCCCGCGCCCGTGCCAGCCCACAACCAGAGTCAGTGCTCTTTCGTCTCGATAGTCGAACGCATTCAACGGCAACCGAACAGGGGAGGGTAACTAGAGGTATCTATCAGGTCAATAAGGACGAGTCACTGTCATAAAAGCATCATGCACATGTGAGAAAGTAGAATCACTGAAAACGAAGATGATACGCCAGTCTCTCAAGAGTCTGTCTGGCAAGTAACATTCATTTGATAAAGGGCATGTTGCTGCCCCTGCCTCATCTGCCAGGCCGAAGTGATTCGTGACCCTCGGCTCTCACTGGGAACTCAGACAAGCACCCAGTCCTCCTCCTCGTCACATTCACCGTCAACGCCCTTCTGAACACCAGCTGTGACATAACCAGTTAGTATCTGCCAGAAGACCATCCCGCCATTACACCATATGGATCTTTGTACTTACCAGAGGCATCCTTCTCCTTGCCCTCCAACGGCTCTCCGAGCGTAGCTTCGAGATTCTTGCACAACTCGTCATCCGGGCCGCCGGCCAGCTTATACTCCAGACCTTCATCACACGTTAGACAGAAATAAAACAAACGAGGAGGCCATACCTTAGGTAGTCTCACCTTGGAGGATGTACGAAATGTCGATACACAAGCTGTACCGATAACGAGTCCTCTTTGAATCCGCAGTATCGCGCGGAGACACTTTGTCCAGCGACTTCCTGTAGTCCCAGACGATTTTCCTCAAATCCTTAAGCTCCTTGAGGTCGTAATCCTGGCTCAAGACAGACTGAATTATTCCCTTGGCTGCGTTAACCCTACCCTGCGTGGTAGGGGGCTCCGGCCGGTCAACGCCCTTGACTGTGGATGAAGGGGTTAGCAATGATCAAGAGGGCCGAGGGCCGAGGGCCGATGGAGGTGATGAAGGAGTGAATCCCAACTTACTCGCTTGGATAATCTCATGGTCTGACATCTTGACGTCTTGTGCCGGGTTGTGATAGAAAAAGATCTTGAGGATATTGGCCAAGTCTCGTACGCGCTGTGGTTGTGCGAAGTTGGAAAGATGGCTGGTGAGAATTAGAAGTGAGAGAGAAAAGGAAGTAGACGATAGAGTCGTAGGCACTAAATAGTGGGGGAGGGGAGACAGTTTCTGGGTGGGTCTAGTGAAATGACAACCCGTTTTATTCATGTTCTGATCACAATATCACAATAGCAAACGAGTATCTGCTAAGCGTAGAGTGGGTCAAAGTCAATAGAACAGAACCTAGCTTCCCACAGTCGAGCTACTTCCTCATTCACTCGAATTGATTCAATGGAGAAGGATTGAGGCCTTCTATCCATTCAAGATAGTGCCTATTGTGTTTGCCGGCAGTCGTTGCATCGTCAATCCAATGTGCCAAGTGAAATGCCGTCGAAAGACCCTCCGTTCAGATGAAGAATCATGCGCCTTACCGCGATTGCCATTCAGGGATTTGGACTCTCGCCAATCAACATCACTCTCGTCTCCATGCTTCCAGCGAGTGATCCTTCCGGTGCTTGTTGCGTATGGCGCATGAGGACACGTACGGGATTCAAGTTCGAAGAAAGAGAACACTAGAGGGACATGAGGAAGGAGCGCTGGGTGCGCTGAGAGGTAGGTCAAATGGAATGGGTCGTTGCTTCTTGCTTCCTGGTTTTGTTGAAATGATGAGATGATAAGTTTGGGAAGTCGCACGCAAAGAAGAAGGGAAGGAAGGAAGGAGAGGAAGTGGGGTAATTGGAAAGATTCGTTGGAAGAAAGAGCGATCAGGACGGTAAATAAACTGAGTGGAAATTGTCAACATGAAGCTTGACTGACGGTAACTGATAGAGGCTGGTTCGTGTCCAAATGATAATCCCAACACCAAGTTCCTTCTATCCTTCATCCTCGGCTTACTTCCTGACGTCTCCATCCCCAGGAACAGTTTCGCTTTTCTTCTGCTTTGCTCTTCCCCATCTTCTCCAGCCCACAGCTTTAACCCTCCCCGCTTCAACCTCCAAAGTCCAAACTCCAACCCTCCATCCCACCTCAACACCGCGGCCTCGCGCGTTAAATTTTGGGGATCTGGTGTTTCTTGTGATCCATCACCTCCACAATCGTATGCCAAAGCAGAACCTTCTGATTGTGTTTTCCCCTCATACCAGCTATGACATGCACTTTCAGCGAACGTTCAACCTCTTGTATGGCGAGATCTCTGAGCCAGTCGAGGTTGGGACGCTCCCTCAGTGAGTCGATGGCCAACTCAACGATTGCCCTGGCCATGGTCACGCGTCTGTTGTTGTTGATGATGGGGGCAGGAGAGTTGGCGAAGTCGTTGACTGGTTGCGTGGGGTCGTGTGTCAGTGTCTGTAAGGGTAAGGGGATCTTGGAGAGTTAGGGACTTGCCCATTTTGATGGCTTGTTTTTTTGTTGTTATGCCCATTTTGAGAGTGTCAGGTTTCGAGATTCTCGATGGTCACTGATTCAGTTTGTTGTGAGCGGTGAATAAGCCGGATTTTCATCAACATGAGTAGAAAACTGGATGAGAAAGATTTCTAACTGAACAGAAAATGTGGAGGCAACTCCGCACCCCGTTACCTCCGTCCAGTGACATAACGGATCACAACAGGACATGCCTTGTGCCCGTACAGTCTGAGCTCACAAGCCAATATGGAATAGACGAATCATGACCTTTCGTAAGCCTCAACTGATGGGAGAACATCAGGTATCACTGTCAGCACCATGCCTGTGCTTCACATCTCAAAACATCCAGGTCATCCGGAAACTTCCGAATAGCAGATTGAGTTACAATAGCTCTCATCGCAGTTGAGCTATTGGAAGTAGGGAATTGCCCTTGTGAACGAAAAGCCGTCATAGTGATAGGTTACTTCAGATGAGGAGTTGCAGACTTTGAATGGTTGACATCGGTGTAGCTTGGTCGGCGCGATAAGTGGCCGTAGAAAACCAATGGGAAGGTCGGACTTTATAGTAGGAAAGTCGTGTTTGGATGAACACAGGCTTGTTAACGTCATTTTAGAATCGTCAAACACAAACTTTGAGTTTGCCTCACCGTGGTTTGCGTGATTCAAAAGGAAGGAACTACATGACTGATTGACTCCTCCTGCCTGAGTCAACGCCAACCTTGCCATTTGCACATGCACGGAAGTAATCTCCCCTTGAATGGACCAGGCTTCTCTAGGTGAAGTAACCCAAGAAAAAGCTGGAAAAGGTGGAAAAGTAGGAAGTTGAGATGCAATACCTCGGTCGCAAGCTTTGGCGTCGACGCCTTCAAAGGTCCTTGATAGACGCCATTGTTGGAAAAGTTCCGTTGCATTGCTGGGGTTCCACGTTGAATATCTCAAAAAAGCGCTCGCCACAATGTGCAATGCTTATAAAGGAAAGAAGAATAGAGAAGTCTTTGAATGCTTGGACACTTGATGGAAATCTGATCTGAACACTTGGCGTTTGTTTTCATCATTCAGGGGTGAGCAAAAAAGGCCGGTTTCAGAGGGTTAGGGCTAAGTGTGACCATGAAGCCCAGCATATGGTGTGATGTCTGGCGGATTACGATGAATCTGGACAAGAAAAGTTGTAACCGTCGGCCAAGGTTCGGAGTGCGGAATGAATGAAAAGGCCAAAAGAGAAATTCAGTTTGAGATATTGGAGAAAGATTTGTAGGTAGTCAATGCGAAAACGACTGCAAATCTTCCCCGAAAGCGCCCCAAGCGACAATGAGAGCAGGGGATAGAAGTCCAGCTGGGAGCCCCTCGTCCGAACTGCACTACACAGACATTATCCCCGGGCGAACACCCCTCGCGTTCCCGAACAGCGCTTCCCAGAACAATGGGTTCCGCTAGTGAGATCCTACCGCCGGAGAGAAGGGCCGATGATGAAGCTGATGACGTACCTGCGCGCTCGTTCCCTCAATGGATGAAAAGAAGGGGAAAAAAACCTCCTATTCGGTGTCCGGCCTAAGGTGACACTTTCGAGCATGTACTGACAGCGATAATCGCCCGTTGTGTCACGGGCGATCTTCCGGGCCGTCATCCGTGCGGGGGATCCGGAGGCACAGGGCGAGCCGGGGACGGTAAGCCTGTCCCAAATCTTATCGGGCAGCGATCTTTACTTACGAACATGTTGTACACGAGTGGAGGAATGCGATGCAGCTTGTGGCCTCGCCCGTTTGACGCCCGTTTGAGGCTGAAAACGGAATTTTATTTCAGCATCTTCAAGCACAATGCCTGACCGGAATTGCAAGATTCGAGCTCGTTATTCGTCGGTTCAAGCGCGACATCGTGAGATGCAGTTACCGTTCGTTCGTTCCAGACCCGGAGTAAACCCCGATCCGTGTCTTCTCCGCATTCCGCATCCCGTTCCTCGGAATCGTAACCGTAATCGCGTGTCTTTGCCCCGCAGATCTCGCCATGCGAGAAATACTTGCCAGGATGTTCTTTGTTGATGTCAGCTGCCCTTTATTGCAAAATCTCCCCGTGGCGTAGCCCAGATCTTGAAACCCGTCTTTCGGTGCAACCGGTGGCGTCGCCTCGACACGCCATGGCAGGCCGCGGCTGCTCTCAGCCCAGCTTGTGTGTAGCTGTGGCTTGCTGCCAAAACATCCGACAAAATGGGCGACACCAGCATTGAGAGAACCCGAGACAGCTTCAGTTGTAGGCGAAACAAGGTCCAGATCGAGCCTCCAAGGTCCAAGGCATTTGGCCACGATTAGTCGAAAAGCTCAAAAGGTGAGTCCCGTTGTCTGTCGGTCGGCTACTTCTGCGAATCATGTCTCACGGCTCACGGGACCGAAAAGGAGATAGTCGTAAGTGCGTGTGTGACGCGGGGTTGTTGTCCAGACGCAGCGGGTAGAGACACGCGTGCAGATCGCCGTTCGCCGCTTGGACTGTTGGACAGCGTGGAGAGTTGCCCGCATTCCATTGTTGCGATTTTGTCGGAGACCACGCGGAGACATCGGCTGCATTTGGATATCCCACGCGAGGGTTAAGCAAGGGATGAACAAAGGATAAGTGGCATTCCGATGCCACCGCGTGCTGCCGGGTTGTGGAGGTAGGTAGCCATGTGTCCTTCTCGTGCCAACTCTTCTCGAAGGAGTCGAAGGTGCCGGTTTGCAGGCCGCGTCAGAGTCGGCGGCCGACAGATGCAAGAATTGCTGTTATAACCGAGATGCGTCAATCAAGCAACGCTTCGTGCTTGTTTACCAAGTCAGTTGCTTGTTTGCCCCTGCTGTGTCACCATCGCTTCTGTAGTCGGTCTTGACTTTCAGCGAACTCCGACTGGCGAGCTGGAAATCTCGCGTATGACGGTACCGTCTGCCAGGGTCGATTCGAACTGCCGCGATTGATCTGGGGTAATTGAGACTGTTGTCGACAGATTGGGGGAGAAAATGACCCCGTTGGGCGTTTTTGGGCGCATCACTTCTCGGCCGACGCCCAAACCGTCACAAACAGTCGGCGTCACACGGACGCCAAGAGGCGAGCATGAGACGTTTGGGCAGTTGCAGGAGGTGCTGACGACGTCTTTGACATTGTTTGTGTTGCCGACGTCGGTAGGTCGGCCGCTAAGTGCCCGAACAGAGTATGCGGGACGGCCAAGTCGGAGGCATCGCCCATGTTCGAATGCCCGGTATCAGTGATTGTTAACTTGTTGTGGTACGTATGCGGTCCCGGTCAGTACCGCTCGGACGCGGAGGGTACTTGGCATAGCAAAAAATGTGCTGAAATGGTGACGTCGAAACCGTGACCAGAGATACTCTGGACCAAGTCTCTACGGCGTCTCTGGGAACTGCCGTCTGTGGGCTTCGGTATTGGGCCGTAACTGTGATTGCCCCTTGTTGGAGGCTTGTCGGAGGCTTCCCAAATGCAGTCAGCAAAAGACAGCTGAAACAAACGGGAGTCGATGGCTGAGGTACGTACCTGATCCTGATGCTGGTGCAGACAATGCACTGCGATTGGAAGCCGAAACGGGGAAGCGCTCTCGGATGCCATGGAGTGGGCATTACGATTACGCGGCACATGTTATTACATTGTTGCCCACCCTTTCCTGAATTTAAAAGGTCATGAGGTCTGTTTCCCATGATCCAAGTTTCTTGAGCTTTTAAACTTGACTCGCCATCGACAGCAAACACGCATGAAAATCAGCCATCCCACGCCAGACCAGACTCGATCAAGAAAAGACAACACATCAGACACCAAAGACCACGGAAAATGGCACCCGGAGACACAGTGTTGTTGACCGGTACCACCGGCCACCTTGGCTGGGCCATTCTTCGTTTCCTACTCGGTGAAGGATATTATGTCCGGTGCGCTGTCCGAAAAGCAGCGGACGAACACACAATCCGAGCTCGACCCGCATTACGCCGCCTGAATCCCGCTTCGAAACTTGACTTCATCGTCGTGCCAGATATCACGACACCTGGGGCATTTGTAGCGGCCGCCGAAGATGTCGCCTACATCATCCACACAGCGACTCCTCTACCAAAGTCTGCTCGCTCGATCAACACAGATGACGCCCGCGAGACATTCATCAAGCCCGCTGAAGCTGGAACACTCAACATTCTTGACGCTGCAGAGCAGAGCGGGACGGTGAGACGTGTTGTCTTCACCAGCTCTATCGCAGCAATTGTTCCCATATCACAAATGGAGGGCGAAGAGGCAAGAGAACAGCCAGTGCTTCCCGAGGACCGGATACCCGTCGATCCAGGACCATACAAATCCGAATTTGCCGCCTACGCAGCCTCCAAATGTCGAGCACTTCAAGTGGCGGAGGAGTACATGGAGACAGAGCGGCCGTTCTTTGACGCCGTGTACATACACCCGGGCTTCGTGCTTGGGGCCAACACGGCAGCGACTACGGAGAAGGAGGCGATGAAGGGCACAAACTCCATGTTGGCAGCTTTGCTCCTAGGCCACAACCAAGGGGTATACGCGGGGGTGTCGGTGCATGTCGAAGACGTGGCACGGGTCCATGTGGAGGCTCTAAGTCCCAAGATTCTTGGGGGCCAGAGCTTCATCTTGGGCGAGCAGGTACGGTGGACCGACGCCATCGACATCGCTGAGAAAGAGTTCCCAGAGCTTTTCGCGAGCAAGTTGTTGACGACCAGCGGATACTACCAGACTGTCAGTATACCAATCGACACCAGCCTAACGCGAGACACATTTGGAATGGACTTTATCAGCTTTGCCGACCAGGTGAAGAGCATGGTCCAGCATTGGGCCAAAGTACGCCAGCCTCACGGAACGCCGTCTTCAACTGCTTCGAGTCCTCCAACCGAATCTCTGGGCTGGGAGAGCGCAGAGATGGCCGAAGACGAGACGCCCATTGCATACAGCCCAATCCCAAGTAGCGAAGACGAACCGGCCATCCCAGACGTCCATCTTTCTCTGCCGACTGTCATCGCGGGGTTGGAGGAGCACGATTACGGCACGGCAGAGGTCATACCACCCGCCACGGAAGAAGAGACATGGGAGGAGATCATCCAGCGGCACATGATTCCATCGGAGGTTTTTCCTTCTGGCGGCGAAAGCGGTGGCAGCAACTGGTCGACGGCGTCGTATCATACTGAAGGCGTCACGCCCAGCGCATCGGGCGACGAGGAGGGACCGGCAATTTATTATGATTCAGATGCCAGGCAGGACTCGGAGATTCATGGCGATGATGGAGTCATTCACATCGCGCAGGATGTCAAGGAGCGCCCTGCTGTGCATGAAAACGGCGCGGATGGGACAAGTTGAATGGAGAAGATGTCATGCCGTCGGCGGAAGAGTCGATGACTCTGAAAGCCACTGTACTGGGCATGGGGTTCTTTTGGGAATAAGGTGGTAGTTGATTAGAAGAAACTATTGAAGGGGAAACCCCGGGAAACTAGGTATAAATACCCCTCAATGCTAAGCGCACAGCGCACCTTCCCAACTCCGAATTGATGGAGTTGGGTCGGAGGGGCACAACCGGCAGGCAATCGTTAGAAGCATGAAGAGCGGGGCAGTGATGATCGACTCCCGTTTGGGACATATTGAGATACCCAGACATGCCAGATACCCGACCATGGGTGACCAGGCAGCATAGTTTTGCACATAGAATTCAGATATTGAACGTTTAATACAGAGCATTGTATGGATGATATTGATTCATCAAGTTACTTTGGGTAATATATAGGCGTGGTAGTGGTAGATACATAAGTGCAACCAAATGGAACTCGTACAAATACATATAGCTTCCAGGTATGCAACTACCCGCCCAGTTGCATGCTCTTGCTGGCATGTTCCAGATAGAACTGCGCTGAATAGGGTTTACTGATTTTGCGGGGTCATTGCTCCGATAAGATAAGGAAGGTATTGGCCAGAAGTTCTGACGCCACTTTGCACACGTCAATTGGGAAAACACCCATGCACTTCGGTCACTGTAGCACGCCTGTTGCTCAGTGCTACAGCAGTCAACATCCACAGCTTGTAGCGAGCAACCTCCAAACAATCTCCAAACAACAACATTTTGCTGTCATCACCACCTTTCCATTTTCCCTTGTCCTTTCTCCCACGACCACACTGAATTAGAATCGCGACCATGGCTGGCCTTGGCGGGCTCAACTTCGACGCCTCCAAAATCAGCAAGGCTACCGCCGCCGATTACTCGTCCTCGGATTCGGACGCGGACGACAACGACGATTTCCAAGTACCATCGCGCAATCCCCACGACGACGAATTCGGCGATTTCAACCCACGAAAGAGACGCCGAACTGGTCGCGACGCAAAGGAGGCCGCTGCTCTCGGTATCTTTGGTTCCGAAAGCGAAGACGAGGGTCCTCGATGGAAGCGCAAAAACCTCCGCACAAAGGGCGTCAGCTTTGTCTCGTCAGCCAACAACAAGCCAGCCAACTCGGACGAGGATGAAGATGATATCGGTGACGAAGAGGACGAGGATGACGAATACGACGCGAGACCATCGATGAAGGCTGCCCATGCAGAGGATGAGGAGGAGGACGAAGAGGAAGAGGAAGAGTCGCGAGGCGTTGGTCTGGGCTTTAAGGGTGCTGCCGCTGCAGCTACAGGTCAAGGACTGGGATGGGTACCTCCGACACAACAACAGAAAGAAAAGAGCCCGCCACGGCAATCCTTTGTCAAGTCAACAGTCAACATGTCGAACCCTCTCGGTCCAGGATTCACGCCGACCTCGGCCAAAGCACCGACGCTCCTCACCAAAGACGATGATGAACCTCCCACGCGCCGCGTCGCCCTACCCAGCGCCTTTGCTCAGGCAAAGGGTGGAAAGACAAAAACCAACAAGATGTCCTTCGCTGCCCGCATGATGGCCAAGATGGGCTACGAAGAGGGCAAGGGTCTCGGTAAAGAAGGCCAGGGACGCAACGTCATTATCGAGGCGAACCTTCGGCCTCAGGGTGCCGGTCTGGGTGCTGTCAAGGAAAAGACTCTACAAGAACGAGAAGAGGAGAAGCGACAGGCACGTCTGCGCGGGGAAGAGCTGGTAGACTCGGAAGAGGAGGAGAAAAAGAAGAAGGCCGCTCGCAGAAAGAAGGCTTTGGCTGGCGGACTCGGAAGTGGTACGGCCAGCGCTGGCAGCACACCGCGACCCAAGAAGCCCAAGTACATGACTATGGATGAGGTCAAGAAGGTTGCCCCGGGGCTGAACATTCCCGATGCCTTTACTCCCATTCTGGACATGACGGGACCTGGCAAGAAGATGCTCACGACGTCTTCCGGCCTGATGACACCCACCGGGACCGCTACCCCTGCTGAGTCGACAGAGGCGGCCGAATCCCGAAAACTGGTTAAACGGGCCCAGAATGACTTTATGGCGATTCTGGAAGAATGGAAGAGCCTCCAGGAATGCAAGGCGTACGCCGAATTGCAGCTTAAGCAAGAACAGCAGGAGCTGGACGAGCTCACGGCAAGTCTACAAGCGAACAGGGCCATCACGGGTCTTTGCGAAGTGCTCTCTATCCCCGTCGAGAGCGGCGAGTTCGACAAAAAGGCGGACCTTGACTACAAGTTGCGGCGCACGATCTCTGGTCTACTGAGCGCCTCCAGCTCCTTTTCTGATGCCATGCTGCCACAGATCAAGGACGAGGTCACATTACTTGCCGTTGCCGCCATCTATCCTGCCCTCAGGGAGTACCTACAGATCTGGAAACCACTCGAGGATCCCAAGCCAAGGTTTATCGACGGCCTTGTGTCCATCCGAAAGCTACTCGGCCTCGACCAGAAGACCAAGCATACCCACCGCCGGGCCGCAGCAACCCCCTATGAGACCATGATGTACCAGCTCTGGCTTCCCGCTGTGGCAAGTGCCGTAAGGGTATGGGACGTCCGGGAGCCCGACCAACTAATCGCCGTCTTCGAAGCCTGGGACGGGCTAATCCCCTTGTTTATCCGGTCCCAGCTCCTCCAAGACATCGTCCGCAAACTCGAAGAAGCCGTCCAGAAGTGGCACCCCAAAAAGAAGAGCAGCACATCCAACCTGCCACACGGGTGGATCTTTCCCTGGCTCCCCTACCTACCGGCCACCCACCTCGACCCCAAGAGCTCGACCGGTCTCGTGGCCGACGTCAAGCGCAAATTCCGCCAGCTCATTGACGTCTGGGAATTCAACCGCGGCGTGATCCCCGGTCTCAAACAATGGAAGGAAGTCCTCCGCCCTCGCCGGGGATCCGACCAATGGGGTCCGCTGGTGATGAACCACCTCCTCCCCAGTATGGCGCGGTACATGCGCAAGAACTTCCGCGTCGCTCCGCGCGACCAGGAGCCGTACATGGACATGCTCGAGGGTTTGTTCAAATGGCTCCAAGTCATCCGCCCGTCCATGGTGGGCGAGGTCATCGTCGCCGAGGTGTTCCCCATGTGGCATGACGCGCTGTATCAGTGGCTACTCCTCGACACGGCGAACTACGAGCAGATCGGTCAGTGGTTCGAGTGGTGGCAGGATCATGTGTTCCCGGAGGAGATCAAGTCGCTTCCTTCCATCACAGCCGAGTTCGAGAAGGGCATGAAGATGATTGAGCGCGCTTTGGATCTGGGTGATCGCGCGAAGACAGAGTTGAAGGCTCCCGAACGAGGTCCCGCCCTCCCGTCATCCAAGTCGTCAACGTCCCGGCACGAGCGTGAGCATCGTCATCGTGAGAGGCACCGCGAACGGGAAGCCCAGGCCCAGGCAGCGGCAGAAGAGAAGAAACAACCGGAGGAAGTCACGTTCAGACATGCACTGGAGGATTGGTGCCAGGAGAACGACTTGCAGTTTATCCCCGAGCGCAAGAAGATGCATGCGGAAGGACCTTATTACCGGATCACGGCCAGGGGAGACGGCAAAGGTGGTGTGTTGGTTAGGTTCAAGGGCGATGTCCTGTTTGTGGAGGTTAGGGGGCAGGATGCGCTCAAAATCCATAGAGAGCCGCAGAGTGGGTGGGAGGCGCTGTTGGAGTTGGTTTTGTAGGGGTAGGGGTCTGGGTCTGGCACGACAGGGTAGATTGAGAAAGTTGATATCAATTTGCATTTTTCAGATCAGTTGCTTTTGTGGTTACTAATATCCACGTTTGATGTTCGACTTTTGGTGTTGGAATTTGAAGCTCGCAGTATGGGAAGGAGGGAGGTTAAGGGGCTTGGCGGCGTCTCCGTTCGTTCCTTCTTTTTCGACCTCGACAACACAGACCAACTCAAATCACCAACATGCCGCAACGACGCCAACGTGACACAGACGCGTCTACAGTTTCTCTATCAGTACCTAATTGCAAAGGAAAATTCATCACACATTTCACATTGCTCGCTCAAGCCGCAGAAATACAACCCCCCGCGGTAGTCGCGTAGACTTCCCTCAAACCGTTTGTTTGCTGACGACATCTCCATCCCTTCATTTGGCTGCTCCAGTATTTCGACCACTCCCGCCAGTTCTTGTCAGCGAGGATCGGAAACACTGTCAGCATTTTGACTTGCCCTGATCTTTTTCTCCGACCCTGAAAACCTTCATCCACTTTGCTTTGCTTGGCTTGTCACCTCGTCGCCTGTCCCGGCAGAGGCTGAAGACCGCCAAGACACCATTGCCAACAACGCCCAGTGTCCAAGCCCACTGAGTCCACTATCACAGGCAGCGGGGGCAGCGACCACCACGGCACCGGGATCCGGGATTCACGACACCGCCCACTTTCCATCGTCGCTTTTCAAGCCCACTCCTCCGTCACACACACCCGATTCATCCGCCGAGCAGAAAGGAATACGATGACTTCATTCAGTATCCAGTTTCAAGAGATCCAGAACGAGTGATTGATGGTCATTTCTCACTCTCGACAAGGTGATGTCGCTCGTTAACAAGTTAAGGAGTTGCGAGATGATGGGCAAGATGGGATTCGCTTTCGGTTCAAAGAGCGATGATGCCGGTACCCGCCTAGGTACGCCGCCTCGCTGCATTGTCCAGTCCCAACGACAATCCCAACTGCCCGCCAGGTGAAAGCCAAGCCGATTACGCCCAGGAAATGCTGCCGTACCCCTTGTTTGCCTTTAAACTGCAGCCTGCGGCGGCGGGAGAGGTGTTCACTTGGCTTTGGTTTTCGATGATGGTTTTTGAGTGGCTGTTTCGGACGTTTTGTTTGGGCTTTTCGGGCTGTGTGATTGAAGGATTGGATTGGGTTATTGCAACGCTGCTGCCAGGCCAGGGGGCCCAGCACAGCACACATCGTTACGGGCCCTGTAGGCGGGCATCGTGCGAATTCTATTCTTGTCATCGTGACAGTGGGGACTGTGGACACTACGCTACGTTAGGAGGCCCCATAGGAGGTAGGGCTGATGCTGAATGGCGACTGGCGTGGTTGGCGTGGTTGGCGGCAGCGTGGATCCCGTTGGATCCTGTTAAAAGCTCGCTTTGTCCCGCCTGTTTTCGCGAAAGTCGGGAGAGAGAGACGGTGAACGGTTCATCTTTTTGTGTGGTGTTTTTTTCCGTCTGTGTCTCTTTCATTCCCTGATCAACAACACCAAAAGATGGTCGGATTCAAGAACGTCGCGCTCTTCGCGGCGTCCATCATCCTCCCCGCATCAACATGGGCCGCTCCCATCATCCAAGTCGAGACGAAGCCGATCCCCGGAAAGTACATCGTGCTGCTCAAAGAACATGCCGATCTCGAAGGTCACCTCAGCTGGGCAAAGGATGTGCACGCCAGGAGTCTGTCGCGCCGAGACACGGCCGGTGTGCACAAGGCGTGGAGTGTAGGAAGCAAGTTCAAGGCGTATGCGGGCGAATTCGATGAGGAGACTTTGAGCATCATTCAGCGGGATGAGAACGTATGTCTCACTGAGCTGTTTGGCTGTCTACATCCCCTGAACGAAACGACTCTAACAGCAAAAACCACAGGTCCAAACCATCGAACTCGACAAAAGCTGGCGCCTCTACAAGGGCAACGACAACGTCATCTCCAACTCCGCCGACGACACCTCCATCATCACCCAAAAGCAGGCGCCCTGGGGCCTGGGTTACCTCTCCCACAAAGGCGAGACCTCTTCCGATTACGTCTACAACTCCACCGCCGGCGCCGGCACCTACGCTTACGTGGTCGACACCGGATGCTGGAAAGACCACGTCGACTTCGAAGGCCGCGTGCATCTCGGCTACAACGCCTATCCCAACTCGCCCTTTATCGACATGGACGGCCACGGCACGCACGTTACGGGCACGATTGCCGGCAGGAAGTACGGAGTGGCCAAGAATGCGACGGTTATTTGCGTCAAGGTGTTTCATGGCGGCGGCGTACGTTTTTTTCCCCCTCCCCACCGCATCCTGTTTCTGCCCCACCACCCCTTTCTAACAGACCCCCACAGTCCGCCAACACAATAGTAATGGACGGCTTCGAATGGGCCGTCAAAGACATCATCGCCAAAAATCGCACACGTACCTCGGTTATCAACATGTCCCTCGGCTGCGACCGCTCCGAAGCCTTCAACGCCATCGTCGACGCCGCCTTCGACCAAGGGGTCCTAACCGTCGTGGCAGCCGGTAACGAGAACCAACCAGCCGCCATGGTTTCGCCGGCCTCTTCCAAACGTGCTTTCAGCGTGGGAGCCATCGACAACAAGAACACCCGGGCTTATTTCTCCAACTTTGGCGCTATCGTGGATATCTTCGCTCCGGGCGTGGATATTGTGTCGACTTATATTGGCAAAAAGGAGGGGGATAATAATCGCACGATGACGATGAGCGGAACTAGTATGGCTAGTCCCCATGTCGCTGGGTTGGCGCTGTATTTGAAGAGTTTGGATCCGGAGGTGTTTGGGGATAGTTTGGGGGCGCATGAAGGGTTGAGGGCGTTGGGGGTTGCGGATAAGGTGTGGGATGCGGGCGAGATGAGCCCGAATTTGGTGGCTTATAATGGGATTAAGGGGTGAGCGCGGAGAGGATGCAGATGACTGTGAGGAAGCCGTGGATTGCATAGCATCGGCGTTTTTGGCTTGATTCGTTTCGATAAGCCGGCTTTGTTCATGTATTGAGTTTTGGTGTTCTTACGTCCTTTTTGGATAAGAGTTGGGCATATATATCGCCTTTACATCTTGATCATAGCATGCCATCTCTCCTGGTGGACAGGCCTGTTGACTGATGAGTAGCATCTCATCTAGTGACCCGAACATCTGCCACCAAAGACTGGCTCCAACGGCATTGACAGCCCCTGTCTACGACCGTCATACCTATGATAGTCATCCGTAAGAAGGCGTAGGCTTGCAGCACATTATGATGCTGTTGTCCTTGGTTCGGGCACGACACCCGGTGGTCGATATTCTTTACTCATCTTCGCAAAGCATGTGATGTAAACATGCAACGAAGCCAACCGAACAGTGCGGGTCTCGCCTGATGAAGAAATGCAATCAACGAATGAAACTGAGATTGAAATGTGTTTGAACGAAAGCTCCGAGCTTTCATAACTTGACCCAAAACAAACCCTAGACACACGGTGTGCGTGCCCTGCATATCCCCGCCAGATTGCTGATTCCTGAATCCTCCGTATGCACGCCCGCTCATTTCGCCTGGAAAGTATAACAAAAGTTCCTGCGTGTGTTATGTGTGTTCGTTCGATAGTGAAATAGCCGCGCTGCTTCTGGTTCTGCAGTCCGCATCCCGCGGCCTGCCCGCTCACGTGTCTGTGTCCCACCCACCCATTCCTAAGCTGTCTGTCGTTTTCCCGTAGTGTGTGCGCCGGCTCTTGTGTTCGATATCGTTCGCTAATTTGGTACGTGACTTGCTGCTAATCGGGCATTGGCAAGTCGAAAATGCAATCCGCTTGGTGCATCGCCGTCACGGCCTCAGCTCACCTATTTCATGATCTGGGCGAATTCGGTATCTGCATGTGAAGACGGAGATCAGCACATCTGCACATCGATGTTCCTGCCGCAAGCAGACAAGCAAAAGAGGTCCTCCCGCTCCTGTTGGGCACGCCGCCTGTGCCTGCGGGCTTCCGCTCCTCCTCCTCCTCCAACGGCCCAACGGCCCAACGGCCCAACGGCACAACTCCAACACACACCCCTCGACCATCCTCCGCATCCAACAACCCCTAAAGAAATAGAAGGATAAGAAGGAAGAACTCACAATCAATCTGCCCATCCCCATTCTTATCCGCCAACTTAATCATCTCATCCACATCCGCATCCGTCATATCCTCACCCAGGCTTTTGAGGACAGCCCTGAGCTCCTCAGTCGAAATGGTGCCCGACCCGTCCTTATCAAACACCTTGAACGCCTCCAGCAGCTCCTTCTCGGTATCGGTTTCCTTCACGGACTGCGACATGAGGTTGAGGAACTCCTCAAAGTTGATGACCCCGTCCTTGTTCATGTCGGCCTCGTTGACCAGGTCCTCGAGCTCGGACTTGGAGGGGTTGAGACCCAGCTCGCGCATGACGACGCCGAGTTCCTCGGCGGTGATGTCGCCGGTGTGGTCCTTGTCGAAGAGGTCGAAGACTTCCCGGAATTGGGCGATTTGGTCGGGGGTGAGGGTAGGGTATTTGGGGGACTGTGGGTGGGTGGGTTAGTAGGGTGTTGGAATATCATGGGTTTGGCGGATGTTTGCGCAGGTTGGGTTGGGTTGTTGGTGTTGGTGGTTGATGTGAACTGTACTCACCATGTTTGCGGTTGCGGCTATGACGGTGTTTGGTGGGGTACTGGCTGATATGTATGTGTCGGCGCCGGTTTACGCGACGGTGTTTCTGTGGGATGAAAGATCAAGAATTCAGAAAGCAGTGAGCTTATCTTATGATGGATGAGAAGCGTACAAGTACGAATTGATGTTTCGATGAAGGAGGAGGAATGAAGTTTGAAAGTGATGGAGGTGGCGGGGGATGCTGATCAGGGCCCAAGCTCAGCTCCAGAGGGAACCCAATTCAGGCTCCAGCGGGCTGGTATCGCTTGCCTATCCTGAGCTGAATGGCGGGGTACCATCCTGCCGCGGCCGGCAAAGTCCTGCGCTCCGGCTGCCTGCCCACAAGTTCTTCAGGTTGCACAGCGCTTTCCCCTCATGATCATCCAATTTCTTGCAAGGCTGATTCTTCGAAGATCGCAGTCGTCGCCTTAAGTCCTTGACACCAACATCTTATGAAACTAAAGTTCTCTTGTCGCCTTTCCATTCGGTGAAAGCTCCCGAGTTTAAGCCGACAGTTACAACTTCCTTTATTAGGACTCGATCCACCGTGATCCGCCGGACATCACCATCGATATGCTGGGGTTTCAGTGCTTTCTCGGTCGCACTGAGCCCTAACCCTCTAAGTCGGGCCAATACCCATTGCTTCAACAAGTGTCGCCATTGCTAGCAGCGAGATGGTGTAAGACAAGCTCCACTTTTGACGACAACCGTTGGAATCATCGGTCTTCAACATGACACTCCCGAGTCCCGACCAACAAGCCTAACCTGTTGCTTGCCCCATTCTCCCTCTTCTTGCTTTACCTTGCCCGGTGCTGTTTCTTGAGGTTTGCGACAGTCTTGTTGTATTCTGTCCCTTCAATGCCTTCAACAAATGTGCCAACATGGGTGCTTTTTGTGATTGGTTCCAATTTGCTTTTGGACCGATCGAGGCATGAACGACAATACAATTGGACGAGCCGTGGGCCTCCTGCAGCAACTGATATGACACAGGTCACCAAGATATATATTCTTGAGATCCTTATTGCCTGTACCAAAATAGGTGCTGATCCAAATATCTTTCCAAGCCAAAGACAAAAATGACAGCCACCATGAGACTAGCCCATTGATCCCAGGTCTCGTCACGACATTGATCCGAGTCTCGCCATCCCCAATCCAACAACAGTTCCTTGCAAACGGCCGCAACCATTGCACTACAAACGCCAACGAAACATGTCTCCCGCCATAACAAGCCAGGAACAACGCCACCGCCGAACTAAGCTTACATGCCCACGCCGTCGCCCTCACCGTCACCCGCACCCGTAAGCCACACACGCAAGCAGAAACACCACCACCACCACGTCCGGTTCGATCTCGCCGCCGTGCCTTTATCCATGCCACCAAGCTCCCGGGTCCCAGCGATCTCATCCAGCCAAGCCACCACTTCCAGTTCACCACCGACCTTTTCATGTTCCGACTCCTACGGCCCATCGGCATCAAGCCCTTCCAACCGTCCATGGTCAGAACCAACGCCATCGCCAAAGTCAAGCTTGAAACCCATACTCTCATCTTCATCACCGTCAAGGCCATCTTTCCACCATGCCGGGACAGATCATGCCCCACCATGCAACAACTGCCATCAGCCTTCGATACTCTGCGTCGTCGGTCCACTGAACCCCAAGGGTAACGCGGGAAGAAAGTACTTCGCTTGCAGATGATGTCCGTATGGGTTGGGGTGGGTTAAGTGGGCTGATGAACCTTTTGATGCAGTTGCCGATATGAGTGATAATGGTGTTGATGTCACAAGATTCGATGACGCCCATGGTTCACTCATCAGCGTGGAGAGACGGGGGTTTTCAAGTTCTGGGAGTCAACGAGCTGCTGATGACAGGCCCAGGTGCTGCTGCGGAAAAGGGATGGAATTGGAGTACGTTTACTTTGGCTGGAATGTTGCTTTCGGTTCCCCCCCCCCCCGGCCAGGAAAGGAAGAAGTGGTTCTGGACTTGTGCTCACGGTGGTTGTGGGGAGTTCGTGTGGGTTGAGGATACGGGTTGCTTTGCACCTCATGGCGGGAGCGGGAAGAGGATGAGCAACTCAATCAAAATCCTATGGTAACGGTGCTGAACCCGCCCGGTTGACACTTGATGTCCAATGGCGTGTTATGCTGGAATGGGTGTCGTCGCTTCTGGTTTGGAAGCTGGAGTTTTGTCCGTGTCATGGAGGGAAGTGGTGGTATTCTCGGTTGGCGGATTGCCTTTCTCGATGTCCTTATTCGAACGTGGCCGGAGTTTCTTCAAGACAGTCATGGGGTTTCTGCTTTTCGGCGTCTGTGTGGCGGTGCTGTTCTGTTTCTCATCCGGTTTGGAGAGCGGCTTATTGTCCGAGTCTCGCGCTGGAGCGGATGGGTATCCATCCATCTATGGGGTTAGGTTGCTCTAATGGGACTAGGTGGGTCATTGAAGTTTGCAGCTAACTACCTAGTTTCGATTATACTAAAGAGTGTGGAATAGATCTAGCTCAGAGATACGTAGTTGGCGAGGAGTGACTCTATCCGGAAAGAAAACGATATGAAGTACAGTGATCACGCGACTTCAGAAACCGGTCGACGGCCTGCCTTCCGCAAAGCAACCATTGACAGCCACCAATGCGATATGCTTCCGAGCTTGAGGCATATATAGTACCCTCTCACTTCCAGCAGAAAGCACCAGGGGCGCCTCGGCCCTTGCAAAACTTGTCGAAGCCACCGCTATCAATACAACAGGTCGAGGACGAACACTAAGGCTGATTAGCCGAGAAATGGTTGAGGCTGGACTTGAAAGCGGTTTTACCTGATGATGCTCCTGACCATGGTACACCTTGTTCATAAGACAAGCTGCACTCTCGTCGGGGAGTTGAACGCTGCATGCTTCATACGTGAGATCGTCCCACTGGGGGCCAGTGCCGGACGGGTCCTGGCACTTGCAGTTACAGCCTGCGAGGGCGCTATAATAAACGAGAGTGTCGTTAGTTCAACCTGTTATTAGAGTCATGTCTAATGCCTTGAGATAGGTATTGGCAGTCGTGCGATTAACATACCTAGTAACACTACTAAGAATAGTAAGAAAGACGGAGACTTTCATATTAATAGAGTTGGGAAATTTAAGATAAGGATAAGTATAGGATGATTAATAAAGTTGAGAACTATCGAGAGAAATCTTCCACTTGTTAAAGGACGTCGATGCCCTTATATACTTAATATCGGTTCTGTTTTTCCGAGTCTCCTCAAGCGGATCTTGTTACAGCTATGGTAGAAACTGTAGCATAGACTCAGTAAATTCTTCGATCGTGACACCAGGGGCCGGGTTAGGGTTACATGTGTACTCCCAACTGCCTGCTGAGTCAAACGTGTGTTGCCTAGTTAGATGGAAAAGCGCTTCTGCTAGGAAAAGATGACGAGGGGACGGCCTTTCGAGTTGAACAGACTCGAACTCGAGAGAGTAGGTCATACGCCGTTGCCGTTGGGACTACAACGTCCTCTGGGTCTGAGATGGAGCACGGAATTCGCCTGGTTTTCTACGCCGAGTGGCGGTCGGATCATTTGGCGGCTCTGAACAGTCATACTCGGAGCCGATGACAAGACGGGTCGGCAATATATGATAGAAGAGCAAGAAGAGTAGCTCAACAGGTCACAACGGGAGGTTGGAAAGCATGGGATTTGGCGTCATCGAAAAATTTCGTTGCATTCATATTTATATTTCGCCATTAACAGCGAGGTACGTGGCAGAGTATATGGTACGGTAGTCACTGATTTGGTGTTAGAAAAATGACCGAAGACGGCTTTAGACAAAGGTGAGAAGGGAAACATGGAGGTAGGATACGAACCTAAACCCGTAGTTAAGACAGTATCAAGACTTTGTTTGATCTGCGTGGAGTGATTTTAGCGACAACATGACTGTCGTTGTCGGGGCTCACATTCGACCTTCCACGATTCCGCGGTTGTTATAGGACGAGTGAAGAAAAAGAACGTGCAGTGGGAAAAATGGCTAGATAAAGGCCAAAAAGAAATATGCAAGCAATAGTGAAGAGAGAAAAAACATACAGCACCTGGGATTCGCTGGTCGTCACCGACCCAACTACTAGTCAGGCGATATGTCTGCTTATCTATGGGAGTCGGAAGGATATGAACCGGGTCTTTTAATCACGTGGTAGGGTCAAAAAACTGAACAACCACCTCCCATATCCATACCGTTCGGACGGAGGCATTACGGTGAGTGGGGAGCCGGCGCTAAAAAGATGAATATAATTGGGCGGATTACGAGAAAAGTTGACCGTCCTGATACTGCGGCTAGATCTTTTACACGGATAACACACAAGATTGCACTCGGTTAGAAGACCATACCTTATTAGTTCTTAGTATTCCTCGGCCCAATTATATATATACAATTAATCGCCGAGTCTGATGAGAGCGTGGCAAGGGAATCTCTCGCTCTTGTTTTATTAGATTACGGTTTGGTGATCCACTATAATAAATTGATTACGATAGACCTTCTTTATGTACCTGCCTTAACCTACCTTCTTCATCTACCTATATTAGCCTACCTCTTCCCTTCTATCCTAATATATTATAATTATAGTTGTTGGCTTGCAATATACTGCCGGCGTAGCCGCTAATACTTTTGTAGACGAGTTGATTGTTGAGAGAGTTGTATGCTAGGGCTGCGAAATAAAGTAACGGCGGCGTTGAGAGCGATAAGGCAACCACAGCTCTAGGATTAGAAGCCGGCAGCCTCCAACACCACTCAAAGTATGTACGTGCCCTATTTATAAGCCCGACTTTATATTTGTCTGCTTTGACTTAAGTGTATGCTTGAAGAATTAGGTAGATTAAGCCTGTTGTCTGTTATACTCTAGTAATGTTAAGGAATGCTAATATTGTACGCGAAGCCCAGAGGCCACTACGCGTATTACAACTACTTCAAGTATGGCTTTAAGCCAAGCACCTCGCCGTCGCTACCGCCATATGCTGGGGGTTGAGTGGACGGACGGTATGGTGGGATGGCTTTAAGCCTGGGTGGGGGCCCGTGTCAGCACCCCCGCCCCCCTGGTATATTTGTATGGGGTTTGGCTGGAAGGGAGGTTTGAAGCCTTGATATTAAAATAAATGCTACCTGAAGTGAACCCTCTGGTTGCCTTTTTGGTATGTCTTCTATTGCAGCATCAAAGCTGCATTTGATCATTGAAAGACGAAACGTTGATGTGGTACGTTGACATTAGGTTTGATGCCAGGTGCGGCGCTACGAAGATCCCTCTACCTTTCCGCCGCTAGAGGGTGTGTAATCTATTAGGCGTTATTCCCCTATCTTTATTTCTTTTCTATTGTTATTGGCGTCCTTCCGGACTATCGTTCCTAATATAATAGTAACTAGTTAGGGTAAATAATTATACTAGATTAGACTAGGAGATGGTGACCGAATGAGAGCCTTAAGGGAACGGGGATTTCCTAAAAAGACTCTTCTGGCGTTACGCCGGCCACATTCCGGAGTACTGGCCAATCTGCTCAGAGACAAGGTAAGCAAACGAGCAGCAAAAAGTTAGATGAGGAACTGGAAACTTACCATCACTAGGTCGTGGCAAAGGTCCTCGAGAACACTCAGGAGAAGCTCATGGAATTGTTGCAAAATGAACTTGATCGGATGAGCAGCGAGGAGGAGGATGATGATCTCGACCTTGACTCCGACATAGAGGAAGGTGACCGGACCTTGGAGGGTTAAGATCAGAGGAGGATTGGAAACCATAACGCCGCATAACGAACGATGTTCGGGGAAAGCTGAAAAGCTGATCTGGTTACATTCACTTAATACTGTAGGGTTCGAGACGGAAGAAATGTACCTCACTTTTCCTTGATGTTTGCTCTTTTACTTTCCCTGCACTTGGGGGGAGGGGCCTGTTATCAGAGCGCAATACCCGCGGTACGGGTATACTGGGCCATTCCGTGAATATTACCGCTGTTGTGTATGATCTCCAGCCCGCCACATTTCGCCTAGTTAAATGACTTCATTCGCTTCATCACATTACCCGACTTGCTCTTTTCCCTATGTAGACCCAACACCATGGCCCCATGCTCCATCACTACATACAAACATAAGCTGCGCCCCAATGAACCCTGAGAATACCTCATCAATCATCACGATCGCTGACGTACCTGCCGTCCATCTGCAGCGCAGCAAAGCATATCCCTATGATCACGAACGGCCAACCGAATAAACCATCAAAAGAGAAATCGTCCGAGTCCGAACCGGACTAAACCGAGACGGGAGGGACGGACGGGGACACCACGGCTCGCTCAGTCGTGGGCACAGCCTCACGATATCACACTACAAGATGCTCATCGGCAAAATGCTCAAACTGAGTCAGCAACTCAACAAACTCTCCAAACCCATATTCGTCTACCTTGCCGCCCTCCAAGACGTGCCCGTCAACCCCATCAACATCGCTACCACCCTCGCGACCGCCGCGACTACGACGACTTCGTATTATGTTGCGAACACTTGTACTGAGAGTCCGACGGCGGTTTGTCAGATCCAGTTTGATCATCAAAAAGTCGTACCGCCGCCCACGCCGTTTCCTTATGCGTACTCGTTGTCGTCATACCCGTCTGAGTCGGGGCCGGAACTGGGATCGGTTATCTGGTGGGGTGGAAGCGGGATGGAAGAGGCGGAGGAGAGCGTGTTGGGGATCATCATCAGGGGTTTGGGTCTGTGGGGTTTAGGATTCCACTTCCTCTTTGCCTCTTATCTCACGGGGGAGTGGGATAAACGAGCGTGAAGAGCACTTTCTCCAGGTCTTCGATCACCTGTCGGCTGAGGTTGTGCTTGATCCGCTCCGGTTCCATGATGGTGGCGAACATCTCACGGCAGGTCGAGCGGACGATGAGCTCGAGGCGCTCAGGGGGCTTGAATTGAGAGTTCAGGGTGGGATCGGCGTTTCTGAGAGTAACGTCCACGACTATGGCCATGGACAGAAGGTCGGTCGACTTGGCTAGGTCTTCAATTTGCTGGATTCCTGTGTTTTGGAGGGGAGTTTGTTAGCTTTTGTTTGCGGGAGGTGTGATGGTCTGGGGTTTCTGGCGTTATGCGGTAGGAGGCGTCACGGTATTGCTTGAGGTTTGTGCTGCGTATCTTGGGTCGGGATGGATGGTGGGCCAGGGTATTTCGACAAGGAGCGTGCATTCAAGGTTTGCATTGGCGACAATGGGCATCTGGGCCATGGGGATTGGGCTTCAGGTACTTGGGTAGAATCCACGTACCACAATTCATGATAGTTCCGGCACCTGCTGAAAATCGAGACGCCTTGTTAGCAGAAAGACGGAGGAGTATGCCAGTTAAATGAAACGCTTCGTACTTTGAGTAAATGGCGTGAAATCGGTCCAAACGTTCAGAGGCGCCTGTTGTCGAAATTTGGTGTCGGTCTTGAAGGCTGTGTACATTAGGCGGTTCAGTCTGTCTGGTTTGATCAGATCCTTAGCTGCTGTACTATTAGCAATTGCGTACGCTTGAAGTGTGACAGACATGCCATCACCTACCGTGTACGATGGCTCTTTCAGGCATCCCAGGCCAGTCCATCTGCGGACTGAGCAAGTCGATGCCTTCGTGATTCATGACCATATCCCTCTCTGATTGTATGTAGAACCACAATCTGTGGCTGGGCAAGCGAAGGTATTCGCTGACAAGTAACTCCCGATTGCGTTGGCGAATCCCTTCGTCTATTCCGTTGGACCATGAGTCAATCTTTATCCTCAAGATTTTCATCCTTACGACTTGATCAATGTCCTTCTCTATGGTATCATATGACCCGCCTAAATCAGGACATCATCAGCGACTTTCTAAAGTTCTTGCAGCTTGGTGCCATACCTAGCAGTTCGTAGTCGTCCAGAAAGGAGGCGTCAGCTTCCGATAAGCCCCGTGTCAGTGCATGTAGTTCCTTGATTGACTTGAAGAAAGCCTCGTCATCCGGCTTTCTCTCATCATTCACCAATGCCTTTTTGTATTCGCGATGTCGTTCCAGGTGCCGAAGCCGAATCTTCTCATGATCCTGGAGTGTTGGTGGAAGGGTAGGCATTACCCATAATGCAGCCTTCTCCGAGCCCAGAGAACGTGACACTGCTTCCAGCTTCTTGAGTGTCTTGAGACGATCTTCCTTATCTTCACCCGTCAATATCTTCCCAATCTCAAGAGGAGGAGCAGTCAAATACCACTCCAGTGTCCTTGCGAATGCCTGCTTAGAATTGTAAACAAGACTGGTGCAGCGTAGACAATTGTCGAGAAAGATTGAGTTGATGATGTTGACATGTTGGCTTTCGATCGGGAAGAAGGGAAAGCGGAACTTATCGTCCTTTCCTCGCCGTCCATCATAACCCTCTTGAAAGACCAGGCGGCCATTCACAATCTCGCTGTAACTGTTTTCTGCCTTGCGTACAGGCAGATCAGCCAAGATGCCGTTGACGGGGCCATAAGGATCCAAAACCAAAGACCTAGTGTAATCCCTCTGCTCTTTGATTGCGGGAGATTGGTCTTCAAGTGGTTGAGGTAGGATCAAAGAGCGAAGAACGACCATAATCTTTGGGGATACCGGCGCAAAGGTATGGAGTTCCACGTAGCCAAGGGCCCCTTCCTTGTTCGACTTGATGTCTCGGGCATATTTGTTCGGCCCTTCATGCACCGAGTAGCTATTGTCGGCAAGGATGAACTCGTTCTCCGCTTCAGATGGTACGCACAAAGCCATGTAGCAACCTTGAACATGCGTAAAAAACCACATGGCATCGTCTTGATACATCTTCTTGGGAAGCTCACGTACCCAGTTCAACTCCGGGTCCATGTCAAGCTCGATGATTGTTTTGATATTATGTAACCAGACCTGCATAGGGGTTTGAAATTGCGGATGTTCGTCCATGTACTCCCGAAGGAGTTCCCGGTCGTTCTCAGAATATGCGTCTGGTCTTTCGTGGAAGAAGCGGGTATGAAACCGATGACTGCGGTACTTCATGAGGAAGAGAAACTTGCGAATCAAGTTTCGCTCGTCCCGGGAGAGAACAACTCCACCCTCTTTCGCTTCATATGCCTTTGTGATCTTGGTGAAGATGTGTGCTGCCTGGGCCTCCAGTTTGGAGAGCAACTTCTCGACATGTCTTTGCTCCCCGTTGGGCTTCGTGAAGTCGTCGTACATGTTGATCTGCCCCAAAATCCTGGAAACGGGCTTCTCGGTGAAGACGGCAGCCTCCTGGGTTAGGTCGAGGCTGCTGATTACCAGGTCTCCTGGAAACATGCCCTTCTCATACTTGGGCTTCGGAGTTCCTTTGGGTCCTTTGGGCGCTTTGGGGACCCTGTGGGCAAAGTTCTTGAGAAGGAACTGGGGGACAAAGTGTTGGTACTGTCCATTCGATGCGGCGGGTGCCATGACGTTAGGCTTGGGGTGTGACATGGTGTGATGAGAGGTGTTGTTATTCTTGAAAGCGACGTCGAGGTGGGAGGAGCTTTGACTTGGGAAGAAAGTGTGTAGCGAATGTGTGTCGTTACCGATTTCTTTTGTGAAAAGCCAGGTCGTCCATGGGGATATATATAACGAGCTCAGCCACGGCCGTCCTCGATAGAATCGTGGGAGTGACATTCCAAAGCACCAGAGACCCATTCGTGAGGCCGTGAGGCCTACAGCAGCGGGGTTGGTTTTGTAGGCCCCCTGTCTTGTAGGCCCCCAAAAGAAGAAAGACTGCGCTGATTGGCAGCTTGAAAATCGTCCTACCAGTCAATTCGTTCGCATTTTACAAACGGCACGCGAATTGGGCTCAGCTGCTTGAGTTGGTGATTTGTATGCCTCCATTGCGTGCAATCAAAGGGTCTGGCCGACAGGAGACGTCGCCGTCAAGCACCACCAACGTGGGAGGATTTTCGGACTGAACGAGTCGTCACTTGACAGGCCGTAAGCGGGCTAGCTTTGTAGACCTCTAAGGGGAAGAGTGGGGGAGATGACATGATGATTCTTCGCACGCAGACGTATCAAATTGCGCCGTCTGTCGCAGTCCTGTCACGCAGAATGTATTCGCAGCAGTCAAAAGTAACAGAACCTTCTCATATATTCTGGCAGGTGCGGAGGGCTCTAGCAATAATACCTCGCTTTGTGCTCAAGCTTTCGGTCGATCTTTTCGGGTCCCAGATAGTCGATATTATATCGTAGATGCAGGGTTTGACGTGCGGCAAGGAATTGTGGATTTGTAAGACTGAAGGAATGAAGAAAGGAGGCCTCGCCATGCGAGGAACCCGCCCTGAAGAAGTACCAAGTTGAAGAAATTACGGAAGTTGACTCTTCCCTTTCAGAATCTTTTGTCAATAACAATCTTCCCCGAGTCAGTCGTACCGCAGATGTTGAGTGTCTTTCTCCTTTGAAATCTTCTTACGCTAGTACAATTCGGAACGGTTCTCATACTTGGGCTACTTCAAGCCTTCGACTTTCAGCCTTCAACGCTCAAACTCATTTCTGGATTTTCCTAACCGAAGAAACCCGAGGTTGAAGAAGCCGCGGAAGCCCTTCTCCTTCGGAATTTTATTAGAATGCCTATACAGTTCAAAACGGTTTTCCTACTTAAGCTATCGGATTAGCCCGTGACTGCCCAGGTTGCCCAGTCATGGCTAAGTTCAATCGATGACTGGTGCAAGCTGCTAGGCCGCTGCTGGTGAGATAGCGGCAGGCAGCCGTCGCTGGCCAGCAGGCAAGTAGGGCTCTTCACGACCCTACTCATTCCTATCCCACGCACAGTCAGAGTTAGCTTCGTAGGACAATAACGAATTGTTGTACACTATACCTAAGGACGCCCTGCACTGTCTCGGAGGAGGGACTGGAGAGCATGCCGACGATGGCAAGCCGGAGTTAAATGGTCAGAGGCCGTAACGTTCACGGCGTTGATCGCTGAGAGGAGAGCTTTGAAGGCTCGCGGCCAAGCTTTACATGGAAGGGGGGTTTGATGTCACAGCACTGGCGGCCAGGTCTGACAGTTTGGCTGAATAGGACGAAAGGGGCATGTACAATAAGATCAAGAGACGGTCGTAGAATAGCTGAAGGTAAAGACTATTAGGTGCTGTTCGGTAAAGCCAAAAGGTTCACAACAAGTATGTGGATGAAGACTAGTCTCGGTGATAAAGATTAATTGACTACTGTCAGGTTACCTAAGGCCTAAAGCTCCTAGCTCTTTTATATTCCCCATAGGTCTGAGGCTATCCATGGTTCATTAGCGGCTCACTCTCTCTTGAACTCACCAACTGAGCTAGCTCACGACGTAAGCCTGGCCCACCTTGTGAGCCGTCTGTGCTCCGTAAGCCTCCTGTCCAATACTATGGAGTCCACCTTCCTTAGGTCGCACATGTCCAGCCTCCTGTGGCTGGGAAGTCACGGTGGCTTGATTGACCTGTGGGGACTGCTTAGTTCGTGACAGTTACCCGTCTTTCTATTTCCTTCTCCCTTCTACAATTAAAATAATAAAATCAACCGCCCTTTCTATCGCCTTTCTTCCCCCTCTATATAATCTCTACAGCTTTCCAATGGCCTCATCATAAGCTACTATAATAGGTCTGTAGAGCTAGTCTAGATCTCCTGCGGGGGTTCCAATGTTTACACTTTCATCTTCGCCTAAGGGAAAAAGGATCTTCCTAATCTTCTGACAAAGCGATTTAACAATGTTCAACGACTCTGGAAACTCCTTTAAAATCTCTTCAAACCCACCGGATATATCGCCTTGTTTATTCAAAGCAATCTGACTGAAACTTCCGACCTCCCATCGTTGAAGAAAGCTCTCCTTAGGTGCCTTCTCGTTCTTTCTGGAAAATCCGTTACTCCATGATTGACGCACACACATCCAAAGCAGGACATAGAAAAACGATTCGAGGTCGTGACGGTATGTGTGGTTGATGTTGCGCAATACTTCGATCGCCATGAACTGGATCGTGCCAGTTATTTGTCGCGCTCCGCTTGGGCCGCTATTTCGTGCTTTAGCCATGTCAAGGTCGATCAGCATGCCCTTGAAGCCATCTGCTGTTTCAGGGTCCGTGGTGATGATGTTGTTTGGAGAGATATCGCGGTGGAGAATATTGCCAGTAACGAAGAGAGATCCAAAGACGAGCGTGCCGGTGTACTCCGGGAGCGTACCGTATTTCGGGTGAGGTAGCTGGTGATCGGCCCATCGTCGAGAGGACGTACTGTTCTATCCCCTGTCAGCACCTTGCGTTGGCGGCCACGGCCGCGCTTGATGCCGCTTACAGTAAAATCGCGTTTCGGTCGGTCTCCGAGACACTTAGACACGCTCAATCTTTCAGCAATAGATGGCGAGGACCAATTGCGATGGAGAGCCTCTTCCGGGAATTCTAGCCACGGCTATAATCGATACTATCTCAACGGAATGACGCGCCGCCTAATACAGGCAGGTTACGGCAGGAAGATAAAGGAGGTAGGTCAAGGCAGACAAGTGAAAAGTCGGGCACGTGTATACTCTAAGTGGAGTTGCAGGCTGCCGGCTTCGGATCCTTAGAGCTGTGGTTGGCTCGTCGAACGCCGCCCACTCTGCAGGCATCTCCCTATTTCGCAGCCCTGACCAGCTCCCCCGTATGCAGCTCTTAGCCAATCGACAAGAGCTGCCTCATATCCTGGTGCCTGAATGTGACGGTCTGATCTACCCACTCAGCGGCGGCGTTTATTATTACTGGTAGGAGCGACATTTGCAAGCCTTTGTATCGGTCCGGACCGACAAAAAGGCTTGACACCCTTGTCGCTAAATTCTTTGCTTCACTCTTTTCATATCACGGGGCAAGGCGAAGGGTAGGGGGTAGGTTGGATATGCGTAGTTGTACGAGGAGAGAAAGGGAGGGAGGAGTGTGTGCGGTCTGGTGATATAGGGTAGGGCTGTGCCAGGCACAGTCACAGGTAATCCTGTGACATTTCACGTCAACACCATCTCCGCATCTTCCCACTACATACAACCATCGTCCTTTCTTCTGTTTTTAATTCTAGCCGTTTCAAAATGGAGGCGCTTAAGAGCAAAATTGAATCAATCAAACTCCAAACCCAACACCTTTGCAATTTTGCTGAAACTAATTTGCAAAAATCCACTCCCTCTTCTTCCTCCACGCAAACCGACGTCATCTCTAGCGCCATCCAACAAGTTCTTGAGGTATTGAATCGCATCGACAACAAGCTCAACGAATTAACAACCACATCCTCAATATCCTCAATATCCCTACCATCGATATCATACCCAAGCAACACCGTCGGTACTCATCCTATTCCAAATCTTGTTTGTCCAGAAGACGGGTTCTACGGTCTGTCCCATGGCAACCTCAAAAAGCTTTCCCATGGGCCCCCCACCAAGAAACGGAAATTAAACGCCACCTTTCTACTACATAGCAAAAGGCAGAATTTTGGTCAGTCTCGAGATATTAGCAATGTTGTCAGCAATAGCGATACTAAAGGGAGGGACTATGAAGAAAACGAAGAGCAGGACGAGGAGGAGGACCAGGAGCAGGACGAGGAGCAGGACGAGGAGCAGGACCAAGGGCAAGACAAGTACCAAGAGCATGGTAACAACGAGAACGGCAATCAGAACAGCGACAATGACACTGACGCCGCTATCAGTGTCGGTTGCAGTGATACCCAAATCAAAGTTGACAGCAACACAAAGGATACTAATACCGATACCGATATCGAATTAGGTCGTCAACTCGCAAGCCTAACGATAGACAATGGTGCGATCTTGCGATTCATGTCAATCGTATACGCTTGGGACAGTGCGGACGTCACATTGAAAAGCTCGTTCGCCTCGAGAAAGCCTACGGACGAGTTGTCAACTGCTAGGCACTACGATAATCTACGACGAAAAGCACAAAATCTCAGTATTTTGTACACCGTTTTGGGCATGTCAGCCAGTTTTCGGCTTTCCAAAGTCATGAAAGAAAATCAACATCGACATCGAGCAAGCGGAAGTTGTATATCAGCTGTGTTAGCAGGTCGTGGCATCGAAGACACTCCTAAAGCGCGGAAGGCATTCGCGACGGAAATATCTGAGGCTCGGAAGATCATGAAGATGGTAGAAGGATACGATGGGCTTCTCTGCTTTTTACCCCTTGGGTTTGGTAGTGGGTTCACGTTAAGAGCTTTGACGAGGTTATCGAACAAAGACCTCGAGACCTTCCGTGCCACCATTGCTCGGTATAAAAGCCTAATGTTGTTGAGTGAGGTGGGCAATGAGTTTCTACTCTCTGTTTGGGGTGAAGGAGAGTTCAAAGAAAGATTGTTCCAAAGGAGACAGCTTGGCGAACTGCAAAACCTACCCAACGAAGACCTCATTAAGTTTCTGACACCCATTCAGCCCGAGGATGGTATATAGGGTAGTCTCATAAGGCTGGACATTACGTTCAAAATAAGCAGTATCAACCGTAGCTGTATTATTATTTTTTTCTGCCAGTTTTTATTCTCGATCAAGTCCCCCGTGGTACAGATAGCGGGACTCGGATCCCGAACACGCAAATCAGCACTGCGAATCTTGTACGATAGGTGCCATAAACACCATCGTGCACGTAATTGATCCATAGAATCGCGTAATGAAAAGATGCCAAGGATGTGCTTGGTTGTGGTCGCCTTCTAGTAGAATAAATCCAACTCCGATAACTCTGACGTTCGCTTCGGAAGCTGATAGTCCGTTTATTGAAGTGTCGGGTGCTCCATAAGATATTGAATATTCCCCTTCTAACTCGTTTCCTACGCAGGCACAATAGATAAGTTGGGACAGGTTCCCTGTCCCAAGCTGAGAAATGGCGTTTGCTCGTTCTTTTCTCGAATCTCTTTAATCAATCAATCCTTCGAGAGGTACGGAAATCTAGCCGATAGTGATTGGGGGGAGCTGTTTTTCTTGACATGGCGGTAAGAACCCTAACCCTAGTTCCGGCTGAGCCGGAACTAGGGTTAGGATTACTCAACCGCAAAGAAGAAAAGGATGTTACCCCACAAAACAAGCACGCCGGGCTTGATAACTATACTCTATATCTCAAACATTGATACGGCCTGCAAGCGAGAAAAGCCAGCAGCCAGAGAACGCTAAAGAAGGCCCTCTGTTTGTCTAAAACAACACCGACAACGAGTCACAGCTTGTCGAATGGCTCAAAATTGAGTTTCCCAACCTCTCCACGACCCAAATCAACTCCATCCTCGCCGCCCACCCCAATAGCAGCCCAACTAACCGCGCCGGCCCCTTCTTTGAAATGAACGGTCTTTCCGGCGCCAACGCGCTGAACATGTCTGGAGGTGCCAACGGCCAACAGCAGCGCGGCTACAACATCTACGCCGAAGCTACTTTTGTCTGCCCAGCCTACTCATTGGCGGGCGTTAGATTTTACCGAGCGACGAATAGTCGGACCAAGGAAGTAGGGCAAGGCAGGCAGATGAAAGAGGCAGCCAAATGCAGGCAGGTTACGGCAGGAAGATGAAGGAGGTAGGTCAAGGCAGACAAGTGAAAAGTCGGGCACGTGCATATTCTAAGTGGAGTTGTAGGCTGCCGGCTTCGGATCCAAGAGCTGTGGTTGGTTCGTCGCTCTCAACGCTACCCCCGTTTCGCAGCCTGCAGCTCTCTCAAGCCAATCGACAAGAGCTGCCCCACATCCTGGTGCCTGAATGGGACGGTCGGATCTACCCGTAGCTTCTAAAAGGGTGTTGGGATGTTGCCGCTAATATTGGTACAGGACGCGTAGAAGTTATACCCAACCTGGCTAATCCTTATCTTATCATACAAGGCTGCACAAGTCGCAGTAGTCGAGCCTCGTCATGGCCGTTACACTCATTGTGAAAAGGCGGGCGGTGTAAGCTAAGCCGCACGCTCTAAAACTTTTTTGAAACGTAGTATGGGGTTTCTATAGTGAACTCAAAAGCCTGCCCTGATGAGCACCTGTACCAACACCGCTGTCACGAGCGACGTGGTCACGAGAGACAAGCTTAACACGTTGATTCCAGGTCTATACTAGAATCACAAGATAAAGAAGAAAAGAGAAAAACGTGCAAAGGTGTGGGCAGGGTCTGGGGTTTTGACCCAGAGCCTTGTGCGGCCAGTGCGGTGGATCCTCCACGTGCACGCAGCAGTTCCAGTGCTGACCATCCCAGACCCTGTCCGCCAGTGCCGTAACAACCGCAAGGATGGAATTCATGTCAAGTGGGTGTAAGTGGACGACGGTAGATCAGATACAGATAGATTTGTCCCCAGCACCCAGTACCCGTCTCCATGTCCATGGACCGGATATGCTTGTCCGCGTCAACCTCCCGAGACCCCAGAGCAGGACGAGGAGCAGGACGAGGAGTTAGGGTTGTTCGATATCATTTAAACAGTTTGTTCCTGACCATTGTTCCTTCCACAATCCTAGAGACATAGATGACAGCGCCTTCCTGCGCTGACGCCGAGATTATGAAGAGACGGGCGCCTTCCTGTCATGCTGTTATCCGACTCTTATTTGGACCTTCCTCTCGACACAAATTTTCTCACCAAGATGACCGAGGCGGGACAAGAAACGCCAAAGACAGTCAAGCAATGGGCTAACAAAGAGGTTTGAGACTGGAGACCGACCATTGATGCCGCCAAAACTTATTGAGGGCACTCGAATTAAGGTCACGGAGTAGTTTTTCTAGAACTCCAACTAGGAACCATCCCCACAGTTTCATAAGCCATGGCATGCACCGGCGGGTACCCCGCTGCCGTATAATCAGCAAACTGACTCCCCATACTAACAGTGGTAGGATTGCCGTAGGGGTTGGGAGCTGAGGCGTAAGTGGCTGTGGCAGGGAAATACTGTTTATGACTAGTCAGCGGCGAGGTTGATGGTGACCGTAAGTGTAACCACGGCCATATTGGGCCAGAAGAGAACCTTCCGCTGAGCTGGGGAGGCCGCTGACACCAACAGCCCCAGGGTATTGGCCGTGGTGAATGGAGGCAGAGCTCATAGTACTTCGGTTGGCATAGAGTCGGTCATCATCGACAAAGTAGCCGAAGGCAGAAGAGACCCAGGATAGCGTTGAATCTCCTCTGCAGGAAATCATTCGCTACTACGTTGAGCTTGTTCATACCTCTGGAACACCACTTGCTTCACTTTTTCCATCCCGCGCACCTTTGGGAGTTGACTGCCGTTGAGACGTTCTTTGGTTGTTGATCTAAGGGGAATACATTCCAGTTTTGCTATATCGCTATAACCGGTATTTGCCGGCTACGGGGCCGAATATATGAATGGGGCCAAGTATTGAATGACATGCTCAAGTGCGCCAGCCAGGCTCTATATAGAGGCCTGGTTGGAGCGCACAGGGCGCGTGGCCACGTGATGTCCTGGCTGGCCATGCCTTGACAGGCATCAAGTGTGACCACTGGTCACAGGCTAATCCTGTGACAGCTAGGGATAAGAGCACTGGTGTGCCTTGCCAGGGCCAGGCACGTGCACGAACACGTGCAACACATGCTGGTGACTGTCTCTAGACCAGTTGCCAGCATAGGGGTGGTCATAGGCTAGTCCTGTGATACCAATCTGATTTACAGCGCTATTCGGTATACCGTCTCCAACGGCGATGTCGCTCCCTTCGTTGGTCACAACGCCATTCTTCGTTGGTCTGCCACCCAGCAAGTCTCGTACGAGGATGAAGATGGCTACGAGAAGTTCTGGTCCGAGAGTCACGTGTCGGAGGATTTCGACATGGCTCTACGACTGCAGTGTAACGACTACATTATCCATCTTGCCGCGTGGGCTGGTGATGGCTTCAAGGAGGGCGTGTCGCTTACCGTTTACGACGAGCTGGTACGATGGGAGAAGTATGCTTACGGCTGCAACGAACTTCTCTTCCACCCGATCCGCAAATAGATCTACAAGGGCCCCTTTACGCCCCTCTTCCGTCGCTTCCTCTTTTCGAGAATCCGCCTGACTTCCAAGATTACCATCATCTCGTACACTGGAACCTACTACGCCATTGGGGCGGCCTGGATCTTGACATCGTGCAATTACTTCCTTATGGGATGGTTCAACGGATACCTAGACAAGTACTATATTGATTCGTGGCAGGTCTGGTTCTCCATCATCCTAGTCTTCAATGGTCTTGGCAACGTCGCCTGAGCTTTCATGCGATACCGTGCCGGCAAAAGCAACATCGCTACCTCCATGGTGGAGAACTTCAAATGGACCATGATGCTGGCTATCATCTTGGGCGGCCTGTCCTTTCACGTGTCACAGGCCTTGCTGGCCCACATGTTTGAGATTGATATGATGTGGGGCGCTACCATTAAGGAGGCTGAGTTCTCTAATTTCTGGATCGAGGTGCCTAAGGTGGTGAAGAAGGTATGTTTGTCTTTCTTTTGGGGCCACTGCAAGTTGAGGTGGTTCAGTCCCAGGGACCACAGACTGGAGTGCATGTAGGTAAGGAGCATAGGTGTGGCGATGATTTTGACCTCTTAGGTCCACAAGATGGTCGCGAGAGGAGAGAAATACTTCTAATGACGAAGTTGGACAATTGAACACGTGTAAGGGAAAAGCAGCCTCGACGCGTGTGCTTTGAAGTTATTTGTTCAAAGCCGTTTAGTAGTTGGTTCCCAGCACTGCAGGTGGAGCCACAAGTGACAAATAGGCAGTTAACAGAAACTGTAAAATGGGCAAGGTAAACAGATGGTGAATTACCACTCTCTGTCTCCGTCGCACCGCCCGAGCCAAAAACTTGCTGACAGGCTTCAGAAACACCCTGCCTCCTCCCCATACTAAGTGTTGCTCGAGCTTTTCAGTCACTATCGGCTCCCGATTCATAAGCACTTGTTGGTGCAAAGGGTGGGGCGATACCGGACGCCCGGCTAGCCAGAGCAGATGGCGAATGGAGTGTAGCCGGGAGAGATCGAATTCGCGGGCGATAAAAGAGGGCGAAGGGCCTTTGTAAAGCGATTCGAGGTCGTCGATTGCTTCATGAGGGCGGATGTTGCGGTGCGAGACTGGGAAGAAGTGTGTGTAGGATAGTGAGGAGGGAGGGTTGGTAGTGGAATGGATGGTGGAATGGGTGGTAAAGGAGAGGGGAAAGAGGGCTGTTTTGAAAGAAGTTGATGATACTTGATAGGATGGACTGTTAGTGCTCGGCGAGGATATGGACGTCAAGTGGAAGTGAATGATGAGGATGGCAATTAGTAGGACGTACTGTTCTGTATGTCATTTGGATTTGAGATTTGGAACTGTCGGAGGATGTTATCCGGTTTGGACTTAATGGGGGATTTTGGTCCATGTCCGGCTCAGGAGCTATCACGTTTATGGTGACAATGATCGTGCTCGCGGCGTTGGTATTTCGTGCCGTTTCCCGTCTTCAGTCGGTGGTAGCTACGTCGATGTAGTTGCACCAGAACTCCAACTGCGCGGCTGATGCTTTCATAAAAGTAAGAAAACACACAGATAGAGCGCAACACCAAAAGAAAAATAAAATGATCTCCTTCAAACACCCTCCATTACCCGCGCAACAGGACCTCCAGCCCATTAAAGTTTAATTCATTGCCTAAAGCCCATCGCGCTATCATTTCAGCTGCAGCAGCAGATGCCCCATAGGGCACAACCAATCCTCCAAGTCTCAAATCGCTAACCTACTGGCGTCGTTGGTGGGCCAACCAAAAGTGTACCTAGCCGCCGAGCTAGTCTCGATGGTCGGATGCACCCAATCAAAGGCTCCAGCCTAGCACATGAGCCAAGTCAACACTAGGCACCAAACCCCTCATATCTAACCCCTCAGATCGAGATATCGACTTTTAACACCAAGCATTTGGGCCTCTGCCTACGAGAAGCGATCGGTATCAAATACTTCATCTACGTTATCAAACATTTTATGTACGCTATTAAACACAAAGGCCAAAGCAATATCCACTTGGGAGTAACCCCGCTAACGTTTGTTAAAGGGCAATACGCAATATCCGCCGTACGGGTAATACTAGTACCATTCTCAGTCGTGGCCGTACAAGCTCCTCTCCCGGTAGCCGAACCTTGATTACCATGGACGTTACTGAAGGCATGTCTTCGGCGGTATGGACCACTGTCTTATGTCTTTTTGTCTGTGTGACCGCCGCTCGGCTTTGGTTCTATGCGCCAGCGGGTTCCGGTACCGCACCGTCGTCTCCAGCGAAGCCTGCTTCAGATTCTATACGAGTCACGCAGCGAGGCGTCCATCTCAATCAAGTCTACAAGGACAATGGAGACACCGACATTGACATCATTGCTATCCATGGCCTCGACACGAAGTCGCCGGATACGTGGACATGGCTGGATCGGCGGAATCCCAACGTTCCCGTCAATTGGCTAGCCGATTTGCTCCGGTTCGACGTAGAAAAGGCACGTATCTTTACATTGGACTGGCCTGCCGACCTACTTCAACCGTCAGATTTAATCCCGAAGCATGATGGCGAGATCGTTACGCTCCTAATTGATGGCATCAACAGAGAACTCTTGGCAAAGAACAAGACAAGAGACAGACCGATCCTCTTTATCGCTTCTTGTCTTGGGGGGATCATCTTAATGAGGGCTCTCACAACCGCCGCCGATCATGAATGCACCACGAGCTGTTATTGCCTCAGGAAAGCAACACGTGGCATTATCTTCCTCGCTACCCCGTTCCGAGGGACTTCGTTCCAAGAGGTAGCTCACTGGGCAGATCCAGGTCTGACCGCATGGGCATTAATCCGCGACCGAAAAGTGAGCAAGCTACTCGATAGTGTGAAAGGATCGACCTTTGATCTTGAAGCACTCGTACGCAAGTTCACACGAGTCTGTCAGCATCCGAACCGGCCCTTTCTAGTATTCAACTTTTATGAACTCGGAATGACGAGTCTGTGGCGCAAGATATTCCCTTGGTTACCTACTTTGTTCTTCAAAGGAAAACCGGTAAGAAATCCTAAAGTACTAGTGTCCCCCGCGCTATAACTAATGCTTGCCAGCTGGTTGGGAGGTCCTCAGCAACACTAGACATCGTCTTAGAGCCACTACCACTCGATCGGACCCATGGTCTGATGAACAAGTTCGGCAGCCGTGACTGCAAAGATTACCAGAAGGTTGCTGAAAAAATTAAAGAGTTTATTGGAGAGATCCGTAAAGGAACGCCCCTCGCGCAAGCAGATGCCTGGATACGTGAGAAGTGCTATACTGAGGATAGGCTCAAGATTGAGCGGCTCTCAGGCACGAAACTGCCGATGGATCAGTGTTACATCAATCTCTCCATTATAGAGCGGACCGGCGAAGATAAAGACCGTTCGAAAAAGAAATCAGAAGAAGAGTCGGTGTCGCAATCTTCCCCGTTTTCACTCACCGCTCGATTGAAAGTGGAAACGCCAAATGCAACAATTCAAGTCGATTTACCATCGCTCTTCAAGGAACGCGAAGAACCTGACGGTCGCAAGATACAACCAAGACGAATATTGATTCGAGGACGCGCTGGAGTAGGGAAGACTACTCTGTGTAAGAAGATTGTCTATTCGTTTATGCGTGGCGAATGGCCCAAATGGACTGAATTATTCGACCGTGTACTCTGGGTACCTCTGCGGAATCTGAAGCTGGAAGACAGACGCCGGGCTGATTACCGCTTTACCGACCTCTTTATTCATGAATATTTCTCCATGTCGAATTGCAGAGAGGACCTTGCCCAAGCATTATACAACACATTGCTCGATGCACCGGAGAAGAGGAGCAGGACTTTATTTCTCCTTGATGGCCTAGACGAGGTATCGCAAGGCTTGGGCGAAGGTGGTATGTCTAGCTTCCTTGATGTGTTGCTAGATCAGCCGAACGTCATCATCACCTCCCGGCCGTACGGCAAGCCTCTGGCTGGTCTGGCTGGCCTGCATCTCGAATTGGAAACGATCGGGTTCTATCCAAACCAAGTGGAGGCTTATATCAACAAGGTTTTCACCGAATACTCAGACACAGCTGTCCGCGTTCAGTCATTCCTAAAAGCTCGCAGCCTTCTTCAAGGCCTTATGCGGATCCCAATCCAGCTAGATGCGCTTTGTTTCGCCTGGAATGGAAGTATTAATTCCAGCTCGGAACTTAACACTATGACGAATGTTTATCAAGCCATCGATCAAAGTCTATGGAGAAAGGATATCCTACGGTTAGGCAAGAAGCACGACAACGAGCTAGTGGAAGCAGCTTACATCCAAGAGTCTGGTTGGACCGAAATTGAAAATCTCGTTTCAACTGAGATTTTGTTTCTAGAGATCCTTGCTTTTACTGGGTTGCAGAAAGCTACAATTGAATTCGACTCAAGACATATCGACCAAATATTGCACCACTTTGCCGACATCTTACCCGGTTTCTTACCCAGTAAGACCATGCCGCACCTCTCCTTTCTCCGAACATCAGATTTCTTGATGAAAACCAGCCACCGAACCTATCACTTTCTACATCTGACCTACCAAGAGTACTTTGCGGCTAGGTATTTTGTACGGCAATGGAAGGCTAACAAGCGCCTCCAATACCTGGAACTCAATGGTCAGAAGAATGAAAATACAACTCCCATCGAGGTTATCCAGTTTCTTCGCGAGAACAAATACACAGTCCGTTACGACACCCTATGGCGCTTTGTTGCCGGCTTGCTTGATGCCGAGGGCAAGGCAGAGAAGTTCTTCCAAGCGATCGAGGATGAACCGCATGATTTGTTAGGTCCTACACACCAACGGCTGGTTATGCATTGTTTGAGCGAAGTGTCGACGGAGATGTCACTGCGAAAGAGGCTGGAAGTCGAGCTAAAAAAGTGGCTACTTTTTGAATACAAATTCAGAGGCAAAACACGTCTAGCAAGCGAGGTGGAATTTCCAGAGTCAGCTTTGTTGGACACCATGCAGGAAGTAGGGATCGATGAAAAGATCAGAATTCTTGAGTCGGTAGCAAAATGACCAACAATCCCGCCACCCATCGCCAATCTAATAGCTTCTGAGCTAGGAGAAGGCGAATCTACAGCTTGGAAGACGGATATCTTGCATGCGTTGCAAGCCCAGTCCAGCTTATCCGACAAGCTCCTTACGGCTGTAGTAGCACGTTTAGGAGACGAGAATGGGGATGTTAGAAAGGCTGCCTCATATGTCTTGAAAGCCCAGTCCAGCTTATCCGACAAGCTCCTTACGGCTGTAATAGCACGTCTAGAAGACGAGGACTGGAGTGTTAGATGGGCTGCCTTACATGTCTTGCAAGCCCAGTCCAGCTTATCCGACGAGCTCTTTACGGCTGTAGTAGCACGTCTAGAAGACGAGGACTGGAGTGTTAGAGAGGCTGCCTTACGTGTCTTGCAAGCCCAGTCCAACTTATCCGACGAGCTCCTTACGGCCCTAGCATTGTTACTGGAATCCGAACGTGTAGGCGACTTAGCAGAGGCTCTATTAAGAAGATATAAGGAATTTTACACTACCCTTCTTAATGGGCCGTTTGTTGAACCATTATTCAAAGTTCTCTTGCGAGGTAGCTTTGATGAGCAGTGGAGTTGGTATGTTATAGATAAGAAATCTTGCGTTAACATGCCAGAATGGGTCAGAAGTACTAGCATTGATGATGGAAAGAAGTTTATGGACATGGTGATAAGAGCAAGGCAAGGGATTTGTCACGAACTTAAGCGAGCTCGCGGGACAACCAGGTCCCCGGGTACACAAGCCGCCGAAAGAGGCTAGGCTGTACGACTATAAGCAAGGATAGGCTCACGAGCAAGGCAGGCTCACGGTCAGAACGAGTGAGCCAGGCTCACGAAGTGAGCCAAACGCACAAGCCATGAAAGTGAGCCACCACTATGATGGTGAACCAGGCTCACCAAGCCCCGAGAAGAACATCAGGAGCATACAGTATAAAGGGACGACTGGAGAACTCAGATTATCAGATAGTTCTGCAGTAGTCAACAGATCACCATCACTGAGACTAGTATACCGCTGCTATACTTGTTGTGAACCCTTTGGCTTCACCGAACGTCTTCTGATAGTATTATCCTTCAGCTATCCCACTTAGGCAGATCAGACTGCCGTTCGTCACATCTTGTCTGCTCACTGCCCGTGGTTGCTCACCGTGAGCGCCTGCTCACTAGTGAGCACCTCTGTGCGCCTTTCGGTCCAATCCCCGCCTGGGGTTACACTACCCGTGTACTCGCTTAAGTTCGTAACAACTCGCCTGCCCAAATATCTTAGGTTCTTACGCTTTATAGTGTTGGCGGGGACGTTTTAATTGCGAGAAGGACGGCTCCCAACCCATCGTCCTCCGAGCGTAGCTGAGGGATGTTGCAGTAAGAGCAAAGGAAATAATAGTTGAGTATTTTCATCGTCGGTGTGATGGCAGTGGCAGACCACTACACTAACTAGGCCATGTTCCTGCAAAAGGATACAAGTAACCGAAGCTGGCAATTCGGTCGCTCAAGTGGTCTTATATAGTTGCGATGGCAGTCAAGAGGCACAGCTGCAAGGCTGCCGTCACAGTTAACCTTTGGCCAAGTTAAGTATAGTTTACTTCAAAAACATAGAAACGATTTTCCCGCTGCCGGCCGTCGTGGAGTGTTTCAGATACTTAAGAGCTGTCACAGGGTTAGACCTCTGTGACTGTCGCACGTGATTGTTACCATAGCTTACCGCTATGTGCCATTCATATGCTTGTGCAGGCTGCAGCCGCTTCTGAGACTGCTGCAGCCTGATTGGCCAAGTCCTCCCAGCCCACGCGGCTGGGACCCATACTTAAGGCCAGTCCTCTGCGCACAGCTTGCGAATGTTCCCTTTCTCCTTCGTGCAATTACGCATATCTACATCTACACTCTACCCTTTGCCCGTGATAACCTCACCTGTCTTTTGACCCATGCATTCCACCCTTCCTCCTAATAATACGAGCCATCAGACTGGCAAGCCGAGCAAGGGAAGGAAACCGTCCTGCCAGGCGTGTAGGTCGATACCGAAGTGCAGGGACTTAGCTTGCACCCTTTGAGCTGGACCAAGGTGCGGTACGAGTGCTTGACGACGTGTCCGCACGGGTAGGTGACTTCTCCTTCGAGCCAGATGGCGCACATTGTTGGTTTGGACTGGAGGTTTTGGTAAGAGATGTGTTGTGTGGGGTATGTTTCTCCTTTTTCTTGACACCGGTAGTGAATTGGGAAAGATACTGCAGATATATCTGCGGAAGATTTGTGTCTGATTTTCGTCCTGAGTTCCATGTCCGGGCCTCCTTGTTTGACCCAATAGATGTCATCGCTTCCTTGATCCTCCGGAAGCATCACTTGTTGCAGGTTTGTGACTTCAGTCTAATTCACTAAGTGCTTCGTGAAGCTCCAACCGTCATGTGCTATCACAGAAATTCAGGCAGAGAATATTCCTTCAGATCCTCTTCCAACGGTGCTACCACATGACCATACACGAGTCTCCTGAACTCATCGCCGTCAAGGTTTGGCTTCGGTGGGGGGAACTTGCACTTGATGCATCATTCAACAGCGCGCTTGTAATTTGGGCTACCTTTAGTCTCGAGCCTGCCAAGCAATGTTATTGCAGTTTCGTAATCGGAGAAGAATGATCCCAGCGTCGACGGGCCATGCTGTTTGGTATGGGACTCGCGGAAGGTATCGAAAGGTGTTCCGAGCATGATCTCGATGAGGATGATTCCCAGGGATAGCATACCCTGGTTCTGGTGTATGCCCGCAAGACCTTGTGGCGATCGGGCATCGAGTTGCATTGGATCCGATGGCTCGGGAAGCTGTTTGATGACGAAGGCTTCTTGAAAGTGTGTCGTGCCATTGCATCGGATGAGAAAGATGTCCTTGGTTGTCACCTTGCTTGTCAGCCAAGGGGTCCCTGCCAGTTGAAGGACGCTGGATGCCAGGATGTAGGCAAGTCGTAGCCTGTCCTCGTCGTAGAAATGAGAAGGGGCAGTGAGCTTATCGGTCAGTACTTCATAGAGGGATACAAATGAACATTTGCCAGAGCCATCGGACGGACGTAGACGACCAAGTGCATAGAGACCGTATCTTTCCATTCCCGTGGTATCAGTTGCCGTTGGCCCGGTAATATGGCCGCAACATCTGCTTCCTTGTAGGTTTGGCAGCTGTCGTAGGGTTTCACAAAGGTCCACGATTATGTCTTCGTTTGAAGCTTCCGGTTTCGTGCTGGTAACCTCAAGGGTCAAAGTCTGAGTGGAGGACCTTGATGACGATGTCACCTCCACCTCTCGAGATGAGCGAGACAGCAGGCCATGCCTCTTAGTTGTTGGCTTCTCCGAGAAGGAGAACCCAACGGTTTTCCGGGCCCGCTTTGTTGGATGCTCAGGTTCCACAAGCGCAGTCGGCTGCTGGCAAGTGGAAACTTGACATTGCGGAAGTCGACTGGAAGGTTTGACCATAAAAGAAGACCATACCTGTCGATCGAGCTTTTCGTGTGCGATGTCCTGATCGGATACCGCAAGCTTCATCGACAAGTTCCTGACCACAGTTTTATCCTCATCGTCCGGTATGACGCTGGTGTGGGGAGGTGATGATAGCTTCAGCCCCAGAAGGTGAGAAGTAGGACACTGGCAGGCACACATTGCTGTACATAGAGCATGATAGATACCGCCTGATAGGGAACTCATGAGACGATACAACCTTCCGTTGGATCGTTTGTTCCGCTCCGGTTCCAAATCTGAGTTCTGGGAGGTCAATGCCTCTAGGCTTGAAACTCCATCCCGTATGCGAGTCAGCAGTTCCAGATACACCGACTTGTTGAGAGCGAATAATAGTCTCTTCAGCTCCTTTCTGAAACTAACCCCTTGTTTTTCCGGTCGAAGCTAATGTACGGTTGTTATTAGCAGGATCTCCTATAGCAATCGATCATCTTTGCTTCTTTTTTCGATACCTAAACTGCTAGGGGCTCTCATACCTGACCATCCGGACCTATATTCAACTTCTCTTGCAACTCTTCAAGGGCGCGACTCATATCTTTGACATTCTCTTCGAAGATGGGTGCTGCTCTCCATAGCCTTCGCCGGATCTTGTGATAAATCTCTGGATTCTCTGCTTCCTTCCAAAGGGGTCCGAATGGATTCTCGATCATCTGCTCAATAATGGGCGGTTGAGCTATGCCCATGAGAAGCTTCTCACAAACGTTTTGAAGCTTCACATGCTCTGTTTTTAGTCCTGTCTTCAGGATTCTGAGCTCCCGTTTGTAGAATAGCCATTGTTGTATTGCCCCGGCACCTTTGGCATAGCCTTACGTGGTCCAACCAAGTTGATAAGATCGAGATTATCACGATTTGGTGACCAAGGGAAGTAGTTCCTGTTTAAGTCAAGACGAGAGTTGTACGCCCGGGCGGCCAAGCTCTGGCGTTTGTTGGAACGAAGCCTTGGCATTCCGGGCGCTACAACCATAACGACAAGGGCTTTTGCGATAGTTTCGCTGCTGGGAGCAGATGATTGTGCGTTCCATCTCTAATAGAGAAAGTAGAGATCAACGAAGAAACTTGGTAGTGACCGCACACTCCTTTCATAGGTGAGCCGACAAGTGGATTTAGAATGAGCGATATGGGTACAATATTTGCATGCGGTCGTTATGTGAAATTATGAAAATCATTGAGAATAGTCTATTATTACGTGTATAAACCCCAAAACCTCTAAAATCGTATAATCATCTCTCCCCACCGTGCAGCGGCTCCCTGTGAGGGTACTGGGGGCTCGTTTCTACTGTACCGCGTCCCGGTATTTGCCCGGCCAGACCTGGCTGCGTTTGTGCCATACCAAAGGCACCGACACCGCCACCGGTGTCTGGATGCAACCCTGAGCTTGACCCGATCCGCATGCCCCCCGGTCTCGTCGTTGCCCACATGTAAAGGGGCTCAGCGAATTGCTTCCTGCTAGTCGGCGTCGCGCTGAGTGCCCTCATGAAAACATCGAGCAGATAGAGAAGCAGAAAGAGAAGAAGAGACAAATACTTATATCGGAGGGAAGCAGACCAAGCAAGGATGAGGGGCAAGGGTGAGTGCAAGGCAAGGAACTCAGCAGGGCTGTGGGCAGGTGTGGAAGCAGGCAGGCGGGGGGCAGGGCAAGGCAAACAAACCTGACCTGAGAACAGGACCTGAATCCTGGGAGCCGGCCCGTCACCACCACCACAGTCACCACTCACTCTCCCACCACTCTTTCTTTTTTGTTCCAAGCAACGGCAACGGGTGAATGAAGGAGTGAGGAATCCACGCATCCACTGTTCACTGCAGGTACGTACTGTGTGCACTTGCACGCAACACGAGGCGAAACACCGTGATGGCTGGTTTGTGGCTGGTTTGTGGCTGGAGGATCCGGAGCTCTTACACCTGAAGTGTTCCTTCCGACAATCTCACGGCGAGGGAGGTACGAGTCTGCATAACATCACAACACCTTGACCTGGCAGTCGCTTAGATAGTAGCCGCGGTCTTCTTAAGTCCGTTACCCATCGTCGATGCCTTCCCAGTCCTGGATGCCTGGATGAAATTGAATCCATCCTCTCCTCGCACCTTCCCTTTCCCCCCGCTTTTGAAACGATGACGAGCGAATCAGCTGTGTTGTACAAGGCGAAATCCACAAGGGTTTCTACTACGCATGCTTTTCGTTACAAAAGATTCTCCTGCCCAGAATGGGTGTTTCGACGCTTTGCTACGCTTAGCTATGGTTCGATGTCGAGATGAATGATAATGGAATTATGGATGGGATTTTCCATTTTTTTGGGTTGGAGGAAGTAAAGGAGTTAATCTGACCAGCTTAATACAATCTTCATACACCAGCTTGAAAGCTTCCCATAACCTTTTGTGCATCTTGTTCTTCAGACCATTCGAACTGACCCCCGAATCAGAGGATAGCAGACACGGTCAACGGTGAGTGATCACGAGACTCTGATCGATTGCCCAATGCTTTCGTATCCAGAGGTCGGATGGAGAGTTGGCTGTGTCGCTTACCAATGGAACCAACAGCGTCATCGACAAGTTGGCTGAGCTAAACCCAAACAGGGCCCCTGCTGCATGACAGCTCCAAGAATGTTCATGCAAGAGCTCAGATCGCCTGAGGCACTAACTAAGCAGAGGTACATCTTCAGACATATTCGGCTATAAGGTACTTACTAGCGTTACCTCGTTTTTGCATGCGCTACCAACTTTCCTACCTCTACCCAGCGGTTGGTGGATCAATCCAAGCAGCTCATCGGCGATGTAGGACGACGCTCTGCACTCCAACTGCATCTGTCACATTCTCGGACGCGGTGCTGGCACCGAGCCACCCGACAACGGCTTTGCTCTTTGTTTCCCTCTCTTGAGGAAGCCTTTCCATTAAGAGGGGTGACGTACGAAGTATGTATGTTGTGGCAGGCGAACTGAGGGAGGACGTGCAAATTGGGGGGGGGGGAAATGGAGGATGTACCCCGGACTTCGAGCTGGCTTATGTTGGGGGAAGAATCCAAGGTGACTGGAATCCGAGTGCTGGTGTCCGAAACCGAAGCCGAGAATGAGTGATTACCAGGGTGATGAGTGGGAATCAGATACTACCTTACCTATGAAGGAGGAGAGGAACGATTGCCTACCTGGAGGTATTCATGTCGCCTTTAGGGCAAGGTCAAGGTCAATACAGCCTAGTAGGTAAATTCTGGTTGGTTGGTTGAACAATCTTCATCATCATCAGATAGTGTATTCATCGTAGCTTATTTAACAGCAACAATAACAACACGTCGACAAGACCAACGCATAGTTCCCGTCAAGTCCTAACCATACTGTTCCTTGGAGACATGACCACCCCATCCTACTGACACTCTTCCCACTCCCGTACCTGTAAATACCGTACCCGTACCGCACCCTTCTTCCCCTCAACCTCAACCTCCGAAGCAGCACCCCTGTTCCCAAAAAGGAACCCTTAGCAAACCGAGATGATAGATACATCCTGTATAAGGTAACCAAACAGGTTCAAATCCACACACAAGAAATTATCCCTATGCACCCCCTCCCCGACACAAGGGAGGGTGCTGCTTCCTGCCCCCTCCTCACCCCTTCACCCCTTAACCGTTATGCGGACCAGGCGTAGGCGGGGGCGGATCAGGGGGATGTCTGTAGCCGGATAAAGAAAGTGGCAAGGCGTCTTTCAGTCTCATGGCATTCTTCTCGTAGCCTTCTTGGGCTTCTTGAGCGGATGACATGTCGTAACTTGTGAGTCGCTGGCGGCGGACTGCTGATTACCTAAGATTGTTTGTTAGTGACTACCTACTTAGGTGGTATTTTTTTGGCCATTGTGGGTGATCCTTGGAGATAGGGCTTACTCCGAAATTTCCGCCGCTTTTGAGGATAGCCACTACCTAGAGGTAGGTAGATAACCTGCCTAACGATAAGGTTGGAGGTGAGACCCTTGATAGTGTCCGTGTGTGCGAAATGGGTCAAGTCTTCGGGGGTTGATGACAAGGTGAGGGTGCTAATGTACTGAGGGGAGAAACGGGATAAGGAAAAGGCCAAGGGGTGGTATCTATGCTCCCTTTATGTGTCCCTCTTCAGGGACTGCTTTCCATGGTGTGGGTGCGCTGACGGACACTGACTAACGGGCGAGACGAGGGGAGGACCAGGAGCGACTGGACTGGGCTCGACTTGAGTTAGCCTCATCGGAGACGAAAGTGAAGCGTCAGCACATACTTGGGCCGACCGGTTGCCAGATACCATGCGGTGTCGATCTATTGAACGCCTCAAATAAGCACCATGGCCATGCTCGCACACAAGGCACCCAATCAGAAGACGCATGAAGGGAGGGGTAATGCTTGAAGGGTGTGCCTATTTTCTAGACTTCCAGCCGGTGCCTACACGTGGGCATCAAATGACCCGACATTTATTGAACTTGAATGGCCTGTGCCATGAGTTGGCTGCAGCCTGCAATCGTTCTCGCTCACTGGAACTTTCGGTCGGAAGGGTGGTGCTGGGATGCTGGCTTTCAGTGGTGTGTCTCTGAGAATGCGGTGTCCAAAATGGAAATAGTCAGACGAATAAGTAGTGAAAGTGACGATCATTCATTGACTGAGCCAGGGGTTCCAAGACTGATCATAAGAACAACAAAGAAGTGCAAGCCAAAGAAAAACGACATTTGGAGCCCTGGGTCGTGCCCGACCGCTCCAGCGGGCTGGGACCTGAATTCGTGCATGTGAGGCATCACATGGGAGTATCATGGACACGAGCCGGTGGGAAACCGCCACTACCTACCTTACACCAGATTGAAAGTCCGGACATCAACTCCCCGGGCTCTCAGAGCGTCGGGCTCCATCCGCGGGTCATGGCTGATCGTCTCGCCAGTCAGCTTATTCCTGAAACGCTGGAACACCACTGGATCGTCGGCCGTCCTTTTGATACCATCCAGTCTCTCCCACCTGCCTTCCACCTCTAGGGAAGGTAGTCTTGGATCCTCATCCGATAGCTCGTTGGCGTCAGGGTTGAAGAACCGATATGTGCCCCAAAAGCCGGACTCGTCCTGGAGCACCTGAACGCGCCATGGCTTGGGCAATGGGCCTAACATGCCCATCGCGTCATGAAGACCGTACACGTAGATTGGGCCAACGTACAGAAACTCTTCTGTATTTCTTGAGCTGCTTGGTTGTGGTCGCGGTCGTAGGACGACAGGGGTGCAAAGACCTAGGAGGACGCAGATGATGTCGCCTGCAGTGTGAATTCTCGTCAGTAGAGGCCGGGTTGTTGATATATATGGAATCCACCCATTACTCACCTGGTTGAATATCAGGGGGTCCAAGACCTACATACCCTTCCTCCGTCACCACATAACGCCGGTTCATGAGGCGCTCCAGAACAGTGTGTTCGAACCAAGGGAGGGTTGAATCTTCACTGGCGACCGAATCCACCACAGCGGAACTGCCCAGGCGTGTGCCGTCGCCGAATAAAGCATAGGCGGAGTTCTGTTGAAGCCAGGTGGCCAAGCTAGGGGAGTGCGACTCATCCCCGGGAAATCTCTCGAGAAGACGGTTGCCACACAACGTCTTGGCAAACGCGACCTTGAAGGGCTCTCCGGTAACGTATGCCTCCGTGTTGTTCGCAGCCAACTCGTCAGATGCCAAGTTCCTGACACTGCAGATTAAATCATCAACCTTTTCCGGAAATTTTGACGAGACAGATTTGACCGAGGCACACCGGAGTCCGAGCACCATCAAGGTCGTTGTCCTTGCGTCGTCCGAGTGTGGTGGTGGCCATCGATCCAAATCTCCAGTCGCCTCCGTGTCGGGCGGGTGGTAACGTGAAAAACCGGCGGCAAACTGATATCTCATCATCGGAGGGAGCGAAGAATCGGACATATCTGGAACCCAAGACGGAAACGAGTCCCTCAAGTTTGCCGACTTTGTCAAATGACAGTGATGCAAGAGTTCCAGACGTTGGACATGCCGAGTGTGGGCAAGGAAGGTCTTTCTAAAAACGTCGCCGACCGTCATCTTGTAGTCGGGACGGATCTTGTTGCGAAAGGCTGGGGTAAGCAGCCCAAGTAAGCCATAGACACGGTCTCGCGGGTCCGAGTACCTGGTCTTGCTCAGCTGAAACATGAGATCGGAAAGAGGCACGGCTCCGCTCTCTGGCTGCACGAGGTTGTTGACGACGGAAAGGACGGGGCGAGAAAGCGAATCGGGAAGGCTCTCCTTCTGATACAGGTTCCGAATCGCATAGCGGAAGTAGAGCCAGTCAATGGACGTATCGCCGCAGCACAGGACGGCGCCTCTTGCGAGTTTAATCTCTTGTACAATCCATTGACGGTAGAACCACTCGCGGCATAAGAGGTCATTAATGGCAGTCCACGTCTCGTGAGGGTAGGCTCGGACCACGTTGGTTCTTTTCAAATACCAGTCTGGCTCGGTGGCTTCCGGTGTCATGAGCTTCCAGTCGTTTAACGTGGAGACGGACTGTTTTCCGAGATATTCAAGGGCCTGTAGGGCGCGTGTGCTGTTTTCGGTTTCTGTGCCGAGCCAGAACACAACTTTTTCCGCCAGCTTGAAGATGTCGCACATGCGCTGGACCTGAGCATTTCTCTCGTCGGTATCAGATTGGTTGATACACAGGGCGTCTATCCAAAGCATGCGTTTCTCCGTTTGATTACGTAGATGCCGCATGGCCGAGGCAAGATTGTGGCCAACCTGGAGGCAGCTGTAGCCTGGAGGCGGAATCGATCCTTTGATGAGATTTTGGACGCGCGGGGGCGGCTGGGCTGTCGAGGCGGTGGATATCTCCTGACCCATGTCATGGATACCCGTCCAAATATAGATCGTCTCTGGTGTTCCTCCTGCCACAGCGCGCCAAGTATATGAAAGGGCTTCATAGCTGGGCTCGAAATTGGCACGCTTTGGGTTTTGGTAGAGGGTATGGTTGAACGATGGGTCCGGGTGAGTCCATGTGAACCGCTCCACGTCTGATCCGTCATCTCCCCAAAAGATATACCGGCCGTCCCAAGCCTCAAACGCCGCCCAGCCGGGAGGTAGGGTTGCGGCAACCTGTTCCAATGACATCCTCTCCGGGTGGAGCGACACAGATGACATGGGCGCGGGAAGCGGGACATGGGAGATCTCGATGACTATATCATGGTCGTGTTCGCCAGGGAGAAGGGCGACGAGACGGATGTCATTGGAGTTCTCGAGTTTCTGGTAAGTGTAGAGGTAATCGTTAGACTCCTTGGGACTCCCGGCCCCGGGCCAAACATCCGCCATCAAGCGAATGTAATAACTCTGGTCAATAAGTACCTAACTGTCAAGGTAGGGCGATGAGCGGGCTGGTCCGAATCTTTCTTACATGTTCTTGAAATAGAAAAGTGCTAGGCGTCCAGGGTTGGTGGCCAGGAAGCGTTCGGGTCGAGAGCAAAAAGGGGAGTTGGTCAGAGGAAGAAACTTGGCAAATTACACTCCAACAGATTCACTTTGATTGTACGTGTATCTGCCCAAAGCCCATGTGGAATGGCAGAACGCACCTTCCTAGTTAATGTTTTTCGGAGATTGCGAGTTGTTTCCCTCAGCCGTCCAGGCAGGCGCGAGGCTCCAGGCTCCAGCTTCCCCGCCCTCTTTCCCAAGTCCTACCTCGGCTGCAACTGACCTAGTACCTGGCTGAGGTTCTGAGCAAAATCCAATTGCGTGCAGGAGAAAAAAAAAAAAAAAAATGTTTGGAAGGACCTAGGTTACCCTATCACCCTGATACGGAATCCCTAGATTACCCTACCTCTCTGTATTATAGCTTAGATTAGCTGTGACAGCCCAGATTAGCTGGGCTGTCATGGAGGCTTCCATGCCCAGTCTGGGCATCCAGACTGCAGTGCTCGAGCCACCTCGTGACTCGTGCCCTGGCTCTCTGCACGGCATATCCTTTCTGTGCAGACGGCTGGCTGGGACAGCCTCCTTCTCCTTTTTACAACATCCTTCTTTTTACTATGACTTCCAGTATGGCTTCACTTTGTTGATCCTGACCGTACTGAAGTCATATTTCTCTTATTCCCGTATCATACCCCTACCGAAATCAGCGGACATTGGTGTCAGTGACGTGTTACGGCGATAGCAGACTACCCACATCGACCAGGTGGTTGAGGAACCCTAACCCTAAGTCTGGCTCAGCCAGCACTAGGGTTAGGGTTCTGGCCGCCATATCTAGGAATACAGCTCCCCACAATCACTATCGGCTACATTTCGAGAAAAGAACGCGTAAACGCTATTTCTCAACCCGGAACGGGAACCTGTCCCAACTTTCCTCTTGTACCTACGTATGAAACGAGTTAGAAAGGGAATATTCAACAGCTTATGGAGCAACCGACACTTCAATAAACGGACTATCAGCTTCCGAAGCGAACGTCAGAGTTATCGGAGTTGGATTTATTCTACTAGAAGGCGACCACAACCAAGCACATCCTTGGCATCTTTTCATTACGCGATTCTATGGATCAATTACGTGCACGATGGTGTTTATGGCACCTATCGTACAAGATTCGCAGTGCTGATTTGCGTGTTCGGGATCCGAGTCCCGCTATCTGTACCACGGGGGACTTGATCGAGAACAAAAACTGGCAGAAAAAAATAATAATACAGCTACGGTTGATACTGCTTATTTTGAACGTAATGTCCAGCCTTATGAGACTACCCTATATACCATCCTCGGGCTGAATGGGTGTCAGAAACTTAATGAGGTCTTCGTTGGGTAGGTTTTGCAGTTCGCCAAGCTGTCTCCTTTGGAACAATCTTTCTTTGAACTCTCCTTCACCCCAAACAGAGAGTAGAAACTCATTGCCCACCTCACTCAACAACATTAGGCTTTTATACCGAGCAATGGTGGCACGGAAGGTCTCGAGGTCTTTGTTCGATAACCTCGTCAAAGCTCTTAACGTGAACCCACTACCAAACCCAAGGGGTAAAAAGCAGAGAAGCCCATCGTATCCTTCTACCATCTTCATGATCTTCCGAGCCTCAGATATTTCCGTCGCGAATGCCTTCCGCGCTTTAGGAGTGTCTTCGATGCCACGACCTGCTAACACAGCTGATATACAACTTCCGCTTGCTCGATGTCGATGTTGATTTTCTTTCATGACTTTGGAAAGCCGAAAACTGGCTGACATGCCCAAAACGGTGTACAAAATACTGAGATTTTGTGCTTTTCGTCGTAGATTATCGTAGTGCCTAGCAGTTGACAACTCGTCCGTAGGCTTTCTCGAGGCGAACGAGCTTTTCAATGTGACGTCCGCACTGTCCCAAGCGTATACGATTGACATGAATCGCAAGATCGCACCATTGTCTATCGTTAGGCTTGCGAGTTGACGACCTAATTCGATATCGGTATCGGTATTAGTATCCTTTGTGTTGCTGTCAACTTTGATTTGGGTATCACTGCAACCGACACTGATAGCGGCGTCAGTGTCATTGTCGCTGTTCTGATTGCCGTTCTCGTTGTTACCATGCTCTTGGTACTTGTCTTGCCCTTGGTCCTGCTCCTCGTCCTGCTCCTCGTCCTGCTCCTGGTCCTCCTCCTCGTCCTGCTCTTCGTTCTCTTCATAGTCCCTCCCTTTAGTATCGTTATTGCCGACAACATTGCTAATATCTCGAGACTGACCAAAATTCTGCCTTTTGCTGTGTAGTAGAAGGGTGGCGTTTGATTTCCGTTTCTTGGTGAGGGGCCCATGGGAAAGTTTTTTGAGGTTGCCATGGGACAGACCGTAGAACCCGTCTTCTGGACAAACAACCCATCCACGTGGAATTGCTTCTTCACTAAGCACAGTGAAATTGGTTGCTATAGCAAGAGACGGTGTTTGATTGATAACTGCGTGATATTGTCGTGGTCGTGTTATAACCAGGTCGCCGGGGCCAGCGCGAATAATATCGAACTTGATTTCTTCTTCGAGTAACCTCTTCGGACTCACCATGATATTCAGATGCCGTATAGACTGGTCGCATTTGTGGAGCGCCCATTTGGTCGCAAGCATCCTTTCAAATTTGGTAGTATCATTCGGGTCGATCATTATCCAGAGCTTCCACCCAAAAATATTGAGGTTGTAGGAGCGCAATTGGGCATCCTCACAGTGGAAAGCAGTCCCTGAGCCACGCTCGCCCATGTGCATGTACAAGGTATTGATTCCAGGGAGGTCGCCGAGTATCGAAAGTGCGCCAGATGGGAAAAGCGAAGCAAGTGGTGTTCCAGAGGTATCAATAGGCCCGACGTAGTAGGGTATGGTGTTTTGAGGAGGAGATTCAACAATGTCCTGGAGGAATTGCTTGGCCTCATCATCTGTGAGCGGGTTGAGGTCGAAATCGAAATTGATGGGAGTCATTGTTTTCGAGAGAGAAAGGTATAGCCGTGAAAACCCGTCATCGTCCCGATTGTGTTGGACTGCGAATTGATTATGATCCGGCAATGGTAGAGTTCGTTTAGTAAGATCTTTCCAATCAATACCCAAGTCTGCGATGGACACGCAGACTTTTCCACGGAAATGGGGATCTGTTTCGAGTTTGTGAAGGTTGGCGATGAGATTGAGTCCGAGGTCGTCTTTAGTTAATGGCTTGAAGGTATGATGTCGGATCTTGTCAAGATTTGGGATAGGATGAGGACCGGTGGTATTGATTAAGTATCGTATCGATGGTAGGGATATTGAGGATTTTGAGGATGCGGTTGTTAATTCGTTGAGCTTGTTGTCGATGCGATTCAATACCTCAAGAACTTGTTGGATGGCGCTAGAGATGACGTCGGTTTGCGTGGAGGAAGAAGAGGGAGTGGATTTTTGCAAATTAGTTTCAGCAAAATTGCAAAGGTGTTGGATTTGGAGTTTGATTGATTCAATTTCGCTCTTAAGCGCCTCCATTTTGAAACGGCTGGAATTAAGAACGGAAGAAAGGACGATGGTTGTATGTAGTGGGAAGATGCGGAGATAGTGTTGACGTGAAAAGAGTGAAGCAAAGAATTTAGCGACAAGGGTTCTTGGATTCGTGGGCACAAGAAGTGTGTTGATTGTCCTAAGCTAGAGAAGAAAGAGAAAAGAAATGTGGAGGGCTAAAATACATAGTGGTGTGGGCTGGCTGGGCCCACGTGACAATGCCAGTGAAGGGGAGTGGGACAGACCCCACCACAACAAGGTTGCCAAGCCTTTTTGTCGGTCCGGACCGATAAAAAGGCTTGACAAACCTGCAAATGTCGCTCCCACCGGTACGTAATAATAAATGCTGCCGCTAAGTGGGTAGATTAGACTGTCCTATTCAGGCACTAGGATGTGGGGCAGCTCTTATCGATTGGCTGAGAGCTGTATACGGGGGAGCTGGTTAGGGCTGCAAAATGGGGAGATGTTTGCAGAGTGGGCGGCGTTCGACGAGCCAACTATAGCTTTAAGGAGGCAGCCTGCAACTCCACTTAGAGTATGCACGTGCCTGACTTTTCACTTGTCTGCCTTGACCTACCTCCTTCATCTTCCTGCCGTAACCTGCCTGCATTAGCCTGCCTCCTTCATCTGCCTGCCTTGCCCTACTTTATTGGTCCGACTATTCGTCGCTTGGTAAAATCTAATGCCCGCCAATGAACGTTCTAGCCCAAACGCTGAACCCCGCCAGTAAACGCCTGCAGCTTTGTAAACAGGTCAACCCGAATGCTCATTGCGAGGTAGGTTCCCCTGTGATTTGCAGGTTCCACTCGGATTTGCAGCTTTACCTGCGCCCCGCCCCCATAAGTGGTGCAAGCTACCAGGCCGCTGCTGGTACACTATTGCCAACCCTGTAGACGCCCTGAAGCCTCCGGGTCCATGAATGCCCGGCCTCTCAAAAGAAATGTCCTTTGGGTGATTGGCGTGTAGTGGGGAGGGAGCCGCCAGCCATCTCGCGCCTGACAAGGTGACAACACAGAAAGCCCCATGGTCCATCACAGCCTCGAGAAACATAGGGCTCTAGTTTCTTTCCCTTTTTTTGTCCCAGATGGCAGGAGAATAATCCCCGGCACTTCCATAAACTCGATCCATTGGTCATCAAACATAGCATCCGCTACCTTCGAGACAAAACGCCGAGACAAAACGATCATCCTCGAGTGCCTCACTATGTCATCTCAGTCAAGACGTTCCTTCCTCAAAGCTACGATGCCTCGACGACTGCGCTCGTGGTTCCAGACGCCTTTCAAGCGACACGGAAATGCGGAGGATAGGAAAGGTTCTAAAGACCAAGAGCAGTCTCGCCCTGCACCTCTGCTCGAGTTGCCGACGTCTACAGAGCACATCCCCGCCACTCCCTCTACGTCCTTCCTCCCCCTCACGGCCGCTCTGGCTACCGGTTCTACCGACGTAGAGACGTCCGCCTCACGGCTTCGAGTCGCTCCGGCTACCAGTTCCATTAATATAAAGACGTCCATCCCACGACTCCCAGCCGCTCCCACGGGATTAACCCGTAACTGCCCAGTCATGGCCAAGCTTGGTACAATGGTAGAGGCCTCGATTCTCCTCGATCGAATAAGTGGTCTCTTCCTTGGTGGTGCTTGGGTGAGCCAACCCACTTGCAGTAGCTTCGTCACAGCTACATGGTCTTGGTTTGGATGCAGGGAATTGCGGCTTAACCTGTGGCATTATACTACTGACTAGGTGTTGAAGGCACTCAAGACTTTCCTTCACACTAGAAATTCGGCTCGTATGAGCGATGAAATGCTACTCCTCTTTCTGGATCAACTATGCTGAGCGCACAGTTTTGTGAATGGTTGTCACTCCACTCCGGCATTTCCAGCTCAGAATTCCACCTGTGGCTTTGAACTTGGTTGTGATAACCCAGAATAGGGCAACGAGTTCTACAACTTTACGCTCCTGCCGCTGAAGGATGAAGACGAAGATTTGAAAAGGCTAATACTAAGATAGAGGAGCTCCAACCCATTGGCAGGTAGCTCCGTCCTCACAAGGTCCCTGGTCAAAGTACAATCAATGGAAAATGTTACGAGGCGCAGGCAAGCACTAAGATAGGACTTTGAGTGTTGTGCGAGGAACAGGCTCAGGAGTGTTCTAGCTTAGGATCGTTCTGGCTCAGGATCGCTCTAGCTTAGAATTCTTCTACCCTAGGATCGTTTTCGTATTTGGAATCGTTCTAGTATAGAATTGTTCTAGTGTCTGGGATCGCTCTAGCTCAAGATCGTTCTAGTATAGGATTGTTCTAGTTTCTTGGATGGTTCTAGCTTAGGATCGTTCTAGTGTCTGGGATTATTCTGACTTCGGATTGTTATTCATTGTTCGTTCTACCCTAGGATCGTTCTAGCATACTCCTCTAGAGAGCATTTTACTTATTGGTTAGATCCCAATGATAGTTAGATGGTTCAGGTCCTCTGCGTGATATTGCCATTGCGGTCCTTCTAGCGTTGCTGTTGAGATGTACGACGACTAGGGGGACTCCCAATACGATAGGAGCAATAGGGAGTAAACAATAAAGATTGGAGAGTAAACCAAGATCAATTCTTGTAGGAGGAAAGATTGTGAAAGGCTGACTCAAGGTGGAGTTGTCCTCCAAGCCTGCCTCTTAGGATGCAAGGCTGAGTAGCTTAAATCTGCTACGGCTTTGGGCTTTTCTTGACAATAGAGAGATGTGGCACAGTCTACTGCAAGTGGCCAGAAATGACCAGGAGCAATGGCCCAAATGGCTCCGCGATATAGCACTTAACGAGGGTAGGTTTTTAAACATAGCGACACTGCTGCTCCGCTACTCTATGATCGAGGCCCGAGAGTCTAAGCAAAGCAGCTATATCATACATCCGGTAGTGCATAGATGGATATCGCATATACAAGATGTCGCTGGGAAGAGAGTGTTTCTACGGCTAGCGGTAATGTTGATAGGATTTTCGGTGTCCGACTGTACGACTAAGAATTATTGGGTACTCCAGCGACGGCTTCTCCCTCATGCGGAGAGGTGCTCATGGTGGATGGGAGAATTAGAAGGAGGAGAGTACAACATTGCAGACATTACTATCGATCATGCAACACACAGCTTGGGCAACCTCTACTTGGATCAGGGCTGGCTAAAGGAGGCTAAAACGATGTATCAGCGAGCGCTAGAAGGCTACGAGAAGGCGCTCGGACCGTATCATAGGTTGACTCTCGGTACAGTTTACAACTTGGGCAACCTCTATGAGACTCAGGGCCGGCTAAAGGAGGCTGAAACGATGTATCAGCGGGCGCTGTCTGGTTATTCAGCAGCCTTAGGCTCGTCCCACGCGAAATCTCTCCTTGTCGTAAAGAATATAGCATCTTTACAACTTGCAAAAGGTAGCCTCTCCCTGCAAGGACTAATAGTTAAGTTTGCTAACATTGACAACCAGGTTCATCGTGAGAAATTGAATCGTCGTTCAATTATTCTTCGGCAGATGAAATTACCTCCACGATAGTTGAAGCTCCACTTCAATTAGGTTCATCAGCCGCGATTAAGACGTCGTTGTGAAGGAGGCGCTCAAAAATTTGAAATACGAGATAACATACGCAGAACCCCTACGAGAACTACGCCATCTGAATCGACGGAAGGCTGAACATAAAGTTGGAAATTGCGTTGTGGTAAGGTGACTTAGCTGTTACGCAATGTAGTGACTTTACAAGTTCCTGCAACAAGTAGCCAAGGATCTGTTTCGGGTTTGTGAAGGTTGACGATGAGGCAGCCAGGATAATGTATGCCTAGTCCACTTCATGGCCTCAGCTGGGCTTGGCGAGAGCGAAGGTGATGAAAACGGTTCGAGAAACGGCGGCGTTTTTGCCCGAGTCATCCAAACCCCGCACAAGAGAAAAGTTGGGACAGGTTCCCGTTCCGGGTTGAGAAATGGCGTTTGCTCGTTCTTTTCTCGCATCTCTTTACTCAATCAATCCTTCGAGAGGTGCGGAAATGTAGCCGATAGTGATTGTGGGGAGCTGTTTTTCTTGACATGGCGGTAAGAACCCTAACCCTAGTTCCGGCTGAGCCAGACCTAGGGTTAGGGTTCTTCAACCGCAACAAAGAAAAGGATGTTACCCCACAAAACAATCATGTCGGGCTTGATAACTATACTCTGTATCTCAAACCGGTGACCCACTGATACCGGAAATGGCTGGATTCACAGCCATTACCTGTATCCCTGTATTATAGCTTAGATTAGCTGTGACAGCCCAGATCAGCTAGGCTGTCATGGAGGCTTCCATGCCCAGTCTGGGCATCCAGACTGCAGTGCTCGAGCCACTCCGTGGCACGTGTCCTGGCTCTCTTCACGGCATATCCTTTCTGTGCAGACGGCTGGCTGGAACAGCCTCCTCCCTTTTACATCATCCTTCCTTTTTACTATGACTTCCAGTATGGCTTCACTTTGTTGATCCTGACCGTACTGAAGTTCTATTTCTGTCATTCCCGTATCACTCACACTTCATCTCCCTCTTCTTCTTCTTTTTATTCTCTTTTTGGCACTGCTCCCTCGCACCACCCTGCCGACCGCGACGCGAACGATCGCGACGACGATGAACCGTCCCCAACACAACTATTATCCTCCCTAGGGTCAGTGCTTGATAGAACCGGTGCCGTGAGCCCACGCTTGCGTGGATGCATAGCCAGTCCGTTTCTCCTCGTCGACACACTGAAAGTTGGCGTCCCATGATTCGAGGGCCATATCAAGTTCACCAACTCCTACCCATCAGGTACGCCCGGTGTAAGGACTGGGGTTCTTGACAGGCCATCGGATCGTGGGAAACTCGCAGACAGCTATGTCGGCTAGCAGAGAGCGGCGGGACTATCATCACTGACACCGGGTCTTTTTCTCTCTTTTGATACCAAGCTACCCCTCTCGCCTCGCCTCCCGGAAGGAGGAGGTCACTAGCATACACAGTAAAATACAAGAGCGGGAGAGAGACGCGAATTGAACCGGCGGGACTGTGATGCGAAGAGAAGATGAGAGTACAATATTTAATATCTATGTAAATATATACAAATCAATTACCCTGCCCTATTTCCCTAGACCTTCGTATACCTCCCTCCCTTTCGTTTAACGTCGCCTTGCTATATAGTATTGAAGTATACTTAATATTTATAATAGCAGTATTAAGTAAGTTTAAAAGACAATTTAAAAAATATCTATTTGCTATGTATGTCACAGGGTTAGACCTCTGTGACTGTCGCACGTGATTGTTGCCATGGCGTACCGCTATGTGCCATTCACATGCTTGTGCAGGCTGCAGCCGCTTCTGAGACTGCTGCAGCCTGATTGGTCAAGTCCTCCCAGCCTTACGCGGCTGGGACCCTACTTAAGGCCAGTCCTCTGCGCACAGCTTGCGACTGTTCCCTTTCTCCTTCGTGCAATTACGAGGGCTGTGGATCAGGGCCTTGGGGAGAGTGTCCATTCTTGCTCCTCATCTAACAATGTACCTCACCCGAAATTGAAACCCAAGCCCCTTTCGCCGGGACTCTCCGTAAAACCACTCAAAATGAGACAAAACTTGCGCCTAATGTCAATCTTCGTTGGCTTCCCAGAGCCCTGTCGACTCGCGCCACCCAAACACGATTACTAAAACACCCCTCATTCCCCAACATGCGGCTCAACAGCTAGGCCGGGTTCTCACACACCTGACGACCGACATCATCTCTCCCGTCTTCCCAGTTTTGTGTCGTTTGTTCCACCCCAGACTTTCACCGAACATGTCAGGCCTGGAAGTCCTCAGCGTCGCCTCCAGCATCATCTCAATCGTCGACGCAGTCTCAAAAGTCATCAGCGCGTGCCAAGACAACTACGGCTTCCCCGACGCCGTTAGGGACGCCTACACTCGCTTACCATTGGTGGTAGACATTGCTATCGGAAGGAGAGTGTGGAAAAGTGGAAGAAGAGGCAAGGGCACTCGAGTTGTAGCTTTATGCCAACCAAAAAACCAAAGGGACAGTGGTCCGTGGGCATTAGACTCGCACTTGCAGGAATAAAAGAAGGCATCATCAGGTTTTCCGGAGAGGCAAAAAGGCCAAAAGATAAGGTATGCAGGTACGGGCCTCGACGAAATACCAGGAATGCGGGACTTGCATGCTTTATGTCCGCAGAACGACCGACACTGCCCTCACACGGGTGGTTGTGGAGTTTGCGTGTCTTATTCTGTCCGAAGGGCAATTTTGTTGCCAAACTTTTCTTCAGACTCAAATGCATGGTGTTAAAATCGAACTGGTTTGGGTCACATCATCTACTTAAGTCAAGGCAGACAAGTACAAGTCGGGCCTCAAGCATACTTTGAGTAGAGTTGGAGGCTGCTGGCATCTGATCCTTAGAGCTGTGGTTGGCTTGTCGCTCTCAACGCTGCCGTCACCCTGTTTCGCAGCTCTGGGCCTCTGGCATAGAGCTCTCTCGGCCAATCGACTCGTCTACAAACGAAGGTATTGGCGGCTGCGCCGACAGTGTGTTGCAAGCCAACCACCATGTTTATGTTCCCGAGCTCAAACGTCCTGACAGTCCAGCCGAATGCAACTTCCCGAGTTGAGCTTCCCTTCCGACACCTTGGTGGCAAACGGACCTTCGAGACAAAACGAACAAAACTTCATCTGCCTGTCTCTCCACCAAATGGGCAGATACAAGAAATACGGTTGTGGATTTGAAATCAGCGTACTTGAAACTATCAGTATAAAATTCTTCCTATCAACATAATTGAGTTCTTTTTATTGTCGTCTTTCGTTTTGAAGGTCCGTTTATCAAAAGTTGTACAATCTAACCCTGATTTGTTTGTTAGTTTGGTACAAAAAACGCCTTTCTCCACCCAAAGGGAAAGGCATTGAGGCTTCAAGCGGAGGACGGGAAGATTGTGGTCGGGCGAGTAGTCGGGCTGACCGAGGGACTCGATGATTTGCGGTAGGGGCGGCTTTGGATGAAAGACTCTAGGAACTACGCCTTGCAATCCGCCTGAGATCACCATTCAACAGTATACTCCTCGTCCTCGAGCCATGATGTGGGCTCGGACGGGATTGATGCCACGCTTGATGCCACCAAGGGTTCGGTAAATATGGGAGCATTGAGATTTGAGCCGACGCACGCTACAAACCTCTGGCTCTGGGGACCGCCATAACGAAGGTACCCGAATATTTAGGGTGATCACTCAAAGCACCTGGCCAGGATAGTGACTTGGTTTATGAATGATGGAAGGCAAGAAGCGAAGTAGCCAAGGTGAAGATGACGGTCAATTGAATCCTATGCTATCTACCCGCCAACACATTACGGCCCTTCCGGGCCTTATCCTTTCCTCCTCTTCGGCTCACTGAATGAGGTACCTGGAGTGACCGCCTGCTGCCCGGCATTGCTCGACTGGCTGCCCCGCTCGTCAGGCAGAGAAGCGCAGCTGGCATCTGACTGCATCAAGTTCCCCAAATCCTGGGAAAGCCCGGTCGCCTCGGAAAGCGGTGTGGCGACTCTCTCGAGCACGTCATTGCTTGCATTAGTATTTCGAGATAGAGGACTATGGAAGGTGGCCGAAAAGCTGTTTGTGCAGGTGATGGAGACTCGCAAGGCGCTCGGGGCCGATCATCCCTCGACGCTGACGAGCATGGCCAACCTGGCGTCGACGTACAGGAACCAAGGCCGGTGGGAGGAGGCCGAAAAGCTGGAAGTGCAGGTGATGGAGACTCGCAAGGCGAAGCTCGGGGCCGATCATCCCCACACGCTGGCCGCCATGGCCAACCTGGCGTCGACGCTTTGGAAACAGGGTCGGTGGGAGGAGGCCGAGAAGCTGGAACGCCGCAATACTACCTTGGCACGTAATTGACAAGCGCCGTCCCTTGTTGCGTTGCTTGGGTGCCAACAAGCCTGTTGGTCGTAACCTTAATGCCTGCCGTCTCCCTTCTTCCTGATCTCTTGCTTCCTCATCTTTCATAACCCTGTGTGACCCAGAACGTGGTGAGTCTCCTTTCTTTCCTTCATCCATCAATTTCTTGCAGTGGGTGCGTGCGTCGCAAGGTCGCGTGTGACAGTCAGGACGTTGCCAGGAGTCGTGAGTTTGGGGTGATCCTTTTCGTTAGGTGCTATGGCTAATGAATCGTAGTTTACAAGAGCATGAAGGAATCCAAGCGTCTGGAGGCAGAGGAGGATAAACTGATGCGAGATCTGGTAGAGATTCAGTCGCGCTTGCTTCGTACTCGTGAACAAAGGCGTCATCTCCAGAAGAGGCAGAAGGAGATGTTTGATCGTGGGATGGCGGATTTGGCCAAGGAAATGGGGGACAGCGACCCTCTCGTTCCCGAGGGTGGCCCGGTTAATGCTGAGCTCGGCGTTGCTTTGCCCGAGGTTGGTTTTGACGAGTGGGCGCAGGAGCAGGGACTTGATCTCCCTGAGATTCTGTCGCCTGAGGTGGCAGGAAAAAAGTGTCACAGCATGATGGGGAGAGCATGGAAATTGACCCGAGTTAATATAATCTACAATGAAACGTGAGCTGACGAGCTCAATTATATACTGGTAATAACCCCCTGACTTATCATGACAGAGTTTCAAGCCCCCTAAAACGCCATCACCCACGCCGGCGCCGCCGCCAAAGTAGTAGCAAACGCATCAATAGTCTCAATCAGCCTCAGGTGCCTCTTTTTTGAATCTATCGTGGCCTGATCATCGTCCTTGTCGGGCTTGGTCGCGTCCCGGTGAGCCTGGCTTGCCCACTGGACCTGCATGCGCGGCAGGATGTCGGTCGTCACCATGTTGGACTTGCTCGCGGCCAGCGCCATCTTGCCGCTCATAAACGTGTCCCACTTGCCCTTCAGGTCCTGCGACGCCCAGGGCGTCCAGCCCGGGTTCTTGGGAGTGTTGGGCAGGACCTCGGTGTCGAGGCGCCGGAGCACCTCGCCCACGCGCTCCTTTTGGTTCTTGAGAATGGTCTGGATGGCGGGGGTGTTGTGGTACAGGCGCGAGCCGAGGATGGCGCGCATCGACTTCATGATCTCCTCGGCGCCGTCGATGTTGGCGATTTTGCTCTTGGAGGGGTATTTGGGGGGGTTCCGGCCGGAGGGGCTGTTGGAGTTGGCGTTGGGGTCGGTGCCGAGCCACTTCTCGAGATCGACGATTTGGATATTTTTGCCCTTTGAGCTGAATCCAGCCCAGGCGTTCCCCTTGGGCGGGGCGTTGATGGGCTTTTCGAGGCGGACGTACTCTTCCTTCTTCCAGTTGTCGGTGGGGAACTGGCTGGCGACGTTTTTAAAGGCGGTGAGAGGGACGCCGGTCCCTTGGGCGGTCTCGAGGTTTGGGATTACAACCTGAGCGTTCCAGAGCAATTTGACGAGCGGGCAGAACTTGAGCGTCGTGCCCGTCGCGGCCTTGGTAGGGTCGGGGTGGGGGAAGGGGCCGAGATTCTTGAGCGTGTCGAAGAATTGACTGATGAGTTGGGCCTCGAGAACGTGCTCGGCATCGTAGCTGACACCGGCAACATCGGCCGTGAGAAGGTCGAACGCGTAGTCCTTGCAGTCGGTGGTTTTGAAGCCGTAGATCGGGTTGTTCAGCTTTTTGGCATCGGAGTCTGTCGGGTATTGGAATTTGGTTGTCACGCCGCAGATTTCGGTGGCCTTGGAGGAGGACCGTTTTTCGAGGGCGTGTTCAAAAGACTCCGACCGCCTGAAAAGTGCGTCCCCGATGATGTCGCTCTCGTCCCAGGCGTACCCGATCTTGGAGCAGGGGGAGCCCGGGCCGGAGCTGTCATTGGCTTCGGGCGGGCAGAAGTAGCTGCCCACGGGCACGCTGAGTACTGGACCCCAGACGGCCGCTCGTTTGGCCAGGCCGCGGCTGTTGTGGGTGTGGCCATGGCCATGGCTCAGGCTCTTGTGGGTGTGGCTATGGCCATGGCTATGGCCACGGGTGTCGTTGGCCTCGATGGTGAGGAAATTCAGGTCACGCTTGGTCGGAAGGGGTCCCAGGCCCGGACACGTGCCGCCGTCGATGATGGACTTCTTATAAGCGGGCGTGATGGCCACCTCGGCCCCCGGCCACCCGAAGCCTGGTGCCGTTGCGCGCGCAAACAGGCGTGCGCCGACATCGACCCCAAATGTGAAGGGGCAGGTGTCCTTGGTGGAGACGCCGACGCCCATCTTCATCATGACGCTGGCCTCGGCCACAATGGCCGCGGCGGCCGGGTCGACGTCCCAGCGCTTGTCGAAGCGGATGCCGAACTCGGCCGCCGCTGAGATCTTGGCCGTCACGTCGCCGAGGGCCTGGACGCCGGCGTAGAAGTTGGGCTCGTCCAGGTCCTCGTTGTCGCCGGTGCGCTTGAGGTCTGGGTCGCCGTCGCCGATCTCCTTGGGCGTGTACTTGCTGTCGCCGTTGTCGGGAAGGACCTGGCGGACCTCCCAGTTGGCGAACTCGAGACGTGTTTCCACCTTGCCCGCCAGGGTGAGCGAGGCGTCGATGCTGCCCTCCACCGTCAGCTGCGGGCCGATGGTTGCGATTACCGGGATCTTGAAGGAGGCGCCTGGGAAAGGGATGTTCACAATGACGTCTGACTTGTGATACGAAAACTTGGCGACGGCTTCGAGGGTTAGAACGCCCGTGATCTCGCCCTTGTTGTAGAAGGTCAGGTAGCTTTGGGACGTGTCGACGGGCGGGGTTAGCTTTGTAACGATCAAAGTGAACCCGAAGCTGGTCGCTACGTTCACTTTAAGGAGGGCCTGGGCGAGGATGTGACCCTCGTAGTCGATGCCGTTGCGGTTGCATTGCCACGTCTCGTCAATGAGTTTGGCTGTCAGGGTGTCCTTGTAGTCGTAAGTGAACTCGCGCGTGATTTCCGGCTTGACAATGCGGGCAAGCCAGTCGAGGACGCCTGAGCCGAACCAACGCTCCTCGAGGTCACGGCGCGAGAGGGCCCCGAAATGGTAGTCGTCGCGGAACTCTTCCTCCAGCCAGCGGGCGTGGTTGCCCCCAGTGTCGGCGAGGGAGCGTTTGATCTTCTTTTTGGTGTTTCCGGCCGCCGAGACGACCGTGTTCCAGTAGTCGTCCTGGTTGCTGAAGTCGATGCGCATCTGGGTGTCGCCAAGATCGCGGGGCACGCGCGTAAAGTCGTAGTCAAAGGTCAAATCGTAGACGACGGGGGTGTGGGCGGCCGAGAGGTGCTCGAGGTGGCGGGGAAGAATGGTCTTTTTAGGGTCAGTGGTTGGGGCCATGTCTTTTGCAACGGCGTATTTTCCGGGGCCACACCCGGCAGGCATCTGCAGAATGGTGCCAGGGACGCCGTGGCCGAGACTGATCTTGTAACAGTTGCTGCCCTCGGAGAAGTCTGTGCATACCATCTGCACCGTGTGGGGGCCGTCTTCGCCGATGGCCGAGTCGCAGCCCGAGAAAATGTCCCAGTGAGAGCCGTCACGCTTGTCGACGGAGACCTGCAGCTCCTCGGGCGAGGCGAGCACAACGAACTGGAAGGCCGCCTCGTTGGGGGTCTGCTGCGAGTCTGAGTCCTTGTCCGTTTCGAGGGAGAAGTCGGTGTCGACACTATCACCATCCGGGGGGTGCTCGAAAAGATTGCCCAGGGGCACGGGCAGGAATAAGGGGTCCTCTGACGCCTCGCAGCAAAAGGTGCGTACGCGAGACAGCTGACCGCCGCACGTCTCGCCGCCGCCAAAGTAGCTGTCGGTCAGCTGGGCGTATGTCATGTCCGGGCAGTGGCCGTCGAAACAGTTGCCGGGCTTGCCGAACCACTCGCAGTTCTTCCATTTAGGGATGTCTTCCTTGGGGCAGCAGTAGTACTTATCCGTGTCGAGGTCGAGTTCGTCGAGCACGGCGAGGAGTACTTCTCCTGCCAGGGCGGTGAGAGGATAGGCGCGCCCGACGACGCGGAGGATGACCTTGGCCACGTCTTCCAAGATGGTCAGGACGGTGCCCGAGAAGGTCAGCGGCAAGTCATCGCCATTACAGGAGTCGCCGACACCGCTCCAGTAGCAGGTGTTTTCCTCGGCGAGCGGGCTCTTGCAGCAGTAGGCCTTGTTGCCGTCCCAGCACTCCTTGCCGTCGCCCCACTTGTTCATCTCCATCATGACCTCGTCGTCGTTGCAGCGGCCGTTGCACCAGCGCGTGGTCTCTCCGCCGCGCCATCTGCACTCCTTGGGGTCCGGGGCGCCAGACAGCGGGCAGCAGAGCTTGCTGGGCTTGTTGTCGTCGCCGCATTCTTGGTCGGTGATTTTGATGTCGCCGGTGTCGCAGTTGCCACCGCAGGATGTGATGTAGCAGTGCTTGTTGGAAGATTGCCAGTCGCCCTTGTCGCCAGCCGCGCCCAAGTCGCCTAGCTTCTTGGGCGAGATGACGGCCTGCAGTGCCGTCAGATGCTCGTCATCCTGATCGATGGCCCAGATGAGGTAGCCGCCCAGCCCCAGATCCTTGGCCAGCTCCTTTTTCTGGGAGAAGGTGTCGGCGTCGTCGTACGACACCCATTCTGTCCAACAATATTCGCCGCAATCTTCTTGTTGGGTGTTTTGAGAGCAGCTCAGGAGACAGTCAAAAAGGGGGGAAGAACAAAAGAAAATTGACGTACGGTCGTTGTTCCACGTGATGTACTTGACGCCGGCCTTCTTGTCATGTACGGGCTTGATCTTTTTGGTATCAATAACGGCCATGATCTCGCGGTAGCTCAGAATGCCCGACTCCCCGCTGCAGCCGCCCTTGGTAGCGCCGCCCTTGAAGCCGCACCCCGGCTTGCTGCACGAGGGGTCCTGCAGCTGGAAAGCGCGGCCATAGAAGCCGAGGCCCATGTTGAGCTTGTTGGCGGGGACGTCGTTGCGCCAGAAGAGGTCAAAGGCCTGCTTCATCTCGGTGATGTTGGTGTGCCCGTAGATTTTCTGACCGATTGGGTTCTTGCCGTCCCAGACGCCGTGCAGGTCGTAGGACATGACGTTCACAAAGTCGACGTGGTCGACGGCCTTGAGGTCGAAGTGGCGCATGTACCAGTATGAGGTGGGCAGCGTGAAGGAAACGACGTACTTGACGGGCTGCTTCTTGTTGGCGGCGTCGAGCTCCTTGAGGAATGTGACAAAGTTGGCACCGTCCTTGTCATTGCCGCCGCGGTCATCAGCGCCGGGGTACTCCCAGTCAAAGTCGACGCCATCGAAGGCGTACTCGCGTAGGAAGCTGAACAGGTTGTCGATGAAGGTCTCGCGAGTCCGCGCTGAGCCCACCATATCGCTAAACACCTTCTGGGTTGGGCCCGGGTCGTTGAAGGTCCATCCACCAATGGCGATGACCGTCTTCAGGGCGGGGTTCTTCTTCTTGAGGTCGGTGAATTCGGAGAACAGGGACCCGGAGATGCCGTCCATGGGCGCGATGCTGTACGTGTCCGGGGTGATGGACGCAAAAGAAAAGTACAGATGGGTCAGGGAGCTGACGGGGATGTCCTTGAGCCCCATGCCCTGACACGCGCTGTTGGCGCGCCAGCCCTCGTAGTAGCCGATGACGCGGGACTGCGAGCTGGCCTTGTTCTTGGGGCCGGGCTGGTCGCAGTTGGACTGGCAGCCGCCGGTGGCACCATTATCCTCTTTCTCGCACTAGTCCTCGGTCATGCCGCAGAAGCCCCATTTGCCGCAGCAGACGTTGAGCGGGCATTTCTGGCCGGGCACTTTGGCGTTTTTGCCGCACTCGGCCTTGGCGTCGCAGTTGGACCAGCACACCTCGTTGGGCGAGATACCCGACGTACCGCACGCCTCTTCGCCGTAGTTGCACGACAGCGTGGCCTTGGGGCAGCAAGCCTTGTTGGCGCAAGGCCGGTCCGGCCCGCACGTGTAGTCGTCCTCCGTGGCTCGGCCGCCTAGCAGAGACGGCGCGTCCATGGCGCCGAGGACGGGATGAGACTCATGAGACGACAGGGACTCGTCGCCGTCTGCGTCGGGGCAGCACAGCGGTAGCTCATATTCGCGCCTGACCTTGGCTGAGTAGTCAAAGGGTCTGCGGTGATCAGGAGTTAGCATAACCTGCCTTGGGAGAGGTAGACAGCTCAAAGACACTCACGAAACGGGATTCCGACATGTTGCCGGCACATCAGCCTGTTGTTGCCAGGCAGGACGATCTGCTGCCTGGTGCCAGGGCAAGCCCTCGGCGAGCCTCTGCCCCCAAAGGAGAGCAAGGACAATAGGATACCGCATGGCCGTCCGTCACGGGTGTTGTGCCTGCTCAGGAATGCCTACCACCTGCAGGGCAGCAAGCCGCCGCCGCATCTTGTATAAGATCTCTTGAGTAGGTACCTAGGTACCGCCGTCGCCCGATAGGGCAGGTAGAAGCATAAAAAGGGATCTCTATGGGTATCAATACGTTCGAGACCGTTCGAGCATCTCTGTGCGGCAATTAGGCGGTCCAACTTTTGCATCGAAAGCCGAAGTGCCGAAGTGATGTCTGAGTCTGGTCCCTTCATGGTTTACAATCCCATGGGATTTTGCAATGCGATGGTAAGGGGGATAAAATAGAGTTACACTTAAGCTCAGTGTACCTGCATAGTATGTAGAAATAGGGTAATTGTCCGAGAAAGACAAGCCTTAGCGGGCCGTCGGAGGCGGTTGCGCCGAAGACGTGCTGAGTTGACCAATGACATCCGTCATCAACTTGACCAAAAAGTTAAGCGCTCGCGCTTGCATCCTTCCCTCCTGCCATGTGGGAATGGGTATCTAAATGCTTGGGCATTTTTCCTTGGCTTTTCTTTCAATAGCGGCCTGTGATGTGCCGTATTGCGGACCCCAGGGGTGAAAAGTCTGATGGCCTATAGGCGAGGTTCGGCACAGCGGCATCGCCGCCCCTTGCTCATTTTGGTGGGAGCTGGAATCGGGGTAGCATCCACCCTGCGGGATATCTGCCAAAGGACAGGGGGGAAACATGAAGATGTAAGCCGGATCAAGCATTCTTGTGTGTTGTTTCCCTAAAAGAGGCCGAAGATGCTCGACAACCTGCCTAAGGGAAATGTCCTTCTTTCGGTGCGATGCCGCCTTCAGCCACACGAAGAGCCCGCTCTCTTCCTCCCCCTGAAAGCAGTCATTCCCGCTGACTTGCCTCATTAAAGGTCCCAAGGCAAGCCGCTATCAAGGGATTGGGCTTGGACAATCTTCATGATGCAGACCTTCCTCGTCGACCTGCTTCTCTCTTTCGGATTTGCATCAACGGCATCTGCCACGGTGCTGCTCTACCCAGACAGTCTTCCCTCGACACTCACCTCAGCGTGCACCAATGCCCTGACCGTCGACATCACCGCCTGCGACCCGCTGGTGAGGGACCTCCGTCCGGACGTCTTCTACCCGCCCGCGTCACTGTCGCGCATCTGCACCACCGGTTGCTCATCCGCCCTTGAAACATGGCGGTCATCGGTACAGTCCGGGTGCGGGAACCAGACCATCTCGGCCGATCTCGAGGTTGAGGCCGCGGCTGTCTATATTCCTGGCGCGCTGCAGTACTCCTTCCAGCATGCCTGCCTGAAGGACGACTCGGGGCGCTATTGCGGACCCGTCGCGGCCCTGGCAGCGGCCTTCTCGGATCCCGGCATCAGCCCTTTCAACTACATCAGCAACATCACGGACCAGGTGCGGCCCGACGACTGCGACGCCTGCCTGGCCGAGCGGCTGCGGCTGCGCGAGGGGTCGCCGTACTTTGACGGGCCTATGGTGGCCAGCAAGTCGCTATACGAGAGCATGACGGCGAGTTGCGGCATTGTGGGACGCCCTGTCGTAACAACGACCATCGACTACTTCACGGCGGCGCCTGCTCCGACGGCCAAGGTGTGTGAGGGCTCAACCTACACCATCAAAGCCTCGGACGACTGCTACACCATATCCAAGAGCCAGGGTGTCGGCACCAACTGGCTTCTGGCCGACAACGACCTCGAGGCCTTTTGCACCAACTTCCCCGCCGCCGGCACTTCTCTCTGCATCACCAACCAGTGCACCACCGTCACCGTCCCCACCAATGCGACGTGTGAGGCCGTGGCTGCGGCAGCCAACATCACCGAGACGCAGCTCATTGCCTGGAACCCCTCCATAAGCTACGGGTGCGCAAACCTCCCCAAGATGAACGGCTCCGAAATCTGCGTCGATGCTCCCGGCCGCAAGTTCGTGAACCCCACCGACACCTCCGCCCTGCCCCCCCTCACTCCCACCACCACGGCTCCCAAGCCCACCGACGCAGCAGACGGCTCCGGCGGTGCCGAAAAGCCATGCGGGCGGTGGTACTCGGTCCAGCAAGGCGACTATTGCAACCTCGTCGCCATCAAGTTCGGCATCACCCTCCCCGACTTCCTCTTCCTGAACCCGGCCGTCAATGCCAACTGCACTAATCTCTTCGCCTTGGAATCGTACTGCGTCGCCGCAGTGGGCGATATCAACACCTATATTGGCCGCCCCGGTCACGCCACTATCACCCTGGACCCCTCGGCGCCCTTCACCGGAATCCCCTACACGGAGCGCCCCGACGCCACCGAGTCCCCCTACACGCGGCTGTACACCCCCCTCCCCGAAGCCACGGGCACGCGCGACGACTGTGTGCACTACTTCGCCGGAGACGACTACCAATACAACCTCACCGGCTCCTCCTTCGCCAGCAACTGCGAACTCGCCGCGGCAACCTACAACGTCGACCTCGAGGAGTTCGGCTTGTGGAATCCCGGCCTCGGCAACGTCTCGGATCCGGCGTGCGCGTTTGAAAAAGGCGTCCGCTACTGCGGATCGCGGTACCTGGAAGCGGGTAATGAAGGGACCCCAACCGACGCCTCCCCGACACCACCAGGACCCACCATGTCAGGCTCGCCCGCAGACTGCAACGAGTGGGCTATCGTCACGGACGGGTTGTCCTGCACGGACCTAGCCTCGGAAGCCGGCATCTCCCTCGAGCAGTTCCTGGCATGGAACCCGGCGGTCTCGTCAGACTGCAAAACCAACTACTGGCTCGGCGAAGCCTACTGCGTCGGTGTCTCAGGCGACGCAACGACCACCAAGTCTCCCACAACAAGCGCCGCTCCCACGAGCTCAAAACCCACACCGCCCGGCCCAACAATGACCGGCTCGCCCGCCGACTGCAACAAATGGTCGCTCGTCACCGACGGCCTCTCTTGCACAGACCTAGCCACCCAAGCCGGCATCTCCCTCGCGCAATTCCTGGCGTGGAACCCGGCTGTTAGCTCCGACTGTTCTACCAACTACTGGCTAGGTGAGGCGTACTGTGTTGGTGTTGCTGGCGGGTCTACCCCGACGACGACTAAACCCACGATGACGGCCAAGCCTACGTCGACGAAACCTACGCCTCCTGGGCCTACCATGTCCGGCTCGCCAGCTAACTGCAACAAGTGGTCCCTTGTGACTGACGGTCTGACCTGCACGGCGTTGGCGAGCCAGGCGGGGATTACGCTGAAGCAGTTTTTGGCGTGGAATCCGGCGGTGAGTAGCGATTGTGTGACGAATTATTGGTTGGGGGAGGCGTATTGTGTTGGTGTTAGTGCTTAGTACGGGGAGGGTGAGTAATGCTGCTGGTTACTAGCGAGGTAGTAACAAGTTTAACCATACAGGGGGAGTATATGGACAAGAATCGATTGAAGAAGTTGGCTGTGTCTTCTTTTCTGCTTGTCGGTAGCGGTGAGCGCGATTGTCGGCCCTTCGTTGATTGAATTTGAGATTCGAGTGTGGTCTACCGGCCAGGATTGTTGATTCTGTACATTAATCTGATGAGAATCAGATATAGTCCTCCGGATCCTGCTCCCTCTCTTCCACAAACTCAAACGCTTTCCACTCCATGTTCTCTCCGTCTCCGCCCACAAGATCCTCAAACGCCTTGATGACTCCGTCCTCCGGCCTCCAGTCCTCACCGACCTGCCACGTCACTTTTCCTTTCCCATCTCCTCCAACGGCAGGCGCCTCGTATCTCACCCCCCATCGGAACATAACCGTCTCCTCCTCATACGAAGTTGGAGGCACGTCATCACTCCCTTCATACTCCTTCGCCCTCTCCTTGGAGGGCCGCCACGTAAGCCACGTAAACAGCTCGGCGTCTCGAAGGGCGGGCATCTTTTGCCGTTGCAGAGACGAGGCAAACGCCAAGAGCAAAGGGTTGATGCGTTCCGCGATGGGGCGCAGACGGAACATGTCGGGGTTGCGGAGGTCGTATATGTCCGGTGCGTCGCCCCGGTACTCTTCCTCCTCGTCGGACATCAACTCGTGCGTCTCGTCGTCGTCTTCCTGGCCGGGCGGGTAGTGCTCCTCTCTCGTGATGGCGAACCCTGTCGCGTGGGGATCTTCCCCTCGCGGGCCGGAAAAGTACCAGCTGCCGTCGGGCGCGCACGGGTGGAATTCCACGTTGAGGTGCCGCATGTGTGGCCATGACAAACCGTCGCCACCGGAAGGGAAAAGATCGGGGGTGATGAGCGCGCAGACGTCTAGTTCCTCCAGGCGACTTCCCAGGTCCCGCAGGCCAAGAGACACAGGGTCCATGCCTTCAAACTCGTTGGTCGAGGACGACGACGACGCGCCAACAAGGTCGGGCATCTGCGCCGCTTGGTCCACCTCGTCCCCATGGGAGCTGGGCCTCCAGAACCAGAGACGGACCTTGGTGAGGGAGGACGGCAACAAGGGCATGGCATGACGCACAGCCCGCGCGAACTCGGCGCGGTCATCGCGCCAAGGACCTGCCCAGACGCGGGAAATGATGCGCAGTGCCTTGGATGTGAAGGCAACGGGAAGGCGCTCCCACAGCCAGGGGCAGTCCAGCTCGCGGAGTTGAGGGAGGCGGGTGGTGAGTTCGAGGGGCGTGCGTAAGGAGACGGGCCGCATGTTGATTGGGTCAAAGGTGGAATCCCGGTCGGGGAGGATGCGCAGTTGAGTGACGCGGTTGAGGAGGGGCAGGCTGTCCGGGTTCTGGACGGTGAGGCGGCGAGTGTGGAAGGCGCGGTGCAAGCAGTCTAGGTGGGGTTCGAAGGACTGGTTGGAAACGCATATGACGGGCCGAAGGCATTCGTCTGGGCGGCAGAGGTCCAGGTCGTCCGAGGACGGTTTGTCTGCCATGTCCTCGGGGTCGTGCAGTGCGTTGAAGAAAGCGTGCATTTGGGCTGAAAAGTGGGCGTTGACGGTCTCGAACTCGGCGGGCGGCTCCCTACACGGGAGGGGCGCGCCAGGCCGGTTGAGAAGCAGCGGCATTTCCGCCTCGAGTTCGCACGCGCCAAAGACGATCTTGTCGCGTCCGGGCGGTAGGCGCGCATTGCAGGCGCGGACATTTTCGACGAGGGATTCGAGGATGGCGTCTTTGGAGGGCGGCGTGGCTACCTGAATGTGTTGGGACGCCATCGTGGAGATTATCTTGGAGTGGTACCGTCGGGATGGCTGATTGGTGTTGTGTGAGCCTGTGATTCATGTAAAGGGAAGAATCCAAGAAAGAGGTGAGATCAAGCTTTGTACGCCATTTGGAAGTGATCTAAGTGGGGCTCCGGTCCGTTTTCTTGCCCAATCGCCGCCAAAAGTCCCTCTTCCAAGGTAATTCAATTACCTAGGTATTGAAGTGGTCGATATATCATTATATGTCCCGGTTGGAAATGGTTGAAAGATCCTTCTTTAGCGCCTAGATTTCTCTAGTCTCATTCACTCAGCCACCTACGCATGGCCCTTGCGTTTCTCTTTGTACCTGTGGGTGCAAATGGTTGTGACATCCTCACCACACTCACCCACCCACCAATCCTAATGTCACACCATTTGGACCCACAGGGTACAAAACGACTGCGCCACGTGTGGCGGGGAAGTGGATGGGGGCTGACATCTAGGTTGAGCATCTGTTATGAGAGACTAGCATTTAGTGCCTACGGCGGCATCTTAAGTCTTGTGCGCGATGGGCGTAGTGCTGTGAGGCTTTAGGAAAGTCAGTAAATCAATCTGGTAATATATATGATTAATATTTACGTACGTGCGATTGATTCTAGCCTGTTCTGGTGATGAAGGTGGTCTGGTTGTAAAGAGAGAGTTGAAAGAAGGTTAGTTTGAATAAAGGCATGCTCAAAATCACCAAGTCTAAAGATGGGGGTCGTGCACAGATGGGTGAATGGGGGATCCACTGGTTGACTGGGCTTGGCACTGTCTTACACGAAAGGCTGTTGTACGATTACTGTCTGGTTGAAATAAACCGCTGTAAAAAACCCATATGCACGTTAAACCCTAACCCGATTGGGGCACCCAGAAGGTTTGGGGCACCCCTAACCAAAGGGGGATGCACCCGTATCAAATGCCGTCTATTATAAGAGACTACATCGCACCGGTGTCTGAGACTATTTTAGCAAAGTAGTCTTGGACACTGAATCAACCGCTCTTATTCTCCCTCGAAGCAACTGTACCGACTGCGGCAAACACTCACTCTTTGACCCATCCAAATCCACCTCATTTTCCCCCCAACCTGCACTTTTTCAACCCATAGAGTACAGCACTGGTGCAGACACTGTCCCGCTCAACCAAACCGGCCGGGCAGAATGCGAAGTCGTCACCGACACCATCTCGATACAGGGTCTTTCTGCCCCCAAACAGGAGTTCATGCTTTGCCATAGCTACGGCGAGGCCCTGTCCTCCCAACTCGCCGACGGAATCCTCGGCATTGGTTTCAATGACATCTCGGCTTGGGATGAAAACGGGAACTTTACCTATCTTCCCTTTCTCCCCAACCTCATCAGTGAGGGACAGCTCCCAAACAGAATCGTTGGCCTTGCCCTCGGGTCTGGTGGTAAGAAGCACCAACAGCGCGGCCCCGAAGCCTCCATCGGGGGCGCCGACTGTGCGCGCTATCGCGGCCGCATCAAGAACGTCAACGTCGATGAAACGCTCACCACTCTCTCGGGTACGTTCATAGTAGACGTACAAGCTGCCTACATCGGCTCCGGAAATAACAAGCAAGTGTGGCGCAACTCAACCAACGACAACAAGCCACTCACGCCGGGGGCCTCCCTCATCGACTCAGGGACCGCCTACATGTTGACTCCTGACCAACAAACAGCCGGGGATCTCTACTCGAGCATTTCCAAGGACATCGTCCCCCTCGATGATAGGGGATCGTGGGGTGCCAGTTGTGCTACGTTGGATAAAGTGGCGACGGACATTACGTTCACTATTGGGACAGAAACCGGAGGCGAGGTGATTGAAGTGACTCTGCCAAAGAGTGCGTTCAATCTGGGTGAGTATCCTGGAAAGAAGGGAGTCTGTCAAGCGGCGTTCTCCCACTCGGATCCTCCTTTCTATGAGCCTATTGAGGGCCGTCCAGCGTGGGTGTTTGGAAGTCCTTTAATCAAGGCTTATTACACGGTTTGGATTGCCAAGGGGGGCACGCTTGGTTGGGCTCAGAAAGCTTAAGCAATGGAAACTGAGGCATGGGGATACGCGCCATGAACAAAGAAAGAGTTGAGGCGGGCTGAGTGACGGTTGGGAGATTGTAGTATGTGGTGTGTTTCATGAGAGATTTGCAACTTCATTCTAATCAAGAGATCCGTACTTGTCCACCGAAGAGGAACTTCCCGAGTCCGTTGAGCATGATCAGTCAGTTGTATGTTTGAGTCAGATTTGAGGCACATGTCCACGCCATTAGTTGCTCTTCTAACTTGGACTGAAGACAAGAAGTTGAAGAGGGGAAGAAATCCCAAAAGGGAAGGCTCGATGCCAGAGCTGGGTTTTATACCCAGGCCGCGGGAGGCAGCCAGAGCCAAGCCCAGAACCTGCACCATGAACCATACCCGTGAATGGGACCCATGACGGCACATGTGACAGCCCAGCTGGTGCCAGCCGTCACACGCGTCGGGATGGGCTGGTATATATTTGGCACTCCATGCTGGACGCTAGTCCGGTCCGGCAGTACTAGATATAGTCTTAAATATAGATAGTCACTCGCCCTCTCTCCTCCTAAAGGAGAGGGTTAATTAATCATTTATATATAACTAGAAGTATTTGCTCAGTAAAACTATTTATTAACTTAAATCCTAGGTTGTACCTATCTAATTTCGATATCACTAAGCTTAATACTAATCCTAATATCTAGCCTGATCTTATCTATTTTAGCGTAGGATTAGAGGCTGAACTCATTACAATTAATCTCGACCATACTAAGCTTAGCTAGTTAGGTATAGATAGTAAATACTAAGTACTTCGTAATACTATAGTATTAAAATTTTGTTTAAAATAGATATTTCGCTAATTTTAAATTCGTCTCCTAAAGCGGCCGCCTAGTAAATAACTCCTCTAGTTCGCCTAGTAGGCATTAACCCCATAGATCTCTTACCCTTACGTACCTTCCCTCTCCTTAATAAATTAAAGCCAAATATTAACGATAATAAGGGCAATTTCTGTCACAGGATTACCTATGACTGTGCCTAGCACATGCACAGCTCCTGCCATGGGCAGTTGAGCCTCGTGCTATGCCATTGCTGCTATTGGCTAATGGCATATCACGTGTATGTGCACGTGCGCTGGTCCCAGCTTTGGGCATGGCCTTCGTGCCTTGCTCTATATCGCCAGACCTACGCACACCTCCCTTCTCCTCTCCTCGTACAACTACGCATATCCAATCTACCCTCTACCCTTCGCCTTGCCCCATGATAATTTCGTACCCCATTTTAAAGACGAATACGAACGTAATAACGAAGACTGCAATAATAGCAACCCGAAACTACTAAGTAATAAATTCCTAACCCTCTCTCTACTTAATTATAATCGCTATCGATATATTTACCAGCTAATAAGTGAATTCCTTAATAATATACCCGATAATTTTAATGTCAATATCGAATACGAATTTAAAGACCTTTAGTATAATTTCATCAATTACTAATAATTCCCTTTTAAAATAATTTGTACCGACGGCGGTACGTTTACGCACTAGATTACCTATGAGTAAAAGAAAAGAGGAGGAAGTGCGAGTCTGGCTGGCACGACTAAATACAGGAATGAAGTGGGTCATGAAGCGGGAAGTGGGTCTGACAGGTGAATGCAACAAATGGGGCATGTAGGTAATGCAGCCAATCAGAAGGCATGGCGCCAAGCCATGACAGTTGTTACAATGACCTTTCCGCCCATGATAAAGCAAATGTCCTTCCGTCTCCCAACATGTATCCATTCACCCACAACACGCCGTAGATATTCCGTAAAACGCAAAGAAACAAAGAAAGTGAGAACTAACACCTTTTAAACTGCCACCGCCATCATTGTCAACTTCCTGCTTGGGAGGTACTAGGCCCGGAAGATCCCGGCGTGTCCGGTCCCCCTTCAACCATAGCCATCAGCCCTTTCACCTGCCCCATGCCCATCGTGCGGCTCCTCGCTCTCGTAAGGCCCCCAGGGTCAACGGGACTCCAGTCAGGGACGTTGTACAAGGTCGTAGGTGGTCCGCCGAATTGACCGGGAAGCGGACTGGGCAGGTGTGGTGCATTGGGACGAGGGGGTTGGCGGGCAAAACTCGCATGTTGAAATCCTGCGGGCGCATTGGAACCTGCACCAAGCCTCGGATCGATATTAAACCCTTGCCCTTGGTGAGATGGTTGATCTCCCATGACGACATCTTCCATTCCTTGACCTTGTCCGCCTCCGGGCCCGGGTCCGCTGGGACGTGCGAGTCCAGCTCCGCTACCGGTAGCCGGCCCTGCAAGCGGTGCTTGACCATGAGCATGTGCCGAAGCAGCATTCCATATTCCAGGCTGCTGCTGCTGCATTTGTTGCTGCTGGTGCATCATCGACCTCGCATTGTGTCCCTGCGCCGCGCCTATCCCAGACGCTTGACCTAGGCCTGACCCTTGGCCTAGCCCCAGTCCCGGTATTTGCCCGGACAGACCTGGCTGCGTTTGTGCCATACCAAAGGCACCGACACAGGTTTCCTCACACTCCACGTGCTCAACACAGCAACTAAGATGCAGCATTCGATTGGCCTGGATTATTGGCCCGTCGTTAGTGTGTCCACCAAGAGAATGTATGAGGTGGATCACGAATGATGGGAATGATGTTGATTGAGGGATCCAGCTAACTGAGGCTGGAAGGAATCGCCAGCTATATAGAGCTGGCGATACAAAGAGGAGGAAGGTCTGCAAAGGAGGGGATTCTGGGAAGTGCCAGAACCGCTGTCAAAGGGGCCTGCAGGGCAAAGGACTAGCGGTCTGTGCAGCAAACGCCCAGAATCTTCTCACAGAATGTGTCAGCCTATATCCACTCCAATCGTCGCCTACCGTCCTTTTCGGTATATGGGTATTTGACCGGGGATCTGGCAGTCCTTCGGCTTTCCTTTCTCTCCCACCAGACCAATCAAACTATCAGTTTCCCCTCATTGGTTTCAACCACGATCTCAAGCCTGGCAAGCCTGGCTGGCCACCGGATTGAAGTTGGATCGCGTGGCTTATGATGACTGGCAGATCGTTTTTCCCCCCACTTGATCTGGCCGCCATCCGGATTTCAGCTGAAAATTCCACGACCTCATCTTCTTTGCTCATGCCAACACAGAGACACCTCATGGACTTGACCTTAACAATCCGTCTACGACTTGTCTGCGGGTCGTTCCTTCCGTCTTCGACTCTTTGCTTCACTTTCATCACACCTGTGCCGTGGGCATCATATGCGAGACGTGAACCGCCTGTTTCTGCGTCGGCTACCACACCAGCATCACCACTGCAATCCCGTCGGTGACGGCAACCACGGCATCTATCGACTATACAGCATCAACTGAGAGTCGTTCCAGCCGCTCAGTCATTCCTGCAATTATGAGTGACAAACAAACTCAGGCTTCCCATGTTCCTGATGGCGAAGGACGCCTATCGTCACATTCGGCCGCTTGTTGGCAATTAGTGGCCAAGATCCCCTTCTTTCGTCAAGTGGATCAGGAACAGGAAGAGGATGGGAATTCACTCAATCTTTGCCAGCGTTGCAAAGAAATTGACCTCAACGGCATCTTCAACGACACAAGTGTCTTCTTCGACAGCGAGACGGTCTTGTTTCTCGGCATTCTCGATAAGGAATCTACGTGCGCATTGTGTCGGCTCTTCTACTCCATGCGACGGACAGCTCCCGATGGTAAACCTACAGATTCATACAACCTACGCAAGTATTGCTTCGGCGAATTCTTCGACGCCGAGGAGTGCACATTGTGGGCTGTTGACCCCGCTAAGTCCTCCTTACTCCAATTGGGAAAGTTTTCTGCGAAACCAACACTTCTTGACATGCGCCATTCATGGTTCATTCCCCACTCTCCGTCGTCGGACTTTAATCAGCCGATGAGGCCCTGGCCAAATAAACGGGCGGTGAAAGGATTACCCGTCAAGGAAACATCTGTCAACTATCCTTTACTGCGTTGTTGGATCAAGGAATGCGAGGATGATCACCCTGGTTGCAGTTTAAGGAGCTCGGAACCCACCAAGTCTCACACTGGACCAACCATCCGTGGAATTGATTGCAGAACTCGCAAAATCGTGGAATTACAACCTGGTGATCAATACATAGCACTTAGCTATGTCTGGGGTAACAAGCCATTTCTTGAGAACAAAGGCAACCGGGCTCTTCCAACTAATGCGCCCAAGGTTATTGAGGATGCAATGATTGTTGTGAGAGAGCTTGGTCAGCGATATCTTTGGGTCGACCAATATTGCATCGATCAGCATGACGAACAGGCCAAGCATGCTCAAATCAGGAATATGGCTCATATTTACGAAGGATCTTATGCAACCATTGTAGCATTTTCCGGAGAAAACTCATCTTGTGGGCTTCCCGGTGTCAGCAGTACACCCAGAATCCCTCAACCCCGGTTCACATCTTCTAGGTTGACGTTACTAGGCTTCACGCCTGTTTTGACCCGACAATCCTTTGAAGCTTCGATTTGGTCGAAAAGGGGGTGGACCTTTCAAGAAGCTCTTCTCTCCCGGAGACTGCTTATTTTTGCTCCCGAGCAGGTGTACTTCCACTGCCCCTCTGGGATTTGGGCTGAAAACAGCACTCCAGCACCTCGCCTGGATGTCAGCTCCTACATTGACCATCAGTCGGCGGATTGGAAGCGGGAAATGAGGTCTATTTTCCCTTTAACAAGGGTCCATGACTCAACCTACGGGTTCCAAGTCGAAACCTTTGACATCCAAGACCTCCTTCCACTCATCGAGGGTTATGGTAGGCGGCAATTAAGCTTCCAAGCTGATGCTCTGGATGCTTTTCGAGGTCTTCTTTCACGAGTCTCTATTGTTACCTATTGGGGGATCCCTGCCTACGACCTCCCTCAAAGCCATAGAGGTAGCTTTGTCTTGGACGGATCGGAGGCGGATGCTCTCTTTCTTCAATGTCTTTTCTGGATACCCCTTCACACAGCCACACGCACACAATACCTTGGCCGTCGTGAAGGATTCCCAAGTTGGTCATGGCTTGGTTGGAGAACGCCAGTGACTTTCGCATGGCACTACCCTAAGTATGACATTGACGCAATGATGCTCCCAACTGTCAAAGTTGAAGACGAAAACGGTGCACTTCTTTCACTGGTTGATGTCATTGAATCATCAGGAACAGAGATGGAACGCTCGAGGGCCCTTCCTGAGAGGACAACTTATCTGTGGCTCGAAGGGCTTGTTCTTACGTTGGGCTTCCAGCGCGGCAGCAGACGTGATGGCCGTCCATTTCGCTTCTGCCTCAACCATCCACTGGGCTACTCAGATCCCCCTTGTGAGATGAGAGATAGCTGTAAACAACGAACGTATGCTTCCGGTGGCCTGTTAGCGCGCCACAACCAAATAGAATTTCGGTTGGAAGCCATGGGTCCTATCGAAATATACGAGAGGATACTCGAGAGAACGTGGGATTGTATCTTGCTCTTCACACGAGACCCGAGCGAACTGTACTTTCTCATCCTTGATGAAGGAGATGATGCAGCGTACTGTGTTGGTACACTTTGTGTTGGGGATAGTTCAGGGGACCTGATCGAGAAGTTAAAGACTAAAGTACCATATTCATATAGGAAGGTTAGGATAGCATAGGTGGTGTCAACCAGTTTCTGGGCACAAGGGGAAAGGCGTTGGAAATTTCACGGAGGCGGATGCAATAACCATGGTTCTCACACCATACAATCTGGAAAAGAATGCACACGGCTGTCTCAGACTCTCACTCATTAGCTAGATGCGTAGTTCCGAAGTGACTTCATTTCTCGCCACTTTCCGCACCAAAAGTTCTTCAAAACAGTTGAGCCCACCTCAAGTCGTGTGCAAGATCGTCAGCTCCTTCATGCTATCTCTACACTGAAGGGGAATTTGCAGTGCGAAGAGATAATCTCCACGACCGGGCATTCCCCATGCCCAGCCGGCGCAATTCCGATACGTCTAGTCATCGGGACGGTATTTCAGCAGGTGGATGTAAGTAAGGTACGTACGACTGCCATCGCACATACGGCGACTTAAAAAAGCCCCGTTGGTGACGATGGGTACAGTACCGGACTCGGCACGGCACGGCACGGGCCGGGTGGGGTAACATCAGCCGGGGAATCCTCGGACGGGCCGGAGTGGCGGGGTACGGCGGGGTACGAGCGTACGTCACCGCTCCCAATGTCAAAACATTTCTTCTTCATCTTCAACCCAACATCAATCTGGTATCAAATACTGCGGGAGAGAACAACCTATACAACAATAGCAAGCGAGAGTCCTTTCCGAGACAGGTGGACTTCCAGGAAACTCTTCCAGTGCCATGCGCGCGACTACCTTTTTCTTCTTCCTTTCCCCATTTCACGGGCATTGAACATCACCAACGTCACAACAACCGGGAAAAATGCCATGTCAACTGATCAGAAATATGTAAAATTCCAAGCAAACGGACTCTGGGTTGAAACCCTGGGCGCCAGGCGCGCCTTTGCACGTTTCCCTCTTTTTCTTCTTTATCTTGTGATTCTACTATAGACCTAGAATCAACGTGTTAAGCTTTGTCTCTCGTGACCACGTCGCTCGTGACATTCGGGAAAAGCTGAAAAGCTGAGCCCTACCCGCGCCACGGCCCCATAAGTGGTGCAAGCTACCAGGCCGCTACTGGTACACTATTGCCAATCCTGTGGACCCCGTTTTAATCGCGAGAAGGACGGCTCCCAATCCATTGTCCTGCGAGCATAGCTGAGGGATGTTGCAGTAAGGGCAAAGGGAATAATGGTTGAGTATTTCTAATCGTCGGCCTGGATTTTGTATCGGCTGTCGATGCGCTGAAGTTGAAAGATGCAGCTTCACCCAAGTGTGCGACGGTGCTGAATGGGCACAACAGGTACAAACGTCCACTCCAAGTTAGTCAAGTTTACCTAAGAAGCTCGTAAAAAAACGAGACATCTAGTCACCGTGTGCTCCCATAGAACCATGGTATCGAAGCCTAATTTAGAATTAACTTTCAATATGCTAGCCTGGCTCATAGCCTTAGCCGCGCTTGGCGTGAGTGATAGGATGAAAACGCTTCTGGAAACGCCGGCGTTTCTACACCCTTGCCGGGGTATGAAAGGTTAATTTTTGACTTTTGCCGCAACGTAGCATTTACAGAAAAGTGTCCAGCCGCTAACCTCTGTTCCCCTACTTTCTGTAGGATCGACGTACTCGCCCTAACATTCATATCCCGGCAGAGGTGTAGCTGAGCCATCAAAACCCCTGTTGAAATCTACAAAAAATGACTCCCATAGATAAGCCACCAATATGTCTGCTTGTCTATGGGAGTGGGAAGGATATGAAACGGGTCTTTTAATCACGTGGTAGGGTCAAAAAACTGAACAACTACCTCCCATATCCATATCGTTCTGACAGAGGCATTACGGTGAGTAGGGAGCCGGCGCTAAAAAGATGAATATAATTGGGCGGATTACGAGAAAAGTTGACCGTCCTGACACTGCGGCTAGATCTTTTACACGGGTAACACCAAGATTGCACTCGGTCAGAAGACCATTCCTGATTGGTTCCAAGTAGGCCCTACTGCAATTTGCAGGTTCCACTCGGATTTACAGCCCTACCCGCGCCACGCCCGCTGCTTGCTACACTATTGCCAATTGATTTGGCGCCCTGAACCTTCCGGGTCCATGAATGCCCAGCCTTAAAAAAGAAATGTCGTTTGGGTAATTGGCGTGTACTCGCGCCTAACAAGGTGACAACACAGAGCCCTATGCTCCCTCATAACCTCGAGAAAACACAGTGTTCTAGTTTCTTTTCCTTGTTTTGTCCTAGATGGCAGGAGAGAGGAATTCCCGGCACTTTCATAAACTCGATTCATGAATCATCAACCATAGCATCCTCACCACAGTTAAGACGTTCAACCTTGCCAGTATCGAGAAGCAGCTTAACAACCGCCTCATGCCCATTCTCCGCCGCCATATGCAGCGCTGTCCATCCATCCTCATCCTTAGCACCTGCATCAACCTTGCCAGTATCGAGAAGCAGCTGAACGACTACCTCATGCCCAGTTATCGCCGCTCGGTGCAGCGCTGTCTGTCCATTCTCATCCTTAGCACCTGCGTCAACCTTGCCAGTATCGCAAAGCATCTTAACGGTCGGTTTATAGCCGTTTTGCTCCGCAAGCCACAGCGCCGTCCGTAGCTCCTCCTTATGCAAGTTGACCTTGCCGGTGTCGAGAAGCAATTTTATGTCACACGGTTGTTCACACGGCATCCCTGACAGGCCATCGAACCAACTATCGGTCCAGCCTACGGCACAAGCAACCACCAACAACCAACAGAGCAACCGCAACCATAGCCAACCAAGGAAAGCAGGCCGGCCGACCGAAGGCCAACCAAGGAAAGCAGACCGAAGGCCAACCAAAGGCTGGGCGTCAGAAGAAGGACAGAGATTGGGTCGAAGACATTTACGGACCCTCTTGTATGCAGATCACTTCAGATAAGATCGTACGGAAACCTTGAGGCCTCATGCCACAAGGACCAGTACGTACTGACCTTCTTTGGGTATAAGAGGGCCTTGAGGATCCGCCTTGTAATAGAGGTTAAGGGGAGCAACAAGGCCTTCGAGACCAAAGTAGTTTATTAGTGGAATTGAACTCTTTGTTCCAAGCCCAGAATACTGCCCTTGTCACACTCAGGTACCAAAGTATATTGAGCTAACTAGCATAAACCTTGCAGCTCACATACCCGAATTCCAACGCTCCTTTGTTTCGATATGAAACTTTCCAAGTCCAATCAATCTCATACATCGACTCGGCTCGATAGAAACGGGAAGATATGAGAACTGAATAACTGAATCTTCGTTGGTTCGCAGCCAGCCCCGCCTTGCCGCTAAGCGCATAACCTGAAGGGCAACACGTCTTTTTCGCTATCGCCAATCTTATGTTTCTCTTTTACCTTGGTATGGTGCGTCATAACACCGCAATAAATCCAACGCAAGGGGGCCCCACTGTCTTTTTTCGTGGACCTAAATACGACACGGTCCGTCCCGGGGGGCTGTTTCCCATTTTTTCCGGCCTGCAGGACACCTCCCTTGATGATGGGGAACTCAACCATGGGATCGAAGTCGTTGTCTGCCGCGTTCTTACACTCCTCGGTGAAGGAAAGCTGGTCGCTATTGCTGTACACGTGGGGGTACATGCCCTTGGTGGAGTACTGCCAATTGGGCTCACCTTTTTTCAAGTCACCTATTGCGTCTGACCGCTTGTAATTGACTCCCTGCTTTAGCGTCTTGAGGATCTCCTCTCTCGACCAATTGTTTATTCCCGTGTCTGTTTATGATAGTCTTTATTAGCCCAACAAGAAAGCTAATGCTAGATAGATCCAGGGAGCATCTGTGTGCGGGCGGGCGGGCATGCTAAGTAAACAGAAGGACTTACTGGATGCGCAATCGACAGAAGTTGGAATCTCGTCGGCGTTAGTCGCCTCACCGGGATCACTGCTTTGGGTCGGTGGGCAGCTCGACGGCGGCGTCGTACCTTTACTTGTACCTGTGATGGAGAAACCCTCGAGGATGCAATCGTTGCACAGATGTTCAGTGTCGCAGATGTCATCGTTAGCTTCAAGGGATATCTTTTCGTCGATTATTTCCGATACGCCTACGCCGAGTCAGGTCAGTCAGCACGGAAGCATACTTATTGAAAAGGAATAGGAAAGGAGTCATACTCTTAAAGGATTCAACGTTCCTTTCTGCCTCTTTGGCAGCACCTACTCCGGGCCCTGAAACGTCCGCAGGTCCTCCCATGTTGATGGCCCAGTAGGCGGCCAAGTCTAAACTTTCGTCTGCTAACTTGAACCAGTGAGCGAGCCAGTAAATGGTGCCGGAGTTGTCAGTGTTGGAACTGTCGGCGACGTCTTCGAGTTGACTCTCTAGCTTGCTTTGAATCGTCGAGAGTGCTGATAGAGGCCGCGTTAGCTCAGTGCGTGGTCAAACGACATGAGGGACATGGCTTACCTTGTCTGGCTGAAGTTGCAGTGGCCTGGACGCGGGTCATCAACGCCTTATCATCCCAGTTGTCGATCATAGAAGACACCATAGCCGCTGCTGTAGCAATGTGTCTTTCTATGGCACTCGTCGCCGATGACGCAAAGCTTTTATCTATTGGGGACCTGTAGTACACATGGAAGGATCAGCTCTCAGCTACCGAGTGACATAAGGGGCGCGGGACATGCTTACGGGTTCCAACTGCCAGAGTTAGGGCCGTCAGGACCGTCATAATCGAAGGGTAGCATCCTCGGGTCGCTACTATCGTCGGTCCCGTCGGTCCCGTCAGTCCCGTCAGATGGCACGTGGTACTGGTCAGTCGAGCAAACGATGCCGCACGTTTGATCGCAGCCTTGAATGCTGCAGCCACCACCGCATCCTTGGGTTCCGCAATCATCGGCCGGATCGGTAGACGAACAACCGCCGAAAACCTTGCAGCTGTCGGTGCCGCAGCCCGAGGTGCATGTTGCGGTGCTCTTTGCGCTGGACCAGGTTACCGAGGGAACACTGTTCTTTATCGTGACAGAACTGGTGGCCTGAGGTTGGATTGTGACCGGGCGCTCGGTCCCAGGGAAGGAGGGCGCAGGCGTTGCGCTGCCCGAGGGCACAGGTGAGAATGTCGCCTCGTTTCCGTTCAGCGTGATGACTGCCGAAGGTGGCATGAAGCTCTGAAGTGGGAACACGGTAACTGGTGTGGTGACAGAAGGGCCGACAGTAATGGGCCAGAAAGGAATTGCGTCCGTTACCAACGGTGCTAGAGTGATTGTCGTTGTCTTGGTGTCCGTGTGACCAGCCGAGACGGTCCAGACTGATGTGACCAGCGGGGAAAACGTGATTGTGGTCGTCGAGCCGATGGGGTAAGGCGGAAGGATGACCTTGCAGGGAGGAAGACACGGAATATGGGGCTGAGAGTCTTCCCAGATGCTTGGAGGATAGTAGACATTGCCAGAACTGCCGGAGCCGGTGCCGACGCAGACATCTGGGCAGTAGCCATGGCTGCAGACAAAATCGCACAGGCCGTAGTCTTCAAGCCCAGCAATAGGCTTCCCTGTTATAGCAACCTTGGCCGGTGCGTCAATCAAGGCGCCCTGTTCTGTGCAGGTGCAACCGTTCCTGGGACAGAATCCTGGTGGGTTTGAGGAGTTAGTGAAAAACCAGAGACGTTTTAGACTCCTAGAAATCTAAACTAACCATACGTGCAGCTGAAGCTGCATAGACCGGTAAGAGCCCCCGTTCCTGTCCCAGCTCGGCAAGCTGGAGGAGAAAAGTCGGATACGTCCGGGATTGTAAGCGGAACCTCGGTGGTGCCATATGCACCCGAAGGGCAATATCCGTGGTTGCAGTTATACGCGCAGAGGCCCGAGTAATTCGCGGATTCGCCAAAGATTGGATATCCAATTACACCCGTTGTGGGTGGCTCTTCAATCGCCTTGCCCATCTGTCGGCATGTACAGGCAGTAGCAGGACAGTAACCCTGTGAGGTTGTTCTGTTAGGGCCATTCATAGAGGTACATAGTGCTAAGTACCGGTTAAAAGAGATAGGCTCCGGGAGTGTTCTTAACTTACATACTCGCAGGCGAAGCCGCAGAGACCGGCAAAGTTGTTCACTCCTGTGCCGTTGACACACGCCTGTTTGGAGATGGACAGAGATGGGCTAGCGTATACACTGCCAGACACGGTAGCGGAACCGACCCAGGCGTTGTATAGACTGCTGGTACATCCTGACTCGATGGCCTTGCCGTCGACTTGGGCGATTGTGGCTCCGTTGCGGCTCAGTGTAACAACGACGGCGCCGGTGCCACTGAAGGGAATACTACCGTGGTAGATACCAATATGGTCGTCCGGTTTGTATGTCCTGAGCATCAGTTAGTGGGTATACTTGCCATCTCCCTTATATTAACATAACCAAACCAGAGCTACATATACTCACTAAGATGCTCCTGCTTGTTGGACACCTCCAACAGTGACGCTGATAGTAGCCTCGGATGTGAGAAGAGCCGAGAAAAAAATCTTGTTCTGCACCACCTCGTTTGGGGGAAATTCAATCTGGAGCTGGCTAGCTGTGTTGCCGGTGGTACCGGTCGATGCGCAAGCTGCACCCGGCGACAATCGATACCTACAACTCAGAGTTAGCATGGTCCATCTCATATTGCCACGGTGCACATGTATGTGCTGTATAATACACTTACCAAGCCGTGAGGCCTTCCTGTGTTATCGTAGCCGTACCCGTCTTGAACAGGCCAATCACATACGGCAGAAAGAGGCGCCATCCGTCGTGCGGCATATCTTTGGCGAAGTTGCTAGGGCCTTTGCCAATGGTGAATGCCTCCATGGCTTTGTCGTAAAGAGGACCAATGTAATCTGACTCGCCGTAGTCATTCCCTATCAAAAAGTTACATTAGAGCATAGTATGAGGTGGATCACGATTGATGGGAATGATGTAGATTGAGGGATCCAGCTTACTGAGGCTGGAAGGGATCGCCAGCTATATAGAGCTGGCGATACAAAGAGGAGGAAGGTCTGCAAAGGAGGGGATTCTGGGAAGTGCCAGAACCGCTGTCAAAGGGGCCTGCAGGGCAAAGGACTAGCGGTCTGTGCAGCAAACGCCCAGAATCTTCTCACACATAGTCCTAAAAGCGGGTTATCTTTCGTGTTACTGAAAAAGGTAGGTATGCTCACATGAGATGATTTCAACAAACTGGGTATTGTCAATCAAATCCGCGTTTGTCTTGTTATATGATGCTTGCACCCAGCGGTCGTACCAGAGACTGTCGCCTCTCCAAAGCCAGTTCTTGTTGTAGCCGGGAAGATTGGTGAAGAACCAAGGTGATATAGGCATCATGTAAGGCTTGCCGTTCAGGTACTGCAAATATGACGCGTCGGTGTAAGTGTCCATGTCTTGAGGTCCCCAGGGCCAGGCTGCCCAGCTGAACAAGCCGTCGGCAACGCCACCGCCTCTGGTCAAGGCCGCCTTGGCCCCCAATGACGACCAATCCGGGATGAAAAAGACGTTGCGATCATTCTTGAGGTCGATCCAGTCATCGGCGCTGTCTGGACCCTCGAAGGTCGAGACAAGGTACTTGCCGTTGTACTTGAAATATGCTGAAAGAGCCGTATACTTTTCAAGCATGAAATCGACCTCATCCTTGGGCCATGCGCCGTTGCCAGCATAATCAAAGGAGAAGAACAGCTTGAATCCCATGCCAGCGGCCGCCGAAAAGGCCGTGGGCAGGGAGGATTCGATATTGGCTTCCTTGTAGGCAATGTTGAGAGCAAAGGCATCAATTTGAGCCTGTTGGGCCAAGTGGATATCTGTTTTCCAGTCGTCTGAAGTGTAGTTGGCGGCATTCCCAACCTGCACGTGCAGTGAGCCTAGTTAGCCTTACTACCAGTCCACTATCCCAGGGAAATAACATACCATAAAGTGTGCAAACACGGATCTTGCTGACACTCCGCAAGCCCCAAGCAGGGCTGCGGCTGTGGAGAGAAAAAGTGATGCCCTCATCGCAGCTGTTGCTGTTCACCACTGGGTGTGGTGTAGAGGAAGAAGAGGATGCTGGACGTCTCAAGATCATGGTCGACTGGCTGGCCGTGCCGGACCCTTTTATAAACGTACGGTAACTCTGCTGTCAAATTCTTCTCATGTTAGCCACCTCCACACGGAAATCTCCTCGCCGCGTATGTGTGTCCAAACTCTATGTAAGCGGCGGTTTACAATGTGGTAGCCCCGGCATGGATGTGACCACACCAAGAAAGCGACGGACCGAGATAGCGCAGTCTAGGACAATGATACTATCCTTGACAGCTCTTCTGACCGGAGTTTCGGCATTGGAATACTCGTAAGACCTCGAGGTGCTTTACATGGATTGTTCACGACGTTTGCGAGGTGGTGGAGTTCTCTTCCTTCCGGTCGCGCCGCTCGAAGCAAGTAACAAGCATGACTACTACCATACTGCTTCGGTGCCTTCTACCTACACAGCTAGTAGGTACCGAAGTCTTCCGGTGGAGTTGGGTTCTCCGGCAACGGCGTGGGAAAAGGTGTCCGGGTGGATGTCGGAGCTTCATGCTGTACTGTAGGTTGGTGGTCACTGTAGTGACATTGACAGGGTTTACGGACCGATATGACACTCGGTCTTCGCATTCATGCGAGTCGATTGTAGCAGGTGAAGGTCCTCTAACCTGTCCAAGTTACGATGTCCGAAAAAATAGCATATACTGTGCAAACCTCAAGGTCTATTAGTCCAGTTCCTTTTCCGAGGATAGTAGCAGGCTTAGCTGAAGTGACAAGCGGTCGATGCCCGGGCGATACCACGCTTGCGATATCATTCAAGTAGTGTGGGGAGCAGATGGTACAATGGGTACCTGCATTGGACGGATTTTTACTAGGCCACAGTCGAATCCGCTTGGACAAAATGTGCTTGCCTGTGACATGCGCGTCGGACAGACCCGAGTCTCATGTCCGGGTTAAGTTTGACCACTGGGGAGAGAGTGGACCATTCCAAAGTAGGTAGGTAGTGTTGTGACGGCAAATTTCAACCGGAACATGTTACTTTCCGCCACTACTCCTGTGAGTGTTGAATTAAAATTTGTTCGCGCATACATGTCGGGTATCATAAGTCTCAAGCAAGGCGGTCTTACTTGTTTGGGTTGTAGAATCAAATATGTTTTTGCTACCTGCCCTGCAAGACCGACAGCGACAAGGCACCAGCCTCAAGGGGAAGGCAATAATGCATTGTGTCCATTGACGTTGACTGTGTCTCCGTGGCCCCGTTGTAGCGTGATACGTTCCTTGGTGTTTACGCCCCACGACCCTCAATCTCCGTCATCAGCTGCACAAGCATGATCGCCTCGTCCCGAGTCCGTTGCAAGAGCTCGGTCTGCTCTGAAATCCATACCAATCTTTTCTTCCAAAAAGCCCACCTCTCTCGCGTCAGCCATTCATGCTGGTCGCCCTTCTTCTCTGCCTTCCACAAGGATCTTTCGGAACGGTTTGAACTGAATCGCTGCCAATACTCCCTTGTGCTGTGCTCATGGTTTTCTTGATGTGCCTCTGCGAACCTCCGAGCCATCATCTCTCTGTCGGTATATCGGTACATTATATCTCCTGCTATCACCAGGAATGGGACCAAGCCGTGAACGTCGGTGTTAAGCGTGGTAATAGCATAGTCTTTGCGCGAGCGGATGGTGACATCACCATCTTCTGGCACACCAGGATAGTTCCACGGATCTTTCTCAAGGGCCAACATCATCCGGCTGAAGGCTACACTTAGCTCAGTGGTGTAGTAAATGTTGGGGGGATGTAGCACAAGATGACGGGCCAGCCATGCATTCGCACAGACGTAGCCGCGAAATCCATTGCCATACCGAAACTCGTTATACCCTGTCCCAATTTGTTAGTCAACTAATGGGTATTGCCACGGTGTATTGGAATACATACTATCCCATCTCTCGCTCCAGATATCCCAAAAGTCCTCCAATGTCCTCCACCGCTCCAACTTCTCCTCCCCGAACCGGACTTCCTGCTCAGGTGTCGCATCTAAGCGGGGAAGGGCCATAACGGCGTCAGCAACTACCAGGATAGCGACTTGATGTTGTACCATGTTGATGCCAACATCATATAGCAGCCAGGCAATTCGGTAGCCCTTGTCGAAGTCGCCATCGCATGGCACGCGGTCCTCATTTAGCGACATGAGCTTGCGAGCTGTCTCCTCCACGTCCAGGGCGCTTGGGGTATTGTAGGCCTGTACGAACTCGCGCAGCGCTGAGGCCTCCTCCGGTGTTGATGTGTCCTCATTGACATCCATCTGGCCGAAGTCGGACCAGTCCTCCGGGTCACTCGGGAAATCCAGCTCCATGGCCAGGGCAGTTTGCGGGATGCAGAGTGTGGTGGACATAGGGTATGCAGCTACCGTGTCGTCGTAGAGTTGAGAAAGGAGAATTGAGAGACGAACTGTGTCAAGTGGGAACTGTGTCAAGTGGGAACATGAAGAGGACCCTTGAAAGCTGTGGAGGTTGCAGGCATATGGAAGAGGACAATTGCATATACGTGAGTACACTATGTACGTGTGGCCGGAAGCGCATCGCACTGCCTAGCTGAGCAAGTGTGGCGAGTGGACATGCAGGTCTCCGACTGGGCTAAGCAAGTAGAGCAATGAGGTCAAAGTTCGAAGGCACGCTGGTGATGTAGGAGGAGGGTAGTATTTGTGTTCTGGCGATGACTGCTTCGGCCCCGCTAAGTGGAACCAAGGGTAGGGCGGGGAGTACGCGGAGCCAGCCATCCTGGTTGCATACGGGCCGTGCCGAACAAACTTTTCCAGGCACAGTATCACCTGCAACCTACGGCACACTTCGATTACCACGTGATAGGGTAATGAATGATACCGCACAATCTCGGGGCGTTCGTTTTGGGTTCCAGGAAAATCAGGCATAGGTACTCGGTAAGCATCCTGCTCGTAAATGTGCTTTTTATGTCCGGGAAAAACACTGGGAAGACAGCTTGAGACCAAGTCTCTCATGACAGGCGTTCCCAAAATTGTCAGCCACTTTTTCCCCTCCGGTGGACCGCCCCGCTGAGACTGCCCCACATCCTTGGTGCCTGACTACCCGCCCGGTCCGCAATACCGCCCCACTGATCGCAACCGCACCCCGAGATGTCGAGTCTCAAGGAGCATCACGTGGATTCTTCGCACGCCCAGACGGCACAATCAATCGGGCGGCACAATCAGAAACATCAAGGCAATTGAAGGACTCACCATTGTTGCCGGGCTTGGTTGCGATCACGGTTGTCGCAATCGTGGTTCCAGGAGATATCTCGGTGGGAGAGATAGAGACAGCATTCTTATTTGTATTCTATATACTTAGGATTCTAATTTAGGACGTTTTCTAGCTTCCTCTACTATGTTTTCTCTTCTCCTCTTCTTCTATCCCTATTTTAGTAGGCATTCCTTATTAATAATAACTCCTATTTGCCCATTACAACCGTGAATATCCGACGTATGTGTAAACCACGAAGCGAAGTCATTAATTTAGATATTCTCTCCTTCTCTCTTATATTTAGAACAATCGAATAGTTTATCGATCTTATAATATTTATTCATATATTTTGAAAAACTACTTCCTATATAGAATAATTAACCGTATCTTAATGTCACAGGGTTGTGACTGCCTATATAGTATGCACTTCGATGTTCGTTGGCAAGCGAACATCGTCCTATCTTTTATAGGTTTGACCGTGTGAGCATGTGCATCCCACCCTGTCATACTTAAATAAGGAGCGGATTTAAACTTAATAACTATAACTATTAATTTAAATTTAATGATAAATTTAATAAAGAGATCTGGAGTATTAATTAAACTATATTCTCTTGCAACATAGTTATTCCATTCCGATACCCTTTCGATTCTTTATTCTTTCTTTCTTTACCGCTAATATTTAGGGTATAAAAAAAGTTTAAAGGTGGTTACTATAAAATAAACGCTCCGATAGTATCTATTAAAATTAAATCGACGAATAAAGCTTTATCGGTAGAAAAGATATATAGAAAGCGTAGAAACTATTTTTAAATATACTATTGAAAATAAATAATATTAAATTGTGTGGAATATACCTCGCTTAATAAAAAGTTTCGAATATTCTTATATTATAATTCAAAATATAATTTCGAATTGCGGATATAAAGGAACCTTACATAAAAAACATAAATAAAATAATAAAGTAAATAAGTTAAAATTTCTTACTATCAATTTTATTTTTACCGTTAATTCGTAGCGCATAGGGGCGGAGAGTATTTTTATTCCCCGCTACCAACCATATCCAATTCTAAAATTCTACATATTTATAATACTTTAAGAGAAAAATACGCTTTTCCTATATCCTATCCTTCTATTTAAATTTAATATAATTAATATCTTCCAAATTTAAATATTAAAATAATTCATCGAAGGACGAAAACTCTATTTCGAAAATATTATTATATAAAGTTTAAATAACTATAAACGTAACTAAATAAACGATCTAATATAATACTATAGTAATAAAAAAGATCACCCTAAAAAAATATTAATTTAAATTAATGGTTAAAAGTAAAAATATATATACATCTGCCCCCTTATTAATTTTAGTAACCGATAATTTATTTTAATTAATCGTAATCTTAATAATAAACTTTAATTACTTTATATCCAAATCGCGAACGATAAATAATTTAATTTATCGATAAAATATATTCTTATAAATACCGGGCCGAAAGCTAATTGTTATGAACTTAAGCGATGACACGGGCCCACCGAACCATCGGGAACACAACAGCCACGTGAAGGCTGGGCAATGAAACCTCCCCAGGGGTAAGAGCCAGGATCAGAGCCAGGAGGGCTCATAACTGCCAAGACAGGCTCATGAGCCAACTTGAGGCTCATGAGCCAGCACCGAGCTCATGAGCCAGGAAAGGGCTCATGAGCCAGAAAGGAGCTCATGAGCCAGGAAGAAGCTTATGAGCCAAGCTACGATCAATGAGCCAGACGCATGTAACTAGAAGGCACCAAGGTATAAAGGGACGACTGGAGAATCAGATTGTCAGATAGTTCTGTAGTAGTCAACAGATCATTATCACTGAGACTAGTATAACGCTACCATACTTGTCGTGAACCTCTTGGCTTCACTGAACGTCTTCTGATAGTATCAACCTTCAGCTATCCCACTTAGGCAGATCAGACTGCCGTTCGTCACATCTTAACGTGAACCTACTACTAAACCCAAGGGTAAAAAGCAGAGAAGCTCATCGTATCCTTCTACCATCCTTATAATCTCCGAGCCTGAGATATTTCCGCTGTAAATACTTTCCGCGCTGTAAGAGTGTCTTCGATATTTCGCTCACTGGGCGATTCGATTGGAGGTGTTGGGCCGCGTTTACGCTATGGGCAACACGTGATTTACACTGGCAATAGGCCTTGGGTTGCCCTCGGATTAATGGTTTTTGGTGGACAGTTTTGTACGCTAGACTCACCGATGTGGCACGTCTCATGCCCTACGGGAGGCGGAAGTAGACGTTAAAAATAACAACAACAACAACAACAACAACGAGTGTCTTCGATACTACGACCTACTAATATAGCTAATATATAACTTTCGCTTATTCAATATTAATATTGATTTTCTTTTATAATTTTGACAAGCCGAAAATTAATTAATATACCCAAAATAGGTACAAAATACTGAGATTTTGTCAATATTATTGACGCCGAGCTGAACCAACCCAAGATGGGAGAGAACAGCTCATATGAAGGACCTGATATGGAAACGCCCAAGCGCGATCATAATGGGAGAATCGGAGAGAACCGAAGATCTTCACGGCTGAAGCGACGTCGTGAAATGAGCACGTGGGGCGCCGGTGCTCTGACACAAGAAAGAGTTCCTTCGAAGCGTGCCAGTCCTGACGATGCAGGGTGTGATAGACCGTCCGCAAAGTGACTGAGGGGATCGGGATCAGAAGCTGCCTCTCACTATGTTGTATCGGGCAAAGACATACAAACACAGAGACCTGGGGTCTCTGAGGTGAAGAGGCGGAACGAATATGATCCGGAAGCAGTAACCATGGGCAAGATTCCAGGCAACCGTCCAAAGAACCGAACGGTTCCTTTTACGGATATGCCTCAATTGCCAGCGAGGCCGCCGACGGCTCGTCGCAGCGCTCGACTGGCGGCCCGCCTCCACCACCGCTGAGCAACTAAGCTCTCAAGAACCCCAACGCCACAATATTGCACACGTACACAAACTTACTTGATCGGAGGATTCATAGGGCCGAGGCCGAAAGGAAGAAGGGTCACTACAGAAAGCGTTGGGCTTCGAATTTGAAAATGAATACGGGATCAGGCGAATCACCGGGGGAGGTCTTTAACTCTATTGCTTCCTCGAACAATCATATTTTCACTGCGTGCCTGTAGCAATATCCCCGCTACAACTGCCGTGCACATGTTTAATCATACAGCAAATCCGAGCTTCAATTCAATTCCATCATTTAGCCTTGTGGCTCAAAGTTGTGTCAAATCTTCGCGGGTATCAACCCCTAGCCAAAATCCCCTAGAGCAAGCTCTCTCCAAGAGCGCACCGCACCAGGGAGCAGCCAGCCCTAACCGTCTCCTGTGCGCCCATAGACTCCGGCTCGGCCAGGCTGGGGTTGACCTCGACCAAATCAACAGCAACCAAGCTACCAGTCTCATGGACACACTCGCAGATATAGTCACCCTCTCGAAGCGTCAATCCTCCGCGCACTGGGGTACCGGTGGAAGGTGCCCACATGGGGTCCAAAGCGTCCACGTATGGATTGAATACCAAAGCCTAACCGTCGAATTGGACAGATGGCCGAGCGGTCTATGGCGCTACGTTCAGGTTTCGCTTTGTGAATCTGACTCGTAGTCTCGAAAGGGGCGTGGGTTGGAATCCCACTCTGTTCAATTTTTGGTCTCTGCACGAGGCCTCGGAGCAATACCTCACAATCGTCACAGATCTAATCCGGCCTCATCGACAGAGCTCCTCCCCTTCGTTTGGGCCAGTGTGAAGTGGTGAGCCCCCTTCCTGTCGAGCGTGCGAAGCTCTTCTTCCGTTCTGCTTTCCCACAGCTGCTCCGGGAAGTCAACACCGTCCCAATGGCATTGGAGAAACTGGCTCCCGATTTTGCATAGTTTCTGAATATGATCCTACTTATCGAGTGAGACACCGAACACGTCGATATCGTCCCAGCATGTCTTCCGGCGGACTGGCGACGTGCTCATTAAACACTTCCTTGGCATAAGTGTCGGTCCATCGGGCCGGGGCGTCGTTAAAGGCATATACTACCGTGTCTGGGATCTTGAATGTTGCTTTTCCAGTGGCAGAACACGCTTCCAAGCAGGTGTAAGCTATGAAACCGACGCTTCGGTACTTATTCTTAGTGAAAGCGTTTCGATCCTTCTTACTATAGGCCAAGGACTCGAGCAATTGGTCCACGTCAAGGTCGGCCAGGACGACCTGTCTGTCGGTAGTAAGGAGGATGACTTTATGATAGCCTTGGTTGTGTAGGATCTTCCGCTGTTCGGTACTCAGACCATAACGACCATAACGTACATACCTAACGGCGAGACCGAACTATTACGAGAGCTTATCAAAATTCTCGAGGTAGAGAGTTGGGTGCTAGTCTTTCTCTTTGTTATTGAAGGCTGACCAACCCCTCCGGACCTGTTGCATTGGTCAGTCGAATCGTCCAGAGACTCTGGGGCAAAGCCACTGCTAAGAGCACGTAAGTTGCCCATGTTCCCTCGTGGCAACGGCCAAGCGCCGCCTGGGCGGTGTAAAGGCTATATCCAAGGCCGTTCGCGATATAGGTAATCGACATGGAAACAAGCCTAGCTCACTGATTTCCATCGCTGACGATAGAATCGCCGTGGTTGCTAAAGCCTCTGCTCGCTGGAGTGATGGGACCTCGCATCCAAACAATGCACAGCTTTTATCGAGCGCCGACCCGCCAGTGACAGAGCCCGCGCGCATTGCGGCACAATAACGATCGAATACCCACAGAGGCACTTAACACCATGCCGACATTGCGGCTTGATCAATGATCGTACAAGATGGGACAGGCCTCAGGTGCAGGAGACAACTTCAGTAAGCACTTAGAGTCCATGTGCGGCGCCAGAGGGTCTCGAGGAGTCGTATCTATGCACCAACGGCGGCCACCACCAAGGGGGATGTATTAACAATGTAATCAATCGGTAGAGGAGTATTATAGGATTAGCATTGTGTTGTGATAGACGCTCGCTACATGGAACAAGCACGCGCTGAAGAAATTTATAAGCAACTGGTGTACGACCCGTTTGGTCTTCACCCCATTCTCATCAACGTTTATTTGGCGATTTCCACACCATTCGTAGCACCTGTGATGACGAGGTTAGCAGTCTGATATTGCTGCGGGCATATACGGGGACAACTCATAAACATACCGAGAGCTTTCTTGATGTCGCCGTATATCGCGAACTGCCCGGCAGTCAACCCGCCCACCATGAAGAGACGCGTGGGGAGACCGGCAAAGGAACCGCGTACGCCAAGCTCGCGGGCAATCTTGGCGAGACGGGAGACGGTGCTCTCACCGGGCAGTCCCTTGGTCTTGTTGATCTTGGAAAGCATCGTATCGGCCGGCTGCGACACGATGGCGGCAGCAAAGCCAGCGATTAGGCCAGAACCCAGGTTAATACCAGTCAAGGCACTACCGGAGAGTTTAGACTTGTCAAATTGAGCGAGGATGTTCTCGGCAACCTTCTCGTATACGACGAACTTCGTAACCGTGTATGGGACCCTGTATGATGCACGAAGGTTAGCCAACAGATCTTTAACAAATGTGGGCTGGGACCGGGAAGAACATACTGTTTAAACAAGATCGGTCCGAAGCCGGCGTAGAAGGCGCCGACTCCCTCGGTAGTCAGGATCTTGGTGAAGCCATCGACTAGACCCTTGGCGTAGCCGGGAGTAGAGACGAGACGGATACGGGTAGCCTCCAAGGGGCAAAGGGCGACGGAAGCGAAGAACTCGGCCGAAGCAGCGGACACGGAGTACACGGCGGTACGGTTCTGACGGGCCTTCTCGATGCCAATGAGGTCGATGGACTGCTTCTTGAAGAACTCGTAACCACCGAACTTGAAGGCGCCCTGGACAAAGTAGCCTGTGAACGTAGGACCGAAGCCCGTAGCTAGCGCGCCGATTCCTTCATTCTTGATGACCTGGCGGAAGCCGCCGATCATGCCACGGTTGTACGTCGCAGGGTCGAGTTGGATCCTGGTTTTGATTCTATATTGGGGCTATTAGCAAGTAGTCGAGAAGGAGGGCAGTAGGGAAGACGTACACATCGACGGGTGTGAAGGCGCCGTGCGTGACGGAGCAGCCGAGGGCTCCGGCCAGGGCGAAGCGGGCGTAGAGGTCCAGGCCCTCGGGCTTCTTCTGGATGACCTCCTTAACGGATGTGGCAGGGGCGGCCATTATGAGATGCGTGACGGGTTATGATTAAGAGACAGGAAAAAACAAGAGGAACAAGGCAAGGCAAGGCAACGCTACCGGGGAAACGAGGACAACGCCACTGCGCCGAATGGGGAGTGTGGTGGGAAGGACTGGCGGAAGCAGTTGAGGATTGGGTTGCGTTGTTTGGCTTCCAGGTTGTTGTTTGGCAATTGAGACAGATTTCTGAAGTGGTTAGCTCTTGCACGATCTGATTGGCCAAGAAACGGTTCGCTGCCAGCCCGGTGCTCGCTTTCGGGTGATTTAGGGACCGACCTCTTTTGGGTTAGCTAAGAGCCCCGTTATCGTCGGCCCGTTGGAGCTACGTGGAGACTAATGAGACGGCCAATTTTATGGATAGTTCACTCCGTACGTCAACAAGTGGAAGCACTACGGGGCAACGTTAACTTTTAGCCTGGCACGCCATCGTGGAAGGCTGCACCGCACGCCCGCAATGACCCATTGTCATGATTATTGATTCAAGGACCTGCAGTCGACCAGACCAGAATTATGCGCAGTTCCCTCGGAGGGAGGAAACGAGTCGCTAAATGAGTCTATGTGCCTGTCTACCTATGCTACCCGTCTGCATAGGTAGGATTCCAAGTCCATGCCACGATGGAAGAACTACAATGCGCAGTATGATGACAGCTAATGCGGGCTAGGGTTGGAGATAGTAGTCCTTGACATACTGAGCAAATTCCGCATCCTGCATCAACATCTCGTGCACCTTCTCGTCAACAGCAATGCCAGCCTCCAATATCTCATCGCCGTCATTGTCTGTCCTACCGGGCATAGGGAACAAGAACGGTATCGGCGAGACGGGCGGGCGTATGCAGGTCGCCGGCCCAAATCCAATGTCCCATGTGTGGTAGTCGAGACAAGCCCAACTCGTGACGGCAGCGTCCATCTTGCGCGGCGGACTAGTCATCCACGTTCGCGTCGCCGGCTCCTCAATGCTGCTGAGCCAAGCCTTGGCGTCTTTGACAAAGGTCGCGTCCACATTCTGGATCACGTTTCGCAGCGCCACAGCCGCATCAAGGAGTCCTTCTGAAGACTTGAGCGTCGCAATGGGGAGCTTTGCGCCATTGAAGAGCGTGCCATTGCCGATGTAGTTCTTCGGAAACTCAGGGTTGTAGTTGGACCGGAAGCTGACGGGAAATAGGGACGTAGAGGTCTCGACCCCTTCATCTTGCCCCAAGACGCTTTTGGCACGCACCAGTCCCCACCATAAGATGGCCTGGAAGCAATCGTGGGTCGACACCCGAGCGAACCTCTTTGCTGCAACTTCGTCTTTCAGAGCGGCGACCTTGTCGCGGGGAAAGCTGGCGATGGCGGTCTTGACCGGCGGTCCCAACACGTTGGACCAAGGGTTGTTGGGGTCTGCCTTTGTGGAATCCACCATGCAGCCATGAGCCGTCATTCGTCGCTCTAGTTCCGGCACCTCGGACTGAGGAGCCGGCTCGGGATTGATGAGGATGGTGCGATCGGTGAACAAGTCAACGCAGGGGAGTCCTCGACAATGCGCGCCCCAAGCGTGGAATATGTTGTTGACACTAGGTCCATCGGCGACATAATGATGGAAGCAAGCAGTGAGGATCACGCCGCCGTCGATGAAGTTGAGTTGGAAGATACACCCCGGCAACCCGCTCTGGTGGCCCTCGATCGACGTCAGGGGATTGATCAGACCCTCCGGATACGTGGCGCCTTTGGGAAGCTTCCAAGGCCCAAATCGTTCGCGCTCCAGCTCTGCATAGGATGGAAGATCGGAGCGGACGGTCGTCGAGCCGGTGACCAGGAAGAGAACTCCATCGTCGTCGCCCATTGTTCTGAGGGTGCCGCGCTTGGACACAGGGTCTACAGCAGCGGTTGCGGTGAGGCATGGTACTTGGGAGGCGAGGTTTTCCAAGCCCGTCTTGAGCGACGTGACGATATTCCTGCGTGATTCCTCGGACGATTCGGCCAGCTTGTAGTATATGGCTATTCGCGCGTGTATCTTGGGCATGGCCTGGTCACAGCCAGTGACGGGAAAGTCCCTGGCCCCCCTGACCGCGGGATCAGCCGGCCGGCAGACATATGTTTCCACGCCCGGCGCGATCTTCTGCTCCCATATTGAATTGGCCATTTCCTACCACGCTTGTCAAGCTGCTACGAGTAGAGCAGCCAGGTGAGAATATCCTGACTGCGTCTGTGGTTCTCACATGGAGGGACTCCTGATATCTCGATTCCCCTGCCATGATGCAATGAGTTTGTGCTAGACTTGGCGCAATGAATCCTTCTGGGTGGAAAGCCACTCGGCATATCCCAGCTTGTAGATTCCAAGACGCTTGTGGACTCTGAATATGCATTCGGCGTCTGGTTCGGCGTTGCGAACGCCGATGTCAACGCCGAATTGTTATGAGCTCAACCGACGCGTTCCCACGAAACATTGTCGGGCTTGGTTGATGCCGAACATTCGTGTCCTACGTGAATTCAGTCGTTTTCTCAAGGAATCCAGGTCGTGTGCGTCTAGATTGATGCGCACCCGTTCTGCAGTCTGGTAGGATCAGGATCTCACGGATTCTCGGCCGCTGACTGTACCTAGGGTTTGCTTCTGTCTCGTCGGCGAAAAGCTACTGTCACCCATGCCTAAAGACTAACCTCATTCGAATTTAGCAGCTGATGGCCTGATCCTCGTCTGTGCCTTCCATGTCGATGCTCCTATGAATTGAGTTTCAAACAATTATTCGGCAGGGCTTCACTCGAGGTCCACTTGGCATGACAGCGAGCATCTCACCCACCTTGTATAATGATTCTATGCCCCATCGGTATAGCGCCAGGCAAATGTGATTGGTGGTGGTGAGCATTCAACACATTAAAAGATTCTGGACACTGATGGGAAGAGGTCAGGTCTTTTATATTGAGACACAGTTCATTACTTGTCCAGAATAGATCGAGTGATTGTCATCGACCAGAGAAGATATTGTCGACTCACTTTTGCCAGAGTGTCAAGCTCGATCCATTGGACAATCATGTTGGTCGAGAACGCCGGGCTGCTGCTTTCTGCAGCTGTACCCATCCTACTCCTCCCGTATCTTCTGGGTGCTGTCATTTCCACGCTGAGACTGAGGTGGTATACCTCTGGTTTTCCGGTCATCAACAAACTCAAAGGCGAATGGTCTGATAAGCCCGCCGTGAAACGCATCGCCCGAGACATGAAGGCATGGATTCAGAAAGGATATTACAAGGTGGGAAATGCAGGGTCTCTCTCATGAATTGAAACAAGATCAGTCACTCATCGACTCAATAGTATAATGGCCCCTTTCAGATCATTGGATCGTTCGGGACACGGATTGTGTTGCCTCCCGACATGGCAGAGCACGTCAAGTCCGATCCTCGTTTCAGCGCCGACGAGGTGGTCAAAAAGTCCATGGCATCTACTCTGCCCGGCTTTGAAGGCCTACGTGCTACTGATGCTCTTACCACCATGATTCGCACCAAGCTGAGCACCAATCTTGGTATGTTTCAGCCTTGCTGCCCATTGCTCTGTTTCACCAGCGTCATGATGCTTACGATTCCGACTCAACAGGCAAATTCACTCAGGAATTGGCGGAGGAGACGGAAGTCGCATTTGACATGCGATGGGGGACAAGCACTGGTAAATTACTTACTCCCTTTTGACTCGTTTTTGTGTTCCTGGCTAAATAGCCGGGTAGAATGGCACGAAGTCGAGCTGCTGGCCAGTCTCCGTGACATCGTCACTCAAGTCTCGACGCGAATCTTCCTCGGCCCTGAGCTCTGCCGCGACGAGGAATGGCTGGACAACATCCAGGCATACACGAACAGCGTGTTCCATGCCGTGAGGGTGATACGTAGCTGGCCCGAGTGGTCTCGCCCCTACGTCCAATGGTTCCTGAAGGATTGCCGCAAAATCAGGCAGCAGGTGAAGCGAGCCGAGGAGATGATTGAGCCCATCATCGCCAAACGCATCGAAACCACGGAACGGGCCAAAAAGGGACTAGCAGACATGCCGAATGATGCCATGACCTGGATGCACCAAATCGCCATGAGCCGAAACGAGAAGTACCACGGAGCTCACGCCCAGCTGTCACTTAGCATGGCATCCGTGCATACAACATCCGATCTAACCTCAAACATTGTCCTTCAGCTCTGCCGGCACCCGGAAGTCATCGAACCGCTTCTCAAGGAGATACGAGAGGTTCGCGACCAGGACGGCAAGATGTCCAAGACCTCCTTGTACCAGATGAAGCTCGCAGACAGTGTGATGAAGGAGACACAGCGATTGAAACCACTTGGTGTCCGTGAGTTTCTCTCCCCGCTTCCCCAAAACTGTCGTCTAGCCAAACAAACACTCACCAGGCCAAGTCCTTACCCATCGCTACGCCCATGAAGACGTAACCCTACCAGACGGGACGCTCATACCCAGAGGCGCCCAAGTCGGTGTCAACATGTCCCGCATGTGGGATCCCAAGTACTACCCCAACCCCGAAGAATGGCAGCCCGACCGATTCCTCAAGCTGCGCGAGGAGGCCGGCAAGGAGCATCCTTCACAGTTTGTGACGACCACGATGGAAAGCCTCGGATTCGGCATTGGGACGCACGCGTGTCCCGGGAGGTTCTTCGCGGGGAACAAGGTGAAAATCTTGCTCGCGCATATACTGGAACACTACGAGTTCGAGAGAGTAGACTCCGGGCCCGACGCCTCGCCGTGGTATATAGAGATTGTGACGAACCCTAAGGCGAAGCTGCGGGTGCGCAGGAAGCAGGCCTCTGCTATATAGGTGTGTAGCTGTTTTGTCCGGAGTATTGTTACGTGGTGGAATAGACATATATCATGGAGAAAAAACAGACTCGGAGTTGCAAATGTGTGTCACTGAAAGCTTTGGGAGTTTCTGTCGCCCGATCATGGATGCATACCTTTGATGGCGGTTCGTTTGCAAAGATCAACAGAATTCCCGTCATCTCGCTGAAATGAGGGTTGCAACTCTGATCGAGTTCTTACGAAATAAGAGAATAGGTAGCCACAAGAGCCCAAGGTACATGAATGCATCATGAGACACCCATCGCTGCAATACAGTGTTATCGATGAAATAAGTCCCAGACTTCCATAGTCTACTCCGCAGTGAAACCTCATCCTCGCCTTGTTGGATCGCTCCTACCCTGGAAAATGTATTGATCTATTGTTGCACAGAGTCTGTCACTTGGCAGACAGCTGGCTGGCTGGCCGCATCTTCAGCAGTGGCACGCTGAGCCTCTAGCGGTTACTTCACCAGAGCACTTCGCCTGATGATCAACTCAGCAACCTGATTGAGCGAGGCGCTCTGTAGGACCTCGAAAATAGACAGCTTCGCCTGACCTGCCAAAGCAAGCCAATTGCGCAATTCGACGGCAACGAGAGAATCGACGCCGAGAACAGAAACGCCCTGTTCTGGGTCCACGCTCGCGACATCGACGTTGAAAATCGCCGCCAGCCGCGCGGCCAGTGCTTCTGCTACCTGTGCCGTGCCCTTCACTTCTTGCATTGATTTCTCGCCTCGATCGATGCTGCTGTGACCGAGTGCGCGGACGAGAATCGCGGTGGGGTCGAGTGAGGTGGCCTCGGAAGTCTGTGTCGATTGGGAGGATGATGCCGTTTGAACGAGGCGCAACGTGCCGAAACGCCGATCGCGACGAATGCCAGCCTCAGGCGTCAGACTGCTCCACGGCAGCAGGCCAACGATCCTCCGGGCTTCACCAGGTGACTGATCGAACCGACTGGATCGCTGGCTATGCTGGAGGCGCGTGTCGTGCTGGATGGCGTCTTCGATAAGGCGAAATACAGCGTCGACATGTATCGACTCGGTGCCAAGTGCTTCGACACGATGCCGAGCATCTTCGTCTGACGCCACCATTCCAACGCCTAAAACGGCCGGCAGAGCCAGACTGACGGCAGGGAGGCCGAGAGCCACGCGGTGGCTGGCCAAGGCGTCCTCGAACGCGTTGGCAGCGGCGTAGTTGGCCTGGGAGACGTGCCCCATCACACCGATGACTGACGACAGAAGCACGAAAAAGGACAGATCTTGAGGTAGGTGCTTGTGCAGATTCCTCGTGCCGGCGACCTTGGGCCCCACGGTTTTTCGCCATTGCGCGAAGGACATGCGATCGAACACGGTATCCTGTTTTTTTAAGTTAGTGAAAGTGTTTCAGCATTCGAACACGCGTTGTTTCCTATTTCTACGTACCGCTAGAACGTTGGCAGCGTGAATAACGCCACGGACCGGAGGCGATGTGGCCGAGACTTGACGGAGAAGTCGGACAAGACTCTCCTCACTCGATACATCACAGTTGAGGACTTGGAGGCGACAACCTCGTAGCGCGGCATCTTCGACGAGTCCCTCCGCCTGAGGGTGTGTCTCTGCGTTGCGGGAAATGAGGACCACACTCCGGGCGCCTTTGGACACCATCCAAGATGCAATGGCCCCGCCAATACCGTCCACCCCGCCAACGATCAGGTAAGTGGCTCTCTTATCATCGAGACGAAGTGGGCGGCGCACAGGAGACATAACCTGGACCGGACTGTCGTCCTGGGCCGCAATGACCACCTTGCCCGCCTTGCGTCGCTGCCGTTGCTGTTCCAAATGCCGCACAGCTTGACTCATCTGCGAGGGCGAGAACCTTGTCACGGGGGTAAGAGGTGAGGAAGACCCCGACGAGGAAGACACGGCGTTGTGAAAGATGATGCCTAGGCCCGCATCCAATGACTCCTTCATAAGCAGACCATTGTGGTCGCTCAGCTGTATCATATCCACTCGCGCATACGTAGCGCATCTTGCGGCAAGCTGGGCGACGTCTAGGCTCTTGTTCCAGCCACCGATTTCGACAAAGCGACCAAAATTCGCGATGCTATTTAGAGCAGACTGCAGCAGAGGTGCGGACAGCAATGACGTCGGGCCGGTGAGAACCACATCTACGCCCTGGCCGCCAGTCTGCCCCTTGATGGCATCACCTAATTCCCTCGCGTAACGGCTTTTAAGAATTTGACTTGGAGCAAGGTGGTATGTGTCCATGAGACGGTGTGTCTCGGCCTCCGTCAAGTCGGTGGTAGCAAACCACACGTCAGCGCCTACGTGATTTGCAACGGCCAGACCCGCCGTGCCATCAGCTCCACCATCGGCTTGCACGATCAGGACCTTGTCGCCCCTTCTCAATCTTGCCACGTGCACAAGGGCGTAATAAGCCCCAGAATACGCCAGCGGGGCACAGACGGCCTCCTCGAAGGATAGGCCATCAGGAATTTTCGCGACGCTGGTCCAACTCGCTTGTGCTATGCTTGCGTATGGCCCCTTAGTCACACCGCAGACCTTGTCGCCGAGCTGGAACCCACTGGCGTCCGTGTTGTGCCCAAGTCGGGTGACTATGCCCGCTACCTCGTGTACAGCCGTGGCTTCTTCGTCGTCGGCCTCTGTCGCAGTGCGGTGATGATGGACGCGAGGATCCAGGCTGAAAGCCCGCGTCTCGATCTCAACGACACCGTCAGCGAGCTCATTGGCAGCACCACACCACTGTTCGACGAAGCCACCTTCACCTGAATCCAATGCCTCCTCCCACACCAGTGGCCGATGGGGATCCTGAAAGGGCTGGAAGGTCTTGGTCTTGGACTCCTCTTTACTGCCCATCGCCGGGAAGATCCGTGGCACATGGACGACCGAGTCCTGAATCGCATACTCCCAGTCGGCGTCGGCGTGGCCAAACTCCTTGTTCAGCAATGTCTGCTGCAACACCCCGACAACATGCTTTATGACCACGTCCGCTTCTTCCGCCCAGGTTGTGGGCAAGTCCAGCAAGACGTAGGATCTGTCCACGTTTTCATGGCGGAGAGTTCGCAGCAGGCCCTGCACCTGAGAAGAGGCGGGTGTGGCGGAGGCGTCTGGACCGGCGCCGTTGGACAACCACAAAACTCCCCGACTCTCCAGAAGCACTCGACGGAGCTTATGGAACATGGACTCGTCCATATCATCCAGCACACAACCATTCTTGGCTACATCTGCAGCTAGTATGTGTACTTGGCTTTCGCCTGGTTGTACCTCCTCGAGGCTCTCCAGGGTGACCCGGATGCCCGTTGTCATATAAATGGCCTCGCCTAGCTGTGAGAGCCATTTCTGCTGCGACGGTGAAAGCGTGGATTCCGCATGAACGATTGTCACAAGACTGGGGTTGGATGGGCTGCTAGGGTTCACGGCGGACGCTTCTTGTTCAGGCGCGACACTTGTTAACATAACGGTCCATCTCTGGAATTGCGGCTGCTCGCAATCAGCAATGTCGAATTCGACGCCCGTGAATCCATTGGCGCGAAGAGCCTCATCCCACGCTTCTAGCACCATGACGAATTCCGGCTGCTCACCCTGCTGTTCCCAACCCGGGAGCGTGCTACAGATGAGCTGCGCGTCGAGACTGACGTGCGTCTTCACAACAAGTAGAAGCTTGCCGCCGGGCTTCAGCAGTTTCCGCATGTTTTCCAATGCCGTCTTCGGATTGTTGACTGCGTGTAGGTTCATGGATGCAACCACCAGGTCTATACTCCGTTCGGCTGCTACGTCGTGCGACGTCTCCGTCGGGCCCTCTTTTCCGAGATCGAGTTCCCGGAACTCGAGCACCTTGGTCCACCTGGCCAACTTCTGCTTGGCTGCCTCGAAATGCACTGATGAGGCGTCCGAGAATATGTATCGGTCGATGAGCAGCCCACCATTACCTCCCTGTCCGAATGCTTCCAACAGGGCTCCGGCCGCTGCCCCGTTGCCCGCACCAACCTCGAGAACAGCCGCTCCCGGTTGCTGAAGAGCAAGGACATTCGCTATCCTGGCAAGTTGCTTGTAGCTGCGAGTTTGGAGGCTGGGTAGTCCGCTGTTGTATTGCCTCATGAGATCATCGTTGTCCTCCCCTAAGAGGGCGGCAGGCGTTACCTCTCCTCGCACAATCTGTGCCAGTTTCTGACCAATGCGAACAAGGAGACCCCCGTGCGTCCCACCCGTGGACCGGAGCTCGTCGAACAACTTTTGCTTGAGTCCCTTGCTTGCTCGCCCCCAGGCTTTGCTTCCAGGCATCAGTTGCCCGCTCTTACCACGGGCCAGCACGCTCTGCATCCATGCAAATGAGGCGTGCCCGTGTGCTGTCCAACTGCCCGATGGCTGCCCCTCCAGCTCAGCCGCAGCATCGGCAATGAGGTGATAGGATGCGCGGACCACCTTTTTCTCGTAGTCCAGCTCTTCGCCTGCTAGTGTAGTGCGCATGTATTCTTTGATAGACGAGGGGATGCCACCGCGGCTCACTATCGGTACCCAACGGCTTTCATAGAGCGGAATTCTTTCCAGGCCACTTTCAGCCTCATCACGGGGAATGGCCTGGCAGAACAGCTGATTGATCACGAGAGGGGTCTCACGGCGGCTATCACCTTGTTGTTGCGAGTTCGCGACGGATACGTCCGAGGTGAAGCCTCTGCGTTGCGCACTCCGCAACTCACTGAAAACCGCCAGGCGCTCCCTCCCCCCTCTGTTTAGCGATCGAGGCACAAAAGCATCCTGGAGCGACCTAGGAAGCACCATGGACGTCTTGCCCGTGTCTGGGGGCAAGTTTGCGTAAGTAGCTTGGATGATGCAGTCCAGCGTCGTGGGGTGGATAACGTAGGAGGCGAAGTATGGCGACGCTGACGGAGACTCCAGCTCGAGGATGTCCAAGTCGGCTGCCGCTCTTTTGAGGGTTTTCGACGCCACCACGTCTGCGATGCCTTGGAAGGCCGGTCCATATTGAACTCCCATACTGGCGACATCTGCCCGAAGTGCCGAACCGGCCACTCGTCGTACCTTGGATTCCTGTGTCTTGAGGAAGGAGTCGACGTTCGGTGCGACGGCGTCCTCGATATCTTGCTGCTCCACCACGGCCGAGACGAGACCACCACAGTTTTCCACCCACATGTCATTGGCCCCCAGAGAGCGCACCTCATATTCGTACCAGCCATCAGCCTTGTCCCCCTCGCGTCGTGACGGTCCCAGACGGAAGTACATCTCGACACCTCCGACCGACTTTTCCGACTCGGGAACCACTAAGGCGCTTAGAAACTCGACGTTTTTGACACGATAGCCGCGAATCTTGTCTTCAGACGGATCCGTGACGAGACGAACGGCCTCGATGGCCATGGATACGTAGGCCGCGCCAGGAAGCACAACCATGCCATCGACACGATGGTCGCCGATCCAAGGAAGGTCGACGAGACGTATAAAGTTTCGCCATGCCGGTGTCGTTGCGCCCGAAACAGGCATACCAAGGAGCTCGTGGGGTGGAAATCTCTTGTGGCGGATGTCCTTGTTGACCCGCGATTCGATCCAGTAGCGACTCGAGTGATTCCACGGATAAGTCGGCAGGCCGGGCACAAATTTCATGATGTTCGAGGTGGTCACGGCCTCCTCGCCGTTTGCCTCTGGGTATTTGTTGATGGCCGATAAAGATACGGCATATCCGAGACGGACGAGTTCTCCGGCCACGTCTTGCATGGTCTCCACGGCATTCGCATTTCGCTGAAGACAGGACATGTAAGCCATCTTGCGGCCTCGCAAGATCTGTCTCATGGGACCCGCCAGAGCGCCATGCGGTCCTATTTCAACAATGGCGTCTACTTGGGCGGAGCTTGCGTCGGTCTCACCGAAGCACATGGCCTCAAATGCCTGGCTAAAGAGAACCGGGCTCGTTAGGTTCCGCACATAGTGCTCTGCTGACAGCGATTGGGCGGACGTGACGACGCCCCCCGTGACAGGGGACGTGTACCTAACGTCACCGGGCCAAGTCGGGCTCGATGGTACGATGTCCCGCAGCTTCTCCAGGTAGGCAGACTCCATGCGCCGCATATGGGGTGAGTGATATGCCAGCGCGACCCTGAGCTTGCGAGCGAATTTGCCGTCGGCCTCGAGACGCCTCACAACTTCGTCCAGATCATCTATGTCACCCGAAAGAGTGACGCTCTCGGGACTGTTGACACACGCCACCACGACGCGGCCGTCAGAAGTCGTTTCCCTTACGTATCTTTCCGCCTCGTCGGGTCCCACGCCGGCCGCAGCCATGCCACCAACGACGCCCGAGGCTTTCGGGTCCAGCAGAGTGCGCGCGAGCTCGCCACGCCAGTATGTCACGCCGAGCGTCTGCTCGAACGAGAGCGCCCCAGCGGCATATGCGGCCGCGATTTCGCCGCTGGAATGGCTCGTGACGGCCGATGGACGGATGCCCCATGAGCGGAGCAACACCACCAGGCACACCTGCAGCGCCACGGTGATGGGCTGGCCCAGGTGAATCTCCGAGACGCGACTGGACTTGGCATCGCGCGTCAGTTCCTCGCGCAACGACCAGTCGGCGCCGTACATCTCCCGCAGGACTCGGTCGGCCTCGTCGATCGCCTCTGCGAATACGGGGTATGCGTACAGCAATTCTCGGCCCATGGCATGCCATTGCGCGCCTTGACCGTTGAACACAAAGCCGAGTCGCGGCGCCCGCTTATTTGCGGGCGCGTGTCCTACCTTGAGAGCCGCCGTCTTGTCCAGATCGTCGGCCAACTCGGCCAAGTTGCTAGCACGCACTGTAGTGATATAGGAGAGGCGCGATCGCCGGTGACTGAGCGTGAAGGCGATGTCGGCAGGCTGCAGATCCATCTCGCCCTCTATGCTCTTCCGGATGCAAGCAGCCAGGTTTCCGGCCATGGCTCAGGTCGTGTCGGCGTCCTGGGCGCTGAGCACATACAGTCGAGACACATCACCGTCGTCCGCTGTCGTTGTCCTGCGACCGTTGCCATTTGCGAGCCGCGTTTCAGGCGCACCTTCGAGGATGACGTGTGCGTTTGTCCCTCCGTAGCCAAAGTTGCTGATGGACGCGCGCAAGGGTTTGTTGCGTGGCCAGGGCACCACATTGGTCGGCACTCGCAAGTGCCAGTCGTCAAGGGGAATCTTGTCGTTCCCCACGACGTAGTTCTGATTCGGCGGAATGGCTCGGTACTTCATGGCCATCGCAGTCTTGATAATGCCAGCCAATCCGCTGACGCCCTCGGTATGCCCGACATTGGTCTTGACCGAGCCGACCCAGACGGGGTCGTCTTGTGTGCGGCTTGCACCGAACGTCCGGGCAAGTGATTCGGCCTCGGTAACATCCCCCGCCTGCGTCCCGGTCATGTGCGCCTCCACGTACCCCGTGTCTGAAAGATCGAGACCCGCTCGTTGGTAGCAATGTCGTATCAGCCGGATCTGCGCGTCCATGGAGGGAGAGGTGATGCTGGTTGTTCTACCGTCCTGGTTCAGTCCCGTCTCCCGTATCACGGCATGCACCCGGTCGCCGTCTCGCACGGCCGCATCGAGGGACTTTAGCACAAGCACGGCCACCCCTTCTCCACGGCCGTAGCCCTGCGCCCGCGAATCCCACGCGTAACAACGTCCATCTGCGCCCACCATGCTAAAAATAACAAAAGCCCAGGGTTAGTCCCCACACAGGAAGCGCTAAGTACAAGAAAGAGATTGAAGCTGTTTAGACCAAGGTAAGTTACGTACCCAAGAGTGGACATGGCGATGTAGATGTCTGGATTCAAGATCGCATTCGAAGCTCCGACGATGGAAACGTGGGACTCTCCCGACCGGATGGTCTGGCATGCCTGGTGCAAGGCGGCGAGGGCGGCCGAGCAACCGGTGTCGATGGACATGCTGGCTCCCTGGAAATCGTAGAAGTGGGAGACCCTGTTGGAGAACATGGCCGTGTAGTTTCCGGTGAGCGTGGACGGCGGCATCGTCTCGGGATCGCGCGTCTGAACGTCGTGGTAATCCTTGGTGTAGCAACCGACGAACACCGACGTGTTGGGGCCCGGCCCCGCGAGCTTTTCTATGGGTAGACCGGCTGTTGTTTTCGAAGAAAGTAAAAGATTAGATAGGGGTTACTTGGGTTTTGCTCATAAGGGGCAAGCAAAAGGCTACTTTAGCGTCCTCTGTTGCTTCGTACGTCACCTCCAATAGCAGCCGAAGCTGAGGATCCGCTGCCTGCCCATCCCATCGCCGTCAGCTGGAGAAATAGAGATGGGATGAAATTTTGGCAAAAAGGAGGAGGGAGGGAAGGGAAAGGATCAAAAGAGCTTACACTGGCTACTTCGGACGTGAATCGAAAGAATGCGGCATCGAACAGAGCCACGTCTTCGTGTAAGAAATAACCCCCGGTGGCATGATTCTGCAAAGAAAAGGCGAGTTTCTTAGCAATCCCTTGGTCCGTTCCGAGATCTTTAACCGACTCTCATATAAACCTACTCTACCACTCTTCGCAGGATTCGGGTCGTAGTATGATTTCACGTCGAACCGCGACTCGGGTATGGGGGACCAGGCGTCTCGACCGCTGGCACAGAGGTCCCAGAGCCCCTCCGGACTCGTGACGCCGCCGGGGAATCTGCAGGCCATGCCCACGACGGCGATGGGCGACGCAGACTGGGGGTGGGACATGGTCCTCTCCTCATGACCATGATGCCTGCTTTTGTCAAACGACGATGCCCCGTTGGAGCCGTTGGTCATGTTTATCGTTATGATGATGATGTCTGAGATAGTACCATGTAATACGGGTGGACTGGAAAATGAACCATATGAAAAGATGACTTCGAAAAAGCATTGGAAATACGAGAGACTTAATGGATATCGAGGTGAATCGATTTAAAGAGGTAGTATTGTTAGTTAGGTACATCCGGGATACCCTGACATGCCTTATTCGGCAATTGTAAGCTGGCATGCTGTTCGCCGATCGGGCTGCAGCCGTCTTCCTTCGGCCTGTAAGCTGGATAAAACAATAGCTGCAGGAGGGGGGGGGGGGGGGGGGGGGGGGGGGGGGGAGGGGGGTAAATGCACTAAAACCACAGAGATAATGGTGGACATTTCGGGTGTTGCTTACAGTCGTGTTTGCACCTTGCCTGTGGGAAGTAATAATTCCCAAAGGTATCTTAGATCCCTAGCTCTCTTGCGTTCCCTATTCTCAGTTGGGCATAAGTTGTCCTAAATTTCCAGGAACATTTTCGCAACCAATCTTGAGAGGAGGGCCTCACACTTGCAGTGGGCAGTTCACTACGACGGAGCCAAGGATGCCGGATTCGACAGTCCGAGTTCCCCTCGGGGTTCTGGATCACTTCCTTCCTCCCCATTATCTGCCCATGAAATGGTACATCCCGTTGAAGGACGCCGTTACGCCCCAGGAAGCGTTCAAGGCTTTGGAAGATGGCCTTCGCCTTACCTTCCGACAACTGCCCTGGCTGAGCGGGAAAATCTACAAAGCAGATCCAGGAACACCAGGCGGACGCCCCGGCCAGCTTGAGATCCGGTATGACCCAGCGGACCTTGAGGATAACAGCAAGCCTGTGCCTCATTTCCGTTTCAAGCTACTAGACGAAACGGTGAGCTACGAAGAGATCTGTGAGAGCGGCTACCCCATGGACACGATTCCGGACGAGGAGGTCTTTTGGGGAGATTTCCTCAACTTTCCCGAGGTGGATAAGGGTGCCGAGTGCTTCAAGGCTCAGGCCAACTTTGTGCCGGGAGCGTTGATCCTGTGCGGCGCCACTCACCACAACGCCTGCGACGGCACCGCCTTGTTTGACGTGTGGAGGATATGGGCGGCCAACTGTGCCGCCTTGCAGGCAAACACCGCGCCTGTGGTCCTCGATCCCTTGAGCTCGGATCGCGGTCTTATCGAGCGTATATGGGCGGACGAGGGCAGCCGATTGGAGGATGTCGATGATGCAAAAGGAGAAACGGGCCATGTGGAAGCAAAGTCATACACCTTGTTGGACATGGAACCACCAAATGCACCGTCGAAGGAGGATCGCCGGTTACCTCCACCACCATCCTCTGGTGAGGCCATGACGTCGGCCGTCTTCTACATGTCACCCGACAAGTTCACCGCACTCCACAAGCGCTGTCTGGACGAGGCGGGCGCCGGATCGCGTATCTCGGGAAACGACAGCATGACGGCGCTGATCTGGCGCAGTCTGCTCAAAGCCAGACACGCGGCAGCCATCGCCGCCGGTCGAGCGAGCGAGTCGGACAATGTCGAGGCCTGGTTGCAGCTGACGCTCGACGGCCGGCCCAACATCTCCGCCAAGGGCGCCATGCCATTCGAGTACCTGGGCAACCTGGTGTTCTGGAACCGGGTTGCCATGCCGATATCGACGCTGACTTCGCCCGATACTGGTATCACCACGGTGGCGATGGCCATCCGCAGAGAGGCCGACGCAGCGACTCCGCAGGCCATGCTGGGTGCATATGGGCTGGCGCGGCGCCTTGAAGATCTCTCGAAACTTCAGCTCAGCATCACCCATGCCCACGGTTACGACATGATCCTGTCGTCTCTCATGATGATGCGCATCGAGGACATGCGGTGGGGCGGGCGCTTGTTCGCCAATGGTGGAAAGGCCGATGCGTTGAGGCCTCTCTTTGACGATATCAACAAGGCTGGACGTCTTTGTTTCGCGATGCCGCGCGAGCCGGGGCGCGGCGTCGAGTTTGTGGTCAATTTGTTCCAGGATGAATGGGATTACTTGCTGGAAGATGAGGAGTTTGGGGAATATGCTTTGTATTTGACTTCTTGAGAAGAGGAAACGGTGTAGAGCCAAGGCGAGTTCACGATAGTCATTCTGGTATCGTATCAATTCCTGGCAGTATTTGATGTTGTGTCCCTGCCGCAGCGGTCTTCCATGACATGACGCTGACCCACTTTTGACCTCGAGTCCCCACACTTTGTCGAACATGAACACCGTGACAACTGTAGAGATACCAAAGTCTCATCACTTTCAACAAATAAACTCTGCACTGTATATACTGAGATAACTCAATCGCCAGAAACAGCGCAAATGATGGCCAACATAATACGACTGGAATCTACGATGCGCGCATCATCATAGTCCCCCTGGACTTCTACGGTCGCACGGCAAAGAGTAGACGAACAAGCCATGAACAAACAGCAATGAAGCAGTATCCACTAGGACAACAGCTACAAGGTCTCCCAAACAACGCTGACAGCCGATCTCCGGAATCTAGCAACAGACGCCGCCGATGACTGATGGGATGTTACAATCGGCAGCAACACCACCGTCTTGCCGGCGCCGTCCTTTCTAGGCGCAGCGAGTGGGGCGTGTCACGCGAGTCGAGGGTGGAAGATCCCAGGGATCAACGGCGGGGTCAGGAGGACCTACAGGTGGAGATTTTGCAAGGCTGTTTCAAGGCTCGAAAGTGAGGCTGTAGACTGCAGATCCAGCCACTGATCTGCAGGATCAGCTAGGCTCAGCCCATTGCAGACCAGAGATCTACAGTTCAGTTCAATACGAGGCTGGCAACTCGGCCCAGGCCCTCTCTACCGCGGCCCTGTATAAAGCTCAAGATCAGCCACCTACGGCCTCACCACCAGATAGAGAATCAAGCCTTCATGTGCGGACTACACCCAGATATCCTGTGCCAGTTGACAGGGCGGGACGCGATACCGTGGTGCACACATTCGCCGAACGCACCGCCGAATCCATCCGCCGAATCTTATGCAGGTAGCTGATTCAGTGCTACGAGGCAACTGCCGTCTGACTGTGCTAGAATTGCCCGGGCAAGACCTTGATGCGTGATAATGGGTTCCACGCATGGTATCGCGGAGTTGTCGGTCCGAAGCTCTCTGGGGATTCGTCTGGCGGGACGAAGGGAACAATCGACCCCTGATATCAAGGAGATATAAGAGGGTTGGTGTTTAGCTGACTTATTAACCTTTGGTACTTACCGTTGGATAATGATAGCCATTCTTAATCCCAGAAACTGGACTTGCTCGGGAACGTTTTCCACACATTGGCCTATTATCATAGCTTGCTACTCTTTCGTTTCACGTCATCAGTTCTCTCTCGTGGTCGCATCTCCCCCGGCCCTCCCTATAGTTGGCACTGACTCCTAACGCAAAACCATGTCCGAAGTCAAAGGGTACCGCAGGCCAGAGCATGGCGTCTTCCGCTTCCTACCGGACGCCTGGGTCCCGTACGCCGAGCTCATGCGTCTCGACCGGCAGGCAGGCTTCTGGGCCTTCTACTGGCACTACCTGATAGGGCTCGGGTTCGCCATCAACATCCCCCCGTTCTCCGGCGAGATGGACTTGACCACCCTTGCCTTCCTCGCGGGATACCTCTGGGTCTGGACCACGCTCTTCCGCGGCATCACCTGTACGTGGAACGACAACCTGGATCAGGATTTTGACCGCCAGGTTGCTCGCTGCCGCGTGAGACCCATCCCGCGGGGTGCCGTCTCGACCGCGCAGGCACACGTCTTCACTGCGGCGCAGATTGCGGTTGGGGCCGCCATCTTGTACCCGTTGGGCGGTTCGGTGTCGATCCACGCCGTCATAGACGGCGTGCTTCTGTTCATCTACCCTCTGCTGAAGCGCTGCACGAACTACCCCCAGGTCGAGCTGGGCTTTGGGCTCTCGTACGCCATCTTCTTGGTGGCGGCCATGGTCGGCAAGGAGCCGTTGGCACCTCTGTTCGACCCGTCATCGGATCTGTCTGCTCGGTTGACCACCGTCGCCGAATCGCCACTGGCCCGGTCGGCTGGGTATCTCTACTTCTCCGGCATTCTGTGGACGGTCATCTTCGACACGATCTATGCTCACCAGGACTATCTCGACGATTTGAAGGCCGGCGTCAAGGGTCTCGCCGTGCGACTCGGCCGGAAGGGAACGAAACCCGCCTGCTACGTCGCGGGCGCGGTGCAAATCTTCTGTCTGGTGAAAGCGGGCCAGTTGGCGGGGTTCGGCGAGGCGTACTACGCCATCTCGTGTGGCGTTACTGCTCTCGTGCTGGCGTGGATGATCGCGGTGGTCGACTTGGAAAATGGCGACAGTTGCGCTTGGGCGTTCGGTAGTGGAAGCGGCTATGTCGGTACTGCGATGACGGTTGGGCTCATGGCTGACTTCGTGCTGAAGAAGTATGGATACTATTCGGCCTAGGGATGGGGGGGTTATAGGCATGATGCCCGCAGTCATTACTGCCATAGTCTCGTGAATACCTTACCCGAGTACATAGTCTTCCAGCCATTGCTGGGCCTTGTGTACGTACCTTAGGTGGGAGGGCAGCATCGAGTTCGATGTTCTGATCTTGAGTGGAAATCCAGTACTGTAATTCGCCTCAATTGGTGACCTGTTGATAACGTGATACAGTATTTCGTTGCCAGCTTTGGCAAACTCACAGCTGCGTTATGTCAATATCCCGTCCTTGTGTCTTTAGGAGTAGTAGGGACATCCGATGAAGCAACTGAGCGGCGAAGTAATCATTGAAATGCAGAGCTATCTATCGCCGAGATCATGTTTGCATGTTTCTTTTTCTTAGAGCAAAGAAGCAGACTCGTGAGGCGTGGCGCATCATTCGAGGGTCTTTAGTTTACCGTTCTCAACAAGTTGAAGAATTCATTGACGAACATCCATTCTTTGTTTCCAGAGTTACTAACTGTTGAACCTAGTAAAAGAGAAAGGGCATGTACTAGGCGCCTGGCATGCGAGCATTTTTACACCCATTGCTTGTTACCCAGATGCGAGATGAACGCACCACCATATCCCTCCTCAATGCTAGCCTTCTCCCAGACGGACCGAACAGCCTTGACCGATTCCTCCGGGGTGATTGGACCCTTGAAGTGGGGGGCATACGATGCGAGCTTGCCCACGAATCCCATCAGGCCATTCACCTGCTCTGGCGTGGCTGGAGAGATGTGTTAGTCCACTACTAGTACTCAGGCGTCCCCGCCAGAGCTGGGAATAGAGATAAGTACGTACCATTTGCATAGCGACCGACTTCTACCAAGCCCGGACTGATGCTTAAGAAGAGGATGCCCTCTTTCTTGTATTCCGCGTTGAACTTGGCCACGATAATGTTCAGGGCGGCCTTGGATGCGGCATAGATCGGGCCAACGTCAATCTCGCATTGGTTGGTCAGGTCGATGTCGCCCACGCCAGATGAGATGGCGATGACCTTCTTGGCCTTGCCCTTCTTGATCAGAGGAACAAAGAGATTGAAGAGGTGGAGCTGGCCGGTGACATTTGTCTGGAATGTCTCGGCAGCACCAGCATCGACCTCTTCGATCTTATCGGCCCTGTTTTGTGCATCTACCATTAGTCCACACCATCACAGAACAGCCTGGAGCCGGGGGGTGGTCGTCAGGAGAGGGAGAGGTAAGACATACAATGCGCTGACAGGTCCGTAAGCATCAAACTCGGGCACGAGACCGGCGTTGGCAACCAGGTAGTCGACACCACGGTCGCCAACGATCTTGGCGGTCTCGGCGGTCGCCTCCTTCAGGCTGGCGTAGTTGGTGAGGTCTCCATGGAGGATGTGTACATTGGGGCGGTCGCCCAGCTCCGCGGCAACCTTCTTCTCGGTCGCAGCCTTGTTACGGACAAGACCGATGACCAGGTTGTCCTTATCTTCCGACAGTTGCCGAAGGAACTCGAACTGAAATCAAGGGTTCAAATTAGCACGGGGTAAGCAAACGCGGTGGGATTAGGTGTGTAGCAGACGTACGCCAATTCCCTTGGACACCCCTGTGACAACGTAGACGGACATGGTTCAAGTGAGTACAGGTAAGGATTTCTGAGCTAAACTGGTTTGTTAGTTTGATGGGGAAAGGAGAGATGCAGACAGGTTCTGGAATCAGACGCTAGGGTATTTAGAGGTATAGCATATGTCAATTGATAGAACGCAATAGATCCTTGGAAAGCTTCGATTAAAGCTTTAATTAGTAAGCTCGGCGTTTGCATTCCCCCGAGAGCCTGTTTGCGTGCCAATCCGTGACACGGATTCTGCCAGTGAGAGGCGCCCGGTTGTTGGCCTATCGTAAGGTCTTGTTGGTGGTTGAATCTTTGTCTTTTCGAAAGACTTCCAGTTTCACATGCGACTTTGTGACAGGTACCTGGCACTAGTCTAGATTCAATTTCTTGGCACAGACCTCTCATCCACTTTTTGGCGTCCTTACCGGCGCAGCGGTCGCTATCACTTCGGCCGCCCCGCATGTAGCCGCCTGGGCACCCCTGTCTGACCGTTTCAGCTAATGAAAGGAAAGACACAGCCCACAATGTGGGATTAGGCAAAACAGCAGAACGCCGATTCGCCGAACGCATTGTCCCGAACGAACGAGGTGCCTCACTGTTTGCGCATGTCTTCCACTGATCACTTCCCAATCTGAACGGTACGGCACCAAAAGCAGGCTCAAGGCCACTGAGTTCCACTCAACTCGGGAATGGAAACGCCGACTGAGAACGCCGATGTGGATGACAAGGACGGATCCATAACGCCGATAAGGCTGATTCTAAGTCAAAGTGAGTAGCATACACCCACCACTCTTGTCTTTTAGGCTTGTGATGCCCGATTGGATCGTCAATGTTCCGATGCAGGTCTTATGCTATGCTCAAGCGGAAAACTCATGTTTCACACAAACATGAGTAAATCTATGCAGGTACCACTGGCTAGATCCGGTATATACAATGTGATTCAGGGATAGTTACCCCACAATATACATACGGTACGTTACGCCAACTTCCCGTGGCCGTACCAAGCTGCGTTACTAATGCACCAACAACACCCTTGACACCTTTTAGACAAGATCCTCGGTGTTCCACTTGATGCTCTGCTCCAACCCTGTCCACCCGTCCTTGCCCATCTTTCGTAGCAGATCCTCCGCCCGCTGACGAGGAACAATCTCGCTCAGATCCTCCCCGGCTTGGAAGGGCGAGGCAAAGCTGCGGGTCGGGTACAGCCGGCGAAACACGTCCAGGATCCGATCTCCGTTTATGGGCTCGGCGAACGCAAAGATACGTTCTGATTGAACCTCTGGGAGGATCGCGGCCGCCACATGCAGGAGGGCGTCATCCTGGACGTCGACATAGTACTCTGTCACCTTGATGTATTAGTGGCCCGTCTCTCTCTCACACCCCAAGCGATGATAGACATACGAGGTGGGACACTGGCCTGATAGCCGTTGGTGTCTCCGTTGAAGAGACTCACAACAATGCCCGAAGTGGATGGGTGGCCTTGGTTGGCGGGGTCGAGACTAGCGCCGAAGTTGAGATTCGGCACGACTGTATTCAGGGTGAAACCCGGTTGCTTCTCCTCCATGAACTTCCAGGCCTCCTTTTCCGACAAGGTCTTGCTGGCTGCATACACAGGCAGCGCGTGCTCGGGTCCATAGGGCGGTGGGTCGCGATAAGCCTGCTCCACCGCCTCGTCGTTCCACGTATCGGTGGTGACCTTGAAGGGGTTGTTGGGCTTTGGAATCAAGGCCGCGGTCGAAGAGGACGTGAGCACGAAGCGCTTGACGCTTGGCTCCCGTGCCGCGGATTCCAGAGCGTTCCGCGTCCCCGCCACGGTTCCCGGTATCACGTGGTCGGGGTTGGGGTCCATGGTGAAGATGGATGCGGTGTGGACAACGGCTGAGACGCCCTTGACTACTTGCGCGAAGGCGTTTGGCTCTGCCATGTCTGGTACAGCCATCAATTCGAAGTTACCCGGGCCGTACTTTTTGTCGAACGAGTTGCTGATCCAAGCATTCTTCTCTGGGCTTCGCGTGGTACCGCGGACCTTGTAGCCGTGTTTGAGGAACTGGTCGGCGATGTGAGATCCAATAAAGCCCGCGGCGCCCGTGACGAGCACAGTTGAGCCTTTAGGAACAGCAAACTGATCGGTTGGCGACGACGACATGGCGACAATGCTTGTCTGGCTGCGGGATCAAGACTGACTCAAACAGTAGATGTAGATATTTGTAACTGCGGAGGGACTTGTGGGAGGGGGAAAAAAAGTAGTAATGCTAAGATATGTAAAGTGAAATTGTACTTTGATGTTAACTGAGGGGAGGTGCATTACGTGCTTACATGAAGCGCCGTCAACTCGTTTCAAAGGAGGGGAGGACCGGTAATGGTCCGTGTCAGACATTGACTAGGCACGAATGGTCTTTTATATACTTCACAGCGGAGTGCAAATACTTTCGCTATCACACATCCGCGTGTGGTGTACGAAAATGTAATCAGTGTAGAGATCATTCGCTCAAGCAGTGTATAGAAGAATGCCCAGTCTCAGCTGAAAGGCACGAAAGAGGTTGTCACCAAAATGGCAGTCCTGTTATGACCTTATCTCCACACCCGTCAAATTACCCCGGTAAAATCACAATGAGATTTCCACTTGACTAACCCTAACTACTCGGACGATTTGTACATTGAACAATTAACTACTGTGAGAATCTCTGATATACTCGGGGTACGACCGCTCATACCTGGATAGGAAAGCAAGCGTTGGATTAGCAGGGCCACAGTATTACTTGGTAAGCCATCAACTTACCCTAGAATACTCTCCGCATACCAGGCAATCCCGCGGTGTGCCCAAAAGAGCATCGGCGTCGGCATCCAGTTGAGGAAAGGCGGGCACAGCAGCGAAGACGCGTTTTCGGTGAACAGAATGATCTGGAGAACCGACGGCTGCAGGCCGGCCTTGAGGCAATCATTGACGTAGCCCGACAAGTTGCGCAGGAAGTTGACGTCCAGAATGTGCTCTTTCTTACTGGTACAGGGATCCAGCCAGATGGAGAAGACAAGGTCCTCGGTGCCTGTTTTGTGAGCCCAGAATCGATGCCTGTATCAAAAGTCAAACGTCGGTCTCTCCGGTCAGTCACTTGGTGGCTTTTGTTTCCCCAGCCAGGAGACAGGCTAATGCAAAAACTCACCGTGTGCCACGGGGGATAGGGAAGACTCCGTCGTCCTTGGTGATGGCGTATTCCACACCGTTCTTAACGACGCCCAAGACACCCTGCTCGACTTTGAAGAACTCGTCTTGCAAACGATGTATATGTCTGCCATCCCAGTTAGGCATTAAACCATTTGGTGTCCATTGGCTAAGATGGGGGCTCGCCTGTTCTTTTACCTACAGTGGGGGTCCAGATAGTCCGGCTCGGACGAAGTAGTTTTCCATGTGATGCGTCTCTCGGATGTACCAGAGCCCGTCTGGTTTGGAGAGCGGCTCGTACAGGGCTGCATCTCCGAGGTGAGACCACGACGGCTTGTCGTTGTTCTTGGTCCGTTGCGGCGGTCGTGGCGATAGCCACCGTTGGAATGCGGTCGCCATATTCGGAGATAAAGTCAAAAAGAACCTGGGTAGGAGAACACGATTGTGCAATGACTTGGAGTAGTCGCCGGCCGATGCACCCGACGGGCAAGAGCTAAAGAATTGCGACGTCATCAAGTATTTATAAATCTTTGTAGTATCGATTCAGGTGGTGTCTAGTGAGGTTGCGCTTTGTCGCTTGTCGGCGATTGGCACCCATCCCATGGACAACTTCGGCCATCTGCATACCGGCTGGCAGGGGTCTGGCTTGCATTGTATGTAGCAGAAACCACATGCAAACAAGGGATGAAAAGTCTACTGTACATACGCCGTACGCATCCTGGATCTTTGGCTGCATGCACCTTCCCCATCTTCTGTCAAATTGGAGAAATTAGGTAGGTACGTTCAGGGTCGGGGCCTGTACCCCGCTAGGGCACTGTATCTGAACCTAGGTACCTATCTGATTTCCGCTTGGGGGCACTCGGGGCAGCGGTATCTTTTAGATATACCCTTCGACTCTAGCTTCATATGGTCTCATGTCGGAGTTGACTCTGCCGTGCTCGTCAATTCTTCATATCGCACCAGCGATCAGAGGGGGAGGAATTTAAACACTCGGTGCTATTTCCCCAGGGGTCGTAGCAATCATTGCAAACCCAACTACCACCAATTTGTCGCCATGGCGAATACAGGTAGTACCTCACGGCCAGTCTTCACCATCCTAGTTGTGGGCTGCGGTCTCAGTGGCCTAGCGTCCGCCCTGGCTCTTGCTCAAGCCGGACACCGCGTAACCGTGTTTGAGCGCAGCCCGAAGCTGCAAGAGGTTACTACTTTGTCACTTTTATTTTCTCCCACAGATAAAACTAGAACGCAGTTCATCCCCTTGCTGACTCTGAGACTATTTTGGACAGATCGGTGCCGGGATACAGCTGTCCCCGAACGCCACTCGTTTGCTTCAGCATTGGGGCGTCTTTGACGAGGTGCTTCGGTATGCTGATCAACCCGAGGACGGGACTTTCCGCTCCTACCGGGGAGAACTGCTCTCGCATTCCCCGCCAGTGTCTCATCCGAACCTGGTGAGCAAATCCCCGTATCTGGTCGTCCATCGCGCCGACCTCCTGAGGGCCTTGCTATCGGGGACGAGCAAGCATGCCACCATAGAGATCAAACTTGGCAGCGAGGTTGCAGAAGTTGACTTCAACAAACCATCCCTCCGTCTCTCCACTGGAGAGGTCTACGAAGCGGACCTCATACTCGGCGCCGATGGGGAGAGGTCTCGTTGCCGGGCTGGCCTGTTGGGCCGTGAGGACCCTCCTTATTGCCCGGGCGACGTGGTCTACCGCGTCTCCGTCCCCACCAAGGCCATAGCCCCGGGTCACTCGGCCTGGGACCTGACGAGACGCTCCAGTGTCAACTTTTGGATGGGCCCGCGCGGGCACGTGGTCACGTATCCCATCCAGCAGGACATGCTCAATGTCGTTCTGATATATGCCGAAGGGCCAAGTACCACGAAGGCCATGTATGGGCCGCAACGCGCTACGATAGACGAGTTCAGGAGCAGGGTCTCGGGCTGGGATCCGGTGCTTCACGACCTGATAGACATGGAAGGGTCCGTCTGTACAAAGTGGAACCTGTTTCAAATCCGTGAGCAGAGCCAATGGCACCACGAGAGCGGTCGATTTGTGCTCATTGGCGATGCTGCTCATGCAATCTTGCCATGCCTGTGAGTTTCGGAATGGATTCTCATGCAATTTCTCTCCTTGCCTAACCCTCCGTGACTGGTTGGCTAATAGTCTAACCCAATCTTCTTCAGAGCTCAAGGTGCGGCACAGGCATTCGAGGACGCAGGCGTCCTTGGTGCCATATTCGACCAGTTGGTGGCACGGGAGCAGATTCCAGATGCCGTCAAGGTATTCGAGGATGTGCGTAGACCACGAGCCTCAGACGTCAGACAGGGTTCACTAGACCAGAAGGCCATGTTTGCTCTTGCTGATGGTGCAGAGCAAGAGAAACGGGATGCAATGCTCCGCGCAGGCGAAGACTATCCATTGTTTGAATGGCTTTGGGGTTATGATGCCATTGAAGGGGGGCGAGAAGCGTGGAAGAGATTCTTAAACGAGAAGAGTATTGAGAATGGTGCCTACGTTCCCTAGTTGTAACTACTAGTAAGAACAAGAAACAAGAGAGTATGCACACACCGTAGATCAAGTAGAGCACTTTTCGAAGATGATAGATCTTCTGTGATGTATTCTTTGAGGATGTTTACGTCGCCATGTCCCTGATTAGCCTATTCGGTTGCTTTGCTTGTTTGCGGCCCTTTTTCCTTTTCTTGCGGCTATTACAAGGGCGTACGTGATCTGAACCATACAGCTCGCCGTTGCTCGTTTTCCAAAGCCTAAGAGATCACTTCCTCCAACGAGTCGTGGATTGGGTAAATCCCACTGGTCCACATGGATTTCCTCAAGGGGGGGTCCAAGGCTCATCCATTGGTCACATCTTCTGACTGCCATTTCCGGTAGTTGCTAGCAGCTTCCTCCATGTCATGTTCGGCCTTCGCCTGCATAAGATGGGTAGTAATACCGAATTACCTAGGTAGTGATATGCTGTAAGTTTGTGGGCTGCAGTCACCTACCTTAGGCCCAGTACTAGCCCCCCCCCTCACCCCTCCACATTCGTCCGCTTGTACTACTTCTTTTCTCTCTCGATGCCCTGAATAGAATCGTGTGATTCGTGATCACGTTCGATATTCCATCTTCACCTCTTCTGGCCAGCCACCATGTACACCATCGACAGCACCTATCACCCCCCGTATGTGGGCCTTTTTCTCCTCATTTTCAGTTGCTGTGTATACGCGGTCATCCAAGTCTTGAAACCTGTCGACTTGAAACGCTCGAGCGGGAAAAGGAGATGGTCTATGCCACCGGGGCCACCAGGAGCTCCGGTCCTGGGAAACTTGCCACATATGATGAAAGCGCGCCGCGGAGGAGCCCTGTCGTTTAACAAATGGGTGAGTATTGTCCTGCCCCATGGATCCAACATGTGAAGCCGTCACAGTAAGCTGAAAAACAATCCGGTTTAGCTTGCCTCCCTGATACCATATGGCGAAATGGTGACATTGCACATGGGCTCCAAGACATGGATCGTGCTCAACTCGGACCGCGTCGTCTCGGAACTCATTGCCAAGCGCGGTAGGATCACCAACGAAAGACCGCATATGCCCATCGCGAGCGATCTCGTCAGCAATGGAAAGCGCACGGTGATCCGTCAGGAAGAAGAATGGCGGGAGGGGCGCCGAGTGATGCATCATTTGCTCAGCGGCTCGAATCTCAAGGTCTATGCCGGCATGCAGGAGCTCGAGAGCGTCGACATGCTGCGCCGGTACCTTCGGGAGCCCAAGCTGTGGTATTCTCACCACTTCCGCTATGCGACCTCGGTGCTCTACAGGATCGTGATGGGCTACCCCCTGCACAAGAGCAAGGCGGAGCTCGACGCCTACCAGAGGGTGACGATCGAATTCGTGTCGTCCATCAACCAGAGCTACGTGGACTTTTTCCCTTCTTTCAGCAAGCTCCCCCATGTGCTGCAGCCGTGGCGAAGCTACTGGATGCAGATGGGCGCGTTTCACCGCCGTGTCTTCCAACAATGGTGGCAGCCCATTAGCGCCGCCGTGCGCGACGGCTCGGCGCCTCCGTCCTTCGTTCGCGACGTCCTGCTCCATCCAGACATGAGGTACGCTGGAGACGATGAAGAGGCCATGTACCTGGCGACCTCTGTCATGGCAGCCGGTGGCGACAACACGCGCATGACCATGAATGTGTTCATCATGGCCATGGTCGCGAACCCTGAAGCGCAGGCACGGGCACGTGCAGAAGTCGATCGAGTATGCACGAAGGGCGACTCGCTCAGGCTTCCTCGCATGTCGGACATGTCCGAAATGCCCTACGTGGCGGCCATGATCAAAGAGGTTCTACGTTGGCGGCCCACCGTCCCTCTCGTTCCCCCACATCAACTCACCGAGAACCTGGAGTTTGACGGGAATTTCATCCCGGCTGGCACATGCCTCCTGATCAACTCCATTGCGCTCTCCAAGGAGTTCGAGGATGCAAACAAGTTCAAGCCGGAGAGATGGATTCAAGGACCGCCAGGGTCGGGCAAGACAATACCGAATTTCTGGGGATTCGGGGGCGGGCGTCGAGTCTGCGTCGGCTCCAAGGTGGCAGAGCAAGCTCTGTTCATCATCTTTGCCCGCTTACTCTACTGCTTCGAGTTGATTCCGGTGAGTACTTAGTTCACAAAATCACGATTCCATTTCTTTTATGCTCTGGTCTTAAGTACCATAAAATGAGACGGTTTACTGATAAAGCGAGACGGGATCTAGGATGGGCCTATCGACGACGAGAAACTCAATCACCAGAGTCTGGACGAGCCATTTCCCGTCGGGGCCACTGTACGCAGTGCTGGCCATGCGGCACTGATTGAGGGCGAGGCCGCAAAATACGAGGCTTCCTTCTCTACATTCGCTACAAAGTAGTAGGCCTCAGTCATTCGTGTCACACGGGAATACAGACCAAGAAGGAGGAGTATGGGGGCATGGAGGAGATGCAGAACTTTGAACCTCAAGCTTTGATCAGCCATATGTGGCTATGATTTTGTCCCAGACATAGCTGTTGGTTCCAAAAGAGCAGAAGTGCCTGATACGAAGGTCCAACCAAGACAAGAGTATATGATACGTAGACAATTCCATCCTTGTTGTGTTGTTAGACATTGGGAAAGCCAAAGCCTGGAGAATCGGCGAAAAGTTTCATTCCTGCCTTTGGTCGTCGTCGTGTACCACGTTGCTGAATCGACTGTTCCCCCCGGCGCGTTGGACCTTGTCTGAAGTTGAAATAGGGTTTACACGGCCCGTCCAGCCGGCGGACGTTGAGTGGGTCCCAGTCAGCCCTGTGGACCGGGAGCCTGAAGGATTCCCGATCTTCTCCACACCGCAAAACGCCGACTCGCCGAACGCCACGATAAGCAAAGCTTGACGAACGGGGGCGAAGCGTGGGGGTGTGGACAGGGATTTGGTCATTTTGGCCCCACAATTGCTTTGTTGCATCTTACTCTCATGTGAGATCTTGGGCCTCACATATTGTCATGCAGGTATTACACAAGCTGCCCAACAAAAAAGAAGTGTCTGATTACGGCTTTTAGCTCTTCACGGCTGTCTACGCAAAGGAAGCACAGCTTACGAGATACAGTACGCTTACTAGAGGGCATCGACGTTGGGACGGCGCAGTTCACGTTGGTCTTCGGCGTGCTGCGTGAAGTCGGCCAGTCAACTCCGAAGGATCTGGGAATTTTTTCGCCTATCTACACGGGTTACTTGTAATCTGTAGGTAGTGAGAACGGGACAGACCAAACAACCCAAGACAAGGCGAGCCTTGCACGAGCAAGGGGAGCCGGCTGATCACCGCAATGGGCTTTTGTGGTCGCCACCTAGGATGTTGCTGGTTCCTAGGGCCCAGGGAGATCCGTCACAGCGACTGGCAGGACACTTGGAAGTGTTCTGGATGAGTGTCGTCGACTGATCAGGCGAGTCAGGACGCTCTGAGGAGTGTGTCGGAGTTGTAGAGTGATCGGGGGGGAGGGTTCAAATGTAAGAAGCCATCATGACATAGGACTTCTAAAAATGCGTCAAAAAGAGAGTAGAATTATCGTCTGTCCTCTGCTGCTCTTCTGCTGCTCGAATTGTTGCCCCCCCCCCCCCCCCCCCCCCCCCCCCCCCCCCTCCAATTGCTTGAGTTCTAGAAAAGAGAGTGGTGTTCTATGATTAAGACACAAGATGGTGTTGTATCCGCCGCTTATTAATACCCTGCGCCCTGACCACTTCTCCAAAAAGGTAATCCCCGCGTCAGTAGGTAGGTACCTAGGTAGGTACGAGAGTTGCTCCTTTGACGAGATGGGCAATCGAGTCAGCCATGTTTACAAATACACAAGCTCAACACATGGCCTGGCGTGATATTAATCACTGTCTCGAACCGGTCAAGAGCCTGGGACTAAAAAAGACATTCCCATTGAGCCATTGGTAATATCCAGCTCTGCGGCGCGGCGTCTTTTTTTCCCCTTCCTCATCATGTCATCCCAAGCACCAAGTTTTACAGACTTGGTCCTCTCCCAGCGATGTGATGTTCCACGGTCAGGTGAAACAACACGGACGATCAGCGGAGCGGACCTCACCATCGCCGATGTGGTGGCAGTTTCGAGGCACCTTGCACCGGTCGAGCTCTCCTCCGCGTCCATCGAGGCCATCGAAGCATGCAGCAAGATCATTCCGCAGAAGATTGCCCAGGGCGAAATCATCTACGGCGTGAACACGGGATTTGGCGGCAGTGCTGATGCAAGGTCCAACGATGTCGAGGCGGTCCAGCAGAGTCTGATCAGCCACCTGACGTGTGGAATTGTCGCGCTCGGCAAGCAAGAGCAGGCTCCCAACAGCAATCGGCATGCGGCTACGCTAAACGCACAATCAGTTAACGGCGATACCCTTTCCCAACTTCCCGACACAAATGGGCATCAGAAACACACGGGGCCTACCACTTGTCTTCCGCTGAACGACCCGTTCGCCGTTACCTGCATGCCGGAGTCCTGGGCGCGGTCGTCCATGCTTATCCGTCTGAACTCGCTGGCCGGCGGTGTGTCGGGCATTCGGGTCGAGATCGCGGAAAGCCTGAGGAGCCTCCTGAACAAAGACATCGTGCCGCTCATCCCCGTGCGTGGGAGCATCTCGGCGTCTGGAGACCTCAGCTCGCTCGCGTGGATCTGTGCCCTGATGCAGGGCAAGACGTCCGCCATGGCCTTCACTGGGCCGAGAGACGTCGAGAGGGCTCGAAAGGTGACGCGGGCAGATGTCGCCCTCGCGGAAGCCAATATCGCGCCCATCACCCTGCACGCCAAGGAGGGTCTTGCCATCGTGAACGGCACGGCCGTGTCTGCCGGCGTCGCGGCTCTCGCTGCTCACGAATCCCTCCAGCTCGCAGCGCTGTCACAGGTGTTGACGGCCATGAGCGTAGAGGCTCTGCGAGGTAGCGATGAAAGTTTCGAGCCGTTCATCGCGCGTGTACGGCCGCACCCGGGGCAAGTCGATAGTGCACGCAACATCAAGGCATTCTTGGCCGGATCACAACTGCTCAACCGCCACGATAGTCGCTCGAAGGCGACGCTGCGACAGGATCGCTACTCGCTCCGAACGGCCAGCCAGTGGCTCGGCCCCGTGCTGGAGGATTTCTGCCTCGCGCATAGCCAGCTGACGATCGAACTCAACTCAGTAACGGACAACCCGCTGATTGACCCGGAGACGCAGCGGGTGTTCCACGGCGGCAACTTCCAAGCGCGCGCCGTCACGTCGGCCGTCGAGAAGCTGCGCCAGGGCTTGCAGAGCATCGGCCGCATGCTCTTCACTCAGTGCACCGAGATGATCAACCCGGCTACGAGCTGGGGTCTGCCGCCGAACCTGTGCTCGGACGACCCCAACGACTCGTTCCTGTTCAAGGGGCTCGACGTCGTGATCGCCGCCTTGACCTCGGAGCTGGGCTTCCTGGCCAATCCCGTCGGGTCGCACGTCCAGACGGCCGAGATGGGCAACCAGGCTCTCAACTCCCTGGCGCTCGTGTCCGCCCGATACACGCTCGAGGCCGTCGACGTGCTGTCCCAGCTGGCGTCGGCGCACCTCCTGGCTCTCTGTCAGGCGCTCGATCTGCGGACGATCGAGATCGAAGGCCGCAAGGCCATCGCGCCTGATGCGACGCCGTACATCGAACAGGCTTCGCAACGCATGTATCGCTTTGTTCGGACGGAGCTGGGCATCCCATTCCTGAGCGAGGCCCAGCTAGCGTCCACCGAGGCCGCGGAGGGCAACGGCTTCGTCACACCAAGCATGGGACTATATGTTACGCGGGTTTACGAGTCGATCCGGTCTGGGCGCTTATACACCATTGTTCTAGACGCGTTTGAGGGCATAGAAAGGGAATTAGACTGTGCTTAGAGCTTAGACGGGGCAGCACACACCCATGCATTCACATGGATGTGATGATTTACAGGGACGATTCACGAAGATTGGAACACTTGGCAACGCAAAGAGCTTACAACAGACCAGACAGCAGATATAAATCCATGAGAACCAATTTCTATTGCTGGTTGATGTATCGCATTTTGGTCAACGGGGTACTTGATCCATGTTGTCTACGATATCAGTCATTTCTGTGAAATGGCAGCATGTGAAATAGCAGCACATGGCGTGAAGGCTTCTTCTGGGAGTCTGGGACGAATTTGGATCCTTAAGATTTGCTCAAATTAGGTTACTACCCTATGGCTGCAGGCATGAACCCAACCTTTTGGTACCATTCAGCTGAGATCCGGTTATGCGATTGCGGCGCAGACCGAGAGAGCGGACACGGATGACCACACCAGGATTTCGATCCCTCAGGATCGGATGACCACACCAGGATTTCGATCCCTCAGGATCGGATGACCCCCAAGCTAAATCTTTTGTTGTGAAGCCGATATATATAAAAGGTCTCATGGGGGCACATGTACGATGGATGAAGACTCGAGTTCAAGTGGCCATCTCATCCAAGACTTCCCCATCCTTTCCTCATTTTGACCCCCGAAGACATCCTTCACCATGAGGTCTCTGGTGATTTCTTCCTTGTGTTTTCTCTCCGGCCTTTCGAGCCTCGTATCTGGTGCTAGCGTCCCCAGGTATTTCGAGAGTCAACCGACCACGCGTCGAAATCTCACCAGCCAGGAGGTCCGGCGGGAGCTCGGCAGCCAGGTCTCCCCGGGCACCTTGATCTATGGACCGGGTGATGCTGAATTCGCCAACCTTACTTCCCGCTGGACCGACTTTTCCAAGCCAGATGTCCGAGTTGTCATCGAACCCGCCGCCGAATCCGATGTCTCCACAATCGTACGTTCCATACCTACTACTAGTACCACCTTACAAGTGTTCTACCCTACTGACAAATGGTGCTAGGTCAAATACTGTAACCACAACAGTATCGACTTCCTAGCCATCGGTGGTGGCCACGGCCTGGCCTACAGTCTCAAAAAGTTCAGTGGCCTCCAGATCAGTATGCGGCAGTTGAACAACATCACCATCCAAGGGAGCGGCAAGTCGGCCTGGTTCGGAGGTGGCACCGTCGTCGGTCCCGTCATCCAGTACCTCTACGATCGAGGCTATGTCACGACCACCGGCGGCTGCGAGTGCGTCGGCATGCTGGGCGCCGGTCTGGGGGGTGGCCACGGTCGGTACGAAGGTCTTTACGGCTTGATCAGTGACAACATCCTGCAGCTCCGCGTCGTCTTGGCCGACGGCTCGGCCATCGTGGTCAGCAAATCGAGCCACAGCGACCTCTTCTGGGCCATGCGAGGGGCCGGGCACAACTTTGGCATCGTCACGAGCTACGAGATGAACATCTTCCCCGTCGGACCGAAAACCTGGCACTGGCACAACTACATCTGGCGCGGCGAGCAGCTGGAGACCGTCTTCGGGGCCCTCAACGCCTTCCACAACAACGGCTCCACCCCGGTCAACATGGCCTTTGAAGCCGGAAACTTCCTCATGGACACCAGCATCACCAGCGAGGAGCCCGTGCTCTACTGGACCTTTGCCTACCGCGGACCCGCCGACGAGGCGGAGAAGCTCCTCGCCCCCTTCAACGCCATCGACGCCGTCTCGAGCACCATGGGCGACGTGCCCTACTCGCAGATCGCCACGGCGCAGGGGACCAGCTGGGACTCGGCCATCTGCCAGCACGGCCTTGTGCACGTCACGTCGTCGGTATTTCTGCAGGTCTTCAACGTGACGACCGAGCGCCAGATCTTTGAAGGCTTCAAGCGGCGCGCCCAGTCCAGCCCGGCGCTCGCGGCCGGATCCAGCATCATGCACGAGGGATACTCGACCGAGGCCGTGGACAAGATCGACCCGGCGAGCTCGGCCTATCCGTTCCGCGGCGACCACCACCTGACCTTGTTCAACGCCGTGGCGCCGAGCCCCGACTACGAGGCCGCGGCTCGCGCCTGGGCCGCCGAGGTGCGCGATCAGTGGATCGCGGGGCAGCCCGGTCGAAAGCTCGATGCCTACGTCAACTACGCCAACGGGATGGAGACGGTGCCGGACTGGTATGGCCACGAGAGCTGGCGCATCGAGAGGCTGAAGAGCCTCAAAGCCAAGTACGACCCTTACAACCGCTTCCGCTACTACAATCCCATCATCGCCGCATAATCACGGGGGGAGGGCAGCAGAATCGGGGGGAATTGCTTAGTATATGATCTTCCCTCTCTTTTCATGTTCATAGCTTTTTTGCGAAAAAGAGGTTCTCAAAGGGTGTTTGGGGTTCCTTTCACAGAGCCCTCGACAAAGTTTTACCATCATAACTTAGTTCTATAACACTTCGTTTCTAGATTATTGTTTCCGTCAACTGCTTTTAATAGTTAACTGCTGTAGATAGCATCTTTTCCTTAGTACTAGTAAAGACGTATGCCGTTCTTATATCATCATCCCGCCAGAGATTCAGTCAGGAAGGTGCATCAGATAAGCCGCTCCTGCAAGACATCGTGAAGTTTATATAGAATAGCAAACTGCAATTACAGCAACAAAAATATACCTGTTCAGTCACAGAGGGCAAATGTTGAATGGTTTGCATGTGACAGAGTCAAGACGGGGAGAGCACACAAATTTGACGCTGAGAAGCATCGTGGGCCAGGGAGAATACCTTTTGTATTCTAAGTCCTGTCTATTCTACTCGTGTACTACTACATTCAAACCTTGCTATCAAACCCCCTCCCTAGGTCTTTTTCCCCAAATCACCTTCTTGACACCACGCTTGAACTGCGCAATGCCGTACTCCGACTCCGACCCGGGTGCCAACATGGCATCAAAGACCTCACCGGCCAGTTTATCCAGGTGCGCCTCGTCGCCGCCGATCGCCGCTTCTCGAGCCAGCGTCTTGGTCAACGCAGCCGCCTGCGGTGCCGCGTAGCGCATCTCGTCTAGGAAACCCTGCAGGACCTTTTCCACCGAAGCCATGTCCGAGGCGACGGCGTGGATGATGCCGGCGTCGTGGAGGGTCTGGGTCTCGATGCGTCGACCGGTCACCATGGCCATGCGCGCGAGGCTCACCCCCCACTCGCGGATCAGGTACTTGGAGATGGTGGCGGGACACAGGCCCAGCCTCACCTCGCTCAGGCAGAAGGAGGCGGTGCTGAGCGCGATGCGGACGTCGCAGACCATGGCAAGACCGACCCCGCCGCCGAACGCGGGACCGTTGACCACGGCGATGGTGGGCTTGGGGCAGGCGTCGATGGTGGCGAAGAAGTCGTGGAGGACCGCGTATCGGTCTGCCACGGAGGCGAAGAGGTCCTCCTCCTTCAGATCCATCCCCGTGCAGAAGAAGCGGCCGCGGCCCGTGACGACGATGCGGTGCACGGCGTCGTCGGCGGACAGCTCTCGGAACTGCTCGGTCAGGTCTCTCATCGTGGCCATGGTCAGCGAGTTGCCGTGGTGATGGGGCCCGTCGTCGAGGCAGATTCGAACCGTGCTCTCGTGCTGCGCAACCTCGTATGCCTCGTGTCTCTGCACTATGGTCCACGGCGACGGCGCTGGCGGTTGTGCCGCCGTGTCTTGATCTACTACTATGTGTCCACCATCTGGCCTGTGACTCGACTTGTCATAGTAGTAGTAGTCGAGGAGGAACGACTCGAGCCATGATAGGGATGCTGGCAGCAGTCGGCTCGTGGCGGATATCATGATTGCAGAGGCCTTGGGGGTCAAACCTTCACTAGGGCATGTTATGATTGCGTGTTTCCGACTAGTGCTAAAAGCTGGCTCCTTTTTCTAAGAACCCAGCATCATTCTTCCATTTGGTCGTCGTTGGTTTCGCAAACAGTAATCGCTGCGGGGGCGCGTTTTGCAAACAGTCGTAACTGATGTCTGTCTATGGGGCATGCATCTTGGTGTTTCGGCACTCGACTCTGTCTTGAACCACCCCCACTGCTATCAGCTTTCCAAAATGTATCAGGTGGTAGATTTCGCCGAACGGCCCAAAAATTCTGTAGCCAATCGTGTTCTGAAGAATCCTGCCCCAGTCGGTGTTCATAATTTTGTCCAGTCGGTGTTTTCACTCCTGATCTATTCACTTGGGGCCATGGGGGGGCTGAGGTGAGCCCAGACTCTGATCTGGTAAAACGCCGCCCAGCTCGGACCTGGGGGCGCTTTCCCCGCTATAATTAGTGAAAAATAGCGGGGGGCGTGAGCACACTGATAAAGCCTAATGGGGAAAAAGGGGGCTACATCTCGTCCGTTTCATTGGTTCTAGGAACTGTTGCAGTCGTTGGCCACTCACTGATCACACATTCAATGGCAGACTTCTTCGGTTCCAGCGCTCCCTTTGCAGAACCTCTCTGGTATTCACGGGTGGGCAATCCCAACTATAACGACTCACACAGACGACTCCGCGATGAGATTCGACGCTATGTCGATACAGAGATTGAGCCGTTTTGCTCGGAATGGGAAGCCAATGGAGCCGTTCCGCAACAGGTGCTCAGTCGTCACTCGGCCTTGGGCTACACGGCACTCCTGATCAATCCATCCGAGACGCGGGAATACCTGGGAGAGATCAAACTCCCCGGGCAGGTATCTCCGGAGGAATGGGACGGCTTTCACGATCTCATAGCCATCGATGAGATGGCCCGTTGTGGCTCTCTCGGGGTGTTATGGGCCCTCGGCTGCGGCAACGCCATCGGATGCCCTCCCATCATCCACTTTGGCACTGCGGAACAAAAGACCAGATGGCTGCCTCGTGTCATTCGGGGTGACATCAGGTTCTGCCTGGGAATCACAGAACCCGAAGGTGAGCGCTACACAAAGCCTCTCCCCTGGATTTCAGTGAAGAGTCTTTGAGACGTGGGCAGAATCTGACCATTGAGTTCAATGTATTTACTACACTATAGCCGGATCCGATGTTGCCAATGTCTCGACCACAGCAGAGAGGCGCGATGGTGTGTTTGTGGTGAGCGGCACCAAACAGTGGGTGACGAACGGGCTCACCGCCGACTACTGTACGGCCGCCGTGCGGACAGGCGGCCAGGGCAAAAGTGGCATTTCCATTTTGGTCATTCCTCTGCACGCGGAAGGGGTCACTCGGACGCCCATTCAAAACTCTGGCGTTGCTTCGAGCGGTATGTTCTCCCCCATGTATCACCCCAGGGGCACCAAGAACTGACCCAATGATGCCATAGGATGCGCGTCACTTGTGTTTAACAACGTCGAGGTCCCCGCTGCGAATCTGATCGGCGCAGAGAATGAAGGCTTCAAGCTAATCATGCTCAGTGAGTAATCCCCCCTCACGTTCGTCACGACGGTCAAAACGCTAATGAACAACGTGCTCTAACCCCAGGCTTCAATCACGAACGCCTCTGGATCGCGGGCAACTGCCTACGCCTAGCTCGCGTCTGTCTCGAAGATGCCTACCAACACGCGCTCTCGAGACGAACCTTTGGCAGGCCGCTGATCGACCGGCAGGTGATACGGCTCAAGATTGCGAATGTGGGGATGCAGATCGTGGCCGCCTATGCCCTGCTCGAGTCCCTCGTGCAGGTCCGAGACAGCAACTTCAAGAGAGCTGCGCAGTCGGATGAGGTCCTCGGGACCAACATCGGTGGGCTGTGCGCCCTGGCCAAGGTCAATGCTGCGAGAGCCACGGAGCTTGCGGTGCGCGAGAGCCAGCAGATCATGGGGGCGTTGGGCTATACCCGGGGTAGCGGTCCTGGTTCCCGTGTGGAGAGGATCAGCAGGGATGTGCGTGTGCTCGTGATCGGTGGTGGCAGTGAGGAGGTCCTTTGTGAGATGGCAGTCATGCAGGAAAGAAAGGATCTTGTCAAACTGCAGCAGCTCAGTTGATGGTTCTACTACCTCTGGATTGGTTGGAACAGCGATGAATATTACCATGCCCATAGACAGCTTTCCATTCAGCTCAGTCTTTCCGGCACCATTTGGAACCGTATATGTGATGGTTTCTGTCCTTCTCAAGCCCCCCCACCCCCCGGTTTGGAGTGTGCGGAAAAGTCATTCTGCTGACCAAGTATCTTACCTGTTATGAAAGGGTTCAATCATTGGTACCTTGGCCCAATTCGGCGAGTTCGGCGTTTCACGCGCTGTCTTAGTGCTGTGTAGTCCGACCTGTTAACACTCCAAAACATGAATGCATTATTAATTGTGTGTGCATTGGGCTCCATCACCCTGAAGTGAAGTTCAAAATCGCCCATCTACAACCAGACTTACTGCCCCAGTTTGCCTGCCTCATAGTACTTTGGCAGTATCACCGACCTATACAGCGTTTCTTTTTCCCGTCACGTCAGGAAATATGTTGGGTACCATCCTCTTTTCTTGTGCCATCGCCGCCCTTCTCTGGGTCGTGTTGATTCCCTTTCGCACCGGCTTGTGGCATGTTCCTGGGCCGTTTTGGCGTCGCTATACAGGTAAGTACCCTTACTTTACTTTTTGCATGTGTAACATACCTCCCCCTTTCTTCTTCTCGACTGTATACTGAAAATCCTAACCGATGCGAACAAAGATATCTTTCAGGTCTTGGATGCATACAATGGCATCACGTGTCAGGTCATCCAACGCCTACACAAAGAGTATGGCCCTGTGGTGGCGGTTGGCCCACGGACGGTCATGTTCTCTGATCCTGCCATGATTGATGTTGTATATGCCACTCGTTCGCCCTTTCCCAAGGTATATCCAGGCTCCTGAAAATCCGCTTGACTGTGTTGGGCTTTCATTGACCTGTCTCACCCCTTATAGAGTTACCACTGGCAACCGTTGCGGACGGAGCTAAAGGGAGTTCACTACCCCAGTCTCATCGCCAGCGAGGACACACAAACTCACTCGTCTCTCAAGAGACCCATTGCCGGGGTGTATGCCATGTCCAACGTCACCAAGTCGGAGGGCTTCATCAATGATTGCATACGCCAGCTTGTCCAGAAGCTCGACCAGGACTTTAGAGCCACCAAGGAGACGGTACCTGTTTTTCAGTGGATGCACTTCTGTAAGCAAGACAGTTCTATGGAGCCACGTTGAGAACCAAGTCACTGAGTATGGTCCTCCCAGTTGCCTACGATACCATCATGAAATTGACCGTGTCGGCCGATTTCGGTCTCATCCAAGGCGAAGCGGATCAAGTCGCCATGTTCAAGGGTGTGGACGCAGCTCAGACATACAAAGCCATGGTATGTTTTTTCTTTTTCACATGAATGCCCGTTCGGAATCTACCTACTCGCCCGCAAGATGTACTAATTTCCAATGAAGGCTGCGAGTATGCCTTGGGTTCACAACCTGCTCAAAGAAACCCCGGTGACGAGCGTGTTTCAGAAGCGGATGGGATCCTTCCCGGCTCGGGCTCGTGAACTCATCCAGGCGAGGAAGGCCCAAAAAATGAAAACAACCGGCGACAGGGAAGACTTGCTTTCACAGATCATGGAGACCAGGGAGAAACACCCTCAGGTCGTCAATGATCTGGTCATGCACGGGTACGCCACGACACCACTCCTGGCCGGGGCCGACACCGTGACCATCGGCTTGACATCGATCATTTACTTTGTGGGGAAGCACCCCAGAGTGGCGGCTCGGCTACAGGAGGAGCTGGATTCGTGCGGTTTGGAGATGCCACCCTCGTGGGCTGCCGTTCAGAGCTTGTCGTATCTCGACGCCGTCATCCGAGAATCGTTCCGCTGCCATCCCATCGGCGCCATGTTGTCACGACGGGCTGTTCCAGAAGGTCCTGGCCTCACTCTCAAGAACGGTCACACTCTACCACCGGGAACGGCTGTCGCTGTCTCGGGATGGGCCACACACTTCAACCAAGACGTCTATGGTAGCGACGCGGCAGATTTCAGGCCGGAACGCTGGTTGCAAGGTGCCGAGGAGAGTCGGGAGGACTACGCCGAACGCATCCGCCGGATGAACAAGGCAGACCTGACCTGGGGCCACGGTGACCGAGCTTGCATGGGCAAGAACATTGCCAGATGCGAAATGTACAAGCTGATGGCTACCTTGTATTCTACCTTTGACGTAAGTTTGAACCTCCCCTCCCCTTGGAAACCAAGAAGCAAGAGAACTGAGATGCTCACGCAAAGATCCAACTTGTCGATCCCACAAAGACTTGGAAGATCAAGGAGACCGTACTGGCGAAGCAAGTTGGTGTGGAAGCCAAGATTACGCTTAGACCTGGTGTAAAGGTTACAGGAGGGGTGCTCACGTAGAAGTCTGAGGTCAAATTTGTAGTAGTAGAGTACTAAAGTACTAATTTACAACAAAACCACGCACTTCTCTCCCGCGAACTGGCCATTCTTCACCATGTCCATCCCCTCCGGCACGCGTTCGAGTCCTCCCTCCAGCGTCCGAACGGGATGAGGTCGCAGTTTGCCGTCGGCGACCAGCCCCTCCGCCAACGTCCACAGCTTCTCCCCGTAGGCACGGAGCTCGTCGCTCGGCGGTCGTCCGTACGGCGCCGGCCAGGTTGAACCGTCACCGAAGATGGAGGGCCCCAGCACCCAGTCGGTCTTGACTGTGCGTCGCGTGGCGGCGACGTGATCTGCGAACGGGTCTAGCGAGACGTATTTGCCGCCGGCGCGACCGAGAGCGGCGTAGCAGAAGGTGGTGGTCTGCACGTTTGTGATGCAGTCTAGTGCGAATCGTAGGTTGTTCTTGGTGTACGCTTTCTAAAACAAGAAAAAAAGAAGGAATTGTGTCAGTTAATCTTCCTCCCTGAATACTTTGACCTTCTACTCCCCCCCCCTTTTTCGTGGCGCATGGGTTTTTTCACTTACAATCTTGGCCGCGCAATCTGGCTGTTTGTAGTCAAAAGTCTCCTCGGCACCGTATGCTTTGACTTGTTCCGCGTTCTTGGGGGAGCAAGTTGCAATAGGTATCATGTTGATCCTAGTAAGACGGTTTAGTTCATGTCGTGATAACCTCCCTTTTTCATGACAGACACTTATCCAGGATATCTTACAGTCTGAGCAATTGCATGACGATTGTCGCCGTCGCCGTGCTCCCTCCATACACCAAAACGTATGCGGGCTTCTCTACCGGGGCGTCGGGTAGAGGCAATCCCAGAAGCTTCAGAGCCATGCCCGCCGTGCTGATCCCTGCGCCAAACGTCGCGCCACTGGCAGTACTGACCGAAGGTGGCAACTTCAACCAGATCCTACCGGCCGAGATGTCGTACTCCCCAAACGACCCGCGCAGTGGCTCGTTGGCGTTCATGGCATGTTGCGCTCCGCAGACTCGATCGCCTATGGCCACGTCGGTGACCAGTCGCCCTCGAGCCACCACGGTCCCTGCGTAATCGGTGCCCAGGATGCCGCCGTCGGTCACAAAGTTGCCGCGCATCTTGGTGTCGCTGGGGTTGATGGCCACGGCCTCCGTTCGAACCAGGAACTGATCATCTCGAAGGGGAGGCAACGGCACATCGTCCCGCACGCGCACTCGGTCTCCAGCAGCTTCTATGATGACGGCGCGATGGGTTGCCGGACCGCTAGCAGTATCACTACTGCCGTTCGATGTCATGATGGAATTGATTCAGTCTGGTAAACACGTTTGTCCTTGACTTCACACCGATGGTTCAGTACTACTATTCCAAGATCTTCTACGCCTCCATCTACCCTAGTAAGTACCTACTTTATTTTTACTTGGAAAGCCGCACTGTCAAGGATCAAAGCGTACCGGTAGGGTCTAACTCCATGGGGAAACGCCTACACACGTCATAGCTCTACCCTACGTCTATTGTATGTTTCGTGTCACTTGAATCACATTGTATATACCGGATCTAGCCAGTGGTACCTGCATAGATTTACTCATGTTTGTGTGAAACATGAGTTTTCCGCTTGAGCATAGCATAAGACCTGCATCGGAACATTGACGATCCAATCGGGCATCACAAGCCTAAAAGACAAGAGTGGTGGGTGTATGCTACTCACTTTGACTTAGAATCAGCCTTATCGGCGTTATGGATCCGTCCTTGTCATCCACATCGGCGTTCTCAGTCGGCGTTTCCATTCCCGAGTTGAGTGGAACTCAGTGGATGCATTGTGCTGACCGGCATGCTACCTTTGGAGACTCGGCAAGCATTTTGTCTCGCTACAGGGGGTCTGCATTAGCGGCGTATGCGCGGCTCGGCCGATCTACTGTAGTAGACACCGCTTGATACGATAGCTTTGGTCGCGCCGGAGCCAGGCACTGGGCTTCGTTTCCTAGAAGTCGTCAAAAAAGCATCCCCTACTCAGGCTTGTCGCCACGCTTGTTGAACCCCTGCTTGTACATGCCCGGTGCAGGTATTTGGTCATCTCCTCCGATCAAAAGAGGGGTCCATGAACGAATACATGGAAGGGTACTTAGTAGTTGATTCTGACCCCAGTCATCCAGACACGTCGTCGCTCGTACCTGTGGTAACTTCGTTATCGACTCGACATGGTCCCGCTTGAGAAGGATCAATTCCATAGCTGTAGATCTGTTCAAGGTTGAAGGTGGGTGATAGGCCTGTATACGTTGCATGTGCGGACGGCAAGTGCGAGGAGGAGTATAACTGGTCAGCCCCACGGCACTCACGTGCGGCGATATATACCCAGTGAACCTTGCCGGGAGGAGTTTCAAGCGGGGAGGGGCCCGTGTTCTCTTCTGCCGTCTTTCTACGCGGGGAGGGACTGCCTTGAATCTTTATTCTGTACCGAAAGTCCGCGAGTGAATGTAACACGGCTCAAAGACACATCTGCCACCAAAAAGCCCACGCAAAGCGTTGTCTAAGTGATCAAAAACTCACAAAAAAACATCAGAATTCCAGCACAGTCATGTCAGTCAAACGGATCATCTCAAATTTGTATTCCCGGCACTCGCTGATACACTGGTTGGTTCTTCATCTAGTCCACGATGTCGAAAAAGCATAGAAAGGTCATCCTCTGCTTTCACGGCACCGGCTCAAAGGGTGCCATTTTCCATGTACAGATGGCGAGGATCTGCTCCCTGCTGGGAAGCGAGTTCGACTTCCTGTTCCTCGATGGTCCCTTGCAGTGTGCTGCCGGACCCGGCGTTCTCCCTCTTTTCGCGAGCCAAGAACCATACTACTGTTGGTTTGCGGGCAGCGGCACGACCATCGACGACAGCATGGCCAAAATTATCGCCTCTGTGGAAGAGTCCATTGATCAGTGGAAGACCGCGAACCCTGATATCGAGGCCGAGTTCGTCGGAGGCATAGGGTTCTCGGAGGGGACTCTGGCGCTGTCCCTTCTCCTGTGGATGCAGCAGCAGGATCTGGTGCCCTCGTTACCACGCCTATCGTTCGCCGTCCTGAGTTGCTGCTTCTTCCCCGCGGAGGCATCGAAGTGGCTTGCTGAGAGGGCCAACGCGCAAGGGGAACCGCAGGCTTGCATCAATGTGCCCACGATTCATGTACATGGCAATCGAGACTTCTGTCTCGGACGAGCACGGAGACTGGTACGGAACAATTACAAGAGCGACTATGCCACGGTGTTGATGACGGAGGCGGCCCATCACCTGCCAACGAAAAGGAATGAGGTGGCCGATGTGGTGGACCATATTCTACGGCTTTCAAAAGCTACTGCCTGTCCGAGCTAGCTCTTCTTGGAATGTGAATACCAGATACCTACATGTATGCAGTAATAGCTAGAAGCATAAACAGACAGAGACGAGTGGATGGCTATCTGTAGGATCGGATGCCTTCGACAGCGTGATAGAATGGAACATGATCATCGACTGCCAAGCCAAGCTTCTCCTCATGAACGGTTCAGCAAAAGCTATCCGGACAGATTACGAATCTTACGCCGAGGAATCTCGTCTCGGCTGTACTGTGGTATGATGGGTAATAAAAACCTCCACACGGGGTATCCACGCTAACTAATCATAGTATCCACACATATTTACACTAAATACACCAAACGACTTGCTAATATCTTGTATGCATACCTTTGGCTGCAACCACTGCTTTGCACCGATCTGGCATCGAGGCCAAGAGCTCCTTCAAGTAGTTGTCCGGTAGTGCCTCCCAAGCCTCCTTGACATACTGGCGCAGCTTATCGTACGAGGGCTTTTCTTCAAGGCCATACCGGTCTTCGATCCAATCCTTCATCCAGTTCCAGCAAGACTCAATGGGGTTCAAGTCTGGTGAGAAGGGTGGCCACTCCATCACAGTAATACCTCGGTCGTAGAGATCTTCCCTAGTCTCCGCAGCTACATGGCCTGGAGCGCCGTCTTGCATCAAGATCAGATCCTCACCAAGCTGTTCCTTGCACAACTGTACCCAGCCGTGAATTACAGGTACAGTATGTGCGCGGTAAGTCTCGGCGTTGATCTTTCCCCAATCCTTTTCCCAGAAGACTCCAGGACCTTTGCCTAAACCAGAGAAGCAGCCCCAGAACATCCAGCCACCCTTGCGTTGATGTTTTTCCACAATGCAAGTAGGATCCCACTCCTCGCCTGAACGCCGGGTTACATACTGCTTCCTATGCGGGCCACCAGTAACCCAAGTCTCGTCGGTCCAAAGGATCTTTGCCCACTGCTCAGCAGTCTAGTGTTCATGCTCTTTAGCCCAGGTCTCTCGGAGCTTCCGGGTTCGTTCGGTAATCGGTGGCTTCTTGCGGGCAACGCGTCGGCGGAAGCCCAGTCGATAAAGGGCGTGCTTGATCACCCATTCGCCATAGACCCCAGCGAAGATGATTGTTGAGAGCTCGAGGAAGCCCATTCGGCGGGTCTTTTTGCTGGAAGTAACGTACTGAACGAGCTCTTCTTCTTGCTCTGGCGTTAATGTCCGAGGCCGGCCAGTGCTCCGGTGGGCAGTTGCATCGCGAGCGCGTATCGCAGTCCGGACCTGGGCGTCGGTGTAGCCAGTGATACGACATATCTCGGCTTGGCTTTTGAGCGCATCGAAGTACAGGACTCGGACGCGTTGGCGTTGTTCGGTAGTCAACTGTTTTGTACCACTTGATCCTCGTGGCCGTGCCATTGTATTGCCGGATTCGTACTGCGTTAACTGTGTTGACTGCGTTGAGTGTCTCGCTAGGGATTTTGGCGTGTTCTCAGGATGCTGTCGGAAATGGGAAGGCAAGATAAAATCCAGCTGATTGGTCAGAACGCGTCAAGTGTTGTACCCCACCGGTACTTGACGAGGGGGTTTTCTTTATACACGCGACCACAGTAGTAGAGGGCCGCTGGCCTATGAGTAGACATTCGACCCCCTCTCGTGATAGCCCGAACAATTCTAGACTACGCGTCTTTCAGGCTAATGTAGCACGAGCACGCGACACGCACGAGATTGCCCTCCAAGCTGCTAGTGAGGCTGGAGCGGACGTGATTATGATCCAAGAGCCACGAGTGTGGTTCTACGAGGGTCGCTTTGGTATTCCCGGACACCCCCTTTACGCTCTTTACACTCCTGTCCGCACATGGACAAAGGAGACGGCTACCCACCCACGTGTCGCTACGTACGTTCGTAAGGAAACGGCAGCAGGAGGGTTCACACTCGGCCATACCAGAGATCTACTATGGGTAAAGACGCAGGGTGTCACTTTTGTGAATATTTACCGCCGGTCAAACGACATCTCGGCCCTCGAGCTACTACAAAATTGGCAACCAACGACAAGGACACTCCTCGCTGGCGACTTCAATGCCAAACACCACTCTTGGCAACCTGGCGCGGAAACATCAGAAGGTGCCACACGAATTGTAGACTACGTTACAGAACACAGCCTGGATCTGCTGACGGCTCCTGGCATTCCTACCCACAACTGCGGCAATACTATTGACCTTACCTTTTCGAACATTCCGCTTTGCTCAACAAGGACTGCCCCAGAGGCGGACTGCGGTTCGGATCACCAAGTTTGCATTACGGACATTCCAATCCAACCGGTAGAGCCTCCTCGCCGTCGACTAGTTCTTCGTGAAGACCCAGAGGCTATCAGACTATATGCCGAAAACGTCTCGTTTCTCATGGGTTTGGTCCCGCTCCTCCCTACAGGCGAAGACTCCCCGGAAAGGCTCGACGAGCTCGCCGAGGCCCTCTGCAACGTCCTTACAGAGGCCCTCCAAATCTCTTGCAGGCCCTCGAGACCTGAGAAGAACGCTAAGTGGTGGAACAAGACGTGTGCGCAGGCCTCTAGAATGTTCCGCAACTATCGGCACAACAACCCGAATCCCATCCCCCAACGGGTAGAAGCTCTTCGGCAGGAGTTTAAAAGGGTAGTCAGAGAAGCAAAGCAGCTGTTTTTCGACGACTTTATCACAAAGGCGCGAAATGACCAGGACATCTTTCGGATCGTGGCGTGGCACAAGCCCCGTGACTAAATGGAGGCTCCACCGCTAGTTATCAATGGGCAGACGGTTATTGAGCCAGAAGCCAAGGCGGAGGCCCTCCGCACGGCCCTTCTAGAAAGGAACAGCGAAGAGGAAGATCTTGAAACTGGCTGGGTACCTACGGTACCACGCCGTCGCCTTCCCTGGTCATCCCTCGTCCACGCGGACGAAGTCTACAAAACCCTGTGCGGCACCGGCAATACGTCCCCCGGTGCCGACGGCATTACAGTCCGTATGCTGAAAGCGTCTTGGGAGTCTATCAAAGACTCTGTCCAGCAACTCTATCAGGGCTGCGTCGCTACCGGCTATCACCCCCAAGTCTTCCGACAGGCGGAAGTGGTTATGATACCGAAACCTGGGAAAGACCAGACGACGGCCAAGGGATGGCGGCCTATTTCGCTCCTATCCTGCCTTGGAAAAGGTATTGAGCGTCTAATCGGCAGACGGATCGCTTGGACGGCTATTTCTAACGGGGTCTTAAATCCCCAGCAGGCTGGCGCCCTCCCAAGGCGTTCGGCTATTGACATTGTGGAAGCTCTGGTTCACGATATCGAAGCTGCACTCGACAAGCGACTCGTTGCTGCACTAGTAGCTATGGATGTCAAAGGTGCCTTTGATGCCGTCCTAGTGAATAGGCTAGTTTTACGTTTGCGAGAGCAAGGGTGGCCAGACTGCGCGGTCCGCTGGGTTGAGTCTTTTATGACAGACCGTATGGCCTGCGTTCGATACTCGGGGGTGACTACTCCTATGCGCCGTCTTAGATGCGGGCTCCCCCAGGGCTCACCAGCCTCGCCCATCATCTACCTGCTCTACACAGAGCCAGTCCATCGCCTCGGGGAGAGTGAAGCGCAGCATTTTGGATATGCAGACGACTGTGCAGTCCTTGTCACTGGCTCTTCGAACGAAGAGGTTGCAGAGAAGGCCCAACGAGAGTTGAATGCCATGGTCCGATGGGGAGTAGACAACGCTGTCGATTTCTCCCCGGACAAGACCGAAATCCAGTTTTTCTCCAGGAAAAGACTCACTGCGCCTTTTCCGACCATTACGCACGGAGGAGTCGAGGTGGCTGCACAGCCGGCAATGCGTTGGCTGGGGATTTGGCTCCACAGCAAGCTGAACTGAAAGCATCACATTGAGCACAGGCTCGCCTCCGCCAAGCAGGTGGTCCGCCACATACGCGGTCTCAATAGAGTCTACCACGGCGCCCCTCCAGGCTCCATGGTGAAAGCTATAAAGGCTGTCGTCCTGCCAAAGGCCCTATTTGGCTCTGAAATCTGGTGGCCAGGCCATAAGAAGCACGCCCTACACCGTAAACAAGGGGAGTTTCCGCTTATTAACAACGGACTGGCGGACCTCGTCCATAAAGTCCAGACGGCGGTGAACATGGCCATCCGCGCCAGCTTACCGGTGTGGAGAACGACGCGCCTTGCCATTCTCTACCGCGAAGCCAGCCTGCCCCCCGTCCCCCTTCTTCTGGAAGCGGCCCGTCGGCGGCACGCTGTGCGCCTCCTCACCTTAGATCCCGCCCACCCGCTTGTCCCGCGTCTTTCGGAATCCCGAGCGACGCCGCACGGCCTGCCTTGCCGCCCTACAACGCTACAGACGGCTGCCCAGCTCGCCTTGCCTTTCCCGCGGCCGGTTCTACAGCCGCCCGTCTATAACGGAGACACTCACAAAGAACCAGCGCCCACGTCTAAGGACAGGGCTGCCAAGGATTTTAAAGAATGGCTTCTCCAGCTAGACTCCTCGGAGATCGTCGTTTACACCGACGGCTCTATGATAGCTAAGCAGATGGGCCTCTCAGCGCACGCGGAGGACCCGGACGCTGAAGAAGAAAGACCAGAGGGCGAGTGCGTAGGCTTTGGCTACGTAATCTTCCAAGATCAGACAGAACTTGGCCGCGGATGCGGTCAACTAGAATATGCGGAGGTTTTTGATGCGGAGGCGGAAGGGGCGCGGCATGGTCTTAAGGCCGCTGTGGCGCTCTTTCCGGAGGCACAGGCCCGGCCACGCATTACGGTATGCCTCGACAACACGTCCGTCATTAGAGGACTCCAGGGAACCCCAGCTGCGTCGTCACAAGCGGCTTTCCTTGATTTCCGCGCCACCCGCAAGGGCTATGGCCCCAGCCTGGTGGACATCCGCTGGGTTCCTGGCCACAAGGGCATCACGGGCAACGAGATTGCTCACGAGCTCGCTAAGGCGGGCGCTGACAGGGGGGAGATAGTCAATAAAGGCTTGGCTACCCTTGCGCATTCAAGACGGCTTGCTAAGAGGGAGGCGCGTACGGATTTCAAGGCATGGTGGGCCGCGAACAAGCCAGAGTCTTATGCAGACTACCGGTTGGGGGTCTCTATCAAGCCTAATGACGAACTAATAGAGTTGGACAGACGCTCTTTACACCACCTCCTCGCGGCCAGGTCTGGCCACGGCGATTTCAAAAACTATCACGAAAGGTTCGGGCACGAGGACGCGCTACTAGCATGCTATTGTGGCAACTGGAAGACCCCTTTCCACCCCTTCCACTGCAGGAAGGCATATGCGATTTCCCCGGTCACAGGTGAAGCGGCTACGCGGAAGAATCTCTCTCTTGCCATTGGGATTTACTGGCAGCGCTTCATCGCTCGGATCCAGACCTCGCACTTCTTTTCGTGGACTTGCACGAGAAAGGCATGGCGCCGGTCACTCTGGCAACAGCACATCGACGACGGGGGCACCGCTGATAACCTTACGGGGTTTTTACGGGGTGAAGGGGTGAAGGTTGGCCACGGCCACGACATTGAGAGGGTTACGATGGACTTGGACAGGCTAGTTCACTGCGTAAGGAGACGGGAGGAGGCCTTACGGGAGGAGGAGAGTGAGAGCGAGAGCGGAGAGGAGTGATTTTGCCCTTTCTTATGTCTTTTCTTTTGTTCTACGGGTCCCGCCATAGACTGGCGCCTCGCCCATTGGGCGATTAGACTGGAAGTGTTGGGCCGCGTTTACGCTATGGGCAACACGCGATTTACACTGGCAATAGGCCTCGGTCTGCCCTCGGGTTAATGGTCTTGGTAGACGGTTAGGGCACTGCTCCTATGTTTGTACGCTAGATTCTCCGATGTGGCACGTCTCATGGCCTACGGGAGGCGGAAGTAGACGTTAAAAATAACAACAACAACAACAACAACCACAGTAGTAGATCGACGTTGGGGGCCAGCCAAGACTAGGACCCCATTTCTATTTTCGGCACTTTTCAGGATGATCACTAATCCACTTCCCCCGGTTTCCCGGGTCCGTACCCAAGTACAGGTGGGACACGGGCTAATTTCATCGTGCCTCTGGCGGCAGGGGTAATGATTGGTTGGATTTCTATGCTAGTGAGGGTGCGGTGGGGCAAAAGGTACTTGCGGGACAACGGAAGTGCCAAGCAGTTTGGAGCATCTGAGACTGTGTACTTCGGACTATTGAGTTGTAGGTAGGTACCCTCTTAACACGCCCAGAATCTTACCGCCACGCCTTCGGACATTGGTGGCAGTCTACAGATGGGCATGATCTTTCGAGCTTGCCTACCTTGGACAAGACGTTCCCAATCACCGACTACTGTCAGCAGGCATACACCAGCATGCCGGCACGCGTACAGTATGGACCTGCGTTCGGAGGGAGACGCTTTTGAAAGATGTACACAAAACCAGCTATTCGTTGGCCATATGAGGTGCCATCACGGTACGATATGACCCTAAGGATCGGTTCATCCCAAGTGTCAGTCTACTGTTATTTTAAAGCTGTCACCACTTGGCTTCGCCGTGTACCCACGCGCGATTGGGCTCATTTGGTAGCATAAAGAAGCGGCTATTCAACATCGCAGACCATTCTTCCTTCACCACATCCACTACAGCTGTCATGCCATCGTCTACTTCCCCGCTCAATGAGCCCATCGCCGTCGTGGGCAGTGGCTGCCGCTTCCCCGGCGGGGCCAGCAGTCCGTCCAAGCTATGGGATCTCCTGAAAGATCCCAGGGACTTGTCAAGAAAGGTGCCAAAAGAACGTTTCAACGTTGACGCTTTCTACCACCCCGATGGATCTCATCACGGGCGCACCAACGCCCGGTACGCCTACTTCCTGGAGGATGACCCGTACGCTTTCGACCCGGCCTTCTTCAACATACCGCCGAGCGAGGCAGGGACGGTCGACCCCCAACAGCGTCTTCTGTTGGAAACGGTGTACGAGGGTCTCTGCGCCGCCGGCCTCAAGATGGAGGACCTTCGAGGATCGCCCACGGCCGTCTACGTAGGCATGATGCAGCGGGATTTCCTCGACCATCAGAACTACGATTTGGATGCCCTCAACACATATGCTGCTACGGGCACAGCCGCGTCCATCCTATCCAACAGAGTATCCTACGTCTTTGACTGGCACGGACCTAGTATGACGTTCGATACGGCATGCAGCTCCTCCCTCGTTGCTGTCCACCACGCGGTCGAACAGCTGCGGACGGGGTTGAGCAAGGTGGCCGTGGCCGCGGGCTCCAATCTGATTCTGGGCCCTGTTCCTTTCATCTCGGCCAGTAAACTCAACATGTTTCGCCGACCGGGAGATCGCGGATGTGGGATGCCGCGGCAGATGGCTATGCGAGAGGCGAAGGTGTCGCCACTGTTGTGCTCAAGACCCTCAGCCAGGCCATAGCGGACGGTGACCGGATCGAGTGTGTCATCCGCGAAAGTGGAATCAATCAAGACGGCAAGACGGCCGGTATCACGATGCCAAACTCTTTGGCCCAGGAGGCCCTCATCCGAGAGGTCTACGAACGCGCAGGGTTGGACTTGACCAAGCCGGAAGACCGTTGCCAGTACTTTGAGGCGCATGGGACGGGTGAGTACTAGTAATCCAATGTCTGACAAAAAAGGTTATCTCTCGCTGATAAGACAGTACAGTACAGGCACGCCTGCTGGCGATCCCCAAGAAGCGCGTGCCATTTCATCGGCATTCTTTGGGGACAGGCATCGTGACGCCGACGAGGAGGACCCTCTGTATGTCGGCAGCATCAAGACCATCATCGGTCACACGGAGGGCACCGCTGGGATTGCGGGCTTGATCAAAGCCTCCATGTGCATCCAAAACAGTTCTCTACCGCCCAACATGCTTTTCAACGAGCTCAGTCCAAGGGTGGCTCCGTACTACACGGATCTCAAGGTGGTCACCGAGCAGCAGCCATGGCCACCATTGAAGTTCGGTCAACCGAAACGCGTGAGTGTCAATTCCTTCGGGTTCGGCGGTACCAATGCGCACATCATCGTCGAGTCCTACGAGCCCAAGCCCGAATCGAAGGAGTCGCCGTCTACGGATACTACTACTACACCAACGCCCCTACTCGCGCCCATTGTCCTCTCGGCGCATTCTTCTTCCTCCCTCAGGTCGGCCATGGTAGATCTGAAGCAGTTCGTGCAAGCTCGCCCCGACCTACGACTGCGAGATCTCGCATGGACGATGCTCAAAAAGCGATCCAATCTCCAAGTCCGTCATGCCATCTCGAGCCAGTCGGTTCAAGAGCTCTGCGATGCGCTTGAGCGCGACGCTCCTTTGGTCGAAGGCAAGAGCTCGATTGCGACGACTTCCGAGGTCAGGAAGAAGCCCGAGATACTGGGAATCTTCACCGGACAGGGTGCCCAGTGGCCGGCCATGGGCAAGGCTCTGTGTCAGATCGCCCATGTCCGTGCTATCGTCTCCGAACTCGATCATTCGCTCCAGAGCCTACCAGCTGAGTATCGGCCGGAGTGGAAGCTTCTAGACCAGCTACTGCTCGAAGGCGAGGAATCGAAAGTGAACCAAGCCGCCTACTCCCAGCCCCTCTGTTGCGCCATCCAGATCATCCTGACCAAACTGCTACAAGCATCAGGGGCGACATTCAAAGTCATTCTAGGCCATAGCTCGGGCGAGATTGCGTGCGCCTTCGCTGCGGGCTTCATATCTGCATCCCAAGCCATTCGCATCGCGTATCTCCGTGGTCTCACTTCCCAATACGCGAGGGGCCCGAACGGTGTGGAGGGCGCGATGATGGCTGCGGGCACCTCTTTCGACAACGCGACAGAGTTGTGCGCACTAGAGGCATTCGCAGGTAGAGTAGTCGTCGCGGCCAGCAACGCGCCTGAAAGCGTCACCCTGTCTGGAGACCGAGACGCGATCCTGGAGATGCAAGAAGTCTTGAATGAGGAATCGAGGTTCAATCGCATCCTCAAAGTCGACAAGGCTTACCATTCCCATCACATGCGTCCTTGCTCGGACCCATACATCACCGCTCTCAAGGCGTGTGGGTGCGATGTCCCTGAGATGGAAGCCACCCCATCCGTCACGTGGATCTCTTCGGTGTTCGAGGGCCATGTTATGACGCCCGAAGACCTCAAGGCAGAGTACTGGGGCGAGAACTTGCTCTCCCCCGTATTGTTCTCCTACGCCGTAGAGCAGGCACTGGTGAAACACTCGCCCTTCGATGTTTGCATCGAAGTCGGGCCACACCCGACCTTGAAGGGCCCGAGTCTTCAGACGATAGAGAACTGTGCGGCGACTACCCTACCGTACACCGGATGCATGGACAGGAACAAGACCGACACGGAGGCCTTTTCGGCATGTCTGGGCTACCTCTGGTCGCAGTTCGGCTCGCCTGCCATTGACATCGACCGTCTCTTGGGCGAGCTGTCACCAGATGAAGGCATTACAGAACTATCCAAGGAACTGCCATGCTATTCGTGGGATCACTCGAGGTCGTACAGGAAGGAGTCTCGTCTGCTCCGTCAATGGCTAGGCGGCGACCGACCTCATCTTCTGCTTGGCAAGCAACTGTCCCAAAGCAGCCCGAGTTCCCTTCAATGGCAGAATTTCCTTCGGCAGCGGGACATCGAATGGCTGAGCGGTCATTCTCTGCAGGGTCAGACGGTGTTTTCTGGCGCGGGTTACGTCGTCATGGCCATGGAGGCTGCCATCAGTGTGGCTAGTAGCAGCGATAAGGAGATCCAGTTGTTGGAGGTGCTGGATCTCGAGATCAACAAAGCCGTGACGTTTCATGACGATGATAGCATGGTAGAACTCAGCCTCTCACTGAGCTGCGATTCTTCGCAGACCACAGATACCTACGCCACCTACCAATTCGTCATCAATTCTTGCCTGGCCAGAGAGACAAGATTGTCGAGCTCGGCTTCCGGTACCGTGGCCGTCACCTACGGACCAGGATCGTCGGACACGCTTCCGGCTCGTCAAGAAGACCCCCCTCACCTGAACAATGTCAGCATCGACCGATTCTACAACATGCTCTCGGAACTCGGATACGGCTACACAAAGGAGTTCCGTGGCGTTAGCATCCTGAAGCGTGGCGACAGCAAGGCCCGAGGGACTCTTGACTTCCATCGTCTGGAGGACAACGACCGCAAACTCGTAATGCATCCTGCTACGCTCGATGTTGTCTTTCAGAGCTTCATCGGAGCATACACGGCACCAGGCGATAGACGCTTGCGATCCCTTCTCGTACCCACCGGCATCGCTCGCATAGCGCTCAACCCGTGGGTGGCTGATCGAATCAGCACCTCGTCCAATCAGCAGGTTGACTTTATTTCCACCAGCGCAGCGAGTGTCGGCAACGCGGTCGAGGGCGACATCGAGGTGTTCGACCCCGAATCCGGGGCTACCATGATTCACATCGAGGGCCTCAGCTTCAAGCCCTTTTCGGCGCCGTCGGCCGCCGACGACCACGAGATGTTCTCAAAATGGGAATGGGCACCGATCAACGCCGACCCTCTGCTCGACGACAGCAAGTACCACGCCACCGAACAAGATAAGACCGACGTCGAGATCATCGAGCGTATCACGTACTGGTACATCAAGTCGTTCATCACGAGCTTGGAACCGGAGGATCGCGAGAGGGCCCCCTTCCATTTTGTAAAGCACATTCAGTGGTGTGAGCATCAACTAGCCGAGGCCAAGGCGGGTCGCAACGTCTGGTACCAGCCGAGTTGGGAGAAGGACACCAAACCATTTATCGAGCAACTCATCCAAGAGTAAGTAACTAATCTCCCCAATCTCTTAACGGCTGTACACACACCCAGTGACTGTGTGAGACTGACACAACCACAAAAGAAACCGGTCTCATCCCTTTGTCCGCCTCATCCAAAGAGTGGGAGAGGGTGCTCTGGAAACTCTACGAGGGAACCGGAACGCCTTCGACCTCATGGACCACGATGGCTTGCTCACCGAGTTCTACGGAGGCACGGTAAGTTACGGACACTCGTACAGCTACTACCAGATGCTGCTCGAGCAGATCAATCACCGCCATCAGAACCTAGACGTTCTCGAAGTTGGTCAGTTTGACGCTTTTGATTCCCCTCAAGCTCCGAACATTATTACTCACATTGTCTCAAAGGCGCTGGTACCGGAGGTGCCACCCGTGTGTTCCTGAACGACGACCATCTCTCGTTCAACAGCTACACCTTCACCGACATCTCGAGCGCTTTCTTCGAGCAGGCCGGCAAGGAATTCGAACGGCACGGCGAGAAGCTGATCTTCCAGCCCCTCGACATTCGCCGCGACCCAAGCGAGCAAGACTTCAAGCCGAACTCGTACGATCTGATCATCGCGTCCAACGTCCTCCATGCCACCCCGCGGCTCGAGGAGACCCTGTCCAATGTTCGATCTCTGCTGAAGCCCAACGGGCGGTTGGTCGTCATGGAGGTGGCTCATCACGAGCATACCCGTATTGGTTTCATTTTCGGCCTGTTCCCCGATTGGTGGGCCGGTCACGACGAAGGCCGTGTTCTCGAGCCATTCATCTCCTACGATAAGTGGGACGTTGTCCTCAAGAAAGCTGGCTTTTCGGGCATCGACAGCCGCACTCTGGATCCGGACAGCCGGATCTTCCCCAACGGCGTGTTTATGACTCACGCTGTCGACGATTTGGTGCGACGGCTTGACTCGCCACTCTCGGCCCCTGCAAAGGGGGAATATCCCCCTCTGGTCTTCGTCGGAGGTTCGACTCCCAAGACGTCTGCGATTCTGGATCGGATCCCGGATGTCCTCGCGCCTCTGGGACGCGAGTTCAGCACATGCCCCAGCATTCGGGACATCATCGACTTTGACTACCAACCGGGCTCCTCGTTCGTCGTTCTGTCCGAACTGGACGAACACACGTTTGCCGGGCTCGATGAAGAGCAGCTGGATGCATTGCAAACCATCTTCAACGCCGCACTCCACGTCTTGTGGGTGACGGAGGACGCCTGGTGCACGAACCCGCAGCAAGCCATGACGATTGGTCTTCTCCGTACCCTCCGCATGGAATATCCGGATATCCACATTCAGGTGCTGGATGTCGACAAGGCGGAGCACGTGGAGCCCAGGTTCCTGATCGAGACCGTGTTACGCCTGGAAGATGCCAAAGACTGGCAGGAGAGGGGCCTGCTCTGGACACAAGAGCCCGAGCTGTATCTGTCAGGTGGCAAGGTCATCGTCCCTCGTCTCAAGCCAGATGTTGAGAAGAACAATCGCCTGAACTCCAACCGCCGTCCCATTCTAGCCGACCTGGACCCTAGCAAAGATACGCTGAGCTTCGAAAACGACGGCCGGGAAACCTTTTTCAAGAACCACGAAGAGCGTTTCGTGCCCTTGAACGCTACAGAGGGAGAATCCTCCATCAAGGTTCAGGCGCAATACTCTTTGGCCAAAGCCTTGAGGATCGGTCAATCAGGATTTCATCATCTCATCCAGGGCAAAGATGTGGCGACCGGTGAAGTTGTGGTGACGCTGTCTCAGAGCAACATGTCTTCGCTGCGAGTTCCCTCAAGCCGGGTGGTCAAAATCGAAGGAGAGAAGAATGCATCGCCGGTGCTTCCAAGCATTGTTGCGGAGCTAGTCGCCAGCAGCATGTTATCAGATGTCGCTCCTGGTTCATCCATCCTCGTTTTTGAACCTCCTACGCTCTGCATCCACGCCCTCTCCAAGCGAGCAGAAGCAGCTGGAATCGCCATCAGCTTTGCATCCACGCGGGCAAAACCATCGAGTGGCATCCGATGGATCCTGTTGCACGAGAAGGAGACCTTGCGCAGCCTGCGACAGAAGCTTCCACAAGACATCAACTTGCTCTATGATCTGTCAAGCGATCAAAGCCCAGCAAGCCTAAGCCAGCGACTTGCCCGACGCATCCCCGCCGGCTGCGTGATTCGCCACAGGGACTATCTCTTCCAAGATATCACGACACAGAATAAGTCTGCGGTAGGTGCCGAAAAGGCATACCAAGCGCTGGTCGAAGCGGTCGCTAGGGCCAAAGAGATGCCACCGAGTGATGATGGGGTGTCCATTATCAAGGGCAGCGATATTGTGTTGCTTGGAAACGCCGCCCTACACATCGACACCTTGATCGATTGGGAATCGGAGCAGATCATCCCCAGCCGCATTCGATCTATGGAAACGGATCCCATCTTCGTATCGGACAAGACGTACCTGCTGGTTGGTCTCGCCGGTGATCTGGGCCGCTCCATTGCCCGTTTCATGGTGGAGCGCGGTGCCCGCCATGTTGTCTTGTCGAGTCGCTCGCCCAAGATCGACCAACGCTGGATTGATGACATCACGGCGCTGGGGGGGAACGTGATGGTGCTTCCAATGTAAGAAACTTCTTCTTTCCACGGATTTGATGAAACGAATATTTTTATTTGGATGATTGCTGACCACCAACCTTTCAAGGGACGCCTCCAAAGAGGCTTCGGTAGACCAAGGTCTCGCCAAGATCCGCGAATCCATGCCGCCGATCGCTGGAGTCGCTTTCGGGCCTCTTGTGCTGCAAGACGTCATGTTCAAGAACATGGACCTGTCGATGCTGGAGATGGTGTTGGCACCCAAAGTGGAGGGCGCTCGTCTCCTCAGTGAGCGCTTGTCTGATCCTGCCCAGCCGCTTGACTTCTTCGTCATGTTTTCCTCCTTCGTGATGGTATCGGGAAATCCTGGTCAAGCGGCCTACAGCGCTGCGAATGCGTACACGCACGCCCTGGCTCAGAATCGACGCGCCCGTGGCATGGCGGGATCGACCATTGACATTGGCGCCGTCTTCGGTGTTGGTTTCATCGCCAGAGCGGGTCGGGAGCACGAGTATGATGTGGTCAAGTTCATCTTCGATGAGGTGAATGAGTGGGAGCTCCACGCCCTCTTTGCCGAGGCTGTTGTCGCCGGTCGCAACAAGCAGCTCGCCGATGTCGAAGTGATCACCGGCATGCCGTACATGGATCCTGCCAACCACGACCGGATCCCGTACTTTGACGACCCCCGATTCGCATACTTCAAGCTGTCTGACCGCAGCGCAAAGGGCAACAACGCCGCTGACGCGGTCGGGTCTGTCAAGGATCAGCTCCTCAAAGCAGATAGCATGGGTCAAGTCCGCTCCATCATCACGGATGGCCTCTGTGTCAGGATCCGGGGTGCCTTGCAGCTTACGGCTGCTGACGAGCTCAGCCTCACGACTCCGCTGATTGATCAGGGCATCGACTCGCTGAGTGCCGTCACGGTCGCTTCTTGGTTCTCCAAGAATCTGAGCATCGACATCCCGCTGCTGGAAATCCTCGGCGGTGCTTCCGTCAACGATCTCATCGACTCCGCGGTCGGCCGACTGCCGCCAGAGGCCATTCCATTGTGCTCTGACGGGTCTCTTGACCAGGAAAACGCAGTGCAAGTTCCTCAGGTCGTCGAATCCTCGGCCGTGTCTGACGGCTCGTCTTCGTCGTCCGCTGAGCACAACCACGACTTGACCCCGCCCTCGGCTTTCGAATCCGGCGGCGAAGAGGTAACAGAACGTGAGGCACCTCTGTCTCTGACCCAAGAGTACGCCTGGAAACAGCTTCAACTCCCCTTGGCACCCGAGACTTTCAATAGTACCATCGGTATGTACATGCAAGGTCCTCTCAACCTTGATCGCCTCAGTTGGGCAGTGAAACAAGTATTGCAACGCCACGACGCATTCCGCACGGCGTTTGTCAACGACCCGGCCGATACGGGTGGTCCTATCCAATTCATCATGGAGTCCCCTCGAGTGGCGTTTGAGACGATCCAGGTTGCCGACAAGGCTGCCGCAGATCAGGGCTTCACGGATCTCGAGGGTTATCATTACGACTTGGACAAAGGAGACACGCTCAAGCTCGTCCATTACCAATGGTCACCCATGGATCACCTTCTGATCATTGCCTACCATCGCCTTGTCGGAGATGGCTGGACCACCGAACACCTCTTCGTTGAGATCGGTCAATTGTACAGCGGCGTCAAGCTCGGGCCTGCTCCGAGCTATGCCGATTTCGCTATACGCCAGCGCAAACAGCTGGAGTCTGGCGCGCTCGCCAAAGATCTCAGCTACTGGGCCGACCTCTTCAAGCAACCTCCAGCGAGACTCCCGACACTCAATGTGCCGGAAGCCAAGGCAGACTCGACTCCAACCGCTTGGTCAGAGCACGAAGTATCAGCTCGTCTCAATCGCATGGTCGGCGTGCGTATCAAGGACCGCAGCCGCAAGCACAAAGCGACGCCAATGCACTACTACTTGGCCTCATTCCAGATCTTACTGGCGCGTCTGACCGGTAGCGCCGACATCGTGATCGGCGTCGCCGACAGCAACAGGTCCACGCTCGCAGACCAGGCGACCATGGGCTACTTCGCCAACCTGCTACCAGTCCGCCTGCCGTACGACCCGGACAAGATCTTCCACGAGGCGCTCTCCGAGGCCAAAGAGCAGATGCGGGGCGCGCTTCTCCACGGTGCCGTGCCGTACGGTGCCCTCCTCGACCACCTGGGCTTGCCCCCGCCGTCTTCCCAAGACGCGCACTCGCACGCGCCGCTGTTCCAGGCCGTGTTCGACTACAAGCAAGGCCAGGCGGAAAGCGGAAACATCGGGGATGCCAAGATCGTCGACTCGCGCACCCCGCGCGCCGGATCACCCTACGACATCACGCTGGAGATGAGCGACGACCCCACCAAGGCGCCCTTGATCACGGTGAAGCTGCAGAAGGAGAAATACGGGCTTCGGGACGCCGAGGTGGTCATGGACGCGTACCTCTCGATCCTCAGCATCTTCTCGAGGAATCCCGCGCTCCGGGTGGCGGATGGAAGACTGAATCAAGGTGCCAAGGCAGGGGATACGAAGCTTGGGGAGTAGATAGGGATGTATATCTTTTTGTTGTTGTTTTTTTGAAACAAAAGAAACAAAAAGGTTTTTTGATATTTCTTCGATTCCGCGCTTCCTCGACCTTGCAAAGGTCAGCGTGAAACGTGTACAGTACAGTTCTTCGTTATCTTACCGACAAGAGCTGTGCGTAGATCGGTATGAAGACATGACCCCCCACATCGACTGAGGGTATCTTACAGCACTCGACGAAGAACACTAGTCTACTCGTCCGGGCAGAGAAGCCGAGTAAGCCGGCGCGGCATCGAAGAAACGTCCAACCAATCTGATGGCTTGCTGCAAAACGCGTATCGTTGTGGATCTCGACCTTGAGCAAGAGAAGAAAGGATGGTGTTGGGAACGGGGAAAAGAGGAGGCGACCACCAGTCAAATGCTTCGTCCTGCGAGGCCCCTGCCATCTGCAGCTTACAGGCACGACTATGGAAGGAGTAGACTAGTCTAGGGGTGCCCAGCCGTTGTTCACTCTTGGCTTGGCGCGACAGTTCATTGAGGGGCGGTGCATGCTTATACTAGTGTGCGGACAAGTCACTCGGGCCGTACAGTAGTCTAGTAGATCTGGGATCAAGATCCTTTCGTTCGTTGATGGACAGAGCCCCCCCCCCCCTGTAAAGCTTTTTGCTTCAGCGCGCTAGACAGCGGCCAGCGATCACCCGAGATTAGCGCGCGATTAGGCTGTTTGTGGCCTTTTTAAGTACCGTTTCCGCGCTCTGGTCAACTTTTCATTCCGCATCTCCCATGGAACTTCCTTCATCAGCCATGATGTGGCAAGATTGTCAGACTGTAACCTTCTACCAACGGACATGATTACGCTATTTTGCCTGATCTCATGCAATCGTGGGTTACATTTTAGTCCAAGAGGTTATGTGACTGGACTCGGCGCTAGAGAAATGGCTTTGCAGCCATGTCCCGTCCCGTCCCCTACCGCTTTTGGTCTTCGCTTGTCACCTTCCCCATTCATATGTTTGTTTCGCCTTCACCAATCCTGACCCCCTCCTCTGTTTCCCTTTTGTACCTATGCCCTGCCGGCGTCGCGGGCACGACTCATTATCATGTAATGGTAGAACGTAGTCGAAAAATACATCCTTCCTTCCTTCCTGACCCCCTCCTCGTCTTGAGAAATTCAAACCCACAGCTGGAGTCTTTCTCGTCTTTCGTAACGATTTATCCCATCTTCATCGTCGCCTTGTATCTGTCAACTACTATACATGCCGTGGCCAACATCAACGCTGCCGTACGCGGAAGCCAGGACGAGAGAGAGACATGGACGGTGCGTCTATAACAGATGCGTCGCAGCAGCACGACGGCCCGTCTACAACCGGTGCGTCTCAGCAGCTCGACGGCCACTGGACGTCCATCCAGGTTCCCCGACAGGTCTCTGGTCGGAGTCTGCGGAAATCATGTGATCGCTGCCACCAGCAGAAGCTCCGATGCGTCGGGAACAAAACGTCACGACAAGCCTGCGCGCGATGCCAACACGTCGGTGCCGAATGCGTCTATAACGCACGGTCCAGCAAGCAGGCCAACAATAACAAGGGCAGCAGAAACCAGAACAGTGCTCCGACCGAGCCTGTGACGCCGGTCCTGAACCACCACCAGCCCGGCAACTTTGGAGCTTTCCACCCCGATCAGCTGCAGCTGGGCAGCTTCTTCCCGTCTGGTTGGGATGCCATAAACACCCCGTCTCTGACTGATCCCGCCCTGGCGACATATACGCACAGTGGCCATGCTTCGACACTCTCGACGACGAGCACAGGCCCCGTCTTCAACACGTCCGAGTCGGGGATCGACGACAATAATTTCATCCCGGCGCCAGAGGTGTGCAGGTCCGGCGGCGACCTGTCCGCTCAACTCGCGAGCGTATGCCAGACACTAGAAACCCTCCTTAAAACGGTGACAAGTGAGCGCACTGGCCATGCCGAACAATGTAAACAAGCACATGCCAACCCCCCCCCCCTTCCCAGTGTGAGAATTATGAAACGCTGACTGCGACATGCGTAGATCCTGTCGGAGAGGTGTTCAGTGCCTTTGAAGGCTTTGTGAGGGCCATGGTGCTCACCCGGGGAAAAGCTCGGACCCCATCCCGAGACGCCCACCCGTCCTTCGCCAAGTACCTGGACAGCAAGCAGGCGTCCATGGCAGCGCAATGCTACATGCTCTGCATGAGATTGGTGGTCTCTCTCTCGGAGAAAATGCTGCAGAACCTCTTAGCATCGCCCATGCCTGCGCAACGCACATCCTTCAGTTTGAGCACGCCCGACTCGACTCCATTCAACGCCAGCGCGCTGGGCATCCTGGACGTGAACTTCTCCCTAGGTAACCAGAACATGATCGAGGGCGTCGGCCTGGAAGATCTGTATGTCGGCCCCACGGACTCGTACGAGCAGGCCGTCGACTCCACCGTCAGCATACTCCGCGTCGGCGCCAGACTCATCGGCAGAATGGAGCAGTTGCTGGAGATCCCTCCCGACATGGCCGGGGGCACGACGTCGTCGGGAGAACAGCCGAGCACCGAGCATCAGCGAAGGAAGCTGTCGCTGCCGGCACGCCTCGTCGCGACGACGTGGGAACACGAGACGAGTATCGATAACAAATGCCCCGTAACGTGTTTCAAGCGCTATCGCGCCGCTATCTTGGGTCTTGCCCAAGGCCACGTGTGAGAGAGGCTTCCTATATACCATAGAATAGAAGTGGGTTATTAGCTTGTGTAGCCGCAACGGGCAATCGCTTTTGCGATATCCTAGTAGCTATGTTGTTGTTGAACGTATACTTTGAGTATGCTTGCTCCGAACGCGGGCCGAAACTAGTCTCAGTGCTCAGACCTCCCTGGCTTCAACAGTTCGTTCCCCAAGTCACTTTTTTTGACCAACAATTCTAACCAATCACAACACCACAAAATCAAATCTCCGCCAGGAAGGTCTGAGCCCACCTGTGCAGAATCCAACGTGGCCCAATTTTGGCCCTGGCAAAGAAAGAGCAGTACCATCTCTAGAAAAACCCTCGCTGAAAAGCAGTAAAACGGAACAAAAGGCACGTGAGGAAGCGAGGAAACATCTTAGTACACCAAGATTATATGAACGAAGTGAATGTATCTGAGCGGCCGAGATTAGGGTAGTCGCGTTATCCGATGGCTTGAGTTTTGCCCTTAGCCAATGCCTTGAAACAGAAACCACAACCAGGTTATCTATTCAGAGCAAAGGGGAGGAAAGGCACCCGGACAGAGTTGTATCAAGAAGTTTGCACAGTGAATCACGGTTGCTCTGGTGCATTTATTCCACCCCTTTATCTTACACCAATTGATATACATGGTATACGTACAGCCTCAACCGCTGAATTCAATTCTCCCTCCTCCCATCTCAAACCCCTCTACTCTTCGTCCTCCTGTCCATCCTTCTTCGTGCCACGTCTCCCCTTAGATCTCCTCTCCCGCTCAATCTCCTGCAGCAACTGGAAAGCCTCCAGCTGCGCCGCGTTCATCACACCATCCATGTCCACGGGGGCAGCATCGGGCTTCTTCTCCGACAGCTCGGCTGCCCACAAAATCCCCGTCTCCCCGCATAACTCGGCCAACGCAGAGTATGTGCTCCCAGAGCAGGGACGATTCCTCGTGGCGTACCCAACTTCGGACTCTTCGCATCTCTTCGTGTGCATTCTCAAACATAAGATGGTAGGCATAGTTGTTCGCCTGTGAAAGGTAAAGCCGAGCAAGGTCTTCTTCCGCCACGGTGTCGATCACTGAACTCGCCATCGAAAAGAAAGATCGGATGATTCCCTCCGATCCTTTGATATCGCCTTTGAGACGTAGTAATACACTACATCGGTAGGTGACCTTGGCTTGAAGTTGATAGTCATTCCTATCGACCAGCTTATTAGCTAGTTCGGCGGCCTTCTGCTTGTCGCTGAGCAACAATGAGGCATCGTGGGATGCCTCCAGGAGATGCTGGGAAAGGCGGTGCCGATTCCATACACAGGTTCTGTTGCGAGGTAAGTAATCACTCGCATGGCGTAAAGGGGATACATACGAGGGCTGGTCGGCAGGAAGTATTGTGACTATAAAACGCCAGTCCAAAAGTCCAAGTCCTAGTCCGTCGGATGGAACCCGTGAAAGCGGTCCACCTTTGTCGTACGGGATGGAAGCAGCCCGCGCAACTGTCTGACAGGCGGCAGTCCCTCCGTGGGTCCCAGGAGAGGAAGAGCTCCTGATCTCAATGAGCTTGCCTGCCGGCGGCCGGATATTATCTCCTCTTTCTCCAACCAGCACGCTGTCACTTCCCCCATGAGGCTGGTAATCAGCCTCGTGCGTGCCATCAAAACGTGGGGAACTGCCGGAGGGGGTGCTTAAGTCGTCGGATTGCAGACCGTCTGCGACTTTGTTGTTGCGATTTCTCCGATGCGACTGCGTGCCACAAGACCTGTGGTGCCTGGTATACAACTTCTTACAGGCTGGGCATTTGTTGTTAAATATAACTCGGGATATAGATGAACTCATTTGCGTTGAATGTTTAGGCTCGTAGTACGATGTGCAGTTTGATGTACAATTCTCGATCCCACTTTCTCGATAAGACGGGGGTTGGCGTGGCGTCCTACCACCAAGATCTCGTGCGTGGCGGGGTCCGCGCCGCCCGAAACCGTTAAGACTCTCCGGCGTACTGACCTAAGGGAATTAACGGCGGCGCTACCCCCGGCGCCGTCAGTCGCGGCACACACTCGTTTGTGTTTACGATTGCAGATCGGTCCCCGGGTCAGCGACAGCAAGCCATACAACTGCGATAAACGGCCTTGTATGCGCTTAGGTAGGCTCAATGTTACATAGTACGGTTGGCACGCATCGCAGTGCCACATCCCCGAGTGTCGCCGGACTTAGCGCGACTTAGCGCTTAAAGGGGATGACGGCTTGTCGCGGCAGCCAAAATTGACCGAGCCAACGGCCTTTACGTATGCTCCGGGACATCACATCATTCAAATTCTACAGGCCTCGAGCTATCCACAACATTCGGTGAGAATCGAAACCGATGCATCAATAATAACAGCCGCTAATGTATAAGCAGCAGGTTCTTCCGTGTTGGCAATGTGGAGCGCCCAGTGCTCAAATCCTGCACCACCGCCATCCCCGTAGGGCTGATTGTGGCTTACCATCCCTGAAGGCGATCCATAGCGGGAGATCGACCGCCAGCCGAAGCTTAAAGAGGCTGACACGCCATACGTTGCTTCGAGACTCCAGTAACGGATACAGAGCCAGCCGTAGTTACTAGAACCCGTTCATTCGCACTTTCCAGAGCTAAGATCGCTTTCCCGGAAGAAGCGCCGGTTTGTAAATGGGGCTTGGCGAGATGGGGCTTGGCGAGATGGGGCTCGTGAGGTGCGTTCCCAAATGAGTTTACGGGATGGTGCCTCCATGGAGATTTGATGATAACCTAATGCGCTACCCACGTCGGCAAGAGACACTACAGACAGCAATGCGGAGAAGGTAGCAATAAACTCTGGAATACTTCGACAAATGATGAACCGAGGTTTAGCATGGCCGATTCAGAGGGCCTAACTGCCAATCTTTCGAAGTTCGTAAATGAGAGATGAGTAAACAAAACGAGCCTCCTTAGCAACCAGTAGTGTCTCTGATTGGCCAACCTCTCCGAGAAAACCAAGAAACCGATCCAAATCCGGCAGAGCTAGGACTCGACTCCCGAGCAGATCTCAAGTCTAGTCTGACACCGTAACGAAAGAATCCGCCCTCTTCATCTTCTCCCTCCCTGCCCTCGTTCTGCCCATCCACTGCTGCGCCTTCTCCACCGCCACACGAGCTGAGCATCTATGATCCAGTAGGAATGACTGTATTTCGGCCGGGGAGAACTCCCGCTCCGGTGCCTTCCGAGAAAATTCACGCGCCCATCGTTCCATATAGTAGGTAGCCTCTCCGGTAAGGGATGCCACGGTTTGTCTGCCATGTGCGAGGTTGGGGGCTGAGGATATTCCGGAGTAGGATAAGGTGTAGGAGATCGCCTCTCCACAATCCCGTGCCCGTGGCGTATTTTGTATGCCACGCTAGATACGCGGAGGTTAACGTTGTGATATGCTGAAGCCGTGACCGAGAAGTTCGGGTGGGGTTTGTTGATAGGATAAGTGTTGCCAAGCAATTTATGGGATTCCACACAGACAACAATGTGCCAAGTGCTCCCTGGCACCCCCCAGATGGGGGTTCCTTGTTTGTTTTCGTCGTCTCCGTCTTTCATTAGACGCCAGTCTCTGATGTCACTATTATCATCGGTCTGGCCGGAATATATATCGGTTGGATGTAGCGGTTCGACGAGTTTAAGAGTAGCATAAACTCCCTTTAGCGGTCTGTTGGTAGAGTCTCGGACTTGGCAAGTGATAGATATGTTGAAGAATAAAGAATTAGTTGTAGAAGGAATAAAAAGACCGAATAGCTTGAGTAGTTGAAGGTGGATAATAGAGGATGGTTACGGGTATATATACGTATATGGTTGCTGGTAGGAGGTGGTATTCTATCTTTGGATTATCAGTTGGCTATCTCCTATTTTCGCCACCTATGGGGTATATTACCTTTTAAAGTCTAGTTTCCTTTTTCTACATTCGAGATTTGCAATCTAATTCTGCCATAATCATCATTTGATCCTTTCGTTACCGTGCTAAGAATTCAAGCGTCTTCTTGTTTTAGTCCGATTTTTATCTCTTCTGAATCGTCGGCAGAAATACGACCCGACGGTGGATTCGTAGTTACTATAGTTTGATATTGTCGGAATGCGCTAATAATTGTCGTTGCGATATTTGTAACCATTTCGTCACGCTATTTTAATTCCCGTGCAAGATTCCGGCGTAGTAGTAAATAAGACAACTCTAACTAATTTAGCTAGTGTAATAACCTTTAATTTTAAAGTTTAAGTTGTTAATTTTCTTTTTCTAGTAAATGTATATAAGTTATTTCATCTTTTTTATTACGATTTATGTTTGTCTTTGGTAATAATGGCAGGCGTTTATTTAGACTCATCGTCTATTAATTTACGCTGTATTTTTTAAAAGCTCTGTAACGTTGATAGAAAGGCTCTCCAATCTAGAAGCTACGGTATTTATGGATTCTAATGCCGTTTCGGATATCTTAGAGATTCTCATTATGTCGTTTTTAAGAACCTCCAACCGTTTATCTCTTTCCTGATCTCTATCCATTCTGTCCAAACGACGTTCGATTCTTGCGCTTCTAATTAATTCTAATATTAAAGTCTCAAGTTGGACATCTCGGTTATGAAAATGTCTATGTTTGTTAATTGAGTAAAGGTAATATAATATAGTAGGAAGAAATACCTTTTGCAATGTAGACACGCTGAATCAATTGGATCAAACAGTGTTAGCAACCGCGTTGATTGTGGTGGTGGAGGAAGTAAGAAAGATTTAGGATTTAAATCCTCGAACATTTGTAGATCTACAAGGTTATCTATAGTGCTAGTGTTCGTATAGAGAGAAGATATAATGGGCTCATACAATGAGTAAAATATAAAGTTTAAATCTAAAAGCCAGCTTCTATCGTTAAAGAGAACTATATATACCCCTTCTCTCTTTTAATTTATACTGTATATTTAGTGTCTTCTTTAACCCCTCTCATTACAACTACTATGTTCTATCCAATCAATATACTGTGGCAATTTCTCTTCTTTTACATCGCTGTTGGCGCTTCTATAAATAGCCTTTGTATTGTAGAACCTCCATTACAATTAACTCCTGGATTCCCTATTCGTGCTATGTAAATTCAACGCAAAAGCTCCTCGTAAAGTATTTAATTAACTTTTGAAAGTGGAAATGTAGAGTCGCTATGCGAAGCTATTATAATTACTGCCGACGTCGAATACGTAATCCCTTTTAAATATCCCAATTGCCCGCAACTATTAGTATTTGAATTTATTGTACCACCTCTTCCAAGTGGCGATGCGCTTGTCTTTTGGTATTTCTCTCAAGTCTTCGATCCCTTTAATATAAACTAACCTAAGTTAAGCAATGTGGAGTATCTATTGAAAACTATTATATAGTTAATGTGACGGCTGGCACCCTCTGGGCTGTCACGTGCCGTCATGGGTTCCAGGTGCAGGTGCAGGTTCTGGGCTTGGCTCTGGTTGCCTCCCAGCCAGGGTATAAAACCCAGCTCCCGTATCGAGCCTTCCCTTTTGGGATTTCTTCCCCTCTTCAACCTCTTGTCTTCAGTCCAAGTTAGTCAAATAGTATCATCATCACTGTTTGGCTACGCCGTGACAGTTAAGGTTATAATTGGTAATACTATAAAAACTATACCCGTTCAAAATGGGACTGTTCGCTATCTTAATATTTTATCGGATACTATAGAATCATCCACATTAGGTATTACCCGTAGCTCCCTAAGTTTATCTTTTAAAATATTTACGATAGATAACCTGGGATCAAGCCAATTGATAACTATTTCGTTAGTATCCACTTTATGTAAAACAAGCATAACCTCAATTATTATAATAATTCCCTCTCTACCGAACGACTCCGTCTCATTAAACAATACTAAACTTCCGGTTACAACAGTCGCCTCCTACCTCTGGAATAGCTCGTTTACGTTAATCCCATCTAGAATTCACGCAATCTCAGCTCTTACATCAATATCCGATTGTTATCCCTCTTTACTAAGCACTATAGAGATTTCGAGTATAGCGCTCGCATTACACCTGTGGCAAACCTCCTTATCTTTATCTAATAAACGATCAAGCATGCCAATAGTCTCATTACAACCAGTTTTTGCAAGGGCGGTAAAAAATCTTCCGCATGCTGGAGTGATTATTGGTGCTACGTTCGCACTGAATTACTAGCCGCTTGGTTTAAGTATCCCGAGGGAACGGAACGCTAATTTAGTTTAGTACACCCCAGAAAAAGTGGATCTATTGTAGAATAATTGGATAGTATACGGTTGGAAAGAAACGTAGCATCTCAAAGTAATAGCCTAGTTATCCAAGGATGACTTGACGATACTATATATCTCACGGTGTCATATATATTAAATATCACCAATAGGTGAAAATTTCTTAAATTTAGAACAAATACATTAGATATTTAGAGTTTATAATTTAATAGTGTATATCACTTCTAGTTCTAATTCTTTTAAAAAGGGCGAAGGTGGCTAACTATAGGCAGATTCTTTCAATATTACTATTATTACGATAGTGTGTAATAATATGTATGATATAATGTAACGAACGCTGAGAACCATTATAGAAGAGAATATAAATATTATAACAATTCTATTACTAGAACAAATCTCTATATCTTTTTTGTAAAACTTCAAACAACGAATTGCCTTGCTAAATCACCATGCCAATTCTTCAATTGGAAAGAAATGTAGCATCTTAGTGATAGCCTAGTTATATAAGGATGACTTAAGGATACTATATATCTTACAGTGTTATATATATTAGATATTACTAATAAGTAAAAAAATTTTAAATTTAGAATAGATGCCTTAGATATTTAGAGCCTATAATTTAATAGTATGTATCACTTCTAGTTCTAATTCTTTTAAGAAGGGCGAAGGTTGCGAACTGTAGGAATATTCTTTTAATATTAATATTATTACAATAGGGTGTTATTAAATGTATCTTAGCCTAAATATATTTTAATTAAAATTATTATAAAGACTAGCGTACAATGGACTTAGCTTCTTCTTAGGTGTAAGGGGTGTAGCATAGTTGACACAGATGCTGGCCAAAAGAATCGATAAGGTTCTACGAAGAGAGAAGGGGAGAAAGGATGCCCTCTGGGCAGCCTGGCCGGCTGTCCTAAAAAAAGAGGCGTGCGCACGCACAGGCTAGTGTTGCCTGCCGCGAGAGTGGAGCACTCGCCTGGCAAGACTGCCAGGCATTTCAGCCACGGGCGCCAGCCCCATGACACTTGACTTGTCCATAAAGTATGTTCTCATAAGTGCCAGGCCGAAAGCCAATGCTTCCTATAAGTACTAATATATAAAAGGCAAGACGACATCTGGGATTACAGGGTATATCGACTGCGCGTTCTCACAAAGTGCTAAGAATAAGCAGAACATCGTCTGTGGTGGCTTCAGTTTTCTTAAATGTTTGTCTATATAAGAGGTTGAACTTTTATACAAGAGTTGATTAGATCTACTGTGAGAAGAAATATTAATATATAGTATTAGTATAGGTAAGAAGGGAATCTACCTAGATAACCTCTCTACGGGCCTTCCTATGGTTGCCAAGCAATCTCCATTGTTTGGAATCTTCGTCTGAATCTTCATTCGAATCTCGATCCCTTCTCTTCGCGAATATTACAACATCAGCTTGAGCTATTATATGCTTCTATAAAGCAATAATAGTTACTACTGACTGAATTGTTGGTACCTGCTTCTGTTCCTCGGTACCGTCTATATATAGACGCTTGCATCTTGCATAGCGTGTATAGTCGGCCAGAAAGCTCTTGCAGATAGTAATAGACTTTTTCTTATTTTGGCACACGCCAAACCAAACCTTATTAGCCTCTTTTTGTATTAATTGTAATACATTTATAATAAATCTAAAAAGCGTTAATACGCAATATTAAAGAAAATAGCAAAATAATAAAATATATACCTATTCTATAGACGCCACGCGCGTTCTCGCTCGGCTTTGGTCTTTTTACAAAGCGAACGCTCATGTGTTGTTACCGTAAATTCGTCGACGTCGGCAAATGCTCTTCTTTTCCATTCTTCGACGTCGCGTTCAGTCGGCGGTATCGGCGGTTTTCATAGCTCCATCCCTTCCGTATTGCATATGGATGGAGTGCGATCGGCACCGTGAGACTTAAATAATACCCTCTCAAGTTGCAATGGCTTACGAGCTCAGTATATTTGAGAGGAGAAATTAATTAGAAAACTCGGAAGGAGGGTTTTATATAAAAACCAACACAACCCTCGCAACGTAGGGGCCGTAATTCATGTGGTAGAATTAACGGGGAAGAATGGATATACAATGAATGTGATTAGAATGGGACAGAAGTTTGCTTATTTGGTTCAATCGGGAATCCGAGGGTAAAGACACAATTTATATCTTGAGGCCCTTCTAACTCGCCTGAAGCGATATACGTACGGAGAAAAGTGTTCACCAAAGCCAACCACACCTTCCAAAAGCCAACCAGGGGTAAATAAATGGCAGGGGTAAGCACCTTGTGTAGTGTATGCCTAGCCCACTCAGCTGGGCTTGGCCTAAGTGGAACGGTGCACTCGATGGCGAAGGCAATGAAAACGGTTGCAAGAAACGGCGGCGGCGTTTTTGGCTGAGTCATCCAAACCCCTGTAAAAACCTCCTCCCATAGACATGCTTCCGATATGTCGGCTTATCTATGGGAGCGGGAAGGACAGGAAACGGGTCTTTTAATCACGTGGTAGGGTCAAAAAACCGAACCACCAGCTCCCATATCCATATCGTTCGGACGGAGGCAAGACGGTAAGTGGGGAGGCGGCGCTAAAAAGATGAATATAATTGGGCGGATTATGAGAAAAGTTGACCGTCCTAACACTGCGGCTAGATCTTTTACACGGGTAACACCAAGATTGCACTCGGTCAGAAGACCATTCCTGATTGGTTCCTAGTACTCCTCGGCCCAGTTATGTGTATGCAGTTAGTCGCCGAGTCTGATTGTTGGATGACGGTTTGGTAATCCACTATGACAAACTGATCACGATAGACCTCCTTCATGTACCTGCCTTAACCTACCTTCTTTGTCTGCCTACCTTAACCTACGTTCTTCATCTGCCTGCATTAGCCCACCTCTTCCCTTCCATCCTGGCATGTCATAACCATGGTGGTTGGCTTGCAACATACTACCGGCGCGGCCGCCAACACCTTTGTAGACGAGTCGATTGGCGGAGAGAGCTGCATGCCAGGGCTGCGAAACAGGGTGAGTGAGGTGGGCAATGAGTTTCTATTCTCTGTCTGGGTTGAAGGAGAGTTCAAAGAAAGATTGTTCCAAAGGAGACAGCTTGGCGAACTGCAAAACCTACCCAACGAAGACATTAAATTTTTGACACCCATTCAGCCCGAGGATGGTAAATAGGGTAGTCTCATAAGGCTGGACATTGCGTTCAAAATAAGCAGTATCAACCGTAGCTGTATGATTATTTTTCTCTGCCAGTTTTTGTTCTTAATCAAGTCCCCCGTGGTATAGATAGTGGGACTCGAATCTCGAACACGCAAATCAGCACTGCGAATCTTGTACGATAGGTGTCATAAACACCATCATGAACGCAATTGATCTATAGAATCGCGTAATAAAAAGATGCCAAGGATGTGCTTGGTTATGGTCGGCTTCTAGTAGAATAAATCCAACCCTGACAACTCGGACGTTCGCTTCGGAAGCCGATAGTCCGTTTATTGAAGTGTCGGGTGCTCTATAAGGTGTTGAATATTCCCCTTCTAACTCGTTTCATACGTAGGTACAAGAGAAAAGTTGGGATAGGTTCCCGTTCCGGGCTGAGAAATGGCGTTTGCTCGTTCTTTTCTCGCATCTCTTTAGTCAATCAATCCTTCGAGAGAAGTGGAAATGTAGCCGATAGTGATTGTGGGTGTAAGGGTTCTACGAGGTATACACGCAGGTAGGCCTTGGTGAAAGTTGTAATATTCGACAAAGAGGAAAAGTGAAGCCTGTGCCAGTATGGCATAGAGCTTCCAGCTAAATACACAAGAGAGGTGCGGATATCGAAGGTGCTAGAAATGCCAAGGTCAGAAATGTAGTTCGTGCGGCGCACCCCAGGAGTGCACCCAACCGGAGGGCAGGCCTGGCTCACATAGGGTTCAAGCCAGGCAGACACCTCTGGGCGCCAGCCCCATGACAGTGGGGAGTTGTGTTTCTAGATATGGCGGTCAGAACCCTAACCCTAGTGCTGGCTGAGCCAGAATTAGGGTTAGGATTCCTCAACCGTAAAGAAAAGGATGTTACCCCACAAAACAAGCATGCCAGGCTTGATAACTATACTCTATATCTCAAACATTAATAGGGACTGCAAGCGAGAAAAGCTAGCAGCCAGAGAAGGAGGTGGGGTTAGAGTAGCTAGGTATTTAGTATTTTTGGCTCCAGAATGATTTATTACAGTATAGATAGTAGTATTGCATATTAGGAGGAGTGATGTACAAGCGCCCGATGGGCATAAGGTCCTTCACCTATTTCCCGAGAGAAAACCGTATATACTTCTATCGAATGAAACCGCCGTCCCTTCCCCAGCTGTAAAGCCGGCCCCTGCATTTCCTACTGTAACGCTGCTTCACCCACCGCCTGGTGAATAATAACGTTAACCTATCACCGGTGCTTTATGTCGAGCGATCCCTTAGTGGTCAGCTCCGCCAACCCCTTCCTCCTCCAAGCGATGGTTCATTCTGCCTTGTGATGCTGCTTCGACAACAACGACAACTACGACAACAACGTCATTTGGGCTGCCGTCTTCAGCCTCCTTGAAACAGCGACAAAACCATCGACAGAACCAGCAACAGAACCAGCGACAGAACCAACGACAGACCGGCCGCAACCGTCCGAGTGGTCAGATATTATCCACGCGAATCCTATCAACAACAGCGTTGATACTTTTCCGCGCTGTTTTCGCTTCTATTTATAAAAACTATACGCTCTCGCCTAGTCTAGGCACGCTCGCCCAACTCGACCAGCAAGGTATATCATTATATCATTAATAATATAGGCCAACTAACTAACTAAATCTATATCTAGACACCCCAGACCTCAGTTCTGAGGTCTCCTTTCTTCATTCCTCCAGTCTTGCAAATCCACGATTCCCTACCGCACGTCAAACCCCGTATTAACGATATAATATCAACTATTTAGGACCCGAAAAGATCAACTGAAAGTTTGAGCATAAAGCAAGGTATTGTTGCTAGAGCCCTCCGCGCCTGCCAGAATATACGAGAAGGTTCTGTCATTTTTGATTGCTCCGAATACATTCTGCGTGATATTGCTATTGCGGTCCCTCTAGCGTTGCTGTTGAGATGTACGACGACCAGGGGAACTCCCAATACGATAGGAAGCAATAGGGAGTAAATAATAAAGATTGGGGAGTAAACCAAGATCAATTCTTGTAGGAGGAAAGATTGTGAAAGGCTGATTCGAGGTGGAGTTGTTCTCTAAGCCTGCTTCTTAAGATGCAAGGCGGAGTAGTTTAACAACCGCCTCATGCCTATTCTTTACCGCCATATGCAGCGCTGTCCAACCATCCATATCCTGAACATCTGCATCAACCTTGCCAGTATTGAGAAGCAGCTTAACAACCGCCTCAGATAGCCACAAAAACAAAGGATGGCAGAATTATGCTGCGGCAACCGCGGCGTCGGTAGCGAAGGCGGTTATGGAGAGGTATGTCGCCTCTGCTAGGGTTTCCGACTCTTCGCAGTCTTTGAATGCAGGCCCGGGCGGTGGCCAGATCAATCAGCCGGCTGGAGGAGTAACCCTCACACCAGCGATGGCGCAAATTCCATCCGCGTCTTTTGGACCGCTGAACTAGGGTCTCCAGGTGGGGCAGAGCTACGCACCGATCAAAGCTATGAACCCGCTTGTTGATTCTGCAAGGCACCAGGAGATGCAGCAAATGTCAGAGAAGGATCAGCAACGCTTAAAGGACTTGCGCATTACCAATCCTCGCCACGATAAAACCTGCATCGAACAGACCAAAGGCGGTCACTATAGAGTCAAATTCTCTCTTCGGGGTATGCCGAGGTCAAACAACTTCGTGCCTCGACCCTCTAATATTATGGATATTGAGAAATCTCTTCTTCCTCACCACCAGAAAAGCCAAGGGTGCAATGTCTTTGTTCTTCACGGGCTCGGCGGAATTGGGAAAACTCAACTAGCTGTCAACTTTGCACGGCAATACAAAGCTGCCTTCAGCGCCATCTTTTGGCTGGACGGCATATCAGAAGACAGCCTTAAACAAAGCTTTGCCAGTTGTGCAAAGAGGATACCAAAAGACCAGATTCCTGAGAATATCAAAGTCCAAAAACAGGCGATGAAGTCGATCTCAACGAGATTGTGGAGCACGTACAAGAGTGGCTCGCAGAATATGACAATGTCGATTGGCTTTTGATCTTTGACAACTGATAGGGTAACCTGGGCCCTTCCAAATATCACGATGCAATGTGTGCAAGTTGTAATATTAGAAGGGTAAGAAAGAAGATGTCAAATGGAGAAAGGCGTGGCCAAAGGCCGCCCCGCGCGGGAATCCCTTTATGGGAATTCCCTTATCTTATCGAAGACCCACTTTATGTGGAGCCGTGCGACCTGACAGGCGCGCGCGCAAGGCACGTGCCAGAGCCTCTGACAGGGGTGGGCATGGCCAGTGCCATGTCCCAGTCTAATCTAATCAATTGAAGTAGTTGTTGTTGTTGTTGTTGTTGTTATTTTTAACGTCTACTTCCGCCTCCCGTAGGGCATGAGACGTGCCACATCGGTAAATCTAGCGTACAAAAGTAGGAGCAGTGCCCTGACACGCCCTGTGGCGCCCAGTGTCTCTATTCCATCCACCAAACCAGTAATCCGAGGGCAAACCGAGGCCTATAGCCAGTGTGTCTCACGTGCTGCCCATAGCGTAAACGCGGCACAAAAAGACTATAAAGCGATCGTTAAGATGCTTCTCGATACTGGCAAGGTTGACGCAGGTGCTAAGGATGAGAATGGACAGATAGCGCTGTATATGGCGGCGGAGAATGGGCATGAGGCGGTTGTTAAGCGGCTTCTCGATACTGGCAAGGTTGACGCAGATCCTCGGGACTGGTTTGAACGGACAGCGCTGTATATGGCGGCAAATAATGGGCATGAGGCGGTTGTTAAGCTGCTTCTCGATACTGGCAAGGTTAACGCAGGTGCTCAGGACCGGGATGGATGGACAGCGCTACATACGGCGGCAAGGAATGGGCATGAAGCGGTTGTTAAGCTGCTTCTCGATACTGGCAAGGTTGACGCAGGTGCTAAGGCTAGGGGTGGAAAGACAGCGCTAGATTACGCGGCATGGAATGGGCATGAGGCGGTTGTTAAGCTACTCAGCCTTGCATCCTAAGAAGCAGGCTTGGAGGACAACTCACACCTTGAGTCAGCCTTTCAAAATCTTTCCTCCTGCAAGAACTGATCTTGATTCCCCAATCTTTGTCGTATGACGTACCCATTCGTTGTGCCAGTCTTTTCGCGACCGTACGGTCTGGCGAGGTGGATAACCATTGCTCCCGTGAGAGAGTTTCTCTTATGAAGGGAAGCGCTTCTTGATAAACCAAATCCACAGGTTTCTCGTAGTCGACTCGTAATTGCGATCTCCAAGGGTCCTCGGCGACAGCAATCAGGGCGAATATGAAATCTCGTGGTTCAGTGGATTCGAAGTGACCGTCGACGCATATCTGAACTAAGCGACTCAGGGGCCTCAGATCTCCCTCTCGCGCTTCAAGATGCTGGACTGGAACACTTGCCAGAAGACACTGACGGAAGCTGTGGGGGTCGACAAGGCGCTCGATACCTGTAATGCCGGTGATACCCAGTCCTCCGCTTTCGGTGTCTTCCAAGATGGAAGGAACACGAGAGTTGCGATTAAGGACACGGTCTAGGCTACCAATGGGTACCAACTCTTCCATGCTTTCTTTAAGAACGGGATAAGACATTATAAGGCGATTAAATGCGTCTTGACGGTTCGGTACGGTGATGAGTTTTGATCCGCATCTGAAAATCAGGCATCGAGCTAGTTGGATTTCTTGCACTATCCAAACCTTACGCCAGTAGGACCTGTTAAGCAGCGAGCTGATTGTGTTTATCTCATCATCAGAAGGATAGGACCTCGGAGTGGGCACTCGGACCGGATCATACGTCGACTCTTATTATAGTTAACAACTTAGGCCACCTCTATAAGGATCAGGGCCGGTTAAAGGAGGCTGATGCGATGTTGTCCATGTCCGGCTCAGGAGCTATCACGTTTATGGTGACAATGATCGTGCTCGCGGCGTTGGTATTTCGTGCCGTTTCCCGTCTTCAGTCGGTGGTAGCTATGTCGATGTAGTTGCACCAGAACTCCAACTGCGCGGCTGATGCTTTCATAAAAGTAAGAAAACACACAGATAGAGCGCAACACCAAAAGAAAAATAAAATGATCTCCTTCAAACACCCTCCATTACCCGCGCAACAGGACCTCCAGCCCATTAAAGTTTAATTCATTGCCTAAAGCCCATCGCGCTATGTCACAGAGACCACGGGCACGGGAGAATTGGGTCGCAACGACACGCGCGACAGGACGGGCGCAGTTGCTCAAAATCGCTCGAGTATTGTACGCATCAATTCACCCTCCAGCAGAGAAGACGGCTAGATCTGCTACGATCCCAAGCATTTGGTCGCACTTTCGAAATTACTCAGGCATCAGAAACACCCGCGTTCCTTTTCCTTTCCTTCCTATATCCCCAGAGGACTTGCCAAGCCAAGACGGCAAGCGGAATGCCGAGAATTAGGGCACTGGCCACTAGCCAAGCTAGTATTACAGCGGCAGAGAACACCCAAAACGCCCGACCCATCGAAGCCTGGTACGACTTGATCCAGGACAAGCTCGAGATCAACGCTGATCACTACCCTACTGATCGTGACAAGTTCCTTTACGTCAAAAGTCGCCTGGGAGGATATGCGTTTAAGGATTTGATGCCATACCTCCGCGAAACTCACCCGGACCAGCTTACTACCTACTCCGGCTTGATGACCCACCTCTGGCGCCAGTATCATGATCCCAACCAGGAGGAAAACGCGCTCATCAACTTTACCAAGCTGAAGATGAAAGATAACGACAACTTTGATTTCTTTAAGAATAAGTTTGTTCGGATGGCTGGCGAGTGCCAACGTCCCAAGACCGAGTGGAAGCGGGAGCTGTTCCAGCGCCTTCCCGCCGAGTACAAAAAGCAGATGGGAGCGAAGCACCGTGACCCTTCTATCTCTTTCGAGTCGTACTGTGTCGACTGCTCCGGTTTTGGCTAAGTGCTCAAGACCATCGCCGATGAAGCCAAGGCTGCTTCTAGAAGCTCGAACAACAAGGGCAACAATAAGAACTCCGGTGCTGGCTCGGGCGGATCTGGTTCTGCTCCCAAGCCCGCTGCCGCTGGTGGTAACCGCCCCACTGCCGATCGCGAGGAGACTACCCGCCTGTTCAACGATGGAAGATGCTTCCTTTGCAAAGAACGCGGACATACCAAGCGCGACTGTCCTGAGAAGGAACGATACGACCGTGAGCGCCGCGACCGTGTCGCCGCTGTTGTCGATCGTCACCTGGCTCACGAAGGCAGAGGTCAACCGGCTGCTGCAGCCCCCGCCACGGACGCTGCTCCCGCTGCGAACGATCAGGGAAACTAATTACCCTGGGTGAACTAGACTCCTTCCCAGGGGAGGTGTCGGTTGCAGAACAACAGAAAAAGGATAGACAGAAACATGGAGAAGGATTCAATTTGATACCCTTTCTGGGAGGAGAACCCTTACTTCATCAACTTGGTTCTGGGCGAGTACTTGGGCGATTTCTGTACCGCCTACATCGACGACATCCTGATCTACTCCGATACTCTGGAGGAACACAAGGACCACGTTAAGAAGGTCCTCCGGAAGTTAAAAGATGCCGGCTTGCAAGCGGACCTCAAGAAATGCGAATTTCACGTCACCAAAACCAAGTTCCTGGGGTTCATTGTGGGGCGTGAGGGTGTCGCGGTTGACCCAGAGAAGGTGGAGGTTGTCAAGGAATGGGCAGTGCCGTCCAATCTGAGAGGGGTGCAGTCCTTCTTGGGATTCTGCAACTTCTACCGGAAGTTTATCAAGGACTACGGCCACGTGGCCCGCCCACTCACGAACCTGACACGAAAGGGAGAGGCTTTCACATGGACCGACAGGTGTCAGGCCGCCTTTGAGGAACTCAAGAGACTGCCAGTTCAAATCTTTTCTGAAGTACCTGTTTGCCCTTCGCATGAGGCCCTTCCCAAGCGCCACAGATGCCGCAGAGACGATATCCAAGGACGCCTTGCCCCGGTCCAGAAACGTCCAGATGGTTGGCATTGGACTGGGCGTACGGTTGGGCATACTCATGTTGAAATGAGGGGGCTCTGCGAGGGAAGAACAGGAGGTGTCGGCATGTCGAGAATGATTTGTTTCTCTTGGCCGCTATGATATGTGCACCTTCCTTTCACTTGCCAGACTTCATTCTAAGAGCTCTTTCCCATCGGTCTTCCATATCGCATTGGTCAGGAGCTGACCGCTATCCAAGAATCCACCAATCGATGGCGCTATATACATTAGCTGGGGCCTTGGCATTGCTTACTTGCATGTCCGTTCAGGGAAGCCCGAACAGTGAGGCTGAGCAGAGGCCTCGGTGTCCCCCCTCCTGCATTTGATAACGCGGATAAAGTGACCGTATCTAACCCAAAGGAGATGTGCACTCAGTGAACCGCTGTTTAGCGGGTCAGGACACTTCGAAAGGCTTGGTCTCTCACAACTTAAGGCACTTTTCGGTGGCGAAATCAGAAGAAGGGAAGACAACTCCAAAGCGAGCGCGTTGGACTTTCCTTCCTCTTGAGTCTGCTTGCTCATTTCCGTCGTACTTGCATGCATGCGTGGTGCAGTGAAGACCAGAGGAAAGAGCGTGTCGATGTTGCGGGCTGATGTTGGCAGATACATCTCCTTTGGGTTTGGGTACTGTCATTTTACTCGATTATATCGTCACTTTATCCGTATTGGCATTCGCCGCTTTTCCTTCTTGATCAGGTAACTGGGCTGTACCTAGGGTAGTATGCCCAACGTTCTCTGCCCGACACAACGTGAATGTTGACTGATGTCTTCTGATGTCAATTCTCGAAACTGGACAATCGCGTCGAGCCGGGAGGCTCTGCCAGGTACATCTCGACTTCAATTACTCCTCGGCTTCAATAGTTGATCCGCGTTTCTGCCTACTGCTGTTTGTCGGACATCTCATCCTCCGCCCACCATTGAGATCCTCCCTATACATAACGCCGTTGTCGATGAAAACGCTTGCTAGTCGGCAAGAGTGGTTCTCATCAGCGCGTCGAGCACGATGGCTGCACCAGCAGGAGCGGGCAATGAGCGGACCTACTCCCGTCCTGCGAGCCGGGACGACTTCGAGATTGCGATAATCTGTGCACTTCCCCGCGAAATGGATGCCGTTGAGTTGATCGTCGATGAATTCTGGACGGACGAGGTCGGCCAAAACCAATATAGAAAAGTTGCAGGGGACACGAACACCTACGAGCTAGCGCGGATCGGAAGCTTCAACGTAGTACTTGTTACCCTTGCCAACATGGGAAAAGTTGAGGCATCCGCGGCAGCACAGTGTGTCGCTACAAGTTACCCGAATATCTCCCTAGTCCTCTTGGTCGGTGTCTGTGGCGGCATGCCTTTCGCCAATGTCGGAGGGGAACGCGAGGAAATATTCCTTGGCGATGTGGTCATCAGCAGCATCCTGAATCAATACGACTATGGAAGACAGCTACCCGGCTGTTTTCTCCCCAAAAGCGACGTTGAGGATACGCTCGGCAAGCCAAACAGGGTACTTCGGAATCTGCTCAGGAGCTTCGAAAAAGTGAGAGCTCGCGATAAGTTGCAGAGTCAGGCAGCCATCAACCTGGTGCAGCTTCAGGAGAGCAGCCGCCGGAACCCCCGATATCCCCGATATACATACCCAGGAACAGACAATGACAGACTTTTCGAAGCCTCATACGAGCACAAGCATCACAGCCCTGCGTCAGGGTGCCTTCCTTGCGCGCAAAGATTGATTTGCGAGTCATCCAGAAACTCCGTGTGATGATATTGGTTGTGATACCAAATATTTGGTTAAGAGAAAGGGATGCGGTCAACCCGACCAGCCCATGGTCTTCATAGGGCGTGTGGGGTCAGCGGATGCTGTTGTTCGTTCTGCCAAACACCGCGATGCTCATGCCGAAAATGGCATCATCGCCTTGGAGATGGAAGGTGCCGGGGTCTGGGATGTGTTACCTTGCCTCGTCATCAAAGGCATGGATTCATCGAACGTGGTGACATCACGGATTGGTTGCAAAAAAAGCTTGACAAACCAGGGAGCCGAGCTGCATTGTATGGATTTGGGGGTGTAGGGTATATGTCATCATCAATCCCCGGCACACATGAAAATTAACTTCCTTGTGGGATGCACAGGAACTAACGTTTTGGTGACCAGAAAGTCACGACTTGTCATTCAATACGCGCGGATGATCGAACAAGAACCTTCGAAACCGCACATCTTCTAGGTACATGCGGGGACCAGAGAGCGTTTTATAGACGCCTATCGCGAGATTGCAGATGGACTGAAGCTTGAGGGTCGTGATAAGCCCGACGTAGACATACTGAAACTGGTATGCAACGGGCTCCGCCATGAAAGCAAAAGCTGGCTCATAATCGTCGACAACGCCGACAATATCAACCTATTTTTTGCAACGGACACCCATGGCCAGTGTATCGGAAATGGAGCCGCTTCCTCAACGGGGGCAAAAGGTCTTCTGCCGTATCTCCCTCGTACGGACAAAGGCAAAATATTGATCACAACGCGGAGTCAAGAAGTTGCCGAGCTCCTAGTAACGCAAGTTACGGAAGACCTGGAGAGTATTCGCCAGGTAACGGCAATGGAGAATCTTCAAGCAAAACAGCTTCTACGAAAACGGCTCGGGAAGTACCATGACGACAAGATCGAAGAGGACCTGGTCAATGTCCTCGATTGCATTCCCCTCGCAATCATTCAAGCTGCGGCATTCATCGTCTTTCGGTCTCGCAACAGTGTATGTTAACGCAGATCCTAAGGATAAGAATGGACAGACAGCGCTGTATATGGCGGCAGCGAATGGGCATAAGGCGGTTGTTAAGCTGCTTCTCGATACCGGCAAGGTTGACGCAGATCCTAAGGGCCGGTATGGACGGACAGCGCTGTATATGGCGGCAGAGAATGGACATGAGGCGGTTGTTAAACTGCTTCTCGATACTGGCAAGGTTGACGCAGATCCTAAGGATAAGGATGGACAGACAGCGCTGTATATGGCGGCAGCGAATGGGCATAAGGCGGTTGTTAAGCTACTTCTCGATACCGGCAAGGTTGACGTAAATCCTGAGTGCTGGAATGGACAGACAGCGCTGTGTTCGGCAGCAAGGTATGGGTATAAGGCGGTTGTTAAGCTGCTTCTCGATACTGGCAAGGTTAATGCAGATGCTCAGGACCCGTATGGATGGACAGTGCTACATTGGGCGGCAGCGTATGGGCATGACGCGGTTGTTAAGTTGCTTCTCGATACTGGCAAGGTTGATGCAGGTGCTCAGGATAGGGATGGACAGACAGCGCTGCATATGGCGGCAGAGAAGGGGCATGAGGCAATTGTTAAGCTACTCAGCCTTGCATCCTAAGAGGCAGACTTGGAGGACAACTCCACCTCGAGTCAGCCTTTCACAATCATTTCTCCTGCAAGAATTGATCTTGGTTTACTCCCCAATCTTTATTGTTTACTCCCTATTGCTTCCTATCGTATTGGGAGTCCCCCTGGTCGTCGTACATCTCAACAGCAACGCTGGAGGGACCGCAATGGCAATATCACGCAGAATGTATTCGCAGCAGTCAAAAGTGACAGAACCTTCTCGTATGTTCTGGCAGGTGCGGAGGGCTCTAGCAACAATGCCTCGTTGTGACGAACCGTTACAAGCACAGGAGTATATCGCTGGGAATAAGAACAACGGTAGTAGTAGCCAAAAGGTACTGGTCGATTGTAAAAGCTATTGCTTGCTGAAGAGCCAGTATCTAAAGAGGCCTGGGAAGGCCGTCTTTATATACCGGCCTTCATGGACCCGAATAAATCGGACCCGAGGACCCGAACGCCTCGGGTCTTCCTCCTGAGGACCCGACGTTCACGGACCCGGGGACCCGAACACTTCGGGTCCTACCTGATTGGTCCGTTGGTTCTACCTAGTCTGGCTTACATAAGTGATCCTTGATTGGATCGTAACACTGAAGTAGTTCGTCGAAGGACAAAAACTCTGTTTCGAGGGCATCATCATGTAGAGCTTGAATAGCTACAAACGTAACTAAACAGGATCTAGCCTGGTACCATAGCAATAGGAAAGGTCACTCTAGAAAAGTGTTAGTTTGAATCAACGGTTAAAGGCAAGAATGCATACACATCTGCCCCCTTATTAATTTTGTTAGCCGATAGCTTGTTTTGATTGATCGTGATCTTAAGCAACAAGCCTTAGCTGCTTTGTATCCGGATCGCGAACGACAAGTAGCTTGACTTGTCGATAAAACATGTTCTCATAAGTGCCGGGCCGAAAGCCAATGATTCCTATAAGCACCAATGTATGAAAGGCAAGCCGATGTCTAGGATCACAAGGTATATCGACTGCGCGTTCCCACAAAGTGCTAAGAATGTAAGGGGACAGCAGAGCTGTACGCAGGTGCTGGCCAATAAGGATCGATTAAGGTTCTACGAAGAAAAAAAGGGAGAAAGAGAGGCCCACAGGGCAGACCCGGCCACCCGCCCTCAAAAGGTTGCGCGCGTGCACGTGACTCCACGGGTGCTTGACTGCCTGAGGCAGCCGTCCAGTCTGGACGAGCCATGGTCACAGTGGTCACTGGGATGCCAGAGGTCTTTGGCGCCAGTCACATCGCTCAAGACACGGGGGGAATCGGATGGCGACCCCGAAAGCGGCTATTAGTGCCCCGCCATGATGAAACAGCGAGGGACGGCACGCCGACGTCCCACTGATATTCTTCCGCCACTCGTCTTTATGGCAATGGCGTCATCCACCTTTGCCCACTGCAAATCAGTCGTGGCCCGATATCGGGGGTAGTATGGAAGCTATATAACTCGAGCACCCGCATTGAGGGGTAACCTTGCCTTTTGCCCCCAAACAACTCGACATTTCGCTCCTGAATCAGTCCGTATCGACAGTTGACTCTGCTATACCATTGGTACGCGACCAGCGTCCGAAAAGCCATAACACCTATTACAATGGGAACTCCAGGATCGAGGTAAAGTAGACAAGACAGCTACCGGGTGTCCATGTTGGTTTCGCCACAGTTCGTTCACTCTTATCGCTCTTTCATGCCTTGTATTCAAAGGTCTTTGGAATGAGTTTGATACGATGGGCCAACTGCGGCGGTACCCATTGGTCTGAGAAATACCGGCGAACTTGATCTGGATAATACCAGCGAAAGGATTGGCTTCTTGGGACCCCTTCCCCTCTTATTGAAGATCAACTAACTTTCGCAGCTTTGCTCGTGTTGCGCCAACATGTCTGCGGATAAGATAACTTTCCTCACCAACTGGTAAGCTCCAATCACTCATGTATGCCGAAGCTTGTCGTGTCAACCGCTGACGCAATACAGGCACGCTACGCCGTACCATGCACCGCTTTACCTTGCCCAGGCCAAAGGGTTCTTCAAAGAAGAGGGCATCCAGGTGGCTCTCCTGGAGCCCAACGACCCCAGCGTAATTCATGCGGTCTCAATGTGCCAGTTCCCGGGCACTGGCTAACAGAGCATGGCAGGACGTAACCGAAATTATCGGCAGCGGCAAAGTTGACCTTGGTTTCAAGGCCATGATTCACACTCTTGCTGTAAGATTCGCAACCCTCAGCCGGGGATTGCTCACAAGATGGTCAAGTGCTAATACTTCAAACAGGCCAAAGCCCGTAACTTCCCTGTCCTCTCGATTGGCAGCCTTCTGGACGAACCCTTCACCGGCGTCGTCTACCTCAAGGATTCCGGAATCACCGCCGACTTTAGGTCCCTCAAGGGCAAGCGTATCGGCTACGTCGGCGAGTTTGGCAAGATTCAGATCGATGAGCTCACTTCGCACTACGGCCTGACTCCCGCCGATTACACCGCCGTCCGCTGCGGCATGAACGTCTCCAGTGCCATTATCAAGGGGGATATTGACGCCGGTATCGGCCTAGAGAACGTGCAGATGGTTGAGCTGGAGGATTGGCTTGCTACCCAGGGCCGGGACAGGGCCGACGTCCAGATGCTTCGCATTGACGAGCTCGCGGAACTCGGATGCTGCTGCTTCTGCTCGATTCTCTACATTGGCAACGAGACCTTCATCGCGCAGAATCCGGACAAGGTTCGGGCCTTCATGCGCGCCGTCAAGAAAGCGACTGACTTTGTCCTGGCAAACCCGCACGCTGCGTGGAAGGAGTATGTTGACTTTAAGCCTGTTATGGGCACTGAGCTCAACAGAAAGATCTTTGAGCGCAGCTACGCATACTTCTCCGAGGACCTCAAGAACGTCGAGCGCGACTGGGCCAAGGTCACCAAATATGGTCAACGACTTCAGGTCCTGGGCCCAGAGTTCACACCAAACTATACCAACGAATTTCTTGACTGGGCTCTGCAGCCGGCTTCTATTGACCCTACTGGCGACCAGAAGCGAATGGCTGAGCTCCAGAAGAATGTGGCTGGCTGCGGTGGCTTCCGCCGCTTGCCCCTATGTCGCTAGCGGCCGGAAAAAGAGCCCCGAAATGGGTCGAAGGCGTGACTGGTGGAACGGGGTCGTCTTTGCTGCGGATGGCGGAGGGCAACCGAGAGTTTCCTTCCAAGCTTGGCTGCTATAGTCCGGGATCTTGTTGCGCAACCATTGGGTTTTGGTGGATAGAAGAGGCTCGTATTTCTGGGGACGGTCTGGAGTTGATGATGGCTTCGTCGACTCGGTTCCAGATGAGAGTATCGTGTGGATGATCGATGAGGGCCTCAAAAGTGTAGCGAGGGCGTCTGCGTCATTAGTAAACGTCTATTTCTCTAGTCTATCTTCGAGCTGCGCTCTCACACCGTGGAGAAATGCGGGAGATATGGTGACCTATCGACATGTCGACACTCAGCAGCATCTGCTTGGCGCCAAGCAAGGATGATTTGATATCCACTATACAGCTCCGAACTCTTCGATGCGACACGTCTATTCAACTTTTCGTTTGTCTTTATTTGAGATGGTGTTGTTGAGGCGACGGCGAGTGTCCCTTTTCACCGAGAACCAGGCGAGCGTCATTTTTTCTTCTTAACGATTTCTCCTAATGGCGTCGAGCAACGACGACATCTTTCGGTGATTGAAGGGAAGGAGAACGTCTTGGAGTAGAGGGTAAAACGATGTGTAGATGTGTGTGTGCTATGGAGAGAAGGCTAGAGTAGAAAGGGAAAAGAAGTGTGGAGGGCTAAAATACAGGAAGGGTGTGAGGGCATGGACCCACACGACAAGACAAGGGAGGGGTGGGGATATGAACCCACCCGACAACAGAAAGACAAAACTCCAATGGCCCGTGCAGTGTGACTCCCACCCACTGTACGTATCTACATCCTCTCTCACCTTCCCCCCAATAAACCGATACAGACACTCATGTCCCATCTCTTCAAACAAAAAAGAACCCAAGAACTTCAAGAAGAAAGACCACAAGAAGAGGAACCACTTGGCAAAAGGGATCGCACCCCCAAAAAAAAAAAAAAAAAAAAAAAAAAAAACATACAACACCTGGGATTCGCTGGTCGTCACCGACCCAACTACTAGTCAGGCGATATGTCTGCTTATCTATGGGAGTGGGAAGGATATGAAACGGGTCTTTTAATCACGTGGTAGGTTCAAAAAACTGAACAACCACCTCCCATATCCATATCGTTCGGACGGAGGCAGTACGGTGAGTGGGGAGGCGGCGCTAAGAAGATGAATATACGGGACGTCGATAAGGTAAGGTTGGATAGATGCCATACCTTGATAAGATCCTAACATCCCGCCGTATTCCCTTCACGCAAATGTGATAAGCTTGAATCTCGCATACTATCCAAGTAGGTTGCTACAGGTACTACTTTAAGGTGCTGAGAGTTGGGAAGAGCCCTTGAGTCGATGTTGGCCGTTGTCGGTCAAAGATTTGTCAGATTAACCAATTCAGGGCGGCCCAATCAGCGCGTAGTCGCGAGGTCGGACGGTTCGAAGTGAGATTGAGAGATGGTTGGAAAGTGTAAGTGTGCAGTGTTCAAGGCAGCTTGAACAAGAGGAATTCGAAAGAGCAGACGAAGAGGGGAAGCGAAAAAGATTCGTGGGAGGAGCTAAGTAAAGTGCTTTCCTTGCAAGAAGAGATGCCCTCATGGGGAGCTCCTTCCGCTTTAAACACAACCCCCATTACGATACCTCAAGAGCCAGAAGGCACCGTCAGCATCACCAACCGCACTCTATATCCCGTCCTACAGCTCATCTAGCAGTTGCGAGCAGTCGTACGAAGTCGTCAGGTACCTCTACGTATCTATCGGAATACCACAGAATATGTCAATCAAAATTAAAACTCCTTTTTCAAATCAATCCGCACAAAATAAAAGATAAAATATATCTAATCGAGTCCGCTTGAAACTACTCCGGTTGATAGTGAAGGGTCCTCTTTAGTCACTCGCTCTCCTCCAGCTCATCCCCCCGCCCCAGGACCAGTGCAGCCTTAATCACGTCATACATAGCCGAGATCATGCCCCCCGCCGACCTCCAGCAAAGGCTTCCCGAAGATCACCAGCACTGTTCTCCGGCGTCGATCTGGTATTCTGCTCATCACAAACCCTCGCCAGCGGCTAATAAGGGTTCTGCACATGCCTGCGGGCACCAAAATCAGCCTGGCCGGCTCGGCTGCTCAGGCAGACGAAGGCACCATTCTCACAGCATCAGCACGCTCCTGCTCGAGGCCGACTTCGGTGCCAGCATGCTGCCTCTTCTCTGATCCGTGCAGCTCGTCTGGAAGCATCGGCCGGAGACCCCACCGGTCAAACATGGCCTTGTCCTCGTCCCATCCACTGCACGGTGTAGTCAGCATCTTTTCTCCTGTAAAGATTGCATTTGCTCCAGCCATAAAGCAAAGAACCTGCTCGGACTCTGTCAAATTGATTCTCCCTGCCGCAAGCCGAATCACCGAGCCTGGCAGAACAAGCCGTGCAGTGGCCACCATCCGGACGGTATCGTGGAAGGTTACGGTCGATTCCGGCTCCCCGGTTTCAGATTTGGCGGCGCTGGCGTCTCCAAGTGGGGTTCCCTTGATGGGGACGAGAGCGTTGATTGGGAAGCTCTCCGGGTGGCTTTCCATCGTTGCAACGGTGTATAGGAAGCTCACACGGTCCGCGTCATCTTCACCGAGGCCGAGGATTCCACCCGAGCAGACGTGGATTCCGGCCTGGCGGACGTTGTTGATTGTCTTGAGTCGTTCGTCGTAGGTCCGGGTTGTGATGACGTTTGGATAGTACTCCCGGGAGGTGTCGACGTTGTGGTTGTATGCAGTGAGTCCGGCATCGCGCAGTTCCGCCGCTTGGTTTCCGTCAATCATCCCTAGAGTGACGCAGGCCTCCATCCCGAGCTCCCTCACCCCTCTCACCATCGCTTTGATGTTCTTAAGGTTCGTCTTGCGGCCTCGCATGTCCCTCCAGGCGGCCCCCATGCAGAACCGAGTCGATCCATTTTCTTTTGCGATTTTGGCAGCCTGGAGGACCTCATCGACGGATGATATCTTTGTTGCCTTTACACCCGTCTTGTACCGGATCGACTGGGCGCAGTAGGAGCAGTCTTCTGAGCATCCACCTGTCTTGATGTTCATGAGCGTGCAGAGCTGGACGCTGGCGGGGTCAAAGAATCGTCGGTGGAGGGTTGACTGGAGAGGTGAGTGTTAGGCTACTTGGTAAATGTTTTGTGTTTCCTATCTTCTTCTGGTGCGCCTTACAGCCGAGTAGACCAATTCCATCAGCGGAGTTTGGTATATTTCTCGGATCTCCTCCTTTGTCCAGTCATTCCTGGGCGCGTCTGCTGCAATGGTAGCCTGTAGGAGACTGTTCCGGCCAGCGAACGAGTCCGGCTTTTGGTACTTGTTTGGTGCCAGGCTGTTCACCACCTGGGAGCCTGCAGCCGACGAGAGTGAGCGGAATTGAGCGTGTAAAAGGCGGGATTGGGATCGCAGAGTAGATGAGGCGCTGTATTTTAACTGGGAAGTGCTGTAGAGACTCGCCGCTCTCTTGAGAGTCTGGTGGGTGTTTCTCATTTTGATATACTGGGCGGGCCAAGATTGACGGGAATTCGGGGGTAAAAGAGTGAAAAGGCAACAGTAACTTACAATTCAGACCAAAAGTAAGCGAGTGACAAAAAGAACTCAACAAAAGAGCCTAATTGAAAAGTGTATTTTTATCTACAAACCCATTCTCCCAACCAGTCAAGTTGGGTTGAGCCCGTCCACCTCAACAAAGCTAATTCTGACCTACTGCCCTCTGCAACCCCACAGTGAACCGCACAACTCTCCCCCGAAAAAGTTTTTCTTGGCACCCACTGTTAGTCGGTTGTTAAGTGGCTAAGCCAAGAACTACCCTTTTTTTGGTGCTTTTGGGTGCCTTCGGGCTAACAATGGTCTAACCCTCCATTTCGACAACGACGGAGGGATTCTGGAGAGTTGACCTCCGTATTCGACAACGCCGGTAGCTTTGAAGCCGAGCTCTTCGAGATTCACTACTTGAGGAAGATAAAGGGGCGCCGAGGACAATACTATCTACTGGGCTTCCGACGACAGGCCCAACGACGGAAAGCTACGACAGATAACAACCACCTCGAAAACTCTACCTTAGGACGCCGCTTGCCGGACCTAAAACGGCCTGGGCCGCATTCTAATCGTCAAATCTTCCTCAATCCTCTCTCTTTATCAACTAAAGGAGGACGGCGGACCAATTTTGGGGTTTTTTTTTCCCCTTGTGGTTTCCCTCCAACAGCGTTGACCTCTATCCCTCAAAATTAGCTACGGAATTTGTGGGAGTCCGCGCCCTAGGGCACGGACAGGACGAGGGCTCAACCCGACAGCGAATGCTGAATTGGGGCCCCTAATTAAGGTATCTCTTTTCGGGGGCGATGCACAAGTAAAGGCAATAAGCCGTGGTTTGCGCTCTACTTTGTAGGGGTTATAGAAGGAGGATTTGGGCCAATTTCTGGTATCTAGGTAGCTTGCGCACGTCTCATGCCCTTCGGGAGGCGGAAGTAGACGTTAAAAATAACAACAACAACCCACAGTGAACCGCAAAGGTACTCGCTCGTGCCACAGAACCCGACGTGCCTGCCGAAGCATGAAACAGGACTAGGCGATCGACGGAAAGTAACTGCAACTTCTATTCCGTCTTGAGGCACGACTTCTTCACGTGTTCTCTCCTACATCTTCTTGGTGGCCGTGACTTCTCTGAACACCTCGCGTCAAACTTCACGCACGACCCAGCAAACATGGCTTCCCCGGCAGAAACCTCCGTTACGTACGAGGAATTGCGCGACCTCGAGAACGAGTTCGAGGATGTTGAGACCGAGATCAGTAAGCCTGCTTTTCGTGTTCCCCATCTTATCGTCATTTTTGTCGTGTACTTGTGTTTGAGTATCACTCATCACTAACTTGTCTCATCTGGAAGTCCGCCAGCAGGTCCAGCTGTCCCGCCCACTCTACGAGAAGCGCGAGAAGGTCGTAGCCCAGATCCCCAACTTCTGGCCCTTGGTTTTCGAGCAAGCACCGCAAGACATTGACGAGTACATCCAACCACAAGACTCCGCCCTTTTGCTCTCGTCCCTCACCTCGTTCTCCATTTCCCATTTCGAAATCGAGAATGGTGGCTCCGGAGACCCTCGTAGCGTCCTCTTCCGCTTCGAATTCGCCGAAAACGAGTACTTCGAGGACAAGGTGCTGGAGAAGAAGTTCTGGTCGCGCAGAAGCAAGGGCGGCTGGACGGGTTTGGTGAGCGAGCCGGTGAACATCAAGTGGAAGAAGGGCAAGGACCTAACGAGTGGCCTGCTCGGCTTGGTCAATGCCGTCTGGGAAGAGGAGAAGGCTGTTGGCAAGCATTGGTCGACCGTTAAGGGCGAGGAATTTACGGATAAGCAAAAGGAACTTAAGGACCAGATCGAGAAGATCGGGCTCGGAGGCCTTAGCTTCTTTGCCTGGTTCGGCTACAGGGGTAGGAGAGTCTCTGCCGAGGAGAGCAAGGCTGCCTCTGAGAAGCTTCAAGAACAGCTTTTTTTTTGTTGTTGTTGTTGTTGTTATTTTTAACGTCTACTTCCGCCTCCCGTAGGGCATGAGACGTGCCACATCGGTGAGGCAGTGGTAGAAATCCGTCAGGCAGTGGTAGTAGTGTGGGCGTGACGGACTTCCTCGTCCGCAGTCCGGGCTCTTTTGGCCGACTGCGCCGTCGTGGAGGGCGGGGGCTGGACGAAAATGGGGTCCGGCAGAGGAGTAACCGGTATTATAGCCGGCGGCGGTGGTTTGGGGGCCCCAGAGGGCGAAGGCGTAGACATTTTATAGTTGTGGTTGTTGGAATATCGACCGTGAAAACGGCGATTTAGGTGGTGTTAGGGATTTTGCGGGCAACCAAGCGTTAACACTAACACTTGGCGCCAAGACTTTTTGTTGTAGGACGAAGATGTCAGTTCTCGGTAGTGTTTCTCTTCCCTTCTCGTTCCCATTGATTCTTTCGTTTCATCATCATGTTTTGCACAACGGAGGAGGTCATACACAATCGTCTCCAATCCGTTATCTGCCGAGTCGGGGGCGAGCCATCTCCGGAGGCCGGGGAGGCGGGGGAGCCACGTTTCCTCCGGTGTGTTTTCATCCGGGGGGGCTTGGGACTCGGTGAGGGAGTGGAGATGGGACCAGCCGCGCGGTGGGGGCGTGCGCAAGCGTTGGGTTAGCGGGTGGTGGGCCGGGAGGGTGGCGAGCCCTGCCGCGGCCCGGGCCGTTTCTCGTCTGATGATTTCGGGTGGGGCGATGCCGGCCAACCAGAAAGGGACAAGCTTGGGGACTGTGCGCCAGACCGACATTGTTTTTCGGAGAGCCTTCGATGCTGCTGTCTCGATCTCGTCGAGCGCGGTCTTGATGTTGGTGGACACTTGTCCGCCCCTGCGTCCGATTCGCGTGTGGCCAGGGAAGAGGGCGGCTGCACAGTATGTTAGGGTAGGCAGGAAGCCGGCGGTAAAGAGGTGTCGGGCCGTCATCGGGTCTAGGCCGCGCGCTACCTGGTTGATGCGTGCGGAGAGGCCGGCCACGGCTGCGGCCTTTGGAAGGTGGGGCGGATGCGGAGATGGTGTTGACGTGAAAAGAGTGAAGCAAAAAATTTAGCGACAAGGGTGCCAAGCCTTTTTGTCGGTCGAGCCGCTCAGTGTTACGACGCTTATCATAGTTGTGAGGACTTCTGTGTAAGAAGGAGGACGAAGGAGGAGAGATATCTTCTGCTCGGCCACTCACTTTTTCGCCGGAACACAGACAACAAGCAAACAAACAAACAACAACAACACAATGGGCTAATCCGACAACTCAAACGATCTCTCAAAAGGCCAATCGGGAAGTGGCAAGTGGAAAACAAACAGAGTCGACGGCTGCATGTCTGATTGCACGAAATACAGCAAGAATCGGGAAGTGGGTCCAGAAGGTTGAAAGCGGAGGTTGCACAAGTGACAACGCAGCGGCCCGCATTGTTCAGCTCTAGGCGGCGGAGCCAAAGGCAACGGGCCCGTCTATTGGATGAAAACTGTGGGCCTCACAATGACCATGACGCTTAACGATTGGTCGGCACTAGTGGATCCCATTCCTGCACGCTCGTAGCCATCCATTCCTCGCACGGCACGTCACTCCATCTCGAGACTCTTCCCCGGACACATAACTAGGGCCTCGCTCTCCTCCCCATTCTCATCGCCATGGCCCACACTCAAGCTCAAACAGCGGCCCAAAGGGCGCTCCCATCACCGGCATCAAATTATCAAGGTACTTGTTCTTCGCAGCGCCAAACGACATCTCCCACTGACGAAAAGGCTGATCACATACGGCAGAAAGAGGCGCCATCCGTCGTGCGGCATATCTTTGGCGAAGTTGCTAGGGCCTTTGCCAATGGTGAATGCCTCCATGCCTTTGTCGTAAAGAGGACCAATGTAATGGGACTCGCCGTAGTCATTCCCTGTTAAAAACGTTGCATCAGCGCATAGTTCTCGAAGCGCGTTTTCTTTTGGTGCTACTAGAAAAGGTAGAGGTAGGTATGTAAGTGTGCTCACATGAGATGATCTCCACAAACTGGGTATTGTCAATCAAATCGGCGCTTGTCTTGTTATATGATGCTTGCACCCAGCGGTCGTACCAGAGACTGTCACCTCTCCAAAGCCAGTTCTTGTTGTAGCCGGGAAGGTTGGTAAAGAACCAAGGTGATATGGGCATCATGTAAGGCTTGCCGTTCAGGTACTCCAAATATGACGCGTCGGTGTAAGTGTCCATGTCTTGAGCTCCCCAGGGCCAGGCTGCCCAGCTGAATAAGCCGTCGGCAACGCCACCGCCTCTTTTCAAGGCCTCTTTGGCCCCCAATGACCAATCCGGAATGAAAAAGACGTTGTGATCATTCTTGAGGTCGATCCAGTCATCGGCGCTGTCTGGACCCTCGAAGGTCGAGACAAGGGACTTGCCGTTATACTTGAAATATGCTGAATGAGCCGCATACTTGGCAAGCAAGGAATCAACCTCGTCCTTGGGCCATGCGCCATTGCCAGCATAATCAAAGGAGAAGAACAGATCAAATCCCATGGCAGCGGCCGCCGAAAAGGCCGTGGGCAGGGAGGATGCGATATTGGGCTCCTTCTAGGCAATGTTGAGAGCAAAGGCATCAATCTGAGCCTCTCGGGCCAAGCTGATATCTTTTTTCCAGTCGTTTGAAGCGTAGTTGGCGGCGTTCCCAACCTGCATGTGCAATGAGCTCAGTTAGCCTTACTACCATTCCACTATCCCAGGGAAATAACCTACCATAAAGTGTGCAAACACGGATCTTGCTGACACCCCGCAAGCCCCAAGCAGGGCTGCGGCTGTAGAGAGAAAAAGTGATGCCCTCATCGCAGCGGTTGCTGTTCACCACTGGGTGTGGCGAAGAAAAAGAAGAAGAGGATGCTGGACGTCTCAAAATCATGGTCGACTGACTGGCCGTTCCGGGCCCTTTTATAAACGTACCTATCTCTACGGTTCAACCCTGCTGTCAAATTTTTCTTCTCCTGTTACCTACCACCTTCAGATCCACACGGAAATCTCCTCGGCGCGTATGTGTGGTGTCTAAACTCCATGTATGCAAGCGGCGGTTGTGGATGTGACCAGACCACACCAAGAGAGCGACGGACTGGAGTGGACCGCGAGAGAGCACCTCTGTCTAGGACAATGATACTACCTACCCACCTTGACAGCTCTTCTGGCCGGAGTTTCGGCATTGGGGACTGGAATACTCGTAAGACTGTCGAGGTGCTTTGCATGGGTTCCATTGTTCACGACGTTTGTGAGGTGGTGGAGTTCTCTCTTTCCTTCCGGTCACGCTGCTCGAAGTAGGTAGGTAGGTAACTGGTATGACAACTACTACCATGCTGCCTCGGTGCCTTCTACCTACACGGCTAGTAGCTACCTACCGAAGTCTTCCGGTGTGGTTGGGTTCTCCGGAAACGGCGTGGGACAAAATGTCCGGGTGGATGTCGGAGCTTCAAGGTGTATTGTAGGATTTGGTAGGTAGTCACTGTTGTGACATTGAAAGGGTTAAGGACCGATATGGCACTCGGTCTTCGCATTCTTGCGAGTCGATTGTGGGAAGGTGAAGGTTCTCTAACCTGTCCAAGTTACGATGTCCGAAAAATAGCAGACACTGTGCAAAACCTCAAGGTCTGTTAGTCCAGTCACGCTTCTGAGGATGGTAGCAGGCTTAGCTGAAGTGAAAAGCGGTCGATGTCCGGGCGATACCACCCTTGCGATATCATTCAGTATGGTTGTGTGGGGAGCGGATGGTGCAATGGGTTCCTGCATTGAACGCATTTTGAGTTTTTAACTAGGACACAGTCGCATCCGCCTGGACAAAATGTACTTGTCTGTGACATGCACGACGGACAGTGTCCCGAGTCGCATGTCCGGGTTAAGTTCGACCAGGGAGGTACGGTGGCCTTGTCTTAGGCCCGACATAAAACTGGTCCGAGCTTCCAACTGGCTTCACCTGACAGCCATTTTACATCTACGCCTCTACTACTGCATAGTACACTTACAACACCGCTAAGACCGTCACCAACCTACAAGTAAGGTACACGTAAACACCAACACCAACTTTGGCCTCTGACTTTCCCAAGTTCTCTCTCTCCCCCTTTCTCTCTCCCCTCTCTCTCTTCTTTTTTAGTCCTTCTCTCCTCCTTTTTTTCTCTTTCTCTTCTTTTCCTCCCTCTTTTCCTTCTTCCTTCCCCTCCCTTTTTTTGAGTAGTGAGGACAAGGGGAAGGATCCATTTGCACTGCTACCCTACCCCAACTCAAAATTTGGAGAAGACATGGCACTCTTCCAGGCTCGAGCCAAGGTCCATTTGTATTGTTACCTAGAGTTTTAGCAACTTCGTGGTCTCGTTGCTTCATTGCTTCATTGCTTCATTGCTTCATTACTTCATTGCTTCATTGCTTCATTGCTTCATTGCTTCATTGCTTCATGGATTCATTAATGAAAGCCGGATGAACCTGTGTTGACATCAGGTGGTTGATGGTGTCGCATTTGACATTTGAAGTTTCGGATGCTACCCTCCGGTGCGTGCCTAGTCCCTGCAGCTGGGAAGGAATTTTCTTCTTCCAGATTTTGGATAACGGGCCTAGCACAAACTTGGGCCACCGTACCAGGGGGGAGAGAGTGGACCATACCGAAGTAGGTAGGTAGTGTTGTGACGGCAAATTCTAACCGGACCATGTTACTTTCCGCCACTACTGCTGTGAATGTTGGATTAGAATTTTGTTCGCGCATACATGGCTGGTATCATAAGTCTCAAGCAAGGCGGTCTTACTTGTTTGGGTTGTAGAACCGAATCTGTTTTTGCTGCCTGCCCTGAACGACCGACAGCGACAAGGCACCAACCTCAATGGGAAAGCGATCATGCATCCTGCTCGTTGAGGTTCACTGTGTCTCCGTGACCTCGATGTACCTCTAGTGTGATACGTTCCCTGGTGTTTACGCCCCTCGACCCTCGATCTCCGTCATCACCTGCACAAGCATGATCGCCTCGTCCCGAGTCCGCTGCTTGAGCTCGGTTTGCTCTGACATCCATAACAACCTTTTCTTCCAAAAAGCCCACCTCTCCCGCGTTAGCCATTCATGTCCGTCGCCTTTCTCTTCCTTCCACAGGGATCTTTCGGAACTACTTGACCACAACCACAGCCAATACTCGCTTGTGTTGTGCTGATGGTTTTCTTGATGTGCCTCTGCGAACCTCCGAGATATCAGATCTCTGTCGGTATATCGGTACATTATATCCCCCGCTATCACCAGGAATGGGATCATGCCATGAATGTCGGTAGCGATCTTAAGCACGGCAGCTTGGGCTTCGCACGAGCCGAGGGCGATACCATCATCAAGGCCATACCCCTTTTCAAGGGTCATCGTCATCCGGGCGAAGGCTGTACTTAGTTCAGAGGTGTAGTAAAAGTCGGGAGGATGCAGCATAAGATGATGGGCCACGAATGCATTGGCACGTGGGTAGGCGGGATATTCCGTGTCCGGACTACGCCGGTGATACCGCCATTCATAATATCCTGTCGCGGTTTGTTAGTCGAGTGTTGGGTGAGCCGTGGGGTGTTAGAATGGGTATATCATACTTATCCATCTGGTTTCCCAGACATCCCAAAAGTCCTCCATTGTCCTCCACCGCTCCAACTTCTCCGCCCCAAACCGGACTTCCTGCTCAGGCGTCGCATCTAGGCGGGGAAGGGCCATAGCAGCGTCGACAAGTACCAGGATAGCGACCTGATGCTGTGCCATTTCAATACCAACATCCCATAGCAGATAGGCAATTCGCTCGCCCTTGTCCCAGTCGCCATCGCATGGCACATGGTCCTCATTGAGCGACATGAGCTTGCGAGCTGTCTCTTCCGCGTCCAGGGCGTTTGGGGTGTTGTAGGCCTGTACGAACTCGCGCAGCGCTGCGGCCTCCTCCGGTGTCGATGACTCCTCATTGAGATCCATCAGGCCGAAGTCGGACCAGTCCTCCGGATCACTGATGAAGTCCAGCTCGATACCCATGTCCAGGGCAGCTTGCGGGATGGAGAGTGTTGTGGACATACTGAGGAGGGTATGCAGCTACCGTATCGTCGTGGAGTTGAGAAATGAGAAATGAGAGACGAACTGTGTGTCAAGTAGGAACACATGAAGAGGACCCTGGAAAGCGGAACTTGAAGTGTGGCGAGTGGACATGTACCCTAGGTCTCCGACGTTCGACTGGAAGGCACGCTGTCCAGGTGATGTAGGAGGATGGTGGTATTTGTGTTTTGGCGATGGCTGCTTCGGCCCCGCTTAAGTGGAACCAGGGACAGCGGGGAGAACGCGGAGCCAGCCGTTTTGGTTGCATACGGGCCGTGCCGAACAAGCTTTTTCAGGCACAGTATCACCTGCAACCTACAGCACACTTCGCTTACTATGTACAGTAAAGACCCCTGCAGTTGCAACCCCCTCCTTTTGCAAAAACCCCCCCTTTTGCTAAAGATTCTGGCTGCCCGCATTCCCTCTGGTGGGAAAGACTGCAAACTGCAAATTGCAACCGCTTAAGGCCGGATTTGCAAAAGCAGGGGTCTGATTTGGGTGGGCGCGGCATTTATACCCGTATACTGGGGGTCTGGCGGCCCACTTTTTCGCTCTGGTCGCCTTCGCCCAGTGGCCAGAAGGCATTAGAGTGGTCTGTGCATTTGCTCCCTCTATTGCAAAACCCCCCCTTTTGCAAAGAAATTGGGCTGCCGGCTTTAGTTGCAACTGCAGGGATCTTTACTGTAATAGCGTAATGAATGATACCGCACAATCTCGGCGTGTTCGTTTTGGGTTCTGTGAAAAAAATAGTCCTAATCGGCATCCGGGACCGTGACGGCACCGGTGCTCGGTAAGCAGTCTGTTTGCAAGTGTGATTTGTATGTCCGAGAAAAACACTGGGAGACAGCTCGAGACCAAGGCCTTCCGTAGCGGGAAGATATGATTTAGGACAGCCAGTGTCTTGCAAGTACATCCTCAACTTCCAATGTTACTTCGACGTTAGGACATCCAGAAGTTGAAGGCGCTAAGCATAACACAGGGGGTTGCTAACATGGACTTGGGTGGGGACCCGCCTCCCCCCCCCACCCTCCAAGACAAAAAAAAAAAAAAAGTGAGAAACTTTTTCAGTTTTTCAAAGTCCATCCTGCCTACCTTCCTCCCCAACATCGCGCCTCTCCTTTATAACCTAAAAAGCTACCTTATTCTCTTTAACATAACTATTTGGCTTAGTAGCTTTATAGTTAACGAAGTAATTCTTTACCTTCAAAATCGTATTCGAATCCTCGTGTGACCAAAACCTTTGACTTTGTACCAGACCAGCCAAAAGAAAAAGAAAAAGAAAAGGCGGGGGGGGGGCGTTATATATAACAAGTCTAATGAAGAATCGTTTATAGGTGGCACAAAACGTTTATCCATACCCACTAGCCGCTTGGCCACCAGTGACCGTGGTGAGTTTTTAAGGGCAGGCTTGGCCTTTCCTAAACGGAAAGCCATTCACGGTGACTTATAAGGCCGATAAGAAGATAAGGATAAGACAATGGCCGATAAGATAGGAACGATCAAAATATTAAGAAATGAAACGAACGGGAATCCTTCCCTCTCAAGCGAAGTTCTCTGAGAAGATATCGACTGGGAAGTATATGATGCGGAATGGTATAATAGAC